TTTCGGCAGCAAGTTTAGCAGCAGTAGCAGCCTTCTTTTGGGCCTTCTCCTTATCCTTTTGAAGCTTCTTCCAAGCGTTTTTGGTAATAGGCTTACCTTCATCACTATAAAGTTGGTTAATATATATGAACGCGAAATTCTATGCAACGCACTCTAAAAAGATTTCCTTGGCCTTTTGAGTAAGGTCTTCAACAGGGTCTTGAGCAGGTGCAGACATGTTTAGAGTTTAAAAAGAAAAGAAAAAAAAATAGCACGCGAGCTAACTTTCTTGAACTAAACACAAAAAAAAAAACCCCCCCCCTCCAAACACAGTCACTTTGGCATGTATGTACCACTTTATCCAATGTGACTCATCTACTCTTTCATGCAACATTTATTGTAAGATACGTTGTTCTAGTTCATCTATACTGTTTTTAATATCTGAGAACAAGCTATCTTCTGTATATTGAGTTATGGTAGTAGCAAGCACACTACTTAGGCTGCTATTTTCCTCATATAAATTGATGCATTTCGGAATGCCGGGAGGTACCAAAGAAGAATGAAAACGTTCTGGTAATAAATCACCTGGTTTGTTGAGGAATTCAAGTATTTCCGAATGATTTCTATACAGAAGAAGATGAGTCGAAGTCAAAGAAAAAGCACTGTTTACTTTGTCACCTGATCAATATGCTCTAAATGATCATAGACATGCTTTACAGGTTCTGCATTTAATCCTCGCTCTAGTAATTCTAACGCTTCATTTGACTCTTTTTCTATTTTTGTTAGCTTTCTTAAAGCAGTTTTCAAGTTCTTTCTATGTTCTTTTCGTTTCTTGATCTTTGCTTGATGAGCACGCATGGCTAATGCATCTTTCTCTAGGTATGTTTTCTTCTTTGCAGCAATGAATTGACGGACAAGTTCTTTACCCAAATGATCACTCAATGATTGGTGAGCCATTTCTTTCACATATGAATCACTGTAGTCTACTGTTACTTCTTGATCAGGAAGACCTAATAATTGAAGTGTGATCCTTTGTGTGAGTTGATCTTCACTCAATAGATCCAACTGTTTCTTGTGTTGTTTTTCCCAAAATGCTAATTTCTTTTCTTGAGCTGAGAGTTGTACATTAATGTGTGATTCTGATCCCTTAAAGACAGGCCGTAAAAATTGTTCTGTTGCATTGATCTTTTGTTGAATTTTGCTGAATTCAGTTCTATCTAGTATCTTTTCAAATAATGTCTTTGTCTCTTGTTCTAATAGTTCAATTTGCGGATCATAATTGCCAGGATAAGCCTGTTTTTCCACTGCTTCGTCAGTTGTTGGAATATTTTCTTTTTCTAATCGAGTGTGCACATCAGCTGCTGACCAAAGTGCCTGTATGAATTGATCCTTAAACACTGACTCCAAATCCTCTATGCTATTGAATAAAGCGTATTTAGATACCCTTATCGATATGTGCTGCATAACAAAAATTACAATTCTTTTAGGCTATCTCTTCTTGCCTGTAATTCAATAATATGGGTTTCTAGTTACACATCAGATCTTGGTATAGTTGCGATTGTCGAGCATCTTACCTGTCTTCTCTGCTGCGTTAGGACAAGTATCAAATCGATATACTTTTCTTTGTAAATTCGTTTTTATTTTCTCGTGTTCAACAAGTTGTTGCTCAATTTTAGATAAAAGAATAACATTTTTACAAGCTCTGTTCAAACTAGATAATAATGACTAAACTTTATTTCGAAAAGTATAACTTACAGTTGTGTATAATGGTTGCCACTGTTCATGTCATCTTTCTTCATATTGTTGTATTAAAACAAAAAAAAAAAAGAAGGATATAAAAATAAGTGGCGTTTACTTTCTTTTTTTTTTAGCGGAACAGAAAATAAAATAAATAACAATGCTAACTAATTCACCTTTGTGCTTGATTGACATGATAGCCATTATCATAGTATGGTGTACATGATATAGTTATTTCACGAAAACAAAACAAAAAGCGGACTTTACTATTGTTTAAAGCAAAAAAACAAGAAACGTAACCAAGATCAACCAGAAAAGGTAATTCAACTTGCTGTTAGTGTTCCTTCTTCGTTCAAGAACTCCGTTTCCTACCTATTTTTTTTAAAAAACAAACCCCTCCTCATTTTATTTCAAATATCTTTATCTTATTTATACTATGGCTGAACCTGAGATAGACGAAGCTCTTTTATTAGACTGGACAACAGCTATTGAAGCTCTTGATTATGATACCATTCAAGAACTACTTGAACACCAACCTCAGCTTTTATGGACGCCATTACAACCTGTACATCTTGAAAGTGATTTTGCTCATTTCATACAACGTCTAGAGTCTTTTAAATTGTTGGGTACTAGCCTTAGACCTGTTTATGCGCTTCATCATATTTTATTTGATTACGGCTTACCTGGTGATGAATGGGCAAATGAACGCACTGTGCTGGTTGATTTTATATTAAAAGTAAGTTATATCAATTTCAGGGACACACTATATTTACCGCGTTGGAATAGAACACAAAAGGAAATGAATTAAATACATGCTTATGGGGTGCTGAAAGGAACACACCAATGCATCTTGCCTATCTTTTAAATCAACCTACACTTACACAACAGCTTTTAGATAAAGGTTGTTTGACCAATATACCAAACAAGTTGGGCCATTTACCGACTCAGGAACAAAAAGACGATCAACCTAAACTTCTTGTCAACAAATCAAAGGCAAAAGAAGCAAAAGCACCTGTCAATACATCAGATCGATTCAGAAGACTGAGAGAATTAGCAGAAGCACCTCATGATAAGAACAGTAAAGTATCTAAAGAACGTCAAAATTCAACTCGTCGATATTTTAGACCGGGTCATTTAGAAGAGAAAAAGAGACGTATCTTGAATGAAGAGGAAGAAGAACTTGAGAAACAGCGTCTGAGACGACAGAAAGATATCGAATTATTAGCTCAACGTTCAGCTGTCAAAAACAACCCGTTATTTAAGAAATTTGAAGAACAAAACCAAAAAAAGAAACAAAAGCACCAGCACCTGTTATACCAGCTGTTCGAGATAGACAAAAACTTTTGGGCGTAAATGATCCTATTAAACGTTCCTCAAGAGTGATCAATTCTCTCAAAAACAATTCTTATGTTTCCAGTAGCGTGTTTCGCCAACAGACAGAAGAGCCCAAGAATTTGCAAGTGCCTACCTTAGCACAGTTACGATTAGGGTCCAAAGAATCTCTTGTAGAGGATGAAGACTCTTCAAAATCAACAGAGAGTAATACAACCACAACAGAACAAGCAGACAGTATCTTGTCTCTCGATAACGAAAGCATTAAAAGCAGCAGTAGTTCTTCACTCAAACAGTCGGATGCTTCTATTAAAAGTAGCAGTAGTTCTTCACTCAAACAATCGGATGCTTCTATTAAAAGTAGCAGTAGTTCTTCACTCAAACAATCGGATGCTTCTGTCAAAAGCCCAGAAGCATCTCTCAAAAGTCCTACTGGTTCAACATTTTCATTTAAAAGTTCGAAAAGCGCTTCACTAAAAAGTCCTACTAGTCCTTCTTTTGACAAGAAAAGTTACACATTAGACCGTGTAACAATGGACGAAGTAGAGTCTCTTAGTATTGGAAAACTACCAGAAAAAAAACTGATTGACATTGGTCCTAGTAAAGTGAAGCAGATTGTAAATGTACATGAGACTTTGAATGTCAAGGAAGAAGTTGAAATCTATACAGTAGGAAAGAAATTTGCTGTTTGGAAAAGAGATACTACAGATGGAGAACAACAAGAAGAAGATAGTTTAGTCGGAACTGTTAAAAAAGAAGAAGGTAAGAAAAATAAAAGAAGAATAATTAGGCCATATTAACCTTTGTGTATATAAAGACAAGTTGTCTTCCGAAAGTCAATCAGCCAAAGAAGCAACAACAAAGCAAAGATCATTATTAGAAAAAGAAGAAGAACGGAATGTTGCTACCACTTTGGACAATTCTACTACGCACACTTTAGATGATATTTTAGACACTATTCCCGATGATGCTTCAATTGGTAATTCAAATACAACAAACGACATTCCAGAAGCAACTTTGTTAAGCAGCTCTCAGTCATCAAATAAAAAAGAAGTGTCTTTAACGAAGAACAGAAAGGAGACAGACACAACTCACAAACCAGGTATCAAAACAGCTGAAAATCCAAATGGCTTGAGCAAAATAGAATTGCAAAAAAGAGCCTTGGAAGCGTCTACCAACAAACCTATCAAATCAAGAGCAATGAAATCGCTCATTCTAGAGAAATCGCATTTGGACCAAAAGAAAGCCTTCTTTAATCAACAACCTTTGCCTCAAACAATACCAGTACCAAAGCCCAGTACAAGTACCATAAAGGATCAAGACGACATCAATAAGGATATCAGTCGTTCAACATCTTCTTCTTCAACATCTACCTCTTCCTCTTATTCGAAATCAACTACAACACCTGTTTATAACAATAATAATGACTTTGGAAATGCTCATATCGCAAACAATGAAACTAATTTTCAACCATTGCAACGAGATGAAGCTACTCGCTTTTTTGAACATGATACACAACCTATTGACAAAAGTATAGCACAGCCTATTCACCATGTAGAAAGTAAGTTGATGGGCAACAATATAAAATCCTTAATCTTTAGATCCTTCAGAAACTATAGACAATTTAGATATGCAACCCATTAGACAACATTCAAAAACTACTACTACTACTATTACTACTACTAATATAATTAACACAGAAGTGTCTGATAAGAACAGTGATCAGCCATCTTCTGCCTCACTTACCACTTCTGCAGCCACCGTAGTTTCTGCAGCCATTATCGCTTCTACAGCCAATGACCTTCCTACTACAGCCAATGACCTTCCTACTACAGCCAATGACCTTCCTACTACAGCCACTAAAGATTCTGTAGCCACCAATGCTTCTGTAGCCTCCAATGCTCCTGTAGCCTCCAATGCTCCTGTAGCCACCAATGCTTCTGTAGCCTCCAATGCTCCTGTAGCCACCAATGCTCCTGTAGCCTCCAATGCTTCTGCAGCTACTGAAATTCTTGCGGTCAGTAAACTTCCTACAACTAATGAAATTCCTATAGCTACTGAGGATTCTACAACTAATGTCATCCCTACCACAACAACTAATGTTCCTGCAGCCATCAAACTTCTTACAGTTGTTCAGAGTTCTACAGCCACTCAAGTACCTGAATCTACTCGGATTCCTGCGGCCATGGATGCTCTTACAGCCACTGAGTCTCCCAAAGCCATCAGTATTTCCACTGCCAATGTAGTTTCTGTGACTTCTACTGCTCAAATACAAGACACTTCTAAAGAAAGTGACGAAGAGGAGGACGCAATCACACCTACTTATGCCAATATACATACCCAAAAACCATCACCAGTGCATGATTGGGGAGTAGCTTATCAATCACTCATGAGTCAGCATGATATTAACTTTGAAGATGATGACGATGACCATGCCATGAACACACACCAAAACGAACGACCTTCGTTCTCTTCAGACAGAGACGAAACACATATTATGCAGACATTATCATCTCAAGAACAAACATACACAAAAGAATTGAACAGTCATCCACACCGAGCTTCTGTTGCAAGTCATATGACTGCCTCAAGTGAAGTCGAAAGCGAGACTTGGTTTGATCCTGATGAAGAATGGGCAGAACAACAACGCAAATCCATAATGTTGGGAGACTATCATCATTCACAAGAGACCAGTCAGCATGAGAATGTTGTTAGTAGTGATGCATCATCTGTTCTTTCAGACGTCTACTCTTATAAGCACTCAAGTTCAACAGATAATACAAAATTAGAGGACGATGAAGAAGATGCTTACAGTTATTATAGACAAGAAGAACGTCTTGACACGCATGATACTAAAAAGGCAGAGAGTCAAGAACAACAAAAGGCTCCTGTAAGCATTGTGACAACAGTTGACGCAACTGCTGCTGTAAAACATGAAGAGGAAGAAGACGATTATTATTCAACACGATTGCATACGGAAGCAGCAAAAATTCAAATTTATACTAACAATGAGTTACCTATTGCAAGCAAAGAAAGAGGCCAAAGTAGTTATTATCATGGCCCTACAGATGAAGGAAATCAAGAAGAAGGTGAAATTGTTGTTTTTATGGACCAATCGCATCAACAACCAGAGATTCCTCCATCATCAAGCATGAACAACCTAGTGGATTATAATAGTCTTGGTGCACATCATTTGGCATCTATGTCTACTGCCTCTTTGGTATCACAGCAAGGTCAATATTTATCTGTGAAGAGAGAAGATGGCACAGATGAACCCTCGCTTATTAAGGTGCCTACTCGCACTGTACCTATTGCTGATGCAAGTAAAGAACAAGAGTATGTTCCTCATGATCCCAATCATCCTCGAGTAGAAGATATCTCACACTACATGAACACATTGCCTACATTAAACAAAACGGGAAATGAAATTACCGGTAGTTCAGCCTTTGATACAACAGAAAAAGAACATAACAATATGGTCAGACGTGCTGTTAGTTCAGTCTTACTCAATCCAGCTGAGCCTTCTGTGGTAGAAGACAGTCGAGGTATTCCTAATGCACACGAAATGAATTTGATGCTTCCTCCAGCTTCTGTGGCTGCAGATCGTACAAGCGTGGTTGTGACCGAATCAAAATCATCTATTGAAGTATCTCAATATGGCAAGTTGTACATTGGTGTCAGTGGCGCGCACAATGTGCTACTTCCCTTACCTAAGGAAATCACTTATGTCCGCTGTGTCATTAGTGATGGTGAATACGAATATATGTCTCGCTATGAAATCCTTGGTCCTCAAATCTTGATGGACTATGAGTGTTGTATTGATGTACGTCCTGGTATGATTATCACTGTCTCATTACTTGTGCGCCCTGATTTCCATGTGAAACCAAAGACGGGCTGGACCCGGTTCTTTACTTCCATTCGAAAACAAAAGGAACATTTATCAGGTTATGTTCACCCTGAAGATGGTGCTATTGGCCAAACTCGATTTGCAGTAGACCATATGGTGCCTGGTTGTTACAAAAAGACATATGAAGCGTATTTTGATTGTTTTAATTCATGGTATGCAAGAACAAACCGAGAAAGAGCAAGACGGGAACAATTTGGGGACGAGGAAGATTTCTTGAAGATTATTGGCAAATTAAATGTCGAAATGCTTTATTTACCTGTCTCCAGCCCTAACGTGGTAAGTTTATCTAAATGCGCTGTTTTCTTCATACCTGTATTGAGCCATTTTGTACAAAAATAGCAAGTGCCAAGAAGTCTAAGAGAATGTGATTTGACGCTCAAGATTAGACAATGGCATGATACATGCTGGCAGAGTGGTTATTTGTCTACCCGGTGCCAAGGGAAGAAAGTAAGTCTAATGTACCACAAGTAGTTAATTTATACTTACATTTATATATAAATTATACAGATATGGGAACGCCACTTCTATCGCTTAATTGGCAGTCAACTTATAGGTTATGAACAAACAAAAGAAAGCATATGGGATCACTACAATATTGCAGATGTAATTCGACTAAGCGCAGCTGCTGATAAAGTACTTGTGACACTTGTGGAAGAAGATGCAAAAGTATTCGCAGATGATACTATCCATTCTCATCCTCAAAAGGGGTTCTTTCGACTTCAGTTCCCTAATTATTACCTGGATTGTGTTAGTGACAACTTGGAAGAAAGTGAAGAATGGGTTAAGACGCTAAAATCAATGATTGGGAGAGTGCCTCTAAGATTACCATTTACAGACGAACAGCTTTAAGGGATCGCCAAATCGGATAGACCTTGGTGCACGCATTTTTTAATTTGCCAATAATTCAACTTTATTTCTATATTAAACTTATTGATACATTTGCTTCAAATCTCAAGTATTAGAAGCCCGCTTGGGTTCAATGCTATATAAACCTCTGTCTCTGTGTTTCTCTTTCCTTTCCTTTTTTCTATCTATACAATATGAACAAGAGATATTATATGATTATATTGACAACAGCAGTAATTTCTGTGCTAGTATTTATCGTTTATCCATCTCTTAAACTATCGAATTATGCCAAATCTATTTCTTATCAAAAGGACAATCCTTTTAATCAACTATTTCAGAAAAAGAAGGCATTTGCTACTATTGTTCAGGATCAAAGCATGGTAAGTTTCTTTCAGGGATTTCTTATTACTAAAATATGATGATAGATTGAACCTGCATTGGTCTCTATTTATTCTTTAAATCAATCTTCTTCAACATCAGATATTATTGTAGTATTACCAGATACATTAGAATTGCCAAAAAATCAAATTCAACAATTCGAAAAACTTGGTGCAAAAGTTGTCAAGGTAAATAGAGAGAGAACAAAGAACTGTAACACTTATTGTATGTAGGTCAGGGCAATGCATACCACGAGTCCTTTAGTTGTTCAGTTATGGGCATTATTAGAATACCAAAAAATAATTTATTTTACACCAGAGATAGTGTTCAAGAAAGTAATGTCATCATTATGATATTCTAAACTTATTCGGATTTTTAATAATGATTAGGAGATAGATCAGTTGTTCAGCTATCCAGCAGGATCTGCCTTGACAGCCAATGAAAATGCACCGATGTTTATTCTTGAACCAAATCCTCAAATCTTTGAACGACTGCTCCGAGACTATAGAAAGACGTCTCATGTATTCAACTTGCTCGACCAAACCTATTTTCGTCCTATGATTGAGCAAGACGTAAAACAGGTAAAGTACTATAAATAATTCAGACTGATAAACAAATCTTTATCAGATGATAACAATGTATTCTGGACACATGAAACCATGGAACTTTTATGGTTATAGTGATGTGGACTGGAAAAAGCATTATGACCCTGTTTCTTTCTATAAATGGCGTCGATTAAATATCGATATGAAGCATGCCTTGAATCCTACTGAGGGTAAGGGTTACACAAAAATATATGATTTGTTAAATTAGCATGATAGGATCGACATGGAAAAATGCCAAGCGACAACAAAATGTATGTGATGCTTTTCTTGAAGCCACTTTTTCGAATTCCAATTCTTTTCCGATTCAAGATCAATTCTCGGTCCTTATTAGCACCTATAACCCAGAACGTATTGAACACCTTTCATTACTTATTCAACATTTGCTCAAATCAAGCAAAATACACACCGTCTTTATTACTTGGCATAATCCCGCCTTGAAGGTGCCTAGTTCACTTTTCAATCATATTTCTGAACAAGATCGAGTGGTTATCTTGTCTCAAACGTTTGATTCTCTTAACAATCGATTTAACCCTATTCCAGAACTTCAAACAGAAGCAGCTTACATTATGGACGATGATATCTTTATTGACCTAGAAGATTTGGAATTTACCTTTCATGTAAGTAAACATCATCCAAAAAAAAAATTAACTCTGTGGGTTGTCTCTCTAGGCCTGGCAATCAAGAAAAGACAGTATTGTGGGCCATTTTCCTCGTCGTCATGACTATCATCCTGATACTCTACAAGCTTCTTATGAAATCAATCGAGACCCGCCTTACAGTATTATTCTAACCAAGAGTATGTTTATTCGATCTGATTACTTGTTTGCCTATACCTGGTAAGTTGCATATATTGTATTTAAATATGCTTTATTAATCCCTTTGATAATAACCAGTCTCCTCGAACCTAAATTGCACCAAGTCATTGACGATCAATTGAATTGTGAAGACTTGGGATTTGCCATGATGGCCTCTGGCATCACCAGCGTTGCGCCAACGTATGTCAAGACAAAAAACCCTATTCATGATTTTGGCCTATCAAAGGGCATCAGTACAAATTCAGCCCATATGCCTGCACGAAGAAAATGTATATCTGACTTTATTACTCAATTTTGGCACAAGCGTGATCCTTTAGTTTATGCTTATGGTGCTGTGGCACCTTTTGCCCGACCTCAAACCACAAAGGGTAATTGGAAAGTCGTTGAAAAAGTAGTAAAGAGTGAGAAATCCACTTGATTTGTATTATACGTCATAAAAGAATAAAAAGTCTTTTTGCTTTAGTTGCCTAATTTAGTACATTTTAAAAAGGGAAGGGGGTGGTTTATGAAAAAAAAAAAGACAGATTTTTTTATTATTTTCTTTTTCTTTTCTATAAACAAAGGAAAAAAAAATGGCACCTGCTGCTAGTAAAGTTGCTGCACCTTCAAGTACTCTTGATAACATTAAAAAGTCTTTGGAAGACAAAGACTGGAAGTTTTATTGCGCTGTCGCTGCTGGTTTGACCCTTGCAGGTGCTGGTGCTTATTATATTACTTCTGGAAGCAAGAAGGGCAAGAAGAAGCCTGAAGCTAAAAAGGAAGCCGAAGGTAAGCCAATAACTTGTCGACTCGAGTTTAATTCGCGTTATTTAAGCCAAGAGAAGTGTCGAAAGTACTACTACTAAGACAACAACTACTTCTTCAGAAAACTCAACTGTAACCCCTGTTGAAAAGACTACTACGACTACCACGACCACTACGACTACGACGCTTGATTATGCTACCTTGTCTGACGAAGAAATTGCTGCCTTGACAGCCGAAGTAAGACATATCCATCTGTAGTTGTTATCTAATCTATTCGTAGCAACGTATTGAAGCTGCTCAGTCCCTCAAGACCAAAGGCAACGCCAAATTTAGTAGCAAGGCTTATGAAGAAGCTGCTGAATTATATACATTGGCTCTTAAATACAAGGCTGACCCCATCTTTTACTCTAACCGTGCTGCTTGTTATGCTAATTTGAATTTAAACGATCGAGTTATTGAAGACTGTAATCAAGCTCTTTCTTTAGATCCTGTCTATGTCAAGGCTTTGAATAGACGTGCTCATGCTTTAGAAAAGAAGGGTGATTTAGAAAATGCTCTTTATGGTAAGTTGATCATAAGAAGCAAGTGAGATTGAATCTTGTTTCATAGACTTTACTTGTGTTTGTATTCTTGATGCTTTCAAGAACGATGCTGCTAGCAAGGCTATGGAGCGCGTTTTGAAGCAAGTATCTGAAAACAGAGCCAAGGAAATCATGAAGGTAAAGAAAAAAAGCATGGGCAATGATTTTTAAAACAAAATCGATAGACAAAGAAGCCTCGTTTGCCTTCTCCTACTTTTGTCAGTGCTTATCTCGATTCTTTCCGTCCTGGTAAGAGAAGTAATTGTATACAAAGCCAATTAACACTTGTTGTCTAGTTGTTCAAGATTTAGCTAGTATTCCTGACGATGAATCTGGTGATGCTTACTATGCAAAGGCTTACCGTGCCATTGCTGAAAAAGATTACAATGGTGCTTTAGAAGCTTGTGAAAAGGCCGTTGAATTGGGCTGTTCTCGTACTTACCAAGCTTATGCTTTGAACTTGATGGGTACTTTTGCTTTCTTGAAGGGTAACACTGCTGAAGCTTTGACTTGGTTCAACAAGGCTATTGAAGCCGATCCCAAGTATGTTCAGAGTTACATCAAGCGTTCTAGCATTTACATGGAACAAGGTAACATGTCTATTTGATGGTATAGTTGTCCTTTATTAACATCTTAAATAAGGTGATGTTGAAGCTACTTACAAGCAATTCGAGGAAGCTGTCACCATTAATCCCAGTGACCCCGATATTTATTACCACAGAGGTCAAGTCAACTACATCAGTGGTAATTACGATGCCGCTGCTAAGGATTATAGCGAAAGCATCAAATTGGACGATTCATTTGTTTATGCTCACATCCAATTGGGTGTTGTTCAATACAAGCTTGGTTCTATCTCCTCTTCTATGTCTACTTTCAACAACACTTTGAAGAAATTTGCCAACAGTACTGATGTTCACAACTATTATGGTGAACTGTTGGTTGATCAACAAAAGTTACCTGAAGCCATTGATATGTTTGGTAAGGCCATGACATTGGATCCCAAGAACCCCTTACCTTATATCAACAAGGCCATGTTGATGTACCAAGTTATGGGCAACATTGAAGAAGCCACCAAGTTGTGCCAAAGTGCTTTGGAAGTCGATCCTGCTTGTGATGCTGCTGTTGCTTCTCTTGCTCAGATTTTATTGGAACAAGGCAAGCCTGAAGAAGCTCTCAAGTATTATGAAATGGCCATTGATTTGGCTAGAACAGAGGCTGAATTGGAACATGCTATTTCTTATGTTGAAGCTACCAAGACTCAAACTCGTTTTGCCAAAGATTTTCCTGATGCTGCTGCCAAATTGAAGGCATTAAGAGGTTAATATCCCCCTTTCTTTTTTTTTGTTATTAGAAAAAGTGTATCATATTATAAATAAATAAACAAATTTCCGCTTGCTTATGTTTAAAATGTATCGACTTTATTGTGTGTGATTTAGACCTTGAAACCACGAGAAGAACGCTTACCACGAGCACGTTCAAACTTACGACCCTTGGAACGAACGTAGGGCTTCTTGTTCTTGTGAGGACCGAAACCGAAGTGCTTGACGGCTTCACGGCTGTTCTTGGCACCACGAATCAAGATGGTGTTGGCACCAGTAGGGGCACGGAGAGCCAATTGATCCAAAGTCAAGACTTCACCACCAGCCTTCAAAATACGAGCCTTGGCAGTCTTGGAGAAGTGAAGAGCAGCAACAGAGAGCTTGGGGAGGTCGAGAAGACGAGAGTCATCGGTGACACGGCCAACAACGACGATAGTCTTACCTTCCTTGTTGTTCTTGACGAGACGAGAGACAGTAACGGGAGGACGGTTGATACGAGACATAAAAAGACGCTTCAAGACAACCTTGTTGAAGTTAGCATCAGTACGACGAGCAAGGAAACGGTAAAGCTAATCATGATCAGTCTATAAGCATATTTTATTCGGATCTTACCTTGACGAGCAAAGCCAAGTAGACGTTGTCAGATTTGGGAGCAGAACGGTTGGAGTTCTTGACGTGATGGTTCTTAAGATCGATACCCTATAATGAATCAATCATTAGACCATGTCATGTCATGTTGAATGCGCGTTCTCTCTCTTTTTTTTTTTTGTCTATCTGGTTCTCTATCCATCCATTATCCATCCATTATCCATCCATTTCAACATCTATATGTAATCCTTTTCTCTCCCGCCCTTCCCTTTTTCTTTTTATTGTGAATGATATTTTACCATTTTTAAATATGTAGCAACCGGTCGTTAGGCTGTGTCCAAGAAGAGAGGAATCTTTAAACAGTTTTGCAAAATTCAATGACCCTTCTACGCCACTGAGCATTGGGCAGTGAAGCTGCACGCACATTACACGCACACATCCCTGCGCACTGGACGCCATTCCGACTCGAATAAGAGCGATTCGGACTCTTGTGCTGGATATTCTATTTGGTTTCCGCATATCCTGCCCATGCCTATCACAAGCCTATGGGCCCCATAGAGAATGGAATATTTATGCATGCTAAAAAGGGAGCATATGTATGCACACCTATTTTGATTGACAAGCATAAATAAGAAGCAATGTATATCAAAGACAATGAACTATCTTTGTCTTTAAGGATGTAAGCCAGTCACCAGCTTGTTCATATTTGTAGCCTTGAAAAATAAAACTGTCTTTTTTTTTTCTTTCTTTCTTTTGTGCGTGTACCTTGTCATATGTCTATCCTTCGTTCTATTGCTACACGCACTATGCGCAACAGTGTTTGCTTGCATAGACGTGCTTATACGACTACCAGTACAGTGTAAGCCTTTTCTATCGTCTTATAGATACTAATGACCGAAAAGACAAGATCCCCGAGTTGAATTACTCGAAGCTACTTTACCTTTTGTCAAACAATATGGCTGGACTATGGAGAGTATGATGCGAGGTGCTCGTAGTTTAGGTTACCCTTCTGTTGCCCATGGTATCTTTTCTGGTGGAGAAGCAGGTTTGATTGATGTCCATTTGGCTGTCCAAAGAGAGACATTTGTTGATATGATAAAGGAAAAGGAAGAAAAGGGCGAACTGGAAGGGTAAATAGTCAAGTACATTGTTGTATGCATAGGTGCTTATATGGCTATAGATTAATGATGAATGAAAAGATCAAGTTGCTTACCTGTATGCGTTTGGAATTAAACAAGCCTTATATTCGTCAATGGCCTGAAGCACTTGCTATTATGGCACATCCTGCTCATGTCCCCATGTCTCTTAAGCATTTGGGTGATATTGTGGATGATATTTGGTATTATGCAGGTGACAGAAGTCCTGATGTAAGGTGATATATAAACTTCATAAGCATAGACTGATCTATGTGCTGTTTTAGTTTCACTGGTATACCAAGCGTGCATCTTTAGCTGCAGTCTATAGTGCAACAGATATTTTCATGACACAGGATTTAAGTCCAAACTACATTGAAACAGAACGCTTCTTGTCAAGAAAACTGGATCAAGTAGATTCAATTGAATCTTCTGCACGCCAAGTAAGTCACTTTAAGAATAACACAATCCATTCATTTTTTTTTAGTTAAGTACAATGTTGGAATTTGGTGCTAAAAGTATGTTAAGCGCATTGGCTAATGTAAGTTATTTATATATGAATTATACAGTCAACTTATTTATATATAGCGTGGAGGTCGATTTTAATAAATTATATATATTATATACAAACAAATATGCAAAAGAGGGAGGGGGGAGGGTATCAAACAAGCATATCATAGTAGTATTTTGTACAAGCCTTGGAAACGAACCATTCTGTTGTATGATCCAGTGTGTTGTCTATAAATGATTTTGAAGTGGTAGGTGAAATACCAACCCAACTCATCATACGGCAGACACGGTTGATTTCAGGTCGTTCTTTAGCTGCATCCACTGCTTTTCTCAGCATGTGTTCAGATAAGAGAATCAGTGACTTTGTGTCATAGTGCCATAAACACCACAAGGTTTGAATGACGACCATTAAACTGGTGGCCAAATGCTGGGCAATCAAAGTCATACCATGTTCTAATGCATACCAAAACTTTTGCTGAATGTGTGTCACCCTTTCTAGGTAATAAGAATGAGTCTGTATCACCGCATTATCTTGGTCACTATCAGGTCGGATTAAGCAGAGTATTTTGCCATCTTCAATGGCCATCACTGTGAATGCAGACCAAGGAGGAGGGTCTTGAATCGTCAATCTGACTTGAAAATGAACCAGTTGGTTGTATTTTGTGGCCTGGCTTAGACCAGCACAAAATGTCTGGACATCATCTGGATGAATGTACCGCATTATCGGCTGACCTATACTGAGACTATCTTGCCCAGGTTGAAACAGGCCATCAATGGTACCATACATGGTAAGGCGAGAAATGATCAGACCTTCCATTGGTTGTTGGTAGTGGTATATCTGACTGAGCTGACTGATATCTGAGCAAAGAATAATACGCATCGCCTGTTCTTGATGTGTACAAATACAGAGTGTTCTTTTATCTTTTAAGGTCACTACCTGCTCTTGTTGTTGTTCTGTTGAAGATAAAGTCCAAATATCAAATATATTTTGGTTGACAAGTGATTGACCATGAAATAAGTCTGTCATTTCTTGAGAGGCAAAAGTAATGATATCTTCATGATTGACTTTGATTAAAGCCATTGTTCGTAAGGGACAATTTGAAATTGAATGCATCATGTATAAATAATAATAACAATAAAAATAAAAATAAAAAAGAAAAAAGAATAGATATATATGCTTATATATTTTTTTCCTAATGTTATTTTATTCAGTGTCACGGGGGGGGGGATTTTTTTTTTTTGCAAATGTGGGGGAGAAAACTCGATTTAAACAAAGCGAAACATCACTTGTCTATATATAAAGTTAGCAAAAGAAATGAAATAGATACTTACCATAAAATTCTTGAGGTGGATATGAATAATAAGAAGGTGAATAGGCATAATAGACCATCACAGGATAAGGATCAAGGTAATAGTTCTCGTTGTCTGGGTTTAAATAGGTTAAGATGAATGACGTTTTGTATGACTTCACTTGCCTTTTGTTTGAGAGGGGTTGTTCTGCTGATGAAATGAATGATCAGCACTTGTTTGCATAAAATTTACCGATTGATCCATAAACTTTGGTGGACAATAATAAGGCTTGGAATTTGTTTGGTATTGTCTATAACAGACTCTTAATGTCTTGTCTTTGTAAATACTGCCATTCTGTTCTGTTCTTCAGTCTTATGTTCAAATCTAGCTTTTCTTACCTGATGATCAATGGCTTGAGAGGATTCTTTTTCATGTTGATATTTAATAAAAGCAAACACTTTCTTTTCTCGGTGACGATAATTAGGTTTCTGTATCAAATGAAGGTCAATGATGCTACCATGTTGACCAAATATAGTATGGAGCTCTTCTTTTGTGACAGATTCAGGCAGATTACCAACAAAGATACTCAGTTTATCTAACTGACAGGTATTGCCACAGATGCCATACAGGTTATCTGTATCCATATTAGAAGCCCATTCAACAAACCACCTCTGATGTTTGTTTATTTGCTGATAGTCAGAGAATTTTAAAGTCTAATAGGATTAAGAAACACATATTGATTAGAGGGTGTAGTTCTTTTACCAAATAAGCTTTGATAGCATCTTCTCTGTACTTGTATTTGATAACAATCGAATGAAATTTACCATGCGGCTGTAAGATGGTCATATCTTCAATGTCACCGAAGGCCGATAAAGTAGATTGAATATACTAACCATAGTGTCAGCATGGCATGGCTAAGCAAGGAATAGTTACCTGTTTATGGAATGGTTGATTGAATGAGACTAGACAGATTGAGCGATTGACTCGAGCAGGTTCACAGCGAATACTTCTTCCATTCAGTATAGTGCCTGGTGCTTCTTTAATCGCTTTTTTTGAGTCTTGAACAGACTAAATATGATTTAGACAATTCATAACACAATATATCGCTTACCTCATATTGAACAAAGGCATAAGGTCTTTTTAACCAATCCTTTAAGACTTTGACACTTGATAAAGGACCCCACTGTAAAAAATGATTATACACACTGGTATGCAAGTCTTCATCTGACAATTCCTTGTTTAAACTATATATACTGTGAATAATAGCTATAAAGACCATCTTTACTACCTTGCCACAAAGACGCAGGCAGCAGGGTTCTCTTTCTTTTTTTCTTGACCTGTTTGGAATGATAAATAACACTCAAATCATCAAAATGAGTCACCCTACTTTGATTATTCGCTTGTTCAAAGTGTGTTTGATCTATAAAAGACATTGTTTCTTTGAATAACAGAAGAGAAGAAAGAGTCCCTCTTTTTTTTTACACTGTAATTATACGCTTCATTGTTTGATATATTGATCCAGAAAAGCTTCTATCGTGTTTATCTTTTTTTTTATGCTGAGAATCAAAAAGTTATCTACGTTGTCGAAATTCTTTTTTTTTTCTTTCTTTCTTTAATACTATGGAGAAAAGAGAGCTGCCTACTAGGCATAACTTTCTAACAGAATCAATAAAAAACTTACTTGAACCAAGTACTTGTTGTTTTCTTTTTTTTTTTTGCTTTTTTTAGTTTCGTTTTTATTTTATTTTAACTCTTTTTTTTTATCTATAGAAACCACACATACTGAACCACTTATCAATGGCAAGTCTATCATCACAGTCACTTCAAATAACAAAACATTAAAAAAATATCACTACCACGCACCATCTGTCCCAGATCAGCCTTGTCTGATTGAACACACACCTCAAGTGAGACTAATAGAGCCGATCGCACGAAAGAAGCAACTCAATAATGAAGTGATACCAGACGAATACTATCTAAAAAGGCACCGAAAACACGAAATGGACGAAAAAAAGCAAAAGAACCGAGAAAAAGAACGACTAAAACACGGCTACTATCAACAAAAGCAGCTGGTGGAACGTATCAAGACGTTGGACAAGAGTTTGTTGCAGTCAATTGTGTCTTCGATTCGACATCGTACACATCAAAAAGAAAATATGCTAGAAGAAGAACTAGACGAGCTACATCATCGATTGTTGGTAGAGGCCCTGGAGCACCTAAGACGGTATGAAGTCTTGGGATTATGTAATCAAAAAGACGCACAGATAGAAGACACCCTTATTCATAAACCATTAGAGACAAAAAAGACACATTCAATCAAATCATTTTCAAATCATACAGATACAGGCTCAAGGCGTTCTACGCGCCGTATTTTGGCTTTTGGACAGAAACTGCCTGATTTTGAACCACAAGAGTTTCATTTACCAGATGACATTTTACAAAAGAAATAAACATCACTTTATTAAGACAAAAGAGGTGTCGTTTCTCCCATCACATTGGATTTAACACTTGAAAAGACACCATTAAAGACAAAGACGCCAAATACAAGTACAGAGAAACCAACAAGTTCAATCCAAGAGAAAGAATCCCAGTTATAGTGAACAGCAATGACCCAAGTCAAAATGGTTCTAGATAGTTTGTTAGTATCCTATACTTTCTGTATAAAAACCTTACCTTAAAGTATCAATGAGACTACGACCAGGTACACCAATGCTAGTGCTCACTGCCAAGCCAAAGAAGTTAAAGATAGCCACCATCAACGCCAACAAAAGAGAAGTTTGCCAAAGAATAGATGTATGAATCACATCTTGAATACCTTGTGTGATATCAAATGAACCATGACCAAAGAAGCAAGTAATAGCCAAAGCACCACTGAGTAGCAGAGTGCCAAAGATACCTTCAATTCCCATAGCACGAACAGGATCCAAATGATAACGATCCATCAAATATTCTTCCAGAATGAACTGACCTGCCACAAAGAGTTGGGCAACCACTAACAAAACGGGGCCTAAATAGCCTTGTTCTCCGTAGATACACGATCCGACAATGACGGTCGTACCTAACAAAATAAAAGCGATTGAAACCCATTCTTTACGTAAGAATTTACGGGATAAGAAGAGACAACTGAAAATAGCAGAGAAACCAACAATACTGCTCTTCATCATTTGATAGATAGAGGGCGTTGTATAGATCAAACCCAAGTTCATAAGCTAATATATACATGATGAATATCTGTATCTATTTTTTTTTCTTTGGCTTACTGTAGTAGCAATCAAGTCACATGCACTAGGCAGGATAAACCAAGCGGCAGACCAAGACCAAGTGGAAGTACGTGGAGCAGCCCATTCATTATAGTCACCATAACTGTTGTTATTGACAGCATCACGCATAGATCGATCAAACATAGAAGGTTTGTTGGTAATCAAATGAATCACAAGAATACATAGGACTTCACCCAAGAAAATCATACTTGTTTGAAGCAAAGGTTGACTGAAATAATAAAATTCATCGTTATCATGATAGATCTTCTGGTTATCTTGGAATGATAATATCAAAGGTATAGAGACACCTACTCTTTACGCGTTAATATAACATTTCTATAAAAAGAAACAAACTTGCCTGATAGTAACAAGCCCAAGGTTAAAAATGAAGTATAAACCGCAGACATGGTTGTTTGAAGAAAAAAAAGAAAAAAAGAGAAAAAAAAGAGGGCCGAGAATTACACTCTTTCCAAAAAGCATAATAATGCAATACTGCCAATTAAATATTAAGATTTCTGTTTGTCGTACAAACAACAACTTGAAACGCTCTCATTCCCTTGTTTGAATTTCCTTTTTATCCCAAGTTCCTTTGGAGTTCCATATCTTTACTCGAAACCGAGAAAATTATATAGATATATGCAAGCTTATTATTTAAATAGAAAAAAGTGGCGTGTGAAGAGCAAGGTTTATTTTTATTTTAAGGAGGTAGGAGGGCTAATTTTTTTTTGCGCCTCTTTCTTTTTTTTTTCTCCTTCTTTCTCTTACTCTGCATATACACTCTTTCTCTAGAAAGCAAACTTGCTCTTGTTGAAAAGTAAATATAGCCAATGACGAGAACAGAATTCATGCTGTACAACAAATAAATTCGCCTTGATGGAAAACGATTTCATCAGATGGCAAGAACAAAATTCATGTTGTACGAAATATGTAAGTGCACACCAAATGTTTGTCTTCTTTTTGTCTCTCTTCTGTAGAAACAGACATGGATTTTACGACCAACTGCACCTTTCCTGAAGAAATATGCATTTCATATTCATTTGAACCGTAGTATGGCATGGTCAAAGAAAGGGTTCCCTGCTATAGGCCCAAGGTCCGATTAAATGTAGTCTAAAGTTTCCTCAGCCTCCACTCAATAAAAAGAGAAGACGTTGGATAAGTGAACAAAGGGACAGTTGAGAGACACTATATCAGTTTTCTAAAAAGCCACAATGGATCAAATGAACCAGTATCCACATATGAAAGGCCATTACCTCCTGATAGACAGTGCTCCAATCCATACATTCGTTGATATATATATCAAATCTTTTGAACTCATTCCAATTGAGTAGTCTTGGTCAGTAGTTAAGAGTAAAGTAAAATATAACAAGTTTCTGAAAACTGAAGCACTTATGATAAGGATCAGCGAGGCTTCGAATCGCTTGAAGTTTTTGTTAGGTGTTCCCACAAATGCTTGGACATTTTGGAGATCAAGCTGTTGTTTGTACAACAGAAATCATGATATTTAATTGGCAGTATTGCATTATTATGCAAGTCCTTTTTTTATATGTCATAGTTCTTTTTCATTTTATTTTATTATTATTCAATTTGAATACAATTTACACAATTTAGATGTTGGAAGGGTAGAGCATCTATGAGATTCATGAGTAAATCTTTGCCTTTTTTCTTTTTATCCTATTGTACTTACAACACGGACGGAAGCACCGAAAACCTTAGGGGGCAAGTTCTTGCGGAAACGAGCCTTGACAACACCGTTAGTACCGTGAGTACGAGCAATACGGCCCCAGATAACACGGATCTTGGAACCGTTGATTTCACGTTGAGCACGGTAAACGTAGGCAACACGCTTACCGAGGTAGAATTGAGCATCCTTGGTGGTTTGGACACCTTCAACTTGAATGAGAGAGGTGTTGGGGTTTTGGTTACGCTTAGCACGTTCGAAACCCAAAACACGGCCCTTGCTGTAAAGACTATAGAGGATTCAGGTTAGCGAATTGTTTATAAGAGGCTCATGTCAGCAAATAAGAGAAAGGAAAAACAAGTTGACACCATGTTGCCTCATGTCTTCATCTTGATCTGATGCATACTCTCTCTCTTTCTTTCTTTCTGCATTCCTCTTTTCTTCTCTCATTTAACACTATGTCATTCATGTTTGATTCCAAGAGCGCTATTCATCCATAAAAATCGACTGTTCATCATACATCCATCATCCATCTTTCTCTTTCTTGCTTTACATGGCCTTTTTGATGATAGTGACATACCGGTCAGACATATTGATGAAAAGAGAGAGGGTTCTTTACGCTTCTGTGTGTGGCTTCCATCACAACAGGCCCACTGCTTGCAGCCAAATCGTCTATATACTCCGCACCAGTGTTTCGGAGTACACGTGACTCAACGGAGCTCTTTCTTCTTCTCACTGACCGGACAGCTGATGTCCAATTGTGCTTTACTGTTTTGTGCGCATAAACCAATTGATTCAATACGAGCAGTCTAAATTCTGTAAAGTATTTGCTTTACTTGCTTGGTTTAAACAAGTCAATTCTTTTTCATGACCATATGTGATTCTTGTAAAAAAAAATCAATTCTGAAAAGAGAATCATCAAAAGATAAAGACAGTCAATATCTTTATGGATACAGTCCTAAATGACCTTCGCATGTAGTCAAGAGCACCCTTGTTATATGTACTTTGAATGTTATTGTTGTTATTATTGACGCATAGAAATTGCTTATTTATGAACAACTTCAAAATGTCTATCAAATGCAAATACAAGACTAATTTTATTTAGATCATTTGAATCCTAAAGTCAAAATGCAACAAGCTTCTTTAAAAATATACTCAGCATGAGTCTTATAGAGATATATCACTAAACGAAGACAATTCATACAATAACCTAGTTTATAATACAAAATACGGTCTTTATAAGCTCATACTTATACTCATATGCACTATACAAAGGATTTATAGGGATAAATATATTCTATTTTATTTAAACTAGTAATTGTTGTCTAAAATGTCTTGTACCTTCTTGACTTTGGCATAATAGAATTGAATACCTGCCAAATAGCCTCGTTTGATATCTTCAGCCTTAATCATTTCACCATGAAGGGGTTGGTCCAAGGTGTTGACAGCTTCATCAACAACGACTACTTCAAAGCCTTCATCCTTACCAGCAAAGACAGTAGCGGGAACACAGTTGTGAATCATCATACCAACCACAACAATCTTCTCAATGCCCTTGCTCTTGAGATAATCCTTGAGACCTGTTTCCCAGAAACCATTTGAGTAGTATTTGACAATGACCTTTTCTTCGGGCAAAGGCTTGACACTTTCGTGGATTTCAGCACCAAATGAGCCAGGTACAAAGAAATTGGGAATAGGAGCGACTTCAGGCAATACATGATGAGCTACATGGACAACTTCTTTGCCATCTTTTCTGAACTTGTCGAGTACAATTCTACATTGCTCTGCTGTCTCTTCGGGCTGCCAAGTAGGGAGACTGCCATTAGGGAAATAGTCGTTTTGGATGTCAACAAGAATAAGAGCTTCCTTCATTGTTATTGTTTTCTGTAGATACAATATCTTTCGAGTTCAAAATCTTTGCTTATTTATACTGTAAACCATGATGAATAATCCAAACGGTGAAATTCATTCCGTTTTATCTGATTTGTTTGAGCATAAATTATAAATTTGATTTCAGATATCCTTTCGGGGAAATGGATCATATCACATCTGATTGGCTTGTCATTTCGCATAATTTTACTATGGGTTAATGCTTCATTCATAGTATAAAGCGCATTGTAAAGATGTCATAAAGGACGCTTTTGTTATTTTACCCTTTTTTTTGGCTCTTGTCTCTATCTTCCTTTGCTTACTTTGACAAACATTAGGTTGCAAATTTAAAATCCACGTCACCACAAAAAAAAAGAGTATTTTTCTTCTTTTTTTTTTTGTTAAAAATGACAGATACACTCGGTTATGCTTATGGTCTTACTGTAGTAACAGGTGGCGTTGTTGGTTATGTGAAAGGTATATTTGTCAAATATCTATAGGATAACTAAAAATTGGAATAGCTGGTAGTGTTGCTTCTCTTGCAGCAGGAGGTGTCTTTGGTGGTTTAGCTATTGCAGGTGCATACCAAGTCTCTCAAAACCCTCGAAATGTATTGCTATCTTTGATAGTCAGTCTTACCTTGTTATTCGTGATGGGCTCTCGTTTCTATAGAGGTAGAAAATTCATGCCAGCAGGTCTTGTTAGTCTATTAAGGTAAGAAACAGTTTATTCTATGATGACTAATAGCTATAGTCTTTTAATGGTACTTCGTTATGGTGCTCGCTTGTATAATCAATAAATATATATGCTTTATTCAAAAGTAATCTTTCCTTCATCTGTATTGATTATGATTTTACTGCCAGTAGGGGAAGTAATGTAGATAGAATTTGCCTTATTTTCAGGCGATAGATCAAGGACATGTCCAGGTGGTAAAAACATTAAAAAGTTACGAATCAGCCAAGGTTTTCCTTTAAACAGTGCCGTGACACGCTCCAAAACTTGAGGGGTATTAATCCTGTAGACTTTAAGTAAGCTGAAATACAAAGGACAACTTACTTTTCTGATCTAAAGTCTGTCATGATTTCTAAGAATTTATGATAAGTTTGAGGTGGTTCATCATTCTTGATTTGCTCTAAATATCCAACTGCATCTTTCATTTCCACAGGCTTTGCTTCAACTATTTTCTTGACAGGTTCTTTTAGATTGTCATTGCCTGTGCCACTCAAGATGGAAGATAAAATATGTTGTCTGTCTTTACCAAATAAACCTTCAATCACACGAAGCACCTAAAAGATATCCTTTTTGTATAAGCAATCATATACAATAAGTGTGTCATACTTGCCTCTTCTACATTTTTATCTTGTTTTAAAGGAATTGTCTCTATGTTGGTTTCCTTTGTTGAAGACTGATGATCACCTCGCAATACTGTTCTCACCCACATTAGTAAATGTTGAGGCACACCTTGTTTGTCTACTAGTTTTGCCCATCCTGTCAATATCAATGCTCTCTGCAAATCTTCATTTTGTGCGAATTTGGCCAAAAGAGCGCGTCTCCAAGCATCCACCTTTCGATTACTATGCCAATCCCGTTCGTGTTCTTTCGTGATGGGTAGTTTTTGACCAAGAAACTTGACGTGTGCTGCAGGCAACTGACTGGTAGGATCACCAGAGTCGAGACAGAATTTGGTATAGATATCGGGTTGATGAAAGAATTTCGTGCCTGTCAAATAATGAATCACTGAAGCCCAGGCATGGTCATCAATATGTAGTAACACAAGCTGTGCCGTTGTCTTTGTCGTGGTATCGTTGTCGAGTTTGGTATTTCGCATGTATTCGTCAGAGAGCATACGACGCCAATGAGGGTACTGAGAACAAAGGAGTTCATAACTATTGCTCATGATATCTGTCATTGGACATTGTTCGCCCGTCAAAGTACCTGGTTGTTTATTGTCTGCGTCAATAGTCAACACAAACACTGTGTCTTGTCGATAGTCTTGACTGATTCCACCATAAGGCTCGGCAACCGCATCAGGCACAGGTGAATGAAGTTCATCTTGATCATCCACTATAAATTCATTTGTAAATTCGTTTGTGAACTCATTGGCCACTGAAGTTGTTGCAGTCAAGTTGTTGCTCATATTTATTCTGGTTGACACGCAAAAAAAAAGAAAAAAAAACTTTTTTTTCTGAAAAATGTACGTCATACAAAAACCTTTTTTTTAAAAAAAAAATAACAAGCCTTTGACATATCTATTTTTTCTTAATTGATCTGTAAGAGTATGCACATAAAATACATCAGTGCAAATACAATCATAGGATTAAGGAGTAGTATTATAAATCAATGCTTTTTTTAATTCTGTGGAAAAATAAGCATGTCGTACAGTGAAGATCATTAAAATCATGCTTATGTTGTTGTCTCTGTGTTTTAAATTCGACAAAATACCACAATTTGTCATTTAATTTGTTACCATGGCAATATAAATAGTCCAAAATAAAACCCATCGCCAAGTCTTCGGACCTCTGGCACTTATTAAAATTGGAACGATACAGAGAAGATTAGCATGGCCCCTGCACAAGGATGACACTAAATCTCTGAGAAGGATGCTCTACGGAGCACGATTTTTTTATGCTTTTGTCTGTATCCGTCTCTTTTTGGCTGCCAAATAAATGCGAAAAATATATAAGAGTAACTTTATTTAGAAAATTAACAATAGCATATTTATTGATAAACACAAAAAAAGGCTTGGAAAGAAATGGAATGTATTCTGACATTGAATCTAAACTGGGTTACAAGTATTTCTTTTTTCTAGAATCATGCAAGGTCCCTCTTGTAAAACCAACAAGATAGGCTGATTGAGAAACATAACGAGAGTCAATTGAAATGAGCATATCGCTGTATAATATCAAATCTAGATCTCGATCTGATTATCTTTTTAGGATAAAATCAGATTAGCATAATTCATGACGCCGAAAATGGTTTTGATAGATCAAGAAAACAAAAATGTGTTCAAGACAGAAATGTATGACTTGACTACTATTGCAACAAGGAAAAACCAAGACTTCAAAAAGGAAGTCTTTCTTTTTCGAGTCACGATAAGTCCAATGCGTTTATGCCACTCGGTGATTAAAGTACATATATATATATTCTCATGGTTGATGACGATGATGAGGGCAACTATGCTATTTTGATTTAAATCACCGCTTTCTTGATCTTGTTGAACTAGATTTGCGTAAATACATAGCTCATTTAAGACCAGCTTTTCTTACAATGAAGACATAATAAGAAGTAAAGAAACCTTTCTCTTTAAAGAAGCAATATCCAGAACCTTGCAATAAAATGTTTTAGAATATAGATCGAATTGATGTGATACAAACTGAAAGAGTCGTAAAGAAAGAGTCCTTTCAAAAGATGATTCAGAGCAGATCATAAATCTATGTATGCTTCCAACCGCCGAAAATTTTGGGTCTTAAACTCGTGTACCAGCAATTAATTTCCACAATAAGAACGATTGCGTGGCACACATACTGTTTTTATTCATCCAATGTAAACGTAATATTGTATGGCTAAAATGAACCCGACGACGTCTTTGTCGGTCTCAATTTAATCCTAACCAATAATCAAATAGAGTCTTTGTAAAAGCATATTATTATTGATCTGAAGCAAATAGATCCTCAAACGCAGTCCCTTATTAATAATACTGACATCTTTTATTACTAAGAAGGTTATCGAAGAAAAGAAAGGAAGCAATGGATATCTCTACTTTCCCCCCTTCCCTTACTCTGTTGCTCTCTCTCTCTCTCTTTCTTTCTTTCTTTCTTTCTTTTTCTATAAACTGATTTCAATGCTATATCGTATTGATCTGGCCCTTCATTCGCAAAAAGGAAAATCCTCTTTGCTCCCTTTCATCCCCTTGTTTAATCGCCGCATGTTCTAAAAAACTTTTTCCGAAAAAAAAAGAAGACAAACAGAGCTTTCTAAGCATTCGCAATGAGCCCTGAGCATTGATAAACACTAAGCCCTTCTTTATTTACTGGGCGCGCTTTATTCAGCCGAGGGATCGAACATAGAAAGAGAGAGAAAAATAGACATCTATCTATTTCCCTGGACTCCGCTTTTGGTAAGCCATGATGAAATATGGGTGATGTTTAGCCGTAATTTCCACTAGTCGGCACTGGTTTCTTCTTACACCGGCCAATAACTATTTCGGAAAAGAGTTATACATTCAACCATATCATGGTTTGATCTGATATTTCTATAAAAACCCCAACCTGTTTTTTTTTCTTCTTCTCTTTTCTTTTTATATATCAACCATTTTTTTACGCTTGTCTATCTCCTTTCTTTCTTTTTTTTGTAATATAATTGTGTAAGTTTAATCATTGATTAGTTTGCATTGATCTTAATGATTTATAAACAGAAAATGAACATTTCAGCCTTAAACACACCTGCAACACCACCTTATGAATATAACCAAACCATGAGTGACAACACTAGCAACAACAAAAATTTATTTTTTGATCGCCAAGCTTCGCCCAGTAGCACCAATGATGAAACAGTTGTCAGCCATAGTGCTTTTCGCCGTGTTTCCCCTACCACAATGCCTTCACCACCAGAACTGTTGATTGACACATCTGAAGATGAAGAAGACAGTATGATTATTTCCCCACCTACATTATTCAATACCTCTTCTTTAAGAAAACGTAAATTAGTGCCACACCGATCACCCTCCACGATGGATCGTAAAAGCATCGTCTTTCAATTAGATGATGGCTGTACCCCCAAAATTCTTGGCGGCGGCGGCCAGCCTGGTATTCTCTGGTCACTTCGTCAACGTGTTTCAATGGCCAGACATCAGCGTAGAAAAAATAGACTTTCGGCACCTCGTCCAGAGAGACGTGCGAGACCTATGCAGATTGAGATACCCCGACCTCAATGGTTTAGAGATAATACTATTTATGATGACCTTGTCTTACCTAGACATCATGATTGGCAATCCAAGAACTCCAACGTGGTGGATGTCGAGCCTACTGCGGTGCCTGTTCTTTCTACCATCATTGCTGAGCAACCTTGGGACAAGCCAGTGAATAAAAAACCTCATACACCTCGCCGCAAGAATTCACAACATGCTTCTTCAGGCAGACCTTCTCGTGTTAAAGGACCTTGCCAGGCTTGTCATGAGACTTCTGATGGCTGCATGCGTAAAGCTTTTAATTGGCCATTCCCCACTAGCACTATTTTTAATGATAAAGGCAAACCATTTGTCTATCTCTGTAACAAATGTGGATTAAGGTAAATATATTTATAAATATTTAATAATATAATTAATTCTATTCTCTACAGATATAACAAAAGCGGTGGTTGTGTATGTCGCCATTGTCGTTGGGTTCTCTGTAAAGAAGAAAAACGTAAAGCTATGCAATTAATAGACCAAATGCGCCGTTCTCGCCCTGATGGCCGGATTGATCCTGATGAAAATATTGAAAACTTTGTATGCACTCCTAAATATTGGAATTGTGGTTGTCCCTGGAAAGTTGGATGGGTCCTTCATAGTCAACATGATGCAGAAGATGAAGAAATGATGATGGATCATCATTCTCCTTCTCTTAGTGAAGCCACACTTTAACTCATTCTTATATATGCCCTCTCCCTTTTTTTTTTTTGTTTATATGAATCACACACACTTTTTTCTATGTAGACTCTTTCTCTCTTATTTTTGTACATAGTTTTCCTCAAATAAAAAAAAACCCACTCCCCCCATGTATTTTAAATAGAAACTTAACTATTTATTTTTTTTGTTGAATAAAAAGGAAATCAAAGAAAATTAAACACAATTTATTTTTAGTCTTTGATTCTGCCAAGGATTTCTATTCACTCACGTATCTTGTACACTTTATATTGGGATCAAGGTTTTTTTTCGAAATTCGGTCTCTTAATCCTTGCGAGTGTCACATTGAAAGAAAAAGCAGCACGTGGAAGTGCCGGGTTTTTTATTATATATATCCTCCCTCAGGGTAACTTGTTGCTGTAAAAAGCTGAATATTGACTGAAAACAACATTGTGTGAGAAATAATCCTTGTTATGAAAAAAGACGCTAATTATATCATGATATCAATTAAAAAAATATGGCCCGGCAGAACTATATTCATTTCAAGATCAGCCTATATTCTTTGATCGCCACTAAAGATTACCCATATTTTCGAAAAAAACATGCTTTCTGCATTTGAATTTATTAAGCCTTGTTGATTTTGACAGTAACAGGTCCTTGAATACCAGAGATAACAAGTAGTTTATCACCACTAGAAGCATCCTCTGTTTGTTCAGAAGCAGTTCCGGTAAGAGACACCTTGAATCCAGAAGGGTACATCTTTCTAGAGATCAACCAGCTGCAGTTACCTACACCATCCAAACTAGCCGCATATTCTTTCTTTGCATGTTCAAAACTTTCGGATTTAAACTCAGCAGAACACTCCACAGATGTAGGTGCATAGCCATGTTCCTGAATATACTTGACGACCGAACCAGCACAGAGAGGCACCTGTTGTTGGATGCTCTTAAGAAAAGAAGAAGGAATAGAACCAGCTAAATCAACTTGCGTGATATAGGTAATAGCAACACCAACTTCTGTCTTGACAATCTTCCAGCCGGAAATCATCAAATTAGCACGAACACAGCCAGACACAGGAGGAATCAAAACATCTTGGACTGAAGTCATGACAATATAGCATTCATCTTCAGAGATTTCACGGTAAGAAGTAGCAGCCATGTCACGAGGACTGACAGGCCAAGGTGCCTTGAGCTTGACCCAAAACAAAGCTTCGTATCGGCCATACATGGCTTTGATTTCAGATGTATCGTATTTCTCATCCCCTATACATTACATGAGTATATAACGCGTACCATACGATTGGCTTACAGATCTTTCTACAGCCTGGTAAAGTAGCTACAGTAGCTACTTGCTGAGGTGTATAGGTATGACCCTCAAGCACAGTCTCACCACGAACAATGGCCACAGGACTTGTGTCGACTGTCTTGTTGTATAACTTGACGCAATCCTTTTCTTGAGATAAATGCCAACCATCCAAGTTATCAGCATATTCTTTCAAGAGAGCCATAGCCTTTCTGGCGGTTTCAGAATGGGGACTAGTAACGGTCATTTTGTTATAAAAAAAAAAAAAAAGTAGAAAAAAATGTCTGTTTTACTATGAGTCTTTAAATACTCTATCGTTTGTGTTACTCTATGTTAATGCGGGGTAGGTCTATCAACACCAATCAAGGTCTTGTTTGCATGTGAAAACAGATAAAAACAATCACTTTTTCTTGTTGAAAAGTAGATAGAGATCATTTTATCATCACTGCCATACACATACAGGTCTTAGTTTTTTCCTCAATATTTTATTGATGTGAAAAAAAGCCTTTCACATGTCAATAATGGTCATTTTTTTCATGGGAAATATCAGTTTATTAATAAGATAGAAAGGGAGGGGGGTATTACAATGTCGTTTGTTGCTGAATGATCTGTGGTTCTTCACACATGATATCGTTCTTTATATTGACTGAAGCAACAGGGTTAACAGGAGTAGTAGGTGAACCAAAGGTATTCCAGATTCTTGAATAAACACTTGACCTTTTGCTGTTATAATTACTACTGTTCATGGATGTCAAGGAAGTAACAGAAGAAGCATAACTTTCAGTGGAACCTCTACGTTCACGTGGTGAAGTTGGTGTACTCATTCGATTGGCCAACATGGATAACGATGCAGCAGAACTTCGCTTGTTATAAACAGAAGCACGGCGTTGTTGCTGCATAGAGCCTCGAGGACTCATTGTACTGCCAGATTCAAGTTCGGCCAATTTGACCTTGGTCTCTGCTAGATATTTCTCTAGTTCACGACAACGCAATTCGCTTTCTACAAATTTAGTCTTGTACTCATCTTCGTTCTTGAGACCCAATTGAAGCGTATGGCGTCGGTTTTGTTCTTTGGCGGACGATTTGTTCTCGCCAAACAAGATGGAGTGAGCTGCAAACACTTCTTCCGTAAAAGTACCTCGAGGCATAAAGAAGGCTTTTTTCTCTTCTTCCAGGTCCTTGATGGTTTGTTCTAATCGTTCTATGTCTTTAGCTAATGCCAATTTCTCAAGTTGCAATTCAGCAGCTGTCTTTTTGGCTACCATAGCAACTTCAAGCACTTCTTCTTGGTCTTGCAAGATTTGGTCTCGTTCTGCTTGGACATCGTCCAATTCGCTTTCAAGGTAAATGATCTTTTGAACAAGTGCGTTTTGAGATTCTTGCATTGACTGGATCTGTGCAGTCAATTGTTCACAGTGATGGTAAAGGGTTTCATAACGTTGCTTGGTCTCAAAATGATCTAACTTGATGGCCACTAGTTCAGAAGTGACATTTTGTAAAGCTGTATCGAGCTTCTTTCGATCGGCTTGTTGTTGTAGCTCTTCTAATAATTGGGTCTGTGCTAACTGGGCCGTCTTGGGTTCTTCAGCTGGAGGTACTGTCAAGGCACCCGCAATCAAGGCACCAAAATCACCCGTATCACGCAAAGAAGCAACAAACGAATGGTATTGATCCTGGCGTTTTTCTGGTGTCTTTTCTGTTGTAGGAGGAAGAGCAGGCACAGCATGTGTATCATCACTTTCTGAAGTCGTACTTGCATTCGCTAACTTGACCTTGTATTTCTTGACTCGCTTTTCAAGCACTGCATTGCGTTTAGCGAGTTTCGACTGAGCAGCTTCTTGGTCCATTTCACGCATACGAAGTGTCATGTTGTTCTGTGCAAGTGCAGCATGTTCCTTTTGGAGCTGAGACATGGCTGTGACTAAATCTTCAATCTGTTGTTGTAGCTTGGGAACAGTCGTTTGAGCCGACATGATCATCCTTTTCGAAAGTGCTGTGAGGTTCTTTTTTTCTTTTTGGTCGAGGTCCATCTTGAGTAGGACAGGGTTCATGGCGATGATGTCCTGAACAAAATCATGAGTGTGAGGATAAGCATAGGCATGTAAATCTGTGGATGTAAGGCATTGAAGGACCTGGTCAGGTTCAGACATGGATAGCAAGCGTGCTTCATTCTTTTGCAAGAGAAGTATGGCCAGACGACTGACGGTCTCGTTGACGCCTTCTAAGAGGGTGAGATCGTACATACGCATGATATGCTGCTGAGTTGAAATACACGTTGTAAATAAAGTCAGGTACCACTGAGATGCATACATGGAGGGCTGAATAGCGAGTTGAGAGAGATGAGCATCTAACTTGGGCAAGGTGTGTGACAAGACGGTTTGGAACTGATGCAGGCAAAGTTGAAGGCCTTCCATATTGTACATGTACAAGGAACGCATATCGTACAATTCCATCAGTCTAACCAGGAATGAGTTTATCAAGCACAACTTGGGAACAACTTACCGAACAAACATGCCAAAGGCTTCATTTTCTGACATCTGTCAAAAACGAATCATTTATTAGTGATGCCAGTTTGTGTTTGTACTACTTACTTGTGCTAAAACGGGTGATACTAAACTTGCCATACCAGGATAATAACCTACACGAGCATCATACAGACTATAGGCATCCAAGATACGCATGATGGCTTCCTTGTGTGGCATGTCTTGAACATCATGTTCAATCATGGCATGAAAAGGAGAAACGTCTTGTTTAAGCTGTTCGTACAAGATTACAGCATGACTTGAAGAAGAGGTTTGACAAATGGCTTGCCAAACGATACCACGCACGTTATCTGGTATATTGTCTTGCTGTAATCTCGTGAATAATTCAACTCTAGTTTCGATTGAGTTTGCATTCCGTATCAACTTTTCCCAGATAGGCTCAGTCGCAGTTAATTTGCTGAGAAGTGGTGTAACCATGGTGTCCATCTGAATTGATTTGGGATCTGACTTTTGTAGGCTATTTTGTTTCTCGAGCCGTTTAATCAGGTATACCTATAAAAAAAAATGAGTTTATATAGACGGACAGTAATGAAGTAACCAGGGGATTTTAAAAACGGGAGAGAGAAGGAGAAAGAAAGATGCAGTCATAGAATAAAGAAAGAAAGAAAAAAAAAAAGAAAGGGGAATTTAAAGGAGACTTGCCTTATTTTCTTCTTTCATTTGCTCTTCTCTTACTGTATTATTTGAGACGACAAGAGATGCAGGGATAGACTGATTCTTTCTTCGCTCGGCAAGAGATAAAGAAGCTGATTTTTCTGGGTGAATAACGAGAGGTTTTTTACTATCTTCTGATTTTGAAGGACGTAAAATTAAATCATGTTGAATAGGGTTGAGTTGCTGAGGATTTTCAAGTTTGTCTAGTACTTTTTGGTCTAATAAAAGACAAGAGTTTTCTATTACAGTAGCTGCCATCCGAAATTGTCAAGGAAAAAGAGAGAATAAAAGAAAAAGAAAGAAAAAAGTTTTTTTAATTTACAAAAAATATATAAGCTTCGTAACACTGTATTACACTAAATATATATGTATATCGTAAAGAAAGAAAAAAAAATATAAAGATAAGACCAAGTTAAATAAGGGTTTGACAACACACATTTGTTTTTTTTATGCACTCCTGATATCAGCATAAAAGAAAAAATAGAGACAAGGAGGAAGACTAAGAGACTTGTTTGTTGTTCCCCTTTCAAGATATACGGAGGGAAAATCGTTTAGTAGTACTATTTCAAGGATTAGTTGAACGACAGACTGGGATATATAGCACACAGACAGTATAAGCATCCACATAGTTTTGTTTATAGAGAGTCTTTTTTTTTATTGTTTATATATAGTGCATGTTTAAATCTATTCTGTCTTTCGTGCGCGAACTAACCAAGTTTTAGCTTTGTATACATGGTGATTTATGCTTACCATCATTACGAATTGGAATCTTTAGACCTTGTTTTGCAAAGGCTTTTGATAGTTCAGTGGATTCTGTCATACCGGGAAACTAATAAAAGATATAAATATAGGCTTATGCATCATGAACTTACCTTCTTTGCAGAATACACTGTAAATGGATCTGAGAATACTTGAGCCACTATTTTTGATTTGGCATTTTCTTGAAAATCAGAACTATATACAGTAGATAAATTCACACCACTCTCTCTCACACATACAATAGAGTTGACTCCTTACTTGCTCAGCTTCATTAAACTAAATCGTAATGTATATCTGCCTTCGGTACGAATACTTAGATCAGGAAAAGCAAAATAAAGGCCCTGCTCTCCTTCTGTATTTTTGAGTAAACTAGGTGAACTCACTAATGATCCCATTAATACCCTTGTGCATTTTGGGGGATTTGAAATGATATTTCTTTCTTCAGAACAATCGTCAGACCATAATGTGACATGGAGAACAAAAAAAGGAATTTGAAGCATTCTATAGGATGAGGCTGGTTTTTGTCAGACTACTTGGAGGTACTTACTGTACATCAATGGGATGGTCCTGTCCCTGTTGTTTAACAATCAACTGGACAATAGGTGGTGGGTCAATAGGCCTTCTGTCTTTCTCTCCAAATCCGCACATACGAGCATGCAAAGGTTGTTGGCAGACGACAAGTTCGTATGTTCTATACAGATATTAATGCATGCTGTGAATATGTCTGTGCTAACCTCTTTTCGCGCTCATCTAAACCTATTGACTGGTACATAACTTGTTGTTCTTTATGTTCCTCTACTTCCTGATAGTATGGTGAAGGGTTTTCAGGTAGATGCTGTATGGGGTATTGATCTCGGTTCATCAGGCACTATAAAAAACAAAAAAAAAAAAAAAGAAGAGAAAGAGAGGGGGAAAAGAGGAAAATAAAAAGAGGGCTAAAATACAAACTGTATTTAAAATTCAATCGGCCAATCTTCTACAAACAAGAGATGTCCCCGATAAAGAAGTTCTATTATGTTCTTTATTATAGTTATTATTATTCAGGCTTGCCAATTAACCCTCTTCCCCAGTTCTGAATGATTCTAGAACATTGTTGTCGAATATGGTTTGATTTGGCTGTGTTCCATAAGCCCATGGCATCTAATTGTCTGCCCTGATATACACATTGTTCCCAGTAAAATTTGGCATACAGTCGTTTCTCAATCACGTTCTAATAGGAGGTGTAGGTCAGCCATAGGTATAGGATGTATGTGTACTTACATCTAGATTAGATATCAATGTCTTTTGATTGCTTGGTTTCTCAACAGCAAAATCATGAGGTAAGACAAAAAAGTCATTACCTGCCAAATAGCTAGATAAAAGACAGGCAGAGCGTTTATCAACAAAGCGTTCAGAACACCTAGAGACCATGTTAGTGCCAATAGTAATTTTTGTGTTTGATACTTTGCCATGGCTGAACAGTTTTACTTTGAATGACAATAGGTTCATATTCCATTGTGTATTGTGTTACTTTATAGATATCATTGGCATTCTTCCAGGTGTCTAAATCAGTTGGACCTTGATTTAAAGCAAAATGAGCATCATAGAGTCCCAACACTTTTTCCTTTTCCACTAAGCCCACTAATTCCTTCTTGGTCTGTGGCACCCGAGCAGCAATATGTGCGTTTTCGTTATATGCAAAAGTCGGAATCACAAGCATATCGCCCTTTCTAAGCAATTCAGTGTATTCGGTAAGATGCTTCAATATCGTCCGGCGGAGGTCTGTAGCGATGATGGTGTTGACAGGAATATCAGACACATGGTTAGATCGCGCATAAATACGGGCCAAATTACGCTCAACATTTAGGGGGATCAAAATAGAAGCTGTCTTTTGAGGCGTCTGAACGAGATGAAGATCGACATGATTGAATAATTCGGGCGTAGATTTATACTCAGCCAACATACTTGATGTCTCTTCATTCTTTGATACATGTAAAGTAGCAGAGATAGGTCCATTCCAGTGTTTTGCAAACTGAACCAACTCTTTCCATGTCTCGGGTGTCGTGGTGGTGATAAAAGTAACTTCAGCAGGATTAGGTTCCTGTGTTGCTTTTTGCCAGAATGGCCGAGTATATCTAAGCGCGTCGTAATGAGCTTTTGAAAAGAGCTTTGAAAACTTTAATCCTGGTGTCATATCACTGATCAAAGAATAAGGCTCGTCTTTTTTTTTCTCGTTGTTAATGGATAAAATAAGCATCATTTTTCTTTACCTGCATCATAGGTGCGTTGGAAACTTAAACGACGAGTTGCTTCAGTAGACACAAGCGCATGTGTACCTTCAGAGAATAACCAAGCAGTCAAATGGGCTGCTGTCAGCAAGATACAAAAGACAATATAAAATACTATAGACAGTCTAAACCATCGAGACTGGAGTAAACTGAAACTTGGCTTTTGTGTCTGTAAAGGTAATACAGAGTATTGTGGAGACAACTTATCAAACCAGTCATTGATTTGTTGTGCTATACTCTTTTCAGTTTTTGTCTTTTTTGACGTTGTGTCCATGATGGGATGAAGAAAGAAGAAACGAAAGCCCTTGTTTCCAAATGAAAAAGGAGAAAAGAGGGAGGTTATAAAAAAATTCATTTTTGTTTTATTTTTAGATGGGATTGTTCGTATTGGAGTTCCGCATTTGATAGTGTGTTTGAAGCTATTTTCTTTTTTGCATTTATTAGAAGAACAGGATGTATGAATACTCTTTTATTGAAATAGAATGGGTTTTATACACTTGAATGATGATCAAGATTAAACCAAATTTTGTAAAAAAAAAAAAAGATTTGGTAATGCACGGACATAATTTAAAGAAAAAACAAAAAAACCTTTGTAGATCCTATTTTCTTTAGAGAAGGGGGCCAAGATGGAAGTGTTTGTCATACATTGGTTTATCAAATCAGTCAAAGCCAATTGTTTCTTACTGTTGAACATGGAGTATGTACAGAGTGTATTTTAGTTCAGATAGGACAAAGAGTCATTTATTTAATCAACACAATGAAAATATAATTTCTTTCAGTTTGATTATGGAATGAGTTTATTCAGGGATGCATAAGCAATGCATTATATATATTCTCTCTCAGTAAGCAACGGACATAAGTGCTTCTGTTCAAGAAAGCAGACAATGAACCTTTACTTATAACAGTCATGGTATGGTACGCTTTCATTTTGAAATAAGCGATGTTCTCTTTAATGGTAGGTGAAATTTATTGTGTAAACAAAAACAGTTTTTTTCTATATATAATGGTAGATTACTTGTTGTCAGAGGTGTTTGTTCCTGGTAACGATTTGATTAGCAAGGCTGTCCTGACTGACGATAGAATCATCAATATTATATGCAAAAATCTACAGGATCAATATATGGCTGTCCCTAACGAATCCTTGAACAAAAGCGCCTTTGATGTCGTATATCGCCCAAAAATGGCTCTTAGTGAATACCCGCCCATAATAATAGAAATTCAAGAAAATGTAAATGATGAATACATGCCTCCTGTAGAACGTTACTCAACACTAGCCTTTGAAAAATATAGTAAATGTCGAATTATTTTGATAATTGATGTGTCTACCGTAATTACATCCGTCAGCAGCAAGCTAGCGCCAGTTATATCTTGTCCATATAGTTTCAAAGTTCCTTGTCTCTTCTGGGCCAAGTGCTGCTTATTGATATCCTCAATGACATTATCAGGATAGGTTTCTTGTATACTGCCTCCTTTTTTTTTCTTAGGGGCCATCTCCTATCGGACATGTTCAAAGCAAAATTCGCAGAATACCAAATAAAGAGGGGTTGGCTAGAGAACACTCTATCCACTCTAATGTTCACTCTAAAAAGCGACCACTTTTGCGTGAATATGCATATTCTTAAAGAAGAGGAAGTAATTGCAATCATTTTATGAAAAAGAAAAAAGAAAGAATAATTTCTCAAAATTATTTTCGATTAACCATTTTATAGCAATAAATAGGTTTTGATTGTTTATCACACAAAGAAGCCAGTAGTTTATCAAGTGTATATGAAGTAAAAATAAATAATTTATTTCTTTAAGGAGCACTATAGAACAAAGCGAAAAGAATAGATATACTAAAGTAGCAGTTATATTCTCGAAATGTATATATTTCTACTTCTTTTTGAAGTGGATCCCTTCTGTAGCATTGTTCATCACTAAATAACTGTCCTTTAATTGCTTATCCTTATCCATATTACTAAACAGCTCATTAATAAGCTTCATAAAATGAGTAGTTTTTGTACCCTTTACATCAATTACACTGGTGTCATCCTCCTGCATTCCTTCGTCGTCGTTAGTCGTCTCAGCTAAGCCTTTCTCTTCTTTTCGAAAACAGTGTCTAATTCAGGTTTGGGAGGGGGATTTCTTTTCGGCAGGTCTATTAGCTTAATAACTCTTACGATTAGCTATTGTTTCAAGTACAATGTTTGGGTCTGTAATTTCTGTTAAGACATCTTTCATGAGATCATAAACTCTTTCACTATTCTCATAGAAAAGGTTTTTCATTCTATCTTTGAAACAAAAAGCATTTGTAGTTGTAGGGATCTCAAAAAGTTTGAAAGGAAAAGAAAAAAGGAACGACAAAAGAACTGCATTAATGGACAAAATTAAATTTTCGTCTTCCGACAATTGTTTTTAGTAACCAACAACCAATCTTTTTATAGCCGCCAATTATATCTTTGTGTAATTAACAATATTTTTTTTGTAACAGACAATATCCATTAGCCAGACTGGGAGCATTATATTGCTTGATGGCTAAGCCAGTGTACTGAAAGTGGCTTGGGGTAATTAACTTAAACGGGAAAAATTATTCAAAAATATCATATTTTCTTTTTGCCGGCGCAATTGAGTACAAAAACTTGCTTCTTGGCAGCATTTGCCACAACATAAACAGAATAAATAAATACTTTTGTTTTTTCTTTTTCTTTCTTTCTTTCTTCCTTTCTTTCAGCCTTATATTCTGTAATCATGTCCTATCCTCAACAACCTCCTCAACAGCCTTACTATTCACCACCACCTGGTCCTCAACAAGGTTATTATCCTCCTCAACAGCCCAATGGTTATTATCAACCTCAGTAAGTAACCAGATATCGCTTGACCTTCTTTTTCTTACTTTGTAATCTAGACCACCACCACAAACTGTCATTGTTCAACAACCTCAACAGCAACAAAATGATGATTGCTGTTGTGCCTGGTAAGTTCAGAAAAAGAATGTTCACCATACTAACTTGTGACGATAGTTTGTCTGGTATGCTTTGTTGTTGTTTACTCGAGGACATCTGTTAGAAAATCCTCATAATAGAAAAATCCCTCACTACACTTCTTACCCGTAATACCTTAATAGAACCCTATATACATGTTGCAATAAATAAATGTATAAGTAAATGTTTCTTTATTCTGCTTAAACTTGAAAGCCAGATACATGTGCTGTGTCCCTTGATGACGAAAATTTTTTTTTCGTGTACAATGACAAACAGAAGAACATAGACATCCTGTTTAAAGCTCTTTCTATGTTTCTGTGCATGTCTTAGCTTATCAACATGATTGGCTCGTCATGATGTGTAGAATGATGCCAAGGCCATTTCAGGCACCTTTATTATCAAAGCATTATGACAATGATGACATTCAGTGCCTATACCAAATGATGTTTATATGAAAAATAAAGTAGCTCAATATCAATTTCCTTCTTTTGAGATGATCATTTGTCGCCACTCCTTATTTTAAATTCAAAATATGACCTTTTATCCGTTTCGTCTTAAAAGACAGATGGCTGGTGGTCAATACTGTTGTTACACATACAGGAGGCCGAAACTGCCTCGGAAATTCCATCAATGCACTTTTTTAGACTACCCTATGTTAAAATATAACAAGCTTTGACATGATCAAAAACTGGCCAAAAGCCCTTATAATACCCTTTGGCTTTTATTTTTTCAGAAAGTTGCGATTTGACAGAGATAAAGCAACAATTTTCTATACAACATATTATCACAGTATGTTTTTTAATGCTATGGAATACTTCCAAAGTGTTTGTTTTGCAAAAATGATATAAAAAATGTACGGTATGAACTAAAAACGTAAAAACCAGTTTTAAGGCGTCGCTCGAAACTTTAGCAATAGAAATAGGGTTCTATTTACATCATTCGATTTAAAATTTTAATACCTACAGCTTTTGCTAACACAACTTTGTACTGTATCTCATGTTTCTGTATACTTTTGACGCATTTTCTATTTGGAATCTCATTTTTTGTCAAAAAATGAATATGGAGAAGCAAATAATATTCAGATTCCGACAGAAAAAATAAGAAAATAAATCAATGTTAAACAAGTACATAATCATCAATGTAGATGAAGATTAAAGTAAGAAAATCGATAAAAAATAGCGCAAACGACGTATACTAAGTAGAAGAAACGTTCTTGATAACATTTGTATGTGTAGGAAGTGATAGATGATTTCTTTACGAGATATTAGTCGTTAAAAAAATTAAAAGAACATCAAGAGGATGTTTTTTTGACGGGGAAACATGGCTATTTTCTTTTTTCTAGAGCTTTACCAAAAAGTTGAGAAGAAGATGGCAACAGTGGAGTATGAAATGACTCAAAAAGGGAGTCTTATTTTAACGATCTCGCTCAAAATCGTTATTTTGGCAATAGCCATTGCTTATGCTTTCATGTTAGGTATCTCATAAGCTGTTTTTCTTTTACTCATCGTTTAGTTCTAAGGAATAGACACATACTCTTTGAAGGATCAAGCAACTCACTGAATAAATTGGAGTACTTTAGATAGAGATTGATGAATTTTTACTTTGCTTGAACCTCATGAGGATGCATATTACATCTTTTCAAATACAGAACACCAATTATTTTCTTAGCTGAGTTCAATCCGGACTTTGTATATCAAGTCTGCAAGGAAGACGTATTCTTTTTTTTTTTTTTTTTTTTTTTTTTTTTTTTTTTCTTTTTTCTTTTTTCTTTTTTCTTTTTTCTTCTCTAGAAGGCAAGGTGATTCTTGTTATTGCACGTTCTGGTGTCTTTGCTTGGGTGCAGGCTTATGTGTAGGGCTATGGGTGCCTACCGGTTCTACGCGCTTGTTACCATCTCGTTCTTTTGGGAAGTGGTATGGAAGAGATGGTACTGTCAACCAAAATGTGAGGTATCCGTGAGGATGCTAACGAGGTGTGGGCGATCCTTCGACAAGTTGTCTTTATGGCACTAGGCAGGTTTCGACGTGGATTGAAATAAAATAAAACGAAGTTGCGTGGGAAAGGCACTTCCACTTTTATGTTTGCATAACGCGCACTTCTATCCTGTATCACTAGTCGAATTAACCCCTTAGGGCCTTCGCATCTGCTAGGTATGGTCTTCCCTCGGTTTATCTCTTTGGGAGCTTTGTCTCTCAGGGTGGTTTATCTTGCTGGGAGTTTCGGCTCTCAGTGAGACGCGTCTCTTAGGGGGATTTATCTTTCTAAGAGAGGTGTCGGGTGGTATCTCGCACCGTAAGATAGAGAAGAGGGTAGATTGAAGTCAACCTCCACGATGGTTACCCTTGGAAACAGTCTTCTTTCTCTGTAATAAGGAGGAGAAGGCTGGCTAATAGACTTCTATTTTATTTTATTTTTTTTTTGTTGTTGTTATTGTTATGAATGATATAATAAAAGAGAGAAATTAATTATCGATTTACATGCTTCTTGTCCTCGGTGAAAGAAAGAAAGAGAGAGAGAGAGAGAGACGTGGGTACGTTTGGTATGTCAGGAATAGATCTGGTTTAGCTTGTTTTGATTTGAGTCTTGGTTTTAGCAGTGACCCGTTTGATTTGGTGTTAACTTGTGCGCAAGCATAAAGTAGGTTGAAAAGATACAGTGAAATGGCAATAATAATAAAAATACTGCAAGTATGCTTAAAGCAGTGACAAGTAGAGAAATAAGCACCATTTAAACACGTTCGCTGAATGAATGAAATGCTAGCGTATGAGCCTTTTTTTTTTTTTAAACAATAAGAGAAAAAGTAATAACAATGTATGCCAAACAGCTGTGAAGAACTGCTGTAAATGCATCCAAAACAGCAAAATACATGTGAAGAATAAACAACATTTTCTCCATGGAGCTTGTCAGACTTTTACTTCATAGATTCTATCTATACACCTGCAGCTTTATACTTGTCAGAAGGCTCAATCTGCTCATTTATGCATGCATAATTTTAGATTTCTTGCTATCATGTAGTACACAACAAGCAACTTTTCTTTTTCTTTTTTCTTTTTTCTTTCTTTTTTTAACTGTTGAAAAGGTAGGTACATTTCTTCGTCTATGCTGTCTTTCTTAATTTACATCCAGTACTTGTCGTTGACTAGATCTTGTACTTGTGCAGCGTCTTCTCTTTATTAACATTTACAAACCATAATTAAAGCATAAAAAGAAAAGATTGGTGTTTAAAATGCCAGACCCTACATCTACAAGTCATTTATCGTTAGTTACGCTGAAAGCTGCTCTCTTTAGCCTCAGAAATGCCGAGTGTTATAGTAGACCTTACCTAGAAATACTCTGCACATCAGATAATGTATAGAGAAGTACCTACTTGCTAGTCAATACCTATTGAAAAGGGTCTCTTTTGTACTAATTACAGTGTACAATGAACTTTGAATATAGATTTAAAAGCAATGCTCAAATGAACTGGCCTTTTTTTTATCTTAGTAAACTCGCTTTCTTTTTCTTAGAAGTACTCAGACATTGCCTTATCTGGTTTCAGTTGGATCAGACCTACATTGGGTCATTCCGAAAAATTCTTGTTTTTTTTCCATCTTTACGAACCTCCCTGAACCTCCCTGAACCTCCCATGGGTCAAAAGAATGGATTTCACCTGACAGCCAAACCAATGGTACCATTTGATTGCTAGACTCCAAAGAACATGTTTCGAATAAAAAGAGAGGCCATTTGGTAGTCTGGTAGTCGAGTAATGGTACTTTAAAGAATGGTGCGTTCAAGCTGTGTTTTGAGCGTTTTTGCTCTAAGTACCATATAGAATTTGCAATTAATGGATCTCTCTAAAGCATCTTATATTGTCTTGAGTACTAAGAAGCATGGAGATATAGAAAAAAAAATAGGCATTCTTATAATACGAATGTGGACTAAATGAATGTAGAACATACCAGATGGCAGTTTGCGATATAAAAAGTACAACAGCTTTGCTGCTAAAATATTGAGTGAATACGCAAAAATGTTTACAGGGTTTTCTGTCCATATCTCTGACGAAGAAAGGCAAAACATATTACCATTTATTCACAGCTCTAATTTAGTACAATTGCTACAGTGGGTAGATGTTTGATAACTAATGATTTGCATTAAATGTGAGCAAAAAACCTCGTAAACATCCTTGTCCATTTGCTTAATATTTTAGCATCAAAGCTACTACGTCCTTTACATCAATAAACTCAGAAAGCAACGATCTTTATTTTTTCACTACACCAAAGTCCAATAACCGCGTCTTTATGCAGTTCTCAGCAAAAGCTCCATTTTTATTGCAGCGAACATTTGGATGCGTTTATCCATAGATCCGAACTAATAAGATAAGTAATTGGCCTAATTAATGCCTATTGTTATGGTTAACTTCCGGTATCTAATGTTAGGTTGAATTTTTGAGGTGGTGTTCCTATGCCAATCTCGATTAAATATTCTCTTGCATTGGCATTAAATAAAGGTATAGCAGGTATATTCTGTCGTTTTTGTAAAACATTTGTATATTTATGTTCAATGATAGGTAGCTTCATCAATTGTTGAGCTGAACATAACGTAACGGATAAGAGAAACAGAAAATTTGGATACATGAAAATAAAATAAAATAGAAGAGTAAATGATGATACAACTTGATTTATTGAATGTTTTGATTTAATTGCTGTATTTGGCACTGCGTTTCCTAAAGCGTTTGCTTTTTCAGCCAATTACAACTCAGTAGAATGAGTTTCTCTACCACTAGTTGACATAAGCTCCATTGAGCTTATTCATCATAGGGGCTTTGTTTACCATTCATTGTTTCCCAACTTCTTTTGACACACACACACACACAAAGAAATAACTTGTCTAGCCCCAAGACTGTCAGTTTTGGGCCAATTCGCCTGAATTTAAAGCCTCTGATGCTCCATTGCATGTGATCATACGCATGGACACTCTTCTCCTCACATCTAGCCTTGTATTTCTATAAAAGTGTCATTACTAACATCAAGCCAAAACTTTGTATTTTTCAATACAACCATCCATGTAATGTTTTTACATAGACAACAACTGGTCTATAACCAACCGATTGCCTCTTTCCACTCGTTTCTAGAATAGATAAATAAGTTATTAGGTATTTGTAAGTTAATGGGTTCAAAAGTCCCATTCTAGAGCAAACAACGCAAGTTTTACTGCAAATCTTTGTCTTTCTCTTAGGCGTATAAAGGTAGCAGAAGGCCTTTTCATACCTGCATAAATGCTCTAAATACCTACAAACAGTGTTTACCATCATGCATGGTACCTTTAGAGTTGATTTGGGGCAAAAAAGGTGACATGTAAAATATGACCAAAATGACCTTTCGACCAAAGGGTATTATTACTTATGAAAATATTGATTTTGACAACGCTTGATCTTCTATTCTATCAGAAGGAAGATCTGAACTGGAGGAAAAAACAATTGCATAAATTGCAATCTAATAGGAACAAAGCAATGCGGCATCAGAAGCATAGAGGACTGATATTTCAAGGCTTGGATCATGTCAATTCCCTAATCCAGTCTTTACAACAGTCGATAGCAGAGATCGAGATTTTGAAGTCTGGCAAGTTTTGGAGAGAACATGGAGAGAAATCTGCAGGATTTTTGAAGCGGACACAAGTATCTCGACAAAATCAGCGATCCATCATTGAATTGAGAGATCCAGTGACTGAAGAGCTTTGTCAAGAGCAACATGATATTTCTCGTATAGCAACTGAATTTTATACCTCGCTATTTACTCCTTCTCCCACTGACACTGTAGCTCTTAGGGCTATGACTTGATCTATTACTAGCCGAAGGTTTCATCAGAACAACAGGAGAAACCTATGCAGCCTATTGATGTTGATAACATACTCAAAGAGAGCAAGCATGTCCCTCGTAAGAGTAGTCCAGGACCAGATGGACTGCCATATGAGATTCTGTATTTGGTTATAAAATTCCCTCCATATCATGATCTGATATCGACTGTCTATAATGACGCTTTGCAGAAGAATAAGTTTCTCCAGTCATGGAATGAATCAGTCATGTGTCTGTTGTACAAGATAGGTGATCCTGCGGATATGAAGAACTATCGTCTTTTGTCCTTAGCAAATACGGATTACAAACTGTTTACACGTATCGTCAATCGTCGAATCATGGAGGTATCTTCTCGTCTTATTAGCCGTTATCAATTGGGGTTTATTCCTGGGCGGTTTGTCGCTGAAAATGGTATGATCTGTCAATTGCTAATGGAAAATTCTCAAAGGAAATGGTCGATCGCTGAACAACTTGATAATGGTCCTGATTTTAGTACCTTGAATGCTGATATTGGTCTTCTCTTAGATCAAGAAAAGGCTTACGACAGAGTGAATTTACACTACTTGAAGAAAGTGATGAAAAAGTTTGGCTTCCATTCCCCACTGATTAAATGCATTTACAAGTTAATGAGCGATAATCTTATTCGAATCAACATCAATGGTCATCTCTCCTCCGAAGTTGCTAAATTACGCGGATTGAAACAGGGTGATCCTCTCTCTCTTATTCTGTATAATTTGGCTTTTGAACCTTTCTTGCTCTCCATTCTCCATGATCATCAATTTTAAGGCTACATAATGGGTACTAAACGGACGAAGCTTCTAGTTACGCTGACAATGCTCTGGTCTTTGTACATAATTCCACTGATCTTGCTCGGCTACAACTGAATATGACTCGATATTGCGAAGCCTCGAATGCAAAGTTCAACCATGAAAAGATGGAAGCCTTCTCGGTGCCTGGCAGAAATACATGGACTTATTGGGAAGCTCCACTCTCTCAAATGGGCATCAAGCATTTGCACTCTGTCGAAGATGATGAACCCTTAATTTATTTGGGTTTTCCATTTATACAAAGCCGTATTCAAAGAGTCAATTTTATGGGTTCTATGATAACAAAGGTTAAGACTGCCATACAAATCCACTCTACACGTTCATTGTCTGTGGTTGGCCGAGCCACTGTCTTGAATTCACTGATATTGTTTAAAATATGGTATATCTTGCGGGTTACTCCGTTGACGCTTGCTGATTTCAAACAATTGAAATCTTTGGCCATTCAATTCTTGCGTAAGAATATAGTTCCTGTTATTCCTTGGAAAGTATGGACGCTGCCAAAAGAAAAAGGTGGACTCGGAGTAATTGATATTCAGGTTCAGGCCTCGGCTTTATGTTTTCGCTGGCTGCATCCTTTGTTGGCGTATGATCAAGATACTATTGATGCTCATCCGGTCTCGTACTTACTTAGCCTTCATATTCGAAATATCAATGACTGCAAATATCATCAGATTTCATTGTTGGTTCCTTCTTCTCGTACACAAGGGCTGAAAAAACAAAGAACTGGCACTATTAATATGCTATATCGTGCCATTGATTGTCTTCCTCGATCATTTGCTAATGCTAGCCTTAATACTGCTACCGCTATGGTCCTACCTTTGCAAGCTGTGCTTTACGTTCCTCCTTCTTCGTCCTTCGTTGTCCCCCTACGTGTCAAGAAAATGATGGTGTCAGATGTCTTTCAAGTTGATGCTAGACTTAACTTTGTTCACTGGAAAGATACTCGTGATCCTTCATTACTTCATTGGAAGCGTACTCCCCCCACAGTCTTCAAAGGTCTTGCATCTGGGAGTTTGAAACTTCAGCCATTTTTTTAGCTCTGTATGTAGTCCTGCTCCACTTGAAGACTCAACGGTCTCATTTGCGCCTTTGATCAACCAATTTCGGTTTCAAGATGATCAAGGTATTTGTAATGTCAAGGCATCGGCTAAGACATTTCGTCAGTCAGTTCTCTCGTCTATGGCTCCTCCTTTGGCTTTGAGAAATATTACAGAAGTGAAATGGAAATTCTTTTGGTCTCTGTCTCTTACCACCATTCAACGTAATGTGACATACCAGTATATCTTGGGGTGTGTTCCTCATCGTCGATTCTTACAGTTTATTATGCCTCATGTGTTTGACTCTCCCTTCTGTCCGGTGTGTTTAACTACCACTGACTCTATTAGCCATATGCTCTTTCATTGTCCAACTAAAGAGAAGGTATGGCAGGAAATAATTTTCGAGTTCCTATGGCCTACCACATTCATCTCTGATATCAAAGAGGTTCTTTTGTCCCTGGACTTCTCGTACAACTGGTACTGCCAATGGAAAGGAATCAAACCATACAGAATTCTCATAATTACTCTTTCACAAATCTGGCTTGCTCATATGAGATTTATCTTTGACAAGACCCCCATTGTACCCACGGCCATATTAGCAAGCATCCGATTCAATGTTCGTCAGACTATTGAAGAGGATCAATGCCATTCAATCATGTAACTTTTTTTTCTTTCTTTCTATATATTTTATTTTAGTTTAGTTTATTTTGTCTAGTGTATTTCGCTTTATTTTATTAACTTTCATTTTAATTGCACCCGCCTCTTCACTTTGACTATTACTTTTAGTGTACGCGGCTCAATTAAACACATTTAAAAAAAAAATACAAAATGGACAAAAAAGTAGATAAAACAAAGAGCTATCAAAAAACTATACTGATTGAATTTATACTTCTTGAGAAGGCACATTTAATCATATAAAAGAAACTATACATTGCCTCTTTAAATTATGAGTTATACTTCAAAAACGTTAAAAACATTTATGGATCCTAGCGTGCACTTTTTATTATGCTTTTTGAAATCCGACACTTTCAGTGTATTCCACATTCCAAGACAAACATTTTCTACTCATACATAGCATAGTAAAATTTTGCTATATCGCTGTCAAATCGCAAATTCATGAAAAAAGAAAAAATCGTCAGGGGGCAGGCTTTTGGCAATTTTTTCATTATTTCAAAATAGGCCATATTTCTGCTTGAAGATGGTCTTTTATGTATGCTTTATTTCAGGATATTAGACTAAGCGTTTTTCAAAAGGTTTTGAGGCTTATTGGAGGCTCTAATTGATTGCGTTTTATGAAATGTATACCGGACCTTACATTGTTCCTAATTTTCAAATTTTGTGCCTCATGCTGATGTGCTCCGGGTTTTAGATATGCAATAGTTCAAAGCACACTAATATGTCAAATGTGAATTTTTTTTTATTATGGTTTACCTCATACTTTTACTATCCATCTTTAAGTGAGATATAAAATTTATTCAGTCTTAATCCAGTCATGATGCCATTGAATTCATACAGAACCAAACAAAAGAAAAAGAGGACATCTCAGCTTTTTGAATCGAATGTGTATCTTTCGTATCAAACTGCGTAGCAACCCCTTTTTGGTCTCTCGTGTGCTACTCAGTATCATGTCACGTGACTTGTATGATACGCCATGCCATACACCGAACTTTAGTCTGGACCTGCATACCCATCTCGGTAGCAAACACGGATTACCTGGCATTGTTCTAGCCCTGTCATGCATCTATATAAAAAAAAACTCTGATTTATTTTTATTATCTTCTTTTTCTTTCTTTCTTTCATGGTCACTAAACGATACTCTCCTTTTCAAAATTCAATGGTTGACACTAAACTGACAGACAGCTTTGCTAAATGGTCCAAAATGTTTCCAATGATCTCACCACCACAAAAGAAACGAAGGGCTATCATTCTTCTAGACGAACCTAATAAACAAGACCAACTCAATAAACGGCTGCACCGTCGTGCTATCTATATTCCACCATCTGACATACTGGATGGTCCTCAAGACACACAACAAAAGTGGTCCCTTTACCGTGCCACACAACAGAAACTCCGTCGTAATTCACTACCGCTTTTAGAAAGTATTCATTTACAAAAAATGCTCGTCACTTTGCTTGACGATGAGCATGTGCGGGCCATGCAGACATCCATTACAGCGAGAATAAAGCAATCTCAAGAAGATGAAGATGATATCCCATTAGGCACTTTAATTCATAAAAAGGCAAACCTTAACCATATAACCTCTTTTCCTATCCGATTTGCATAAATCATTGTTTTATATATATGTATATATATATATATTGTAATAAAGATATTGATTGTAAAAATTCATTCTTTATCTTGTTGATCACCCGATGGCATATAACCAATATTGGCGTCAAATCCAGGCATAGTTGAAGTTGTGTTATTACCGTATCCATAGTGTTGATAATGTATCACTGGTGATGGTTGACCATATTGTGGCATATAAGGATACGCTGGCATCATGCCATATCCATATGTCTGTGCAGTAAAAGGGTCCATCATATAACCTATCAAAGCAATATAAGGTACAAGGATTCATGCTGTCATTTTTTACCATTGCCTTGTCCATAATAGTTTCTCCTTTGACTAAATATGAGTGAGCACGAATATATACAAGATTTTCTTTACTTTGGATATTGTCGAATATGAGTTCGAGAATCTCCTTTGACAGAAACGCCATCAGGGCCAGTCACATGAGAAGCTTGCATACCTTTTGGTCCTTGGATCAAATCATATTCAACCTAAAGAACAATAAAATTAATGCAACTTTATATGATCAAACAAAAACTCTCCCTTACTTCTTCTCCCTATGTTAAAAAGATAAATATCAAACAAAGAGACAAAGTGCATTTACCTCTGCTAAACTCTTAAATCCTCCATCATTATGAATTGCTGTATGATGAACAAATACTTCTTTTTTAAAAAGTAAGTAAACCAATATATATATATATATATATACACACACCTTCCATAGTATCATTATTTTCTGGTAAAATAAACCCGAACCCTTTTGTAGAATTAAAAAACTTGACACGTCCTTTATGACGAAAGGTGCCTTCTTGTGCCGACATGAGAATAAGTAAAAGAAAAAGAGTAAAAAAAAAAAGGAAAAAGAAAAGAAAAAAAAAATAACAGTTTTAAATATAGTGAGAAAGTGAAACAAACGCCTTATTTTATAAATGACGTTTTTTTAAAGTTTTAATAGGCCAAATTCGATATGTAATGCCCAAATCCATTCATCTCTTTCTTGTTTACTTCTTGCTTTAAATACCCAACATGAGCCTCGATTTCCTAAACGATGTCCTCGCTTCAACAAAGATAGATATTCTCGAAAATCAGGCACAATATGTCGTTTGGCTATCTGCCAAATAACAAATACACAATCGCTTGTATTATCTCCACCTTCAACTACACCATCTCTATAGTACCTTGAAGGTTCTTGCACTGGTAAGACAAATTGGTCTAGTACACATTCATCACCAGAATAAACAAACGCATTGTCTAATCCAATCAAGACTCGCTTTTTTTGATACATTTCGAGTTCTTGTCGTTCTGTTTGGCCCATTTGATCTTTGCTGGAAATACAACCCAGTATATCTATCTTGCTGCGTTTCATGGTATCAAACATCAACAAGCCTTGTTTATGTTCGTTTTTAGTTAGGATACAGTATTGAAGTCGAAATGCATGCTTGTAATTATGCTTCACATACAAAGGTCCAGAAAGCTACTTTATTAACAGTACGATCTAAACATAAAAATACATACCAATATTTGTCTATGCTGATCTCGATTGAAATAAAGTAAAAGACGGTCCAGAGTGAAAGCATTGTTTATCAGTGTAACCCACTCTAGCATGATCTGCGTATTTGGTGCTTCGTAGTACAAAGATGTGCCGTTGATATGTAGCATAAAAATTTTGTCTTGATGACATGGTTCAACATATTCTACTCGATGTAAATCAATCACGTGTTTGGCATTCAACAGCCTGGAAGGGTCTGGAGGTGGTATAAGTTCAGGCTTGGATAACTTGAGATGAGGCGATGACTCGACACTGCCTAGTTTGTATTGTGTACGCTTATTGGGGTGGTTGGATTGTTTGGATATTGTGAGTTTTCTTTGTTGAAACAAGAAGCCTGTGGTAGCAGAGAACCAGTGTTGTTTCTTTGCGTCTTTCTTTTTCTTTTCGTCATGTTTCTTGCATTGAAAATAATAAAGACCATCGAAAAAGAACAAGTGATGTCCATACAGAACTGAGTAATAATAGACATTCTTACATTTCCCCTTCTTGTTGGTATATATCTTTTGAATTAAAAGACCATCAAATGTTGTGCTCTATACGTATTATATAATACAGCCATCAAAATCAATACATACCTTTTTCGTATCTTGTTCTTCTTGATCTAGTACATGTAATTCCAGGCTGTGGCTTTTCTCGATCAATGAAGGACTAATCAGACTGGTTTCTTCTTTGACCCATTCAGTGGAATGATTTAAAGTTTGGTGTTTCCAGCACAGTTTGAGTTTCTTTCTCTTCCAGTTGATGTGACTTAATGCTTCATTCTTCTCTAAGAGAGACAACAAAATAGGCTTCATGTCTCGTGTGCGTATATCAAAATGTTCATAGAGACTGGTTAAATAATCCAGAGGAAGTCGAATACGCAATGGTTCTTTTAGTAAATTGGGCTCAAGTAGAACATGGATATCGACATAAGAAGGTATTGGTTTTTTGCAATAATGTGTAGAGGGTAATAGGTTGTAGATAGACATGTACCATGCTTGAGCATCTGATAGATGGGATGACTGGAAATGATACGCTATCAAGCATTTTGTATCTCGGTCCATGAATTCCAATGACCAGACTGCATCTTGAGTTGAAATCATAGCTAATTTGACTCGACGGTGAGGTGGTTGATTGTCTAGATAGATGATGTGAGCCAGCCTCTGTGTGTTAATGATCAGTTTCTAGAGAAAAAGAAAGAAAGAAGCAATCAGTAAGTCATGTTTAAAATCAATGACTTACAGAAACATGATAGAGTTCTAATCTATCTAGTTTAAGAACAGCTTTAAATCGTCTCCATCGTAACCGTGTCTTTCGTAGCTGTAATTCTCGGGTCGTTGTCTTTTTCCTTGTGTACCATTGTTCTGTGCGTGTGCATAAGACAAGTCCTTGTTGGATAACTCGATCCTTGTCTGGATTCAATTGCTCTATCATTGGTACAATATGCAGTTGATGTTGAAATTTAATATTAGGACATGTTTGAAAGCGAGTTTGTTGGTCTTTAAAGTGTGTACGGATAGAAGGTAGGGTATTAGCATGGTATACACTTGAAGAGTCAAGATGGGGTATCATAGTTCATGGCAAGATCTCGAGAGGAAAACAATAAAAAAAAAAGAGAAAGTGGAGTTTTAAGGAGAAAGTCTTATTCAGAAATGGTAAGACTGCAGATGGTTTCTTTTTTTAGTAGAGCGATCTTGCTTGACAAGTGGAAATCTCTCAATGTCTGGGCACGTCATACGTCATAAAGAATTGCAGTTTCCTTTTGAACCTACAGCCAAGGTTTGACTCGCTTTGCCTTGTAATAAATTTGTTGAAATAAAGAATATGCATTGCTTTTCAAGCTCTAGTGTCAAATATGTGGTTTTAATACACCATTAAAAACATATATATATATATACATATGTGTGTGGAAAATAGAAGCTCACTTTTACTTCTTTTTCTACTCATTCTTTATCTATCTGTTTATAATTTAACAAGCACACGCAATGATTGAATATGGTAACGAACTTTTGATATTAGAAATAAAATACTATTTTATTCTTCACGATGATATCCATACTTTTCTCTCCAAAGCTCTGATACTTTACGTTGATTACCAAGATTAGTGTGATCCAAAGTAGTTTCGTTGAGCAAACCACCCTGTTGATGAATTTCATCAGGCTGCTTGACAGTCAATTCAAGGAACATATGAAGCCAGGACATGGCATTCCAGATAGTAAAGAATTCTTCAGTCACACAAGCCTTTGCAGCCATACTCATCTTGCGATGCAACTCAGGTTCCTTGAATAAGCTATGCATGATATCTGACACTTGCTCTACGTCACCAATAGGCACTAAGTAGCCATCCTTCCCATGCTTGATCTGTAGAGGGATACCACCTGCTTCATAAGCAATTACAGGCACACCCTTGTACAATGCTTCAGTGACCTTGACTTCAAATCCTTCACGATGAGACAGTTGTAAAGCAATATAAGCACCACGCAGAATCATGTTCAAAAGTTGATCTGAAGGAGGTAAGCGAACAGCAATAATGTCACTGGCAATATGAGCGAATTTAGTAGAATCAATGATGTTTTGCACTTGTTCAAAAATAAGCGTAGCATCAGGATCGTCAATAGAGCCATGTCCACAGATCACCAGTTGAGGTGTTTGAATATCATCAAATTCACCGTCCATCTTGAGACGCAAAAGACGATAAGATTCTAGGACATCAGGAATACCCTTGGAAGGATCAAAACGAGCCACTTGTACAATGTAAGGACGGTTCCAGTCAACTTCATTAACACCTGAATCAACACAGACACGGTTAAAGACAGATTGATAATAAGTGAGACACCAGTCATTCATGGGTTTATTGAGACCATCTAAGGGGTCAGTAGCTGCAGGCAACAAGACAGTGTTTCTTTCAGGAACAACATCAGGTACAAATCCTTTAATAGGATGAGCAACAAAAAGATCAGCTTGTTGGATAAATTCCCACAAGAAACTTGTATACGTTAGTACCATAAAATAATATCATACGACTTACTTCCAAGTGTTTGCAGTGGATCCTTCAGGATGATCCCTAATCAAATCTGACCTGATTTCAATATGGGATCTAAAAATGATACGTGTATTGGGGGCATATTTGCGAATATAGGGAATAATACCACATACTACACTATAGTCAGTATAAGCCGGAAAATTTGTGTAACATACCTTGAGGGTCGTCAATGACAATAACATCTGAGGTTTTAATAGGTCCCTTATCGTCTAACCAAAAACGTCTGACATTTTCATCAGACCAATCAAGGAAGACTTGCTTGTCTTCATCAGACAACCATACATGGGGGTCAGCAACACCTTGAAGGACATTATGGAACTTTCTTTTTGTGATATCAAACACTTCTGGCTTGGGGCGAGCAACATACCCTAAACTCATGTAAACAAAACCTTATATTTTTTGTACTACACACTTACAATGGACATTCACATCATTCAGATGAAGCAATCTTACCAAAGCATGACGCATTAAAGCAACTATCATAGAGGGGTGAGCGTTAAGTGATGATAGTTGTTGTCTTACCTCCTCCACCTTGAGGAGTAGAGTTAAAGAAAGAAACCTTCAGTTTTCTTTCTTTAAAGGTACTAGCCATATTCTGGAACAGGTCCCAGGTCTTCTTGGACACAGTTTGCTCATAGTCTGTACACTTGACCATATGAATGATATGATTAAAATCCACTATTGGCACGCACTCCTTAGTCTTCATATGCTTATTTCTTTTGACTTACCTTCAACCTAAACATATCCGAATGTTACGCAAAAGGTAGAAAAAGACGTCAATATGACACAAAAATAGGGCATAAAAAAGATGAACTTTACCTCATGGCGATAACCGACAGAAATACGGGGAAGATTACCTGGATATTTAGGACTCAACCTACACAAGTTATAAGCAAAAGAAAAAGAGAGAAAACAGATACATTACCACATTACAGCCTTACGAACAGCAGCACTAGCACGCTCATCTGCAGATCCAGCGTGTGTTTCAACTCGGAAGGGAAGTGCGTCTAATTCTTGCCAATATTCAGACATGGTAATAACCTCTTCTAGGTCAATAAGCTCTTCTTGGTTCTTGAAAAACTGGACTCCAATGTCGTAAGAACAAGCAATCAATTGGACCTTGTAGTTTTGAGCCATAGCATAGAGTTGAACAATTTCATGCAATTTGGTAAAGGCTTCAACAATGATCTCTTTTTGAGACTTGCAAAGATCATGTTTTTTCAATTCGCCTTGATAGTAGTCGGTGGAATACATACCATCATGAACTGAAATAGCATAAAGACTTGTATTATCATCACGCAGCTCAATATCAACACCGAGATAGACAGGTAAAGGGACATGGGCAGAAGAGAAACGACGAGAAGTTCTTCTAATAGGAACACGCGTAGGGTTTGGTGGCATATTTAATTATTGATAAAAATAAAAAGAAAAAGGGAAGAAAATAGAGCTGTTATTTTTATAGGTTCTGAAGAATTCACACTCACGTGAAACATAGATCGATGCTTGTCTCAAAAGCATATAAATCGAGATTTCAAGCGCGCATAAATTTTGCATTTGATTGGCTGAAGACAGATTTTCATTACGGCGCTCTCCCTTTCGATTTTCTTTTTCTTTTTCTTTTTTCTCTCTTTTTTATTATTTATATAAATAGATCTAGATACCTTTGTCTTATTTTCTCTTTCTTTATTTTTTCAAGAGACAAGTAGATACTTTCATGGGTAATTCACCGTCTAAAAAGTTGAAACAGCCTTTTCAGAAACATTTGAAAGATACAAATGTACTCGAGAAGAACAGCACAACATCTACCATAGCTGTATTAAAAAAGCACAATCCATCAATGTCCATTTCAAACAATAATACAGAAATGAACATGTCATCGTTTACAGCATTACATAGAACTACGTCATTGCCACCTTCACCAACGAGTACTTTACCCCAAAGCATTAAAAACGATTATATCTTTCATGGTAGAAAGTATCAAAGCTACAACACTAAATATATTTTACCCAATGACGAGATAGAGCAAGATCGACTTGTGCAAGTGGTAAGACACAAATACTGATGCTTTTACTAATAAAATAGCACTTTATTTATAAATTTTTATTTGGAGGCAATTTCTCATCGCCAGTAAGAGATTTGCTGTCACTGAAACAGCTGAAACGAAATTCAGCCTCAAGTAGTAGTAATGCACAGCAATGGGATTTACAGCCTCTACCTCAGCCCAAAGTACTAGATATTGCTTGTGGCACAGGTACATGGATCTTGGAAATGGCCACTGAGTTTCCAGAGACTCAGTTCTACGGCATCGATATTGCACCCATTTACCCCACCACCATCAAGCCTTCAAACACTTTTTTTAGTCAGCATGATATATTGAATGGTTTACCCTTTCCCAACGAGTATTTTGATTATATACACATGCGTCATGTTTATACCTGTTTTTCTGAAGAGGATTGGACGGTAAGTTAGTGATATACATGATCAAAAACTAACACTTGTTAATATAGACTGTCATGAATGAAATAAAGCGATTATTGAAACCCGGAGGCTATATTGAACTTCGTGAACTCTATCCATTGCTCTACCAAATGGGACCTATAACACATGACTTTTTCAAGCATTGTAATGTGTTTTAGTTATATATTAGAGCTAACTTATTTATGATTTCTAGTTATCTGTGGCATGAAAAATCTACATAATGTAGACATTGCCTGGGCCAAGAAAATGTTTACTGTTCTTCAAGAAATAGGCGAGTTTGCAGATATCCATCGTCAAATACGCCAGCTTTATTTTGATCTTCCTGGTACAATTGGCAATATGGCACGCAACTCACTTCGCACAGCATGCGAAAGTTATCGACCTTTTTTCGAACAAGTGAACAACATACCCAATGATGAATACGATAGAATTCTAGATGCAATGGCACAAGAAATCATACAACACCACTCCTTTTTTGATTATTATGCTTGTTGGGGAAGAAAGACACTTTGTGCTACCGAGTACCATCATCAAGACGTTGTGGAGTCTATGCTGCATGCAACTCGGCGATATTCTGTAGTACCTTCGACCAAAAGCGCATCCTCGTCATCTCAGAGTAGAAAGCGAACACATTCAGACACTATGGTGAGTCCAAACGAGAAGCCTTCCGTACTTTCCATTATTACCATTGACCCTGAAAACCATGAGGAAACTAAAGGCTCAGTGATTCAGTGGGACGAAGATACAATTGAGTTAGGGCCAGAAAACCTTAATGATATTTCTCAGTTTGCTGATGGATATGATGATTAATAACATTGTAAATAATATTGTACAGTACATTTAAATATTTGTTTTTTATTATTATGTATACAATTATAAGCTCTAAAACGAATTATGTACACAAGAGCTTATTTCTTGTCGGTATTGTAAAAGGGATAGTCAACATAACCTTTGGCATCATGAGTATAGAAAGTGCTTCTGTCATACTTGTTCAATTCCCAGCCATTGCGGAGACGTTCAGGCAAATCAGGATTGGCGATGAAAGCACGACCAAAAGCAATCAAATCACCCGTCTTTTCTGCAATGTCATAAGCATGATCCTTGTTGTTGGAGAAGCCACTTGAATTAATGAAAGGACCTTGCCAGAGTCTACGGAAGGGTTCAAGTGAATCAGAGCGTCCTTGATCATCATCTGAAAGCCAAGTAGAACGAGGTTCAATAAAATGAACATAAGCCAAATCAGGATGCCTCTTCTGAAGTTCGGAAGTCACATAGCCCCAGGTCTCAACAGGGTTTTTATCCTTCATGTCTTGGAAGCTTCCACCAGGAGAGAATCGAATACCTGTTCTTTCAGGGCCAACAGCATCGACAACAGCATCTGTCACTTCAAGTGTAAAACGAGCTCTGTTCTCAACAGAACCGCCGTATTCATCTGCACGCTGGTTTGAGTTAGAGTTCAAGAATTGATCCAGAAGATAACCATTAGCAGAATGAATTTCAACACCATCGAATCCGGCTTCAATTGCGTTCAAGGAAGCTTGCCGATATTCTTGCACAATGGATTTGATTTCGTTGACTTCAAGAGAACGGGGTGTATCAAATTCATTTCCCAACATGTCTTTACCTTGGATAGGAATAGCAGATGCAGAAACAGTGGGTTCGTGGTTAGGATTCAAAAGGTGAGAACCAGCACGACCAATATGCCAAAGTTGGAGATAAATATAGGCTTTCTTTTCATGTACAGCATGTGTAACCTTTTTCCATCCTTCGATTTGTTCCTTGCTGAAGATACCAGGGGCTTGAGGATAACTACCAGCTGAAGGAGAGATGAAAGTGGCTTCGGTGATTAATAAACCTCCTTCTGAGGCTCTTTGCTTGTAATATTCGACTTGAAGGTCGGTGGGGACAGCTTCTTTTGTTGCACGGTAACGTGTCAAGGGACAAAGGACAACGCGGTGTTTAAGTTGAAGATTACCAATCTTGGTGGCAGAGAAGAGGGCGTTTTTAGTGTTCATGCTTTTGATGCTATAGAGATACTTTTCTTCTCTTTTACTCTTTTATATCTTCTTGATTATTAATTGTATCTTTTGAAACTTACTTTTTTGGGATTACTGACGTATCAATTTTATTATGTAACTTGTTTAATTTATATGAAATTGCTAGAAAAAGCAAAGTTTACGCGTTTTGTATGATGTTTTTCTTGTGAGTGGTGAGACAAGCCAATCGTTTGTACAGAGATCGAAATTTAAGTGATAAAGTTAACACCATTGATATATAAATATGTAGAAATGATCTCATATTCAGTAGAAGATAAAAGATTTTTTTTTTCAATAGTATATTTTATTATGTAAGTTTAAAAGTAACTCCATAATTTTTCAAATTCATCAGCATATCTTCTAACCACAGAGGGAATATTGGTGATGATGATATTTTCGCGGTTCTTGTAACGAGCACTACGATAAAAAACGTCAATAAAAGAGCGTTGGCTCCCATCAAACTTACCCTGCAGACCAATTGAAACTACCAGTAATGACAATCTTATTGTCAATGACTGCAAACTTGTTATGCATGAATTGCTCACTATCATCACATTTGAAAGGAATATTTGCTCTTTCGTTGAGACGATATACATCAGCTCCCTTGGTTGGATCCATTTGATCATTATCAGTAATGATTCTCACATCTACACCGCGTCTCTTTGCATCACTTAAAACATCGGCTGTATCATTATCAGTCATTGAGAAAACGCAAACATACAATGTATGCTTGGCAGTGGATAGAGCAGAGTGAAAGGCCTGATAGCAGTCATAATTAGTTTTCTATGTATATACATAAAAATATATAACTTACACGGTAACTGTCTTCCGAAGGAAAAAAGACAGGGAAACAAAAGGTTTCTTCTGGTAGACGCTCCAAATAACGAGGATGGAATTCAGTTACTTGAATATGATGGCGGGGAGGACGCTGTTCATAAGGTTTACCACATCCGCCTTCATAAGGATTACCTCCAGAAGTGTGGCTGTAGCTAAAATTGGTTTCAATGTACTTCTTTGTCTTCTTTTTCTTTTGACGACGACGCACTTCTGTAAAGCCACCTGCACCTCCCATTTCACGTGATTTGACTTCAACTCGCTCAACAATCTCTTCATATTCATCTGAATCATCCCCCTCCTCTTCTTCATCCTCATCACCACTTTCATGCTCACCGTGTTGGCCACCATGACCATATTGTTCTTCTTCCAACTCCCTACGAAGTCTTTCATGTTCGGCACGTTCAGGACTATAGATATCCTTATTATTTTGCTCATAATAATTCTTCTTTTCAGACCAACCAGCAGCGCCTTGATAACTACTAGCCTCACCTTGAGATGCTTTGTTCCAAGATAATTTGTTTGGTTTTTCATCATTGGCGTCATCTTCACTTTCCTCCTCCTCTTCTTTTTCTAGTATTTGACTTTCTTGATGCTCCCGCTTTTCCAAAAAGGGTTTGACACCGAGTGTAACACCAATAAAGCTCGAGACTTGGCGTTTTAGAACGTTCAAGACTTGCTTGTCACTGTCTAAAGACATGGCTCTTTCAGCATGCAAAAACATGTTATCAAATAACTGCACAGCTTTATCCACCTGAGGTTCTTCATCTTGACGCAAGAGACCATTTAAATGGATAGCCATTTTGTCAAGCAAAGTGTTGTTTGAAACAAGCGTATCAACCGATCGCATAGACTATCATAGTCAGCATGTTAGTACTATCCTTGCATTTATGTCAGGTACTAACATGTTTTAACAGTTGGGAGAGACTAAGAGGCTTATCCTCGTTCCACGGAAGGGATTCTGACATGATAAACTAGGAGGAAAAGAAAGATAAAAAGGGGGAAAGAAGTCTTGAGAAATAAACGGAATTGTTTCCGTTACGAAAAGGGGCATTCAAGTTCCACGAAATCAATTTCGGAGCCCTCTTATTTAACCACGCCGGATAGAATTTAGCTGAAAGATTGTCTTCAGTGGCTTATTCGATTTCTATGACTTAGACCCTTTTCAAGTTGTCTTCCCAAGTTCGGAGAGATGCCATCTATGGTAATGATGACACTAGATTATTTCCATAAGTGGAGGGGAGTTTGAGAAGACGAAAAGCTACTCTTAAATTTTGCAAGCATCGTAAGAGGACGTACCAAGCTTATTTTGCAGTGTTCAGCACGCTAGAAGTTGTTTTCAGATCAAAAAAGGCTAGCTATTCAATATCACATTAGGGGTATGGTTAGTAAGTCTTTAATCATATTTCTGTTAAATAATTGTTTTATATAGGATGCATCTTTTTATGTTGAAGTAATCTATTTTGGTTATGAAAAAGTTAAAAAATGAATTTCGAGCTATAGAGAATACAACGCTCTAGTCTAGTTGGGATGTCATCTAAAGGGAATACATCATAAAGGATGCCATAAAAAAATAACTGTTTAACTCAATAATTGAATCACAATAGAAAAAAAGGAGAAAAATAAAGAGGAAGTTTGTGATATTCAAATATGATTGTTCCCCATTCAGCTAATTAATGAATTGTATTTATAGACAAATAGCTTGTAGTTAAGTCAGTAAAAATGAAAGTGATGAGAACTATGTGATTTAGAAACACGGAATTGCAGAAGTGTTTGTATACGATCATCATTACTTTGAGTGACAAGTAATTATTATACGAGTACATATTTTTACTTGGCAATCGGAAGTACTTGCATGTTTAGCCTGTCCATTGTTTTACAACATCTATGTTTAAGATGTGTTAGAACGAAGGTTGTAACTTATCTATATGCGGAAGAGAAAGTATATGTTTTAGATATAACATGTTCAATGTATATTTGTTATTTAGCATGTGTTTTGTAGAGTTGGTTACAAGTGTAATGCGTATCTAAGTATTGCATATCTATGTTTGTATAATACAATAGCTATTCAAAATAGTACTATTAAAACGTTTGCTGTTGAAATATCAGAAATCAACCAAACTTTTGTTTGTATAAATATAATTATTGAAAAGAAAAATATTGTCAAGACAAAAAAAAACCAAAAACCAAAAACCAAAAATGTTATCAAAAAATTAACAGAAAGTTAACAGAAAGTTAACAGAAATATGTGTCAAGTAAACTAATAAAATAAAATCAAAAACAGGCCACTGTTATGAGTAGGTGAAAGTGAGAGAAGGATTACAGCCTTGCGCGCACTTGCTTTTCATCTGCAAGCAGCTATAAAGCAGTACGTGTTTGTTGTAGGGTAGAGTAGGCATTAAAGGAGATACTATCAAAGACAAATCTCTAGTGTGCTTTCCAATGTAAGGAACTACATACATCAATTCAATAATAACAGAAATAATACTCCCTCGGACCCAATGAGCTTATACGGTATATTACCCACAGACCATTAATAGACTTTTGACAAATCTTATTGAGAGCAAACAATAATAATATGTATTACCAAACAAAGACATGAACCTAATAAGCTAATTATGCTCGGAGAAACTGTTAATCCCAATTAAACAACACAATCTCTACTAGATGTCACTAATGAAAGGAATATTAATATCCTCACTAGATTTAAGGCAACTCACATATAAATGATCATAGTCTCTAGAGAAATGTAGACACAAATTTCCTTAAATTAAAAGATTAAAGCCCCTCTTAATCGAACCACCTACTACCTCTATAACAAGTGTTTTTTTTTGTGAACGAAATTACTATATCCAGACTTGCGAAAGGGCGGTAATGACAATGTTAATGGTTTTAAGTTCTTCTTCTGTGAGTAATCTATTTTGGAGAAGCCTAGTATAAGAAGTGCTTATATAACATCCTCTACAGTGGCTGTAGGCCATAGAAACTTGAAAATAAGATTATTCCAGAAAAACGTCTCAGGGTGGAGTTTGCAAATGGAATAAAGAGGTGAGGGGAACTTATTAGGAATTATGTAATAGAGAAGTTTTCTGGAGGATGGTTTCGAAACCAACGGCAGATACATCATATTACGAGCCACTGGCTGCAGAGACTAACTCCAAACCTCAGCCCAAAAGGCTCTAGAAATGGCTTGCAAGCGCTCCGGGGCAGATATAGTACTCTGACAATTTAACCAAAATTTCTTAGTTGACACTCTAGTGACTAATACAGTCAGAGCTGCGAGTTGTAAAGAGTCGACAAATGAAACAGTAGTATCAGAATATTTAATTAACTTGAAGTCCGCTAACATTTATGCCGACATGGCAAGTATGCCAATTGTGTACTCAAAAAAATATTTTTGAGAAAAAAATAGAAACCACTACTTTAAAATAAATCAAAATTATTTTCTACAATGACAAAAAAAAAAGTAAAAAATTCTTAATTTTCTGTTTTAAATTAATAAAAAAAAGTAAAAAATTCTTAATTTTCTGTTTTAAATTAATAAAAAAAAGCTTGTTTTTCAATTTTTCTGTTCTAAATTAATGAACGAGTCTACCAGATGTTGATTTTGCTTTTTTAATTTAAACAGATATTACTACTTGGTAGACTCGTTCATTAATTTAGAACAGAAAAATTGAAAAACAAGCTTTTTTTTTATTAATTTAAAACAAAAAATTAAGAATTTTTTACTTTTTTTTATTAATTTAAAACAGAAAATTAAGAATTTTTTACTTTTTTTTTTGTCATTGTAGAAAATAATTTTGATTTATTTTAAAGTAGTGGTTTCTATTTTTTTCTCAAAAATATTTTTTTGAGTACACAATTGGCATACTTGCCATGTCGGCATAAATGTTAGCGGATGTTAAAATGCACATATTTTTCTGTAAATCCATTGCATTCATGAGAAGTTCCTGACATCTACGGCTACTACCGTGGCCTTTTTATAGGTCTAGCTTTAATTTGTATATAGATATCACATATTCTAGTAATCCCCTAATTTTTCGTATTTTTGATTTGTGTTAGTGTTGGCTATACACGCCTCACTGTTGACAAGTCGTACAAGTAGTCCCGATTCATGAGAGAGGCAATCCAACTGATCTAGTCAATTATTACCTAATTGCTCTGACTACTACTTCCAGAAAAGCGCTCTAAACATGCATCAAGGAGCTTCTCCAAAGCCAAGAGTTGCCCTTAGACACCGCTTAAGATAGCTTGAGAGAATGTAAAAGTTCTTTTGACCAAGCTCTTTGTCTTGCCAAATCTTATATTATGCTACGCTATCACCATAAAATGTTCCCATTACTTGCTTTCCTGGACATTAAATCCAACTATGACACATTAGACCTCAATGTCAACTGGCATCAATCCTAAACCACTATGTCTGCTGATCTGTTAGCCTTGCTACAAGACATGCTCAAAAATATCATGATTAAAGCTCGTTTGCTCAATACCACGTTGCAAAGTTTTTCACCACTAAGTAGGGTACTATGGAGATTCATTCTTCCATTATGTCTACACACCCGCCATATTAATGGTCTTCCTCAACTGCTGCATGTTACAGCCATAACCGATGATATATCCGCCAGCTAGTTCATTGCTTTTGTCAATTTCTTATTATATACAGACGATGTTGTGTTGATTGCTACCAAGCGGTCTTCTTGATCTCTCTTCGACCAATGTGCTGAGCATAGTCGCACGCTAGGCTATAGATGGGACTCTACTAAATATATTATTGTCGTACTTGGAAAAAACATATCTGTGTATGCTCTCCCTGCTGCATTCATCTCACGACAAGATATTTTTTCTTATCCCTTAATTCTTTTTCAAAACGAGAGGCATTCTCAGTCCTAAAGACTTGCATAAACAATTGCTAATAAAGCTCACTCAACTATGACCATGCTATTCTCTATTGATGCCAACAGCGCTGGGTTCTTGGGCTTCCAATGGAAAACCTCGAGCGCATTCATCTAATTCACTGGCGACCCGTTTGACTACCTGGAGGAAGCATTAAGCCTTGTTTATGTGACACACACTTTTCTCGTTAATTTTTTTTTTTCAATGTCAATCTGTATACTGCGCTCGGCCAACTTACAACTGTCTCCGATTCTTTGTTCCACACGTTAGACTGACTTCCTATAAAACTAGCTAAGAATACTAGCTCTGTATTTTATTGGAGTATCAAATGGGCCTCTATTGATTCCATCCTATTGCAAATTTCTTCTACGCAACATGCTATCACAAACACATTGCCTCTCCCAACAACCAATCAACTGTCTCTCTTCTTTCTTTGACCACAGACATACATCCAACAATATCATTATATCAACACTTTTTCCTCTATACATTTTTCATCCTTGTTATCCTGAGTAGAGTTTAAATTTAGTTTAGTTTAGTTTAGGTGTTCTTGAATTAAACAAATTCGAGTAATTTAGACGAAATTAAGCCGTATACTCAAGATTGCTTTTTATATAAGCTCAATAGATTGGACAGAATTTATGCAGATACACAAGTATGCTGTAGTGTTTAGGTTGTGAAATGAAATATAACTGAAACAAAGAAATACAAAATAAATTGATTATTCTTCCTAAAATATATCTTTTCCAGGTTGTCTTTTATACTATCTGATTTATTGACTAATTGTGATTATTGATTATTGATTACTTAACACTTTGACAGCTTGTGCCTGGGAGTTGACTACGTAGATTCTCCTTTAATTCTCCTGGTAATCTAAAAGGTACAATTATGGTTTCCTTATTTGTAAATATCCATATTATCCCAGTTACCACTATTTACTGTCATTATACAATGCTTACTTTATATTTATGATGTATAGTGCTATAAGTGATTATTCGTTTATATGATGAAAGACTATTTATTATATTTTGTATTGAAAAGTACTCAGATCACCACATACGCCATTTGTGTTGATAAAAAAATACTTCTGAAAAGTAATTACTTTCAAGTAAAAGAAACTTGAATTTTACCTTTTTTTGTTTAAACTGGATCGAATAGAGATATTAAATCAAACGATTTGAAACTAAAAATCTTTAAATTTCTTATTTTTTTGCTTCAAATTTAGAAAATAAAATAAAACTTTACTGTTATCTGTTCATCCACATTTACCCATGCTCATTCATGTTCATCCATGCTAATTTATCAATATCAAAATAAGAGCGAGAAAACTAAGGTCAAATAAATAATGCAGTTAATTGAGTCAATAGTAAGTCCGTTTTTATAGATAATTGCTTGTATCAGGACCCAACATAATCTGTAGAAGTCTTTATTTTATACAAAAACCTTAAATAGTAGAGTTGGTCCAGATAATTTATTGATTACTTCTGTAGAATGATCTGTATTAAACGAGTCAGCCAATCTCTAATCTGTTTAGTGTTGTTGACAGGTTGATGTATAAGGTCTTTTACCTATTTTAAGATATTTTATCAATAAGACCATGACTGCATAATTAGATGTAAATCGTTTGCTAACAGACATTTGCCAATTGAAGCAACTGTATTAAATCATGTAAATAAGATTGTAAATCTTTGAGCTGGATGTATATCTACTATAAATAAAGCGAGTAATTAAATTATAGCTGTGAATATACGGTTATTCGCACTAGATTTAATGCATTGCGAAGTTCGACATTTTTATAAGCAAATTTTCCCTTTCTTTGCTTTAAGCAAGTCAAGTGTCTTTTTATCAAAATATTCCATTCAAATAAGCTGTTTGATGGTCCATACCTGAAACATGTAACAAAAACTCTAGCTAAATAAACGCTATAGCAATAAAAGAAAGGCGACTATTCCTACAAATTTACTTCTTTTTTCTTGGCATACAAAGGTAACATAAATCTTTTTTCGTACATGTATAAACGCTTTAAATACTTAAAAAATATGTTTACTAATATTTATGGTACCTTTAGAGTTAATCTGAACTAAGAAAAGCGATTTGTAAGAAATGACCGAAATGACCATTCGACCAGAGGGTATTATTACCTATGAAAATTGCTCATTTGAAAACTTCTGAACTTCTTTTTGACACTACAGGACAAAAAATGAAGTTATCGACAAGAATAAATACTTAAAACGAGCGTCAGAGGCTCTAGTTTTTAGTGAATGCGTTTGTTAGATTGTTGTATTATAAAAGCGGTATGATAAGTGTGAAAAACCCATAAACATTTTTGCCTATTTACTCAATATTCTAGCAGCAAATTTGTTGTGTCCATTATATCAATAAACTTAGGAATCAAAGATTTACAGCTTTTGTCACTACACCAAAGCAAGATAACCGCATCTTTAGGCAGTTCTCAGCCAAAGCTCCAATTTTGATGTGGCGAGAAGAATCGGAATTGCCTTCCATTTCAATCTTCGCAGCATAGCCATCTGGTATGTTCCATGTTCATTTGCTCCATATTTGTGTTAAAAAAAAGCCTGTGGTTCTATTTCTCTATGCTCTTTAGCACTCAAAATAACATAAGTCCCTTTAGAGAGATCTATTACTGACAAGTTTTATATAAAATCTATAGCAAAAACACTCAAAACATTGCTCAAACAAGTCATTCTTTGATGCACCATTACTCGACAAACAGACTACTAAAATGGTTCGTTTCCTCATTTAGAACATGCTCTTTCGAGTCAAGAAGTCGAATGATACCATTGATTCGACAGTTTTGTGAAATCTGTTTTTTGACCTATGGGGGATCCACGGAGATCCGTGAAGATGGAAAAAAAGCTCATCTAAAAATTTTTGGAATAACCAATTGTAGGTCTGATCCAACCGAAATGAGCTAGGATCACGTTTAGATACTTCTGACAAAAAGAAAATGAGTTTGCTAAGACGAAAAAGTCGAGTTTATTTGAGCGTTGGCTTCAAATCTGCATCCAGAGTTCATTGTACACTGTAACTGGTAGAAAAGAGACCGTTTTCAGTAAATATTGATTAGGAAATAGTAGCTTTTTTTTAGCACCATTTGATGCAAGGAGCCTTTAAGATTAATTCTTGCTACAATGCGTGGTGTTCTTAAGGCTAAAAAGAGAAAATTTGAATATGATAAACAATGAATGTTATGCAAAAGGAGTGTTCGGTGTCTCAAACCTCGGCCTTCTTTTTACCTTGCTTGTTAGATGTATTCTCTGCTTTGATAAGCATGCTTTTTCTCTTTGCCAATGGTTACAAACTGCAATTGCTTTTTGATCGAGTTGACAGAAAGAAGAAACAGAAATATAAAGACCAGAGAACAGACATCAAATACACAAAAGCAAAACGCGTATATATGTAAACACACTTGCTTCTTTTGTACCTTTTTGCATAAAGTATAGCTCCTGATTATGTCCAATCAACAAAACTCTAGCCAGGAATATTACACGTGGTTTCGGTATCACCTAAAATCAGAAGAGCGCAAAAAAAAAGTAAACCGAACAGATAAAAAAAAAGGAAATGTCTCTCTTCCGATTTGATGGCATAATTGGCTACAAAATGAGCTTCCTGAACAATAAAGATCTTGGTTCAAAAGAACAAAAATAAAAGACAAGAGTTAGTTACATGTATAATGATCTTAATACTTCTTTTTTCCAAAAATGAGTTTTCATTAGTTTTTAGTCTATTTTAGTAAATACTCTTTTTGCCTATTGAATAAAGGCTATAAAGACATCATTTCATTTGAATTGAAGATTTGTGTTTTATGAGGATTACCATGTTGATACTATTTGAGCAGTCTTGATTTATTTATATATCCAGGAATTCAAGCTTGGCCAGAGAACCATACCTGTAGATACTGTGTTTTTTTTTGTTTCCTTAATAAAAAAAATAGCACTAGTAAAATATAGTTTGTAGTGTTGTTTGTTTAAAAGAATAACTCAGCTAACACTATCAACATTAGCATGATCAAATTGGTATACGATTGTACCAGTTATTGGCTGAAAGAATTCTTGATCTTCTGTTTGAAAATAGCCAAAAGGATGCTTTATAATTAGACAAAGCGGCTATTTTTTCCATGTATTTTTCTTCGGATTTCAGAGCTACTCTAAAACTAATATATACACTCATATTAGTCAGCATTAAATCAATGCGTTGAACAAAAAAAAGAAAAAAAAAAAGACAATATAGGAATTTTTTGGAGGCAAAGAAAACAAATGATTGAAGCCATGAAGAATATATATATTTCTGCTCTCTGACTCAAGAAAAGAGAAGGCAGCAAAAATCGCCTGTCTCTCATGAATTATATCTACAAAAATTACACCTATTCTGCGTTGACTCTTTTAAAGTTATGACACTGTTGCACACCTTTTTAATTGTCAATATTGACATCTCCTCATTGTGTTCAAGTGGCTTAGTGCCATGAAAGCAATTCAAGACGTATTCTTATTCACTGGTTCAAATAGCTCTTTATATAGTAAGGTATGGCCTGAGAGACATCAGAAATTGAAATATATTACATTACACAAAGGACGATCCATGGTACGCCTCTCAGTTAATGAACAAATCCTAGAATATAACATGTTTTTATTGTATAAAAATAAATAATTCAATTAAAAATATAAATCTGTTGTAACACTTGTGTTACATTTTATTTTGATACATTTTACAGAATGGTAGGCACTAGAAAATCATCAGTGCTCGAGGTATCGTTTTTGTAGTTTGTCGATAAACAAGTGAAAAATAAAGGATCTGAGCAAATGTTGGTGTCTATAGTAAGCTTAGGTCGTTGTAATTTCTTTCTTTTCTTTTGTCCAAAGTAATGGTCAGTCATGGATAAGATGGGTGGAGTGTTTGGACTGTTTTCTGGACTAGACATCATGTCTTCGTCTTTGACAAGATGAGGCAAAATCTCGAGAGTCAATTGAGGTGGTTTGATGGTCGGGTTTAATTTATAAAGCACAGGAGTCGAAAAAATGTCAGAGCGATCATATTCATCAGCAGAGTATGTTTCCAGAACAGTGACTTCTGAGGCAAATCGTACAGTTTTCATTGTAAATTTACGCTTAAGAGATTTTCTTGGTGAGCTCATTGGGGGAGGGAGGGAGGGAGAAAGGATTGTATAAAAAGAAAGAAAAGGAATAGATTAAGGAAAGGAGAGAGTGTATGTATTGATGTTTTAATAGAAATTTATTGTTTTATGAGCTCCTGAAAAGCTACAAAGTTCATAATATAACAATAAGAGAATAAGAAAGAGAGAAAATGAAAAAAGAAATACAAAAAATTTATACATGTTCTAAATAAAGGTTGTGTAGCCCCTTTTCTTATTATATCTATATAGTTTAGTGCTGTACACTGTGTAGTGCAAAAATACTTTTTATAATTTATTTAAAATAAAAAGAAAGAACCAGGCTGCAAATTTGTAGGAGGCTGATCAAACAGAACAGGAAATTGAACAGGCTGGTAAGCAGGGAAGAAGGGACTGAATTCCTGTAAAGGTATAGGTTGTGGCGTGCCACCATCTTGAAGAGGTCCTCTTTGCATTTGTTGTAATACAAGTGCACGGCGCTGATCTAAAGGCATTTTTGAAGGGAAGATATTATCATTGTAATTAGGTGCCCAAACTCTTCTTTTCTTCAATTTGTCTCTTCTTCTCTTTTCTGCTGCTAGTTTTCTTGCTCTCATTTCCCTTAATCTCTTTGCTTCGGCTTGTGCCTTGGCCTTTGCTTCTTCCTTGTCTCTGTAAGCCTTGTCGGTAGGTAACTATACAACATAAATACATTGGAATGCATAAACAAGTCACTTACAGTCCAGCAATAAATGTAGTCAAAGTCATATTTTTTGCGCTCCATAACTGCCCTAAACTTTTGACGCCATCCTTCATAGTCAGGTTTCTCTTCAAATTCAAGTTTTCGAGTATATTCAAGAAATTCACCAATTTCAGGTTCAAATCCTCTGCATAATGACTGCATTGATGTCTGTTTTTTTGACTGGTATATCTGTCTATACTTGGTCAGCTCGCAATTTGTATGGAAACCCTGCCAAGGAAGATTTCCTCTTAACATATAAATAAGAACATAAGCAATTGATTCCATGTCATCTCGACGAGAAAGTTCTATAGTATAAAGTAAGTACGTTATCGTATGAAAAAGAAAAAAAGAGATCATTACCATATCCTCTATGTGAATTCATACTTGCATATCTTGCAGTACCGGTAAGGCTTTTATCATGTCTCATAGAAATATGGCGGTTTCCCTGCATGTATCGTTTACCGAGACCCAAGTCAAGCATATACAGAGTGGATGATTCATCGTCTAGACCCATTGCAAGATTATCAGGCTTAATGTCACGATGAACAAAACCTACTTTGATGTGAGTGATAAAAGAGAAACAGTAGAAACAATTTACCAGCATTATGCAGTGTTTCAACACGATCGATCTAATAAATTAGTTTTCTGTCTACTTTCATTAGCAAGGTTACCAGTTGAATGCCCAGCATAAGAACACTCTTCAGTTTAAATTTCTTATGAGGTACAGCATGAAGTACAGATTCCAAGTTTTTATCAACAAGTGTTAGGATTAAGCATCTATAACTAGATTCGACTGTAGAGAAATATTCATGTAGCTCAAGGAAGCCTTTTGGGTTTGGTGGAAGTCCGCGGTATATGTCTCTTTCTTCTTTTATTTGCTGGTATGGTCCTCTTTTAAGTTCTGCTTTTGCGGCGTAGACGCGATTTGTTTTTATTTCAATGACTATTGTACAATGTGAGTTACAAGGTGTACATCAACCATGATAGAATACCTTTATAGATTGTACCAAATGATCCGCTTCCTAACTTTTCTTTTCTTTGATATTTGTTGTTACATATTATATCTGGTAACATTACAGGTGCTTCTTGTGGAGTAGTAAGAGAAAAACAACAATCAAAAATTAAAACATAGTAAAACAATGTGGCTGTAATTGATCTAATTGAAACGCAGCTAAAGATTCTAGCTTATGACTAGACTCATATGGCTGATACAGATAGGAATCAGCAGCATACCTCTGTTAGCATACATGTCCTTTTATTTCGAAATGGTCGAATCATAGTTATATACATATAGGCGCTATTAATTCTGATTCCTCGAAAACCTAAATATCAAAGTAAAGTGAGGGCAGAGAGAACAGGTGTATTCCGAGTTTGAAAAAAGCGATAAAGCAAGTCTAAGTTCTCATTTACCTTTCAAGTGACTTATAGTATCTTTACTATTACGATAATAATAGTTGAATGAATGAATAAACTCATGTCGTTTTGCAGTAAAAAAGTCCATCACATGCCCAAAAAACTGATGCTTATTCAGTTTAATGTGTTGGAACATTTGGACAAAATAGAGAGCAAAAGCTCTGGCTTCCAAGCTGCTAATAATGGCCTAAAAAAAGACAACACTCATCTGAATATCAGGTACGAATACGAAAGAAGAACAAAGATACTTTTTTGGGATCAACCACTGCTCTATATGTGACATCAGTGACAACTAATTGCTTATAAAAGGGAGGTTTATATTTCATTATATCTGGAGCAGCAAATACAGTCATATAGTCCTTGTTGGTAGAAACTTGAACATAGAATATCTGCCCTTTGTATCCTTTTGTCACTTTCGGAAGTCTCCAAGAAAATCAGTACTTTCCTCAATCCCCAAAAAGAATTCTCTTGAGCGAGATTAAAGCAAGCACAAAGCTTTTTAGGGTGGTATAAGGATTGCTCTTGAATTTCTCAATGAATTCTTTCTCTTATTCAGAGCCTATCCAATGTAAAGATTGCAGCTCTTGAAATCAGTCAATTTTTCGCTGTGAGGCTCAACGACAAAAGATTCTTGATGATCACCACTTGAAAAATGGATCTTGACATAATTTGCTTTATGAAAAGATTCTTCTTTTGACATTCTAAAGTTATTTTGAGAAAGAAGCATACACCATGAGAGTTAAATTTCATGTACACGCGTTGAAGTACACCGAGGGGAGGGAGATACAACTATTTTTTCTGTTTGTGCTGAATTTTGCTTCTCTTGCAAGCAAGCTACTTGTAGGCCTCGTTCGCATATCGACTCAGAATCTCCCTGCCAGGATGAAATAAGTCTGCCCCGGTTTGCTCTGCTGATTGGAGAACTTTGCTGCATTATTCTCAAGGATTATTTCTTGTAGACTAATGCAACACTTTCTTATATACCTTTTTGGTAACTTAACTATTCTTTAGCAAACATCTAGCGAAAAGAAAAAAAGACAAAAGAGATGAAAACCTGGATAATACTATCATTGTCAGATAAGAGATAAACTATGTTGTTTATCGATCAGTAAAAAGGGCTGAGTTATATACATACAAGAAGTAATACTTCAAAATATCATCCACTTGAACAGCAATATATCTTTCTATAGTACTAAAGTAGAAAATAAATCTATCTTAAGACATCTACCTTTTTCTCAAGTAAACTGTATATTGACAATCAAATTGTAAAGGCTGTTTGCAAGATTCTTCGAACGTGGCTTCATAAGCGACTGTTTTGAAAACGACTATTTAACGAGAAGAAAAAAATAAACTAACTCTTACTTTTGCATCAGTAGGCAGAAGAAAGTTTATTAAAAAGCAGAATTGGATCTTTATAGTAAAGAAAACAATTGACTTACACTTCAACTACATTAGCATTTGCATGGCTTCTCTTTGTGCTTACAGGCTCTTTAAAAACAACCTAGGCAAACGACAGTTAGAGCAAAAATATAAAATTAAATTATTAGAGATTTACCAGAGTGTTCCATGCTTTTGCATCGTATCCTTTCTTTACCTGAAAACAAAATTATACTGAGTCTATAATTATTTATGAGTATCATTTATACATACTTCTCAAGTCCATATTGCTTTGCACTTTTTGAGAAAAGAGCAAACCAGTTACTGAACTCTTCCGTGTCAATAGGGTTGATCGCGCTTCTGATCGATGCATAGTGACTTCGAATGAAGTCTTCAAAGGTAAACTCAGTGTCATTGCTCTTGCAAGAAGTAAAGTCAGTTGAAGCACATCAGTAAAAAGACAATTTGAAAAGAAACGCGTCAAAAAGTCTATGTGGATCAGGCGTACATTGTTTTATTTTTCTCTGCTATTTTATGCTCTCAGCCAAATTACAAGCCAGGCTATGATCGGTGATCCACCAATTGGGATAGCTAGTAATGCCAAAGAATTTAAAAGACAGATGTCTTATGCAACAGCAAAGTCTTTTAATAGTTGATTTGGTTTTGTTAAGAATTTTAAAAAAGAGATCTTTGCAATTGCTTCCATATCAATGACCAAGGAATGGTATTAAATAATGCGGCTGATTAATTTAGTAGGCTGTAAAAAAGAGAAAAGAAAAAGAAAGATGACATCTTTGAAATAAAACCGAGATTTTAAATTGTAAAGAGAAAAAGAATATAAGCGAGAGATTTTATTAGAAGCTGATTTAAAAGCCAGTGCATGCGCACACCTCAAATATATGCCAGTTTAGTGTTTTTAGGCGGCCGAAATGGAGGTAGAGATCATATCCAAAAAACTGTTTTTTACGACTATCCATCTCTCTTTTTCAAAGCTGAATCACTGTATTATCCTTCTTAGAAATTGCAACATTTCATTTTTGATTTGAAGCATCTTACACATTTAAATTCTAATCAATCATCATGTTTGACTTTATTAAGAAATTGTTGATCCAAAGTCATCACAGTTGCTGATCTAGCTACTCCAACATTTATTGTTCTGTACTATAATTCCCAAGAATATATATGACTGAATTAAGGATAACGCTGATACATGATTATCAATAGTTCAGCAAGAGTATAGTGGATTTAAGTCAATGCCTAAAACCGATTATGTGGACTCGAAGATTAGTGGTCATCTCGTTATATACTTTTATAATAAAAACCGCTGTTCTATATACATGATTTTATAGTATGCTTGTTCGTTTTGATTGGATATGCAATGTGTGTTTATTGTAGATGAAAGCTAAGACCTGCCCTATTACAAGGACGCTAAATGTATGAAAATGTTACCCATACTCTCTGCTTAATTACTGGAAAAAAAGCTGGATTTTAGCCCCACATAGGTGTAACTTGTGGGTATTGATGTAGTGATGCGTGTGAAACTGTATGGAAACTGGGGAGGGGGTAAATTTACCCTACTTAATCCCCTCTTTTAAGCGTATGTGAAAGCATACCAATCTTATAGTTTCGGACAATGGGTATTGTCAATAATACGCACGTAGCTGTCATAGCGTATCAATGATCTCTTACCTGAATGTGAGTACCTGTTTCTTCTATGAAAATGGGCAGAGAAAGGCTATCAACGAAGAAAGCAAAACCGCGATGGATTGAGTTGAGAAAATTGATCTCTCATTCAGAAACTCTTAAAAGGTTGCAAGAGCATTAAAGAGTTTAACCATTTGCACAAGATCTTATAAGAAACGAGCTTTATGAGACCATGAACAAAGTCATTGCAAGGGAAAAAAAGTAAAAAGGTGAATAATCCATTTGTTTGATGGGGCACCACCATTTATAGTAGTAGTGCTTTATCGTGCATAAGAATAGACACGACATGATTACATTATTTGGGAAAATGTATCAATTAGGCTTGTTATTAGATATTCTGACATTATAGTCTTATCCTAATAGTACTTTTTTACTTGTTATTAATTGATATTATAATTCTGATAAATCAAGCAGTACTTGCTCTAGGCATATTGAAAGGGTTGAATAAAAATGTCAAAGTGCTCTATTTTATATGCTTTTCAAATGTGTTGATGTCTTTTGTCTTTTAGAAATGAACGTTGAGTCGAATGGAATAACACACAGACTGCATTCATTAATAAAACAACGCATATTCAAGAACAATGTACAGCATGTCTTTTGTATGAATGACAGTTTAGTTAAAGAAATGGTTCTATCGTATAGTTTTGGCTGTGAAGGTGGTAATAAAAAAAAAAGTAAAAATCGATTCCAGTTATAAATCAGAAAATTGACTTTCTCGTTTGGTTAAATCACTGTTGTGCTCAGGTGTTAAAGACAAGCCAAACTGGCCCTTATTTCAAAGTCAATACTCAGCCAACAAATGTATACTTTGTTTTCAAGTATCTAGCTTTTTTGAAAGTAAAACTTCAATGGAAAATATTCTTGGTTTTAATAATCCTATCTCTATTCGGATCTATATACACGTTGTACCTTTTTTTTTAATTTTTTTTTTAAATCAGTATTTTTGGACTTGAGCTACACAAAATCATTAAAGAGTTTATAATACATCTCTATTCGAATATGTACGGTAAAAAGGCAGCACTCGATATGGATTAAATGCAATGTTGATTTTGTCTCATATTTCCTTTTTTGTAAATCGAAACGAACGAAAAATAGATCTGTGCAATGCCCATCCCGGAGCCTCAACTTATAAATAGCAGTTATACAGGTACATTTTAGTTCAAGCTAATCACTTATAATGTTGGTTAAAACCAATTGACAGAAAAATGCAAGGCGAAGGTTAAGAAAGGAGAATAGCCTTATTTTTTTTAAGTTTATCTTTCTTAAAAAATGACGCATCGCTTCAAGGCAGTAAAATCAGATTTCTTTGTTACATTTTGGGCTCATTTTAAAAGGGAGCATATACACTATTTAAATACGCTTCTTCTTTCCTTGTCTCCCCCATACACACTAGTTTTGCCCCCTTATTTATATTATTTATATCCACCCCCTTCTGCCCCCCAATAAATATACACATAAATAACATAGGGTTAGAGCCAGAGGATGTTACCACCTTTTTTGAAACACGATGTAAATAGCCACCCTTCTTCTTCTTCCGAATACATTACAAAACACAGAAAACCAAGTCAAACTCATCTTGAAATGTTATCTCTTGACTTGGGTCCTTCTTCATCTTCCTCAAAGAGAGACAAAGGCTTTTATAACAACAGTAAAGACAAAAAGTATACTGCCAGCACTGCTTCAGCAAGACGCTCTACTCTATCATTGCTACAGCACAAATGGTTCAAGTTGTTTCTTGTTGTTGTAGGACTATTGTTTATCTTTGGCTATATTCCTTTCTTTCGGTTTATTCGACATGATGCTAAGACACATCCCAATTGGAGCATCAAAGAGAATCCTTTACCTACATCTGTTGAACGAGATCAGATCATCCTTTACCGTATTATTGGTAATGATCTCCCACCGCGCCACAAAGAAGGCCAGACACTTTCCAATCTACAGTTTATTCTAGACCACGAACCCAGTTTCCCAAAGACACGCAAAATCTTTCTGCTGAACCGCATTATTGACCCAGTCAACGAGGCCACTATCATTCGGTTACTTGATTCGTATAATATGGAGTATATTCGAGTGCCCTTTATTCAACAAGAATATGAACAACTTGACTTTCAACTAGAAAAGTTCCCTGACGCAGACTTTCTTCATTCTGATGATTATCGTCGATTCTCTAAAGTATCTAAACTTCGAGCATTGGATTACACGTATCATACCAAGAACCTTTATGCTATGAATAATGTGAGTTTGTTTATTTTTTTAACAAGGCTTATTGACATTGTTTTCTTTAGAACGGTGGACGTAATACAGCCATCGAGCATGGACGTAGTATACCCAATGCAAGATGGATTATGCCTTTTGATGGTAACTGTTACTTGAGCAGAAATGGGTTTGAGGAGATCAGATCACAGCTTGAGAAATACGGTAAAGACACTAAATATTTTGTCGTGCCCATGACGCGTCTTTTGAACAACTCTGTCCTGCTCAACAACCTTGATGAACGGCCCAAGACACCAGAAGAACCACAAATTATATTTCGATATGATTCCACTGAAGAATATAACCTGAATATGCGTTATGGTAGAAGAAGCAAGGTAAAGTGTTTACCGTTTGATCTTATCCATGCTGATCATTCTATAGCTTGAATTATTGTGGCGCTTAGGTGCTCTTGAAAACAGAAGATTAAACAGACCTACTGTACCTTGGGAACCTACAGAGCGTCCTTATAGTAAAGATAAGGGTAATTTCAAGAATATTGGCTGGGTCTTTCGTTTGTTTTCTGGTAATCCCTCTCAGGAAGAAAACAAAAAAGAAGCCTCTTCTATTCGTGCCTTTAATCGTTTGATGGCCATTCAATCTTCCTTGGATAGTTTGGATGAAAACATTGCTCGTACAAAATTCCACCATGACAAACTCTTTTTGTACAATGAAAAATCAATGAATCAAGTAAGATATGATCGTTGGATGAACAATGGTGAAGTAGGTTTTGCTATTGAACAATTAGAGAAAAAGGCAGATTTGATATTGGAAGAAAGCCAAAAGCGATTAGCACCCATTTCCTCTGCTACAGATAAAGAAGATGGGCTTCCCTTTGACACTGTGCCTGAAAAAGATGAATTGGGTCCTCTTTCTCAAAATGTGACTATTTTGACAATGGCCAACTATTTTACAGGCAATGAAAAGTATGGTCGTGGTGCTGCTAATCTGATTCGTGTACATTTCCTGAACGAATATGCTGTTGAAGACGAAGACGAGTATAACTCTGCACGTCGTATTCCAGACGATAGTCATTTGCTTGACTTCTTATCTGACCAAGGCTATTACTTTCCTAGTCTAAGTCGCATTTCTCATGTCGTACCCAAGTATAGCAACAACCGTATCCTTAACACCTCTGATTTGACCAAGACAGACGTATCTTCTCTTCTGGACTGTATACGTATGCTTCGACACATGCAGGCTTTAACTCACAAAGAATACATCGATCTACAGGCAATCACGGCAGAATTTCTGGAATACCTGGTAACTTCACCAACCGGTATTCATTTGGCTCAGATGACAGATCATCGTGGCGTTTTGTACGACCTTCAGATCACAGCGATGGCAGCATTTACAGATGATGTAAGACTGTTTTTGCGCGTAGCCAATCGTTGTCGTATGCGCATTGGCAAACAGTTTAGAGAAGACGGTTCTCAGCCCTACGAAGAAAGTTCTACACGCGGTCGTCTATTGTCTAGTAATATCGAGATGGATAAACAAGTCGAATGGAGAGCCATGCTTCACTATGAAACATTGAATCTGCAGTATTGGACCTTGCTCACAAGAGGTATTCAAAATGCGGGCATTGCAAAGGATATCTGGCACTATACAGCTGCTAATCAGGGTCAAATTTCGCATTCTGTTGTGGCTCATCTCAAGAAAAATTCAGACGCTTTGCCTAGTTTGACTGCTGGGGATGCTGCCTTTGTCAAGTCACGTTTACAGCCCTTGGCTTATATGGCACAGGCTGCCTTTAGTCATAGTCACCATGCAAATACGCCAGTAGACCCAGCCGTAAAAGAAAGAACAGAAGCTGATCGAATTTGGATGACAAAACATTTGACTGATTTTGGTGAAAGATGGGATTTGTTGGGTCAAGAACCAGGCCTTTTGGACATTCAACAAGATATTGCTAAATTAATGTATGACGATGAAATCAAAGGAAGACTTGGTATTCCGCCTTTTTGGATGCTTAGTTCTGCACCTTGATTTTACCTGCTTTCTCTTTATTTTTTCATTTTTCTTAGACTTTTTACTTGTACACACAATCACATATTTATATACATGCAACATATATACACAAACACACTCTTGCAATAAAAAAAAAGACATTTCTTAACAGATTTATTCATCATTGTCTTCTATCAAAAAATCCTTGATTTGATCTAGTAATCTATTGTCTCTACTTTGATTATAAATAGATTCATTTACATAAGTTGGCAATGATTCAATAGATTCTGCATTATAATCTTTAAGGTTGACTTGACAGCTATAACACAAGAACTGGTTTAAGTCAACCTTGGGTACTTTTTCTTCACTATCGCAGCCACTACCACCACAGCAGCCTGTATCCTTAGAACAGCATCCTTCTATTGTTGGTTTTTCAGCATCCTTCACTTCTGTCACAGTAATGTGTCTTCTCCACTCAGCAATACCAGCTTCAATAGGCATCAAGCACATAGCACATGTCCTTTTCAAATCCATATCAGCAGAAGGAGATAACTTGAGTACAGTACGGCAAATAGTACTCACAGTAGATGGAAATTCACGTTCAATGCCCACAATAAATTCTTCTGTAAGACGATCAATGGATGTCTTTCCTGCCATCATGGTACCAAAATTAAAGGGTGACAAAACAAACTTGTCAATCTTGAAAAAGTAGTTGTAGAATCCAATTTCTTTTGATAGCATGTCTTTCATAGGTCTCATAATGCACACATCAGAAAAACTTTGTTGATTGTCCACACCAATATCCAACGGCAAACTGTATCCACGTCCCTTACTTGTCATGGAAATCATTTTGATAGCCTGACGAGTAGCTGAATCAGCCATAAAAATGTACATACAACTAAACAATAGACATAAATATTTGGCATGTACAGATAGATCTTTACCCTTCTCGTCGAGCAACATGAACAAGCATGGCCATCTTAATATTCCAAAGCAAATCTTCTTTAGCAGTTGTCTTTTTAATGCTAGAAAACAGTTGCTTCAATTGATTTGCTAATGGTTTGTCTGAATTCTTTTGTACGCATTGAATATAGTGTTCTAAATTTACAAGATTTAGGCTCGATGTAGTCTGATTCGCAGCAATTCTTACCATAATCTTCATTCTCAGTACCGCCAGAAGTAGACTTCAATATCTTGTTGAATTCAGCACTCTTTGCAAATTCGGGTCCAAACACTTGTTCCAAACGATGGCTAAAGAATTCGAATTCTGAATAGTGTTCCTTGACTGTTTGTCCAAGCTTTTCAGCAGAACCAGACTACATAAATAATAAGTTTTCTAACACCTGTATAGTATGGCTACTTACAGTAGATTCAAATAATACACTTTCATCAATATGACAAACAATAGCTTCAGGAATAAGTTGGATCTTTTTCTTTTCTGAAGGTACAATACGCATAAAGTTTTTTGTCAAATTAAGCATAGCACTACACACAAAAAAAAAAATGAATGGCCTCGTTATAAAATCAACAACTTACATGGAGGAAGGTCCACCCGAGCATGCTAGCAATACTTTGCCATTCTTTCTGTTGTTGTCCTTCAAACGAAGCAAGATCGATCTATATTTACCAATAAAAACAAAAATAAAACAAGATCTGTATAATTTTTTTTGACAGGTTAGGTACTGATTACTATAACTTTATGATATTTACTGGCAGTAACAGGCTTGACGTACAAGAACAGTAGCGTCTGCTGTTTTACACTTGCAACACTTTTTATCAGAAGACTTCATTGTAAGTAGTTTGAAAAAAAAAAAAGAAAAAAATTCAATCCATTGTTGGTTCAAGTTACTGTTCCCGATTTTAATCTCAGTCAAAGCCACCAGTGAAGTTGATATCCACTCATGCTCGGACGTTTGTTACCACAGTAACAAACATTATTGCATGAATGTATTCTGTGATTATTTCTTTTTCTCGACAGCAGGTTACTACGAGCATATGACACCTTGTGTGCATGACACGTGACCAAAAAATGGAGTGGATCCTTGACTTTTATTTTTAATTTTTTTTCTTCCTCTCTCTCTCTCTTTGTTATGCCGTTTGTCAACCAACCTACCGTTGAAAGTATTCACATCTATCCCATCAAATCTTGCCACTACATCAAGTTACAAGAGTGCGAAGTAGATAATTTAGGAATAAAGCATGATCGTCGTTTTATGATTGTCTATGCTGACAGCAACCGATTTGTCACTCAAAGGTAAAATACATATATATAAACTCGTTCTTATCTTGGCATAGAAAATACGCTTCTTTGTCACTTCTTTTACCTTCTTATGACGAGAAAGAAAATACATTTACTCTTTCAGCCGAAGGACAAGAACCCTTGACACTTCCATTAAAGCAAGAGTTGAGCAAGTTACCCACTCGCACTGTCCAGCTCTGGCAAGATAGATTGACAGTATACGATGTGGGCGACAAAGCAGCTGAGTGGATCACTCAGTTCCTTATAAATCATCGTAAACATGATCGAGAAAACAACCATAATATGGATGATCCTGTCAGTGAAGACGATCCTATCAATCAAGTCCGATTGGTGACATTGGATAATCCTAAACATGGTGTCTATTGTAGACCTGCTCATCCTAAATTAGACGGTGTTCATTCTCCTTTTGCCGATTGGTCTCCTATTTCTTTTGGATTCACAAGTAGCTTGGAAGACGTAAACAAGGGACTTGTCGAGACTAGGATCAGTAAAGGCAATCGTATTCCTATGGTTCGCTTTAGAAACAATATCACTATCTCGGGAACAATTCCTTGGGAAGAAGATCAATGGTTGGTAGCAAAGTGAGTGACGTGTACAATGAGAATAATGGAGTTGACCTGTCATTTATAAAAGAGTGGGTGAAGTAACTGTTTATATCATTCAGCCTATTGCCCGATGCACAGGTAATAATGAATGAACATGAAACAGTGACTGATCATGGCATGATTTTAGTGCCTGGTATTGATCAAGATACTGGCAAGAAAGATGCTTGGGATGGAAAAGGTCCTACTGACTACCTGAAGATAAGAAGACGGTTTGTTGATCAACCCAACCATGGCCAATTTTGCTGTGATGTTGTTCCTTTGACAACTGGTAAGATTCGTGTAGGTGATAGAGTTGAGGTGTTGGAACGCATTCCAGAGGAATACAAGCAAGGCCCTTTACCACCTACTGCTTAGAACATTGATGTCACATGATTATCATCATCATTACCTCAAAAAAGCAGGCCATTGTTTTATGCAGACTAAAGCCAATAAATTTATTTTTTTTTCTTTTTTTATTGTTTGATCATGTCAACTAATTCAGAGCATAATAAGCCTATTCCATTTACAACAGAAGAGCCAGTGCGTAGAGAATGGCTAAGGAAAGAAATGCTAGAGATAAATGATGCAAGTCAAGACCAAGATACGTCTGATATCAGCAGTGATCCAGATTTGAGCGATGATCAAAACGCAATAAAGAACATATCTGAAGAGAGTACTAAATACACTGGCAATGACATGATGACATTGTTATCTCGAGAAATGAACGAATATCAAGAGAAACAAGAAGACGAAGTCGCTGCTTATGAAAAAAGAGTTGCAGAAGCTGATACAGAAGAAGATTTACTAAGCAATGATCCCGAACTTTTACAGCGAACTGAAAAAAATCGCAATATTCCGTATGAGCCGAAGTCTTCTAGTTCTAATACATTACTCAATGAGGCCATACGGCGTGAGTTATTGGTCTTTTCAGATAATCCTACTGTCATTGAAGAACCCACCAAGCTTAGTGTCATTCAATATTATGGAGCAGGCAAGACTGGTATTATGCCCATGGCTTATCGTACGAAACGAAAATCAAAAGCTTATTTGGTTGCTTGCGATTTTAGTAAAGAGAGTTTGTATGCACTCGAATGGACAATGGGAACCATGATGCGTGATGGAGATGAACTTGATGTTGCAACTGTTCTGAATCGAGACGACAATCCTGACATAGTCACAGAAACTGGCTTGGATCTCAAATCAGAGGTAAAGTTCATCATGCCAACAATGTATGCAGTTACTGACATTTATCCTTTTAGCTTCATGTTGTGTCTAATGCTCTTATTGTAGAAGCAAAAAAGCTTTTGAGCCAAATGATGCTCTTCAATATCACACTAAGAACACATGTTGTGGTTGGACGAGTAAAAGATATGCTGAGGGCGTTGGTAATTTGAATAAGTAGATTAGAGAATCAACTAATGATTTTAGACAAGAGTACATCATCATTATACACTGTTAGTGTGTGGCAGTCGAGGTCGAAGCTCTGTTAGAAAGTAAGCATTCATGATCATTTGTTTATGTTAATGCTCTTTAGCCTGCTTATGGGTTCTGTATCTACTTTTTTGGTTCATAAATCACCAGTACCAGTAGCTGTTGTTCGTAGACAAAAAAGAAAAAGAAGCAAGTTCGACAAGGGCCCTTAGAGGTACATTCCCTAAGTCAAAGTATGTATATCGTATTTCTGCTTATGCTTTACTTATGTGCAACATTGAATGTAGGTGTACGAACAGGCCATCTACATGCAGATGAATTGAGTTGATAGTATGAAAATAAACCAGCCAATCAAAACTTTACATGAACATCATTCTCTAATGTGAATGTATTTGAGCCTGGCTTTTGTGATAGTTGTCCTGGAACTATAGCTAGATTTCATTTGAATAAGCCTATATATGGCTTATGGCTGGCCATCTTGATAAAAAGAAATTCAGGAGTTTGTTTCATTCCAATTCTTTTTCTTTTATCATAAAGTCAACTACAGACAACTATAGAAACCAAGCTCGCGGTCCATACAATAAATACCAAGAGCACCAATATTGGGGTGTCTACTATCTTTTAAAAGAAATCAAATCTGTTGAATGCACTGCAAAGTTAGTAGACATAAAGAGAAACAGCGTTGATGACTGCATCAAACGCATAAAGGAAACAAATTCTCCTCTTCCTAAAAAGCCAAAGGGGAAACCCAAAAAACTCCCCAGCGAAAGAGAACTGAGAAAAATTACACGAGACGCTCAGAGGGATATTTTGTCTGGTTAAAAGCAAATGGCGCCAGTGTTTGGCAAGAAGAATATTGGATTCAAGTCGTGTTTAGCTGCCTACTTTTATTAAGCAACACATGAAAAAAAGACCGTGTTGGGCAAAAGAACATCTCAACTGGACGCATGATCAGTAGAAGACGCGTTGTCTGGTCTGATGAACTACATTTTCACTGTGTAGAGGCCATGATAGCGTTTCTGGGGTGCTCAGAAAAGAAGCTGAGTGACACCAGAAGGGGCCACATTCTACCCACATAGAAGTTTGGAGGAGGTGGTGTCATGTTCTGGAGTTTTTTTTTTTTTTTTTTTTTTTTTTTTTTTTTTTTTTGGGTAGGCGCTTTTGGACCTGTGGTGTTTGTTGATGGTAGTATAGACCAGGATGTCTACATCAACATTTTAGCGGGTGAGTTCCATACCTGGTTCAAGAAGTTAAACGAGGAGCAAGAGTTCGCCTTGCGAGAAGATGGTGCCAGCTGTCATACTGACGGCTATGCAAAGTGGTGGAAAGAGACTCACCAGATCAAAGGCTTTGAGTACTGGCCAGCTCAATGTCCTTATCTAAACCCTATTGAGCACGTCTGGAACGCTCTTGAGCGTAAGATCAATGACAAGAGGTCCAAGGTCTCCAGCGAAGAAGATTTAGAAGCTCTCTTTAGGGATGAGCGGGAAAAAATGGATGTTGAGTTTGCTGAATGTTTGGTTGACCGATGTCAGGCAGTGATTGATGCCAAAGGCGGTCATACTCGTTATTAATCTTATATATTCTGTTGAATAAACATCCTAATTATAACCTTTTAAAGGCTTTGAAAGTTGAGTAATGCACTTCTTAAAGATAGGGTAGGACACATTGGAGTATATACCGAACTACAACATTGCTTGCTTGCTTACATCAAGCTTAATTGTCGCTATCAAGAAAGTACAACCATCAATTCAGATAGAAAACAGTGTTCACTGATACACACAACGTCATCATATCGTTTTCTCTCCGGAAATAGTAAATCTCAAGAGAAACAAGTATATTCAACAGGGATTTTATTTTACAAGATCAACTTTGTTTTAGATAGAGATGTATACACACACATATAGATATATTTACAAAATGCTTATAGACAAAGAGTTAGTTTCTTTCAAAATTGGAGTCCCGAGTATCTTGACGAGCGGCAAAACTAGGATTTTTTCCTACACGATAATTGATACGAACTTCATGCATAAAGGGGCTAGCCATCAATTCTGTATCAAATACTGGTAAAGCTTGACTGATTGACAATAAGAAATTGAAGATAAAGAGTAGACCAAAAGTAAAGCGATTCATTGTTACAAGAAGAAAAGAAACAAAAAATAAAATAAAATGAAAACAAACTTGTCTTAAAAGGGAGACACCAAAAAATTATACACACACACACATATTACACTGAGTGATGACGCTGTGATGATTTTAATATACCTGCTTCTCCTTTATCCCTTTTAATTATCAGACGCATGATGTAGTCATTCTTTTCAACAGCAATCCCCATAAAGGGTGTCTTTTTTTTTATTCTCACATACTGGCTCAGAGAGATTTATTTTAATGACTACGCTTTCATTTATATACAGTTCCAGACTACACAAGTTACACAAGTTACATCTCAAAACCAAAACAAATATTGTAAGAGGATTCTTTTTAAGTTTAAAGCAGTGTTACTGTTGTCTGGATAACGTGACCAGTGCACAGGTGCATTTTAAAGTCAGATGATAAAAACGCCATCAATTTTTTGACGTGTTTTATATACATTACCAAAATGGCCACATTAGGAGAATCAGCTTACAAACTAGCTAAGGAGGCAAAACGTACAGCAGACTTATTTATCTCGCCTTACAATGATGATCTTGTTCAGAGTATCTGCCGTGAAATACGTTTACTCAACAACAAGGCAATCGAAACAGTCAATGCCATCAAGGAAGGCAATTCAAGTGATGCACTACAGAATCCAAGTACCATGACACAAGTCATGCTATACCACTTGGCAGTCAAAAGAAACAAACGCGTCTTGTTTGCCTATCATCGACAGAGAATCAATAAGCTTAAAGACATCTTATGGAATGTGGGACTACAGTCAAAATATCGACGTGAAATCATGACCAGTTTAGGGCCCACTGAAAAAAAGTTTTTAGATGAATATGGAGATATGGTAAATGGATATAAACAAGGCTTTACTGAGATTGATCTCGGAGGCATGAATGGTCCTGGACTGGATCCACCTGTTGATCTGTTTATCGAAGTACGCGTTTTACGTGATGCTGGTGAAATCAATACAGAATATGGCACTCTAAACCTGTCAAAAGGAAATCAATTCTATGTGCGTCGAACTGATGTTGAGTCTTTGATCAAAGCTGGCTACTTGATTCATGTATAGCAATAAATTTTTTCGTCTTTCTCTCTATAGGGTTTATATATCATGTCTTTATTTAAATAATGTGTATCCCTTTATGCTTCTTCAGTAGTTGCAGGTTGTTTAAAGAATTCCTTTTCAAATTGCTTCTTTTCTTCTCTTGTCTTTTTGGCATATTTACCCTTTAATTCGCCAGAAGCTTCATATGCATACATGGTAGCACCAATAGCGGCACAACCAGCACCCATTTTAGCAAAAGAATGAGCTATGTTCAAATTCGTTAATTGGCGCGTACTCCTTTCTAGGTCCCTAACTCACTCTTGATACCAGCTAATAAACCAGCTGCACAACCACCAATGGCAGCATTAATAGGATCGTCTGTCTTGCGCATGTCTTTGGCTGCACATTCACCCAAAGTGAAAATACCACCCATAGCAGCTAAATGAATTGCGCGTGTTAGTTGATCTGTCGTTCTTTTTTTATTAGCTCGAGATGTTTACCAAAGAAAGCGACAGTGCCACCAGTTCTTGTGATGACACCCCTGGCGCCAGTTGTATGCTTTTGAACTGTGTTTTGCATGGCAGAGACAAAGAGACCAACACCACCAGCAATACCAGCAGTTTTGCCGGCTTCAGCGAGACAATCTTTACTTGCAGTCATGTTAGTGTAAGTCTTTTGTTTAGGTACAAGAAAAAAAAAGGCGGGGTTGATTCTAGAGGATAATGAAGAGCCCCTTCACTCACTTGAATCCACAAAAAAAAAACCGAAGACGTCACATATCATGATTTAAATACCGCACAAAAAGTGAACTGTCTATCTTGAATCCAAGTCGATAAGGATATATTCTAATTAAAGAGCCCAAATCAATGCTTGAATAGACCATCCTCTCCCATGATGTGCTAATACTAGCTATCATTTTTATATCTCTCTTTTTTTCTTTTTATCTCATTTTACATAAATAAAAAGCCCTTTTTTTATGCTTATTTGAAATTCAAATTCTACGTCACAATACACTCCGCTCACCAGTGAAAGCGAAAACTGCCGCAGACAAGTTGAGTTTTTTTTTCTTGTATTTTTTTTTCGCAAGTCAATCAAGATGGGAGACGGTAAGAATGATCAAATGAAAGACACATAGACTAACTTTAAAGAACAGACATTGAAAAAGAGATTAAAGCAACACAGGCAAAACGTACTATATATACAGAGAAAGATATCAGTCAAGCAGTACTCGACAATGAGAAGCATGCTAGTTTAACTGGCCTTTCATATGATACTGATATCTACAGTGCGGATACTGACAAATATGCTGGTTATGCGACTTCTTTGGCTTTTGACGAAGAAGAAGACGAAGATGAATTATATCAAGAAACAAAGCGTAAACTAAACTCATACACAGTGTCCAAAGATATTTTGAGTGAAGCTAGAGAAGGTAGTGATGCTCACGATCCTTTTGCTTCTACTATGCGTGAACGCACTATTGCAGGAAGACAAGATGATTATCAACAGCGTCGTTTCAACCGTATGCTATCACCTACCCGTAAAGATGCTTTTAGTCAAGATCAAAGCGACGACACTGAAAGCAGATCGTATAAGGATGTTGCACGCGAAATCGAGTTGGAGCGTGAAGAGCAGCGCGTCATGGCTGCCATTGCACAAAAACAAAGACAACAGCAAGAATCAGGTCGATCTCAACAAAGTGTAGAAGACACACCTACATCACGCAAAAAGAGAAGATGGGATGTCGCTACACCTGTCAGCCAAAACGTAGAAGCAACACCTGTAGGTGGCTCCAAAAGATCTCGTTGGGATGCTACACCTGTTCGTTCTTCATCAGAATGGGATGTGGAAGCAACTCCCCGTGGCACAACAAAGCGTTCGCGTTGGGATGCTACTCCTGTAGGTGGCGTCAGTGACATGACCATGGCTACACCTGTTGGTGGTATGGGCATGATGACACCTTTGCCTGGCCAAACATCACAAATGACACCTGAAATACAGAATGCTATGCGTTGGGAACGTGAATTGGATGCTCGTAATCGTCCTCTTTCAGATGAAGAATTGGATGCCATGTTCCCTACGACAGGTTACAAAATCCTGGACCCTCCTTCAGGCTACGAGCCTATTCGTACACCTGCTCGTAAATTGACAGCTACACCTACGCCTATGGGCGACAATGGCTTTGTGATGCAAGAAGAACAACGCCAGGTCGTTGCTTTGGAATTGCCACAGGAAATTCCTGGTGTAGGCCAACTGCCTTTTTTTAAAGAAGAAGACATGCAGCATTTTGGTAAATTGCTGGACAATAAGGACGAGCTTACGATGTCTGTGGATGAACTCAAGGAACGCAAAATCATGCGTTTGCTTCTCAAGATCAAAAACGGTACTCCTCCTATGCGTAAAGGTGCTTTGCGCCACATTACAGATAAAGCAAGAGATTTTGGTCCTGGACCATTGTTCAATCAAATCTTGCCTTTACTTATGTCACCTACCTTGGAAGACCAAGAGCGTCACTTGTTAGTGAAGGTGATTGACCGTATTCTTTACAAACTAGATGACTTGGTTCGTCCCTTTGTTCACAAGATTCTGGTTGTCATTGAACCCCTTTTGATTGATGAAGACTATTATGCCCGTGTGGAAGGTCGTGAAATCATTTCAAATCTATCCAAAGCAGCTGGTTTACCTACCATGATTACCACAATGCGTCCTGATATTGATCACCCTGATGAATACGTAAGAAACACAACTGCCCGTGCATTCTCTGTAGTTGCCTCTGCATTGGGTATTCCTGCCCTTTTGCCCTTCTTGAAGGCTGTTTGTCGATCTAAGAAATCATGGCAAGCTCGTCATACTGGTATTAAGATTGTTCAACAAATTGCTATCTTGCTCGGTTGTGCTGTGTTGCCCCACCTCAGAAACTTAGTAGAAGCCATTGGCCATGGTTTAGAAGATGAACAACAAAAAGTACGTACGATTACTGCTTTAGCCATTGCCGCTTTGGCTGAAGCTGCTGCTCCTTATGGTATTGAATCATTTGATTCTGTTCTTAAGCCATTATGGACAGGTATTCGTAAGCACCGTGGTAAGGGTCTTGCTGCTTTCTTAAAAGCAATTGGTTATATTATCCCCTTGATGGATGATGAATATGCCAACTATTATACAAAGGAAGTCATGTTTATCCTTATTCGTGAATTCCAATCGCCTGATGAAGAAATGAAAAAGATTGTGCTCAAGGTCGTCAAGCAATGTTCTGCTACAGATGGTGTCATGCCTGCCTATATCAAGGAAGAAATCCTGCCTGAATTTTTCAAGCACTTTTGGGTTCGTCGTATGGCTCTTGACCGTCGTAACTACAAGCAAGTTGTCGAGACAACAGTCGAATTGGCCAATAAGGTCGGTGTGTCTGAAATTGTTGGTCGCATTGTGAATGATCTTAAAGACGAAAGTGAACCCTACCGTAAGATGGTGATGGAGACCATTGAAAAGGTTGTCTCCAATTTGGGTGCTGCAGATATTGATCCTCGTCTGGAAGAATTGCTGATTGATGGTATCTTGTATGCTTTCCAAGAACAGACGATTGAAGATATCATCATGTTGAATGGTTTTGGTACTGTGGTGAATGCACTTGGTATGCGTATCAAGCCTTACTTGCAGCAGATCTGTTATACCATCTTATGGCGTTTGAACAACAAGTCTGCCAAGGTACGTCAACAAGCTGCTGATTTGATTTCCAGAATTGCTGTTGTCATGAAGAGTTGTGGTGAAGAGAAACTGATGAGCCAATTGGGCCAAATCTTGTATGAATATCTTGGTGAAGAATACCCTGAAGTATTGGGTTCTATTTTGGGTGCCCTTAAGTCTATTGTGAACGTGATTGGTATGGCCAGTATGACACCTCCCATTAAAGATCTCTTGCCTCGTTTGACGCCTATTTTGCGTAATCGTCATGAAAAGGTACAAGAAAACTGTATTGATTTAGTGGGTCGTATTGCTGATCGTGGTGCAGAATATGTCTCTGCTCGTGAATGGATGCGTGTCTGCTTTGAATTGCTTGATCTCTTAAAGGCACATAAGAAGGGTATTCGTCGTGCTTCTGTCAATACATTTGGTTATATCGCCAAGGCTATTGGTCCTCAAGATGTCTTGGCTACCTTGCTTAATAACTTGAAGGTACAAGAGCGTCAAAACCGTGTCTGTACTACTGTTGCTATTGCCATTGTAGCCGAAACGTGTGCTCCTTTCACTGTCTTGCCTGCTTTGATGAACGAATACAGAGTACCTGAATTGAACGTACAAAATGGTGTCTTGAAATCACTGTCGTTTATTTTTGAATATGTGGGTGAAATGGGTAAGGATTATATCAATGCTGTTGCTCCCTTGTTGGAAGATGCTTTGATGGACCGTGATTTGGTGCATAGACAAACTGCTTGTACAACGATCAAACATATGGCTTTGGGTGTTGTGGGTCTTGGCTGCGAGGATCCTCTTCGTCACTTGTTAAATTACATTTGGCCCAACATCTTTGAGACAAGGTAAGGTTCTACAACGATTTATTGATATATCACTTATACACTGTATAGTCCTCACGTCATCAACGCTGTTATGGAAGCCATTGAAGGTCTTCGTGTTGCACTTGGTCCTGCTGCTATTTTTCAATACACTCTACAAGGTCTTTTCCATCCTGCCAGAAAGGTTCGTGAAGTGTATTGGAAGATTTACAACACAACCTATATTGGAAGTCAAGATGCTTTAGTGCCTTTTTACCCAAGATTGGAAGATGATGAACGTAACAACTATCAACGTCCAGAATTGGACTATGTTCTTTAAATAAATGAATTGAAGACTTAAAAACTTTATATAGACATCTTTATTGTTTTTTGCACTTTGTTTATTCTTTTCTCTAGCGATCAACTTCACCGAAAACGATATCTTGCTAATAATTAAAAAAAGAGTTAGTATTGAACTTGAACAAATAAAGCAACAACTTACTGTGCCAATAATTGTGACCATATCAGGAAGCAAGTGGTTACGAGACATAAAGTCGGCACCCTGAAGATGTGAGAAACCAGGAGCTCTGATCTTACATCTGTAAGGTCTGTTGGAACCATCAGACACTAAAAAGACACCAAATTCACCCTTGGGTGCTTCAACAACAGTGTAGGTTTCACCAGGAGGAACAGAGTAACCTTCAGAGTAGAGCTTAAAGTGATGGATCAAGGCTTCCATGTTTTCCTTCATGGCAGCACGGGGAGGAGGAGTGACCTTCCAGTCGTCTGTCTTGATAGGGCCTTCAGGCATTTTGTTCACACATTGAGCAATGATACGAAGTGATTGACGCATTTCTTCCATACGGCAAATATAACGGTCATAACAATCACCGTTTTGACCAACAGGAACGTCAAATTCTACTTTATCATAAGCATCATAGGGAGCAACCTTACGCAAATCCCATTTGATACCGGAACCACGGACAAGGACACCAGAGAAACCCCAAGCTTGAGCTTCTTGAGCAGTAACGACACCTACGTTACGAGTACGAATGTGCCAAATACGGTTACCTGTCAACAATTCTTCAACTTCGTCAACACGGTCACCGAATTGTTCACACCAGTCGTGAATGTCTTGCAAGAGACCAATGGGCAAATCAAGAGCAACACCACCGGGACGAACATAGGCAGCGTGAAGACGGGCACCAGAACAACGTTCATAGAACTCCATCAACTTTTCACGTTCTTCAAACATCCACAACATAGGAGTTAAAGCACCAACATCCATAGCGTGAGTCATGACAGCCATGATGTGGTTCAATACACGGGTGATTTCACCAAACATAGTACGAATGTACTTGGCACGTTCAGGTACCTCAATGTTGAGTAACTTTTCAACAGCCAAAGAATAGGCTTGTTCATTTGTCATGATAGAAACATAATCAAGACGATCGAAATAAGGCAAAGCTTGCAAGTAAGTCTTGTATTCAATCAATTTCTCGGTACCACGGTGCAATAAACCAATGTGAGGATCAGCACGAACAATTTCTTCACCATTCATTTCGAGAATAAGACGAAGTACACCGTGAGCAGCGGGATGTTGAGGACCAAAGTTGACAGTAAAGTTACGCATTCTGCTTTCTTCTTCATCAACAGCTATTATACAGTTGGTTTATGAATGCATAAATGGCTTTTTTTTTTTTTTTTTTTTTTTTTTACTTACCACCAAATTCATTTTCGTTTTTTTCTTCAGTGATAGTAGTGCGTGTATAACCATCGACAGTTTGTTGAGTGGCAGTGGCCATAGTACGCATAGGTTGGAAAGCCTTCAAGGGCATACGAGGTCTAAGCAATGATGTTCTAGTGGTAGCACTGGCAAGCTTGCGAGACCACATTCTGGTAGCAAATGACATATTATATGATTATTTGTGTATATGTGTGTGTGTGTATGTGTTGATGTTCTGATGCTGTATATATATATTTAAGAAGAGTGGGGAGTTGATTGCAATTATATCAATTTCTGAAAAAAAAAATTCGAGATAAACTATCAAAGACAAAAGATCGAGTTTAGTTTACAGTGGATCTTGTTTTGATCGAGCCAATGAACAACAAGATGATTACCTTTTTTTTCTAAATTTCTTTTATTTTTCAAAAAGTCAAATATAATATGAAGAGGAAGAAAAAAAAAAGAGACTGCGTGCTTTGATCGTTCCCTTCAGTATCCATCGAGCCAGGTTTGCAACCCAGGGCGAAATTCAAGATCCGCAATAATAGTTTGACGTCACAAAACACGTGACATGGAGGAAACATTATAGCTGTTTGAGCAACTCAAAGCAGACGATTGAATCATTGCAAATCAAGGTTTTTTTTTCTTTTCTTTTTTTTTTGCAGCAGAGGGTACACAAGATTCAATTTTTATTGCCTCATTGCAAGCAGCTACTCTCTTGATTCCTCTGAGCTTCTTTACTATAGACGACAAGATACATGTTATCAATTTTTGTTTTTGATAATCAAATATAAACGTTTGTACAGAATTGATTCGAGAAAAGAGCTATTGCTATCACGATTCTGAAAAGAGTGCAGACATTTTAGTTTTATTGTGTCTATCCTTATAACACTATTTCTTTAGAAAGCAGCCATGATAAAGAGGTAGCTCTTGATCGCTATTTCAAGCGTTAGACATTGTTTTTAGAGTAATAGGCCATTTTTACGTTTTTGAAGATAACGCAATTTCCGGTTATTTAGGTTGACCGGGAATTGAGGCCAAACCTGTTTAGAGTTTCATCAAAAGCTGTTTGATAGACAGGAATATATGACGGCACGATGAAAAATAAGAATTAGCTTTTAGATTCATCATGCTGATCGAATGACTACATTTGAAAACTCTATTCAGCGCCCTTTTTCTTTTTTTAATATCCCTTTATTTTTTGGCATGTTAAACATACTTGTTACACACATATCTCTTGTTGTGTCAAAAAATGTAAATATGATGGAAGGCAAGAGAACCTTTTTCTCAATTCGAATGCGCTTGTCACGATTGCATCATTTTAAGGCTTGTAGATAAAGTCTATTAAGGTTTTCAGATATACCTCTTTTACACAAACAACAAAATGGTCATGAACCACAACTTGACGATAAATTGAATTCGGTGTTGGATCGGCGAGCAAATTTTATCTTTTGGTAAATTGAGTTACGCGCTCTATGTCAAATTACAGGTTTTGGCTCTTTTATCTTTTACGCTAATGGCCTGTGCCGAATGAGTTGCCAGAGTGATCCAGAACTGTCCAAGTACCCATTTTTTAGTTCATTGGTCCTTCCCACCAATATTAAAGAGGGTCGGTAGAGTCGGAAATTCATTATGAAAGAAAAATAAATGAAATTAAAACCTAAATCAAGAAAAGAAGGTCCGTGTTGTGTTTTGTTGATATTTTACCCTTGCTCGGAGCGATTAAAAAAAAAGAGGGCTTTATCATGTATACGTCAGTATTTGAAAGTTTGTGTGAGGGTTCTTAACCTGTTAAAGTAATGCTAACACAGTTTTTTTTTTTTTTTTGCGCTCTTGTTAATATGAGAAGAATGATGTGATGGGATTTCTCCCCTATGTTGTAAAAGTTCGGCATTTATGCTGCGTTGTACCCTATAAAAACAAAGTTTAGAATGGTTCTTTCTTTTTCTTCTTTTTCTTCCGTCTCTCTGTCTCTTCTTCAAAAGAATTTCAAAATGCCTCCTTTTACTTATCCCATCACATTTGAGGAAATTGAAGCAAAGACATGGGCTTGTAACACTGTCAGTACCATCCTGACAGATGTAGCACCCGTATCATTTGAACCTCACATTACAAACACTCGTCCCAGTCTACAGATTAATATACAGCCCGCTCCTACACCGACCAAAAGCAACAGCAGCGATTTAAAGCGTTCCTTTTCTTTTTTAGAAACTAGCTTATTTCGCCATTACTACCGAGAAAAACAAATTCGAAATTCCCGTCGATCACAGAGCACTATTATTACAGATACACAATCAGCGCCCACGACACCCACAAGTATCAAAGGATTTCCACAGCCTTCTATTTCAAGTCGCATTCGACAGCATATCGATCGTGCAGCTTCTATAAAACATCAGTTGCTTAGTACAGCAGACATATTTCATAGCTTTTATAAGCAACATAAGAAATCTGCAAAGGAACAGAAAGGGATTGCATTATGGAAGGAAACATATGCAAAGTATTCAACTACAGCTCAGCATGTAGAGTGCGTTGAGGTAAAGAGTTATGCATGCATCATTCATACTTAAATACATTCAATTTAGTCTAAAAGATCGATCCAATTATTTAAATTTATCTTGAATGAGTTGTTAACAACTGAAGAAACTTACTTGAATCACTTGCTAATTATTAAACATGTAAGGGCAAAAACCACTCAAAACGACACAATTAACACTTTTTTCTTTTCTTAGTTTTATATGGATCCTTTATTAGAAGCAGCTTCTCAAAACAAAAAGCCATCTCTTGTGAATCTAAAAGACATAGAAATCATTTTTGCTTTTATACCACAACTTATTAGTCTATCAACAACTCTTGTTGAACGTCTGCATGATACAGTTGGAACATGCCTTGAAGATGATAGCAAGAAAAATCAAATCTCTATTGGCAAGACATTTTGTGATCTTGAAAAATACTTTGATATCTATATTTACTATACTGTCAACTTTGAAAAGTCGAGAAAGCACTTGAGAAAAGCAAGTTCAAGTATTGTGTATCGTCAACTAGTACAGGTAAATCTTATTTTTATGCATGAACAAAGTTAGATTCACACATTTAAAAATAGGATTCCATAAGCCAAAAAAAAACAAATCGCATGTTGTTGGCTGATTACATGATTGCACCTATTCAAAGAATTACCCGTTACTGCCTTTTACTAACAGGTAAAATATAATGCAACATGCCTTACAAGTTTTATTCACTTTTGATAGACCTTCAAAAACATTCAAATAAGTCTCATCGAGACTATGTGTACATAGACAAGGCATTAAAATGCCTAAAAGCACTTGCATTCGCTATGAATGCAGTCCAATGATTACTTTCCTTTCCTTATATATATATATATATATATATATATATCTACCTGTCTATTATTGCCTCTCATTTATTACCTTTATTTGTATGCTAAATATGATATGAAACTATGTAAATAAACAAAACATCATCATTTATTGTACTACATATCATGTGCACTGTCTTTTTTTTATAACGCCTTAAACAGAGATGTTTACATATTAATCTGACTTTACAAACAGTTTCGAAAGACTATTGCTTTCAGTGTGATTGCCTTGGACAATACGCATAGCAATTTTGCGGGCATCTTCCACAATACCTGTCATTTTCATGCCAACAACCTGTAATGCAAGTTCCAGAAGAGCACGATCCGACTCTGTTAGATAAGTAAATACCATCACATTCTGTTTGTTTGTGGCAAGCGGTGCTTCTTTAAAAGAAACTACAACAGCACCAGGTTGTGTTGCTGCAGGAAGTGTACATATAAGTGTCGTAGGGGACCAATATTGAATATTAGTTGCAGGTTTATCGCCAAACATAACAGTCAGACCAGGTCGAAAATTAATGCCCAAGATGGTAATTTCAATACCGCCACTTGTGGGTGCTTCTGTAGGTATTAGACGCTTCATAGAAGGCAATGTAGACTCTGTGTTGTTGAGAGAGCAAAGAAACTGTTGTTCTTGAGCGAATTGAGTAGATTTGAAAGCAGGTTTTGTATCTGAGAATTGACCTTCCTCTGTTTTGACTGAATTGAAAGGCAAAGAAGATTTGATCCAATCCAATGTTGGAATCTTGGGTTCTGGAGATCCTGTTTCTTCTTGTTCTTCTATTCGACGTCGCTTCAATCCAGCTTTTGTTTTGTTTGATTTATGGTCATCAGTGATCATAATAGGCGGTGAAATGCCCTCTGCTACTTTTTTACCCGTATGATCCAGCATCTCGAAATAAATACTAATGATTTTAAATATGTGTGCTGCCAATATTCTGTTTCTTCTTACCTAAAGCCAAGCTTTTCATTGTGGTGCCTACAATAACAAGTAATTCGAGTAGGTAAAATAGTATCGGCTGCACTAAAATCCACTAGATCTGAACAATTGAACAACAAAATCCTCTCTTCTCCATCTCTTTCGTCTTCTTCTGGTGTATCATTTTCAGGCTTACTCTTTTCTTTTCTACGCTGTGATCTTTTGCGCTGTGGTTTAGGTAATTGAGTGAAATGATAAGATACCTCTTTGGTTTACCTCTCTCTGCATACAGGGAGTACATGTTGTTACTTTTTTAGAGGGATCACTCGCGCAAAATACTTTTGCTCTTAGGTAAAGTGTTTTTTCAGGATTCAATGGCAAATCAGTAGCCATGCTTTTCTTTGATCTTTCTTTTGTCACCATATGTTCGGGTAACTTTAGATGAGACCACCATTGTGCTTTGTTACCATTATCTGTAACTAATTGAATACATAATTTGATTTGTGTCTCCACTCTTGATTTAGCACCTGTTTGAGGTACACCCAATACTCTGATCTGTAGTCTATTTAGAAAAAGTCAATACACAATCATTCAATGCATAAATTATCTTTTTACCCTGTGCTAACATGTTCCAATACATCTTTAAGTTGAATCATTGGGTCAAAATGAAGAGAGGACGAAGATAGAGATGAAGCAGGTGCTGTTGTGTTACTATAGACACATATAAGCAAACTATTAACAACAATCGTTTGCTTACAATGAACTCAAAAAAGGGACAGGGTGGTTGGCCAAGTATTCAGAGAAACTTTTAGCAATATTAGGAATAGTAGGAATAGTAGGAAATAAATTGTTATGCGTTACATTGGAGATAAACTAGGCAAAGAAATAAGTACGATGCATGAATGAAATAGAGAAAACACTACTCATTACGTTATTTAAGCCTGTCCAAAAAGAAGGAGGCTGTTCTCCAACACTGGAAGTAATGGCTGATTGAAATGATTCCATAGTGTTAGCTATCGACTGAGTCAAAGTACTTGTTGAACCATGATTGCTGTTTGAATCTGAGTGAGATGACTTTTGGATTAAATAAAAAGGGCTTTCAGGTGTAAACTGATCGAGATTGTAAAGAAAAGGATGATCTACAAAAGATTGAACTATATTCTCATGTGTTGCTGATGGCATAGACTGATCATTGTCTGTCATGTTTACATTTGAATGAGCTGATTTATCAGTAGAAAGTCCTGGTAAATCTAGGTTTGATCCATGTTTTGACATTGAGATTAATAAAGAAGAATAAAAGAGAAGAACACTAAAAAAGAAAAGAGAAACACAATCCAATCAATGTTTTGTGGTGCAGCCAATGAGATCCGTGCAGAGACAAATAGTGTACGCTTGTTTAGTTTAGCCCGAAATGAACAAATTCAGCTTCTTTGGGATAATTACAATAGCTGCCCCTTTTTTCAGCTTCACAAGGTAAATGCTTTTCTCTTGAACTGTCGGAGAAACAGCTCTTTCTTAGATTTACCAGATAAGGTGTGTCACTCCCTCTTTGATCTCTTCGGACAAATGATTCTCCTGAACGTCTTATTGCACCGAACAAATGATAGGCTTGTTTTATCCGCGTAATCCTGTATTAATAACAAGGTATATCATGCGACGTGAGAGAATAGATAATGGTTAGTACATGCATATTAAATTGTATCACGGAGATTGCTGTTTTATATAAATGCTGTACCCTTTTTCTTTTTCTTTTTCTTTTTTTTTATCTCTTTTTTTTCCATTTGTTAAACAAAATGACAGTATCTTTGATTATTGCTCTAAGAGACTGTGAAAGTATCGAGAAAGATGGCCATATTGTTCAAATTGGCCATGGTGCTAATACGGATACAGTAAGATCTTTAGCCAAGGACAAGTTAGGATTGGCTCTCCCTTTAGATAATATTATACTTCAGACATCAAATGGTACTATTTTGACCGAGATTGAAAAAGTCAAACTTCAACAAGTTGTCTATATTGACTTAAAGGAAGAGATCAAGGATGTAATTCCAGGTCCAATGCGGCTTCCTATGGTAGGAAATTTGTACGATATGATGCCTGATATGTAAGTACATACACGTAAATTAATACTGCGCTTATTGACGGGATTGGTGCCTTTTTAGGCCAGAAGGCTGGAGACGTCAATTTGAAGTTTATGGCAATTTAGCTAGTGTCAGTATCTTGGGTCATGAAATAGTAGGCACCAATGATCCTGCTATTGCAGAGATATTTGTGAAGGAATCAGAATACTTTACAAAGAAAATCACTACTGTCCTGAAAGAAATCAAAGACTTCGCCGGCAACGGGCTCTTTACTTCCGACTCAGATGATGATGAATGGAAATTAGCTCATAAACTCCTGATGCCTGCATTTAGTCCCCGTGCAATTAAGGTAAGAGCTAAAAGAGATGATCGGCATGCATACCACTTATTCACAACATATAGGCTTATCAACCCGAGATGGGCAAGATTGCCATGGAGACTATCAAGGTGCTGGAACGATATTCCCCTGACGATAAAGTGGAAATCTTGAATTGGTGTACAAATCTCACTTTTGAAACGATTGGCCGAATCGGGTTTGGATATTCGTTTGATATTTTGAATTTCGATTCACCCACACATCCATTTATCGAAGCTATGGGATATGCGCTCAGTCATGCTGCCAAACGATTCGTTCAACCTAATCTATTGAGAAAATTACCTTTACAAAGTAACAGGGCTTGGGAAAATGGAAATAAATTGATGCATTCAATTGTTGAACAAGTCATACAAGAAAGGAAAGTTTCTAAAGATGCTAAAGATGCTGAAAAAGATTTACTTGGATATATGCTAAATGCTCGTGATGAACACAATTTGGGTTTATCTGATGAAAACATTAGAGATCAAGTAGTTACCTTCCTGATTGCTGGACACGACACAACAGCCAATACTCTTGCTTGGACATTTTATGAACTGTCCAGAAATCCTCATGTAGAAGCCATGTTATTACAAGAAATCGCCAATGCTGGCATTACTTCAGGTCAACTACCAACAACAGAACAAATAAGCAGTCTCAAATACATGGATAGAGTGCTGAAAGAAACACTTCGACTTCACCCGCCATTAAGAGGAATTACCAAAGTCTGCATCAAAGATTGTGTTGTTCCTGGCGGTTATAGAATTAAGGAAGATACAGCTTGTGCAGTTTCTATCTTAAATATACATACAAATCCTGATATTTATCCCGATCCTTTCAAGTATGACCCTGATCGGTTCTTGCCTGAAGAGGAACAAAATCGATCTCGCTATGCATGGCTTCCTTTTAGTACAGGTCCTCGAGCTTGTATTGGTATGGTATTTGCCTTGCAGGAAGCCAAGACTGTACTTGGTATGCTGCTTCATCGGTTTAAATTCTTTTACGGTAATATGGCTTATTTGTATGATTGAGCTTTATCTAATGTATGCATTAGACGGCCCTCCTGTCTCTTACGATCCTTATCAAGCCACAACAAAACCCCTTGATTTTCTTGTCAACATCCTTCCTCGAAAAGACTTTCCAGAACCCACTAAAGATATTGTGGTCAAAAAGGTAGAGACAAGCACTGCTTTACCTAAGCTCAATAGCCATGTTAGTGCTGGAACAATTGAACTGCCTCAAATCACTTTCCTTTACGGTACACAAACAGGTACTTCGCAAGACTATGCTTATCAGTTATCAGCTCAAGCAAAGCAATTTGGATTCAAGGATGTGACACTTTGTCCCATGGACCAATGGAAAGTAGTCAAGACAGGCAAATATCAAAAGCCATCCAAGGAAAAGGAACATGAACTTTTAGTGATCTGTACCGCTACTTACAATGGTCAACCTCCTCTTTCTGCTGAATATTTCGACAAGTGGATCACAACACATGCTGAACAAGAACAAGATATGCTCAAGGGCATTCGCTATGCGGTCTTTGGTGTGGGTAACAAGCAATGGAGAACCTATCAGGCCTTTCCTATCAAGGTAGACAAAAGCCTTGACATGCTTGGTGCCGAACGTTGTTTCTCCTTGGGCAGTGGTAATGTGGACGGTGATTCTGATGGTGATTTTAATCATTGGTGTGCTCATTTCTGGGCCTCTACCCTTAGTAGTTATGGTGTTGCTGCTTCTTTAGATAAATCTGTCGTACCAACAGCCACACTGAAGGATTTTGAAAGTGCTGTTCAAGTCAAATTTATCTCTCCTTCTGACATACAGAAATGGGCTTTGGCTAAGGAAAACAGAAATGGTGTTTTTAATGCAACAGTGCTCGTCAACCGAGAACTTCAGAACACAACAAGTGAACGGTCTACGCGCCATTTAGAAATCGATGTCTCTCAATTAGAGCCTATTGGAGAGCAAGCAATTTATGAGCCAGGAGATCATATTGAAATTCTCCCTGAAAATGATATTCAACAAGTAGAACAAATTGCACTTGGTTTTGGGTTTGTCTTGGATGCTGTGTTTGAGTTAGATCTTTCAAATGTAGAGAATCTGTCTCCCCGTTCTTTAGCAAGATCAATTCAAGGTCCATGTACAGTGCGCTCTGCTTTACTCTACTTTGCCGACATTCTTTCGCCACCTTCTCGACAAATGCTGAGTTATTTTGCTACTCAACTAAGACAAGTTGCTCCTGAGACAGCTACTGTATTTGAAAAGTTAATCATGCCTGATACAAACAATCAAGATCCCTATCCTGAATTTATCAAAAAGCATCGAAACCTGCTCGATCTTCAAACAGCTTTTCCTCAAGTAAATCGCATTGATTTTGGTCAATTTTTAGCAGCTGTTCATGTAATTCAACCCAGAAGATACTCTATTGCCTCTTCGCCACGCGTCCATCCAACAAGCGCGCATATCTCTGTGGCCGTAGTTGATGACTTGGTCAATGATATTCATTATCCTGGTCTGGCTTCTTCATTCCTCAGTCGCATAAAAACGCAAACTAAGTTACGTGCCTGTCTTCGCTCTTCAAAAGGCATATTTAGTATGCCTGAGAACCATGAGCAACCCTTGATCATGGTTGCTGCTGGCACTGGTATTGCTCCTTTCCGTGGATTCCTTCAAGAACGAGAACATCAAAAGAAATCAGGTCGACAAATTGGGCCTTGTATCTTATTCTTCGGTTGTCGCCATCCAGATAAAGACTATCTCTATAAAGAAGAAATAGAAGCATGGGTTAATTCAGGTGTTCTTGCCGCTAATTATACCGCATTTTCTCGATTAGTGCCTCCTTCTTCAAGAAAGTATACTCAGCATCAATTGTTAGCAAATGCAGCTCAGGTCTGGGAGACTATGACAACTCAACATGGTGCTGTGTATGTGTGTGGTGCTGGTGCTATGAGTCGAGATGTTCGATCTGCTTTCCAAGTGATGGTCAAAAGCTTTGATGAGGCTGGAAATGATCAAGAAGCTGAATTGTATCTTCAATCCTTGGAAGCCAAGAAGGCCTATTTAACCGACGTTTGGGGCTGAAATGTCTTCTTTTGCAATACTCTATTATCAATAAACATGAGCGCTTATCACACCATTCATTTGTTATTTTATCCTTCTTTTTTCTTTTATATTTGATCCTACAAAGAAAGAATTGAAATGTAGCATCGTTAGTCGTTCGACATTTTGGAGCTGAAATTCTCAAGCTTGAGTTACATCTGATCGTATGCATTAGTCTGTTTTTTTAATAGATGCAGTTGCATGATTGATCTGACCATTACACCAAGAGTTTTCACATAGTTTTCGATAAAAAAAAAAAAGATAAGAAGTGTGTCTCCAATTGAAAAAGCAAGACATCTTAATGCATAACAACTACTCTTCATCTGAAATTGACTGTGTTGTCTATGCAAGCCCTTCTGAATCAATGTATTTAATGAAATATATAATAAAGACGATGAGCTGCTCTTTCATAAAAACTCGTTGTTTTGAGCGTTAGCAAACGTATTATGAGCCGAGAAAAAGAAAGAGATAGGGACATGACAATATGCTTATTTACTTTCCTTCATGCTTTGCGTAAAAACGAAACGGATGCTGTGGTCCAAATGAAATTGCTTCTCAATGATGGAGTTTATTTACATCTTTTCTTTATTCCACTTCTCCTCTGCAATATTCTTGTATACATATATACTTTTTTATTTCAGTTCGAATCACATATCATGTTGAATTGGTCAACAAAGCCTTTCAGTATTGATGGAAGAACGGAATAGCCAATATCTGTACTACACAAGTTGGTTTTGAAAAGACCAAATACCAAGAGATGTCTAACCAAAAATGTAAAGCCATCTGACCTACAAATCCAGAGAAATGAAAATATGACATTTCCTTTCTTCGCCCATCGCGGGCGAATGCAACATCAACTATCATTCTTTTTGTGACCGAAACCTATAATGGCTCTTAAAATCAAAAAGAGAAAAAGCCTCATACAGTACAGAATATCTTTAAAATTGAAAAAGAACAAAGATCTAGTTCAATTACTGATTTGATATATAACCAACCATCAATTACAGTAAGACAAGTGTGCCATTCTCTCGAAAAACGCGAGTAGGCAAAACACGGAATGCCTCGTTTGATAGTTTAAAAAACCCGTCTTTGATTTGTTTGTACAACGAAATGAACTCCCTTGGCTCTTGGCATTGGGTTTTAATGATGTATTACAATTAAGTAACAGAAGAAAAACTGATTCCACAACAAAATCAAGGTCCACTTCATCTAGAGGGGGGAAAACGTATAAAAAAGTCAGTTGTGTTGAATTATTTTTTACATCAACAAAATGAGAATTACAACAGGTAAAAAAAAAAAAAAAAAAAAAAAAAAAAAGATGAAGCAGCTTCATTAGTATCATATAATCTCACAATTTTATAACATAGGTATTATCATTTTAGCAACTACAGCTAGCACAGTACTTGCATCCAACATTACCTACAATGTAGTTTCGCTTGTGCCTAGCAATCAAACATTAGGTGTTCTCGTAGACGGTCAACTGTATCCGTTAACAGGTGAAAGTGACTCTTCTATTTTCCATACTGGTGAAGCACCTTCTGCTAGTTCAGGATACAAATATGCACAGATCTTGAAGAATGACTACAGCATTGTTTCTCAAGAAAACTTCACTCGTAGTCCTTTAACTAATGATACACTCAATGAATATTACGATCGATCTTGGAACACAAAAACCATGAACACCATTCCTACCATTTTAAGTCCTTTATCTGTCGTGAACCGCATTGACTCTGATCTTCATGTGGATGGTCAAATTCCTACAATTCATTTGACGGGCAACCAAACAGCAGTTGATGAGATGCATGCCGACTCTCAAGCTGACACCAAGGTTGATTTAAACATGACTTACATTAGGTAAAGTATTTATCCAAATTCAAGCTAACTCTAACCCTATTTTATAGTCTCAATGCACTCAAGACTTACTCCAGTATTTCCGTCTCTATCTCAGGCCATAGTACTCGCTCTTATGCCAAACTTTCTTATTCTATCAAGATTCCCAAAAAGCAAGGTGACCTTTTCAATTATCGTAGACTCAAGTTGAGATCCATGGCTACTGACGCAAGCTATATGCGCGATGAATTAAATTATGATATTGCCAACTCGATTGGACTGCCTACTTCCAAGTGTAGCTATATTCGCCTCTTTATTAACGATAATCCCATTGGCCTTTTTGCTCTAGCTGAAGTCTTTAAGAATCCTTGGATTCAAAATGAATTTGCCGATGGTGATAGTGATTATAAACAGGGCGCTTTTTTTGTTGCTGATGTCAGTGGTGGTCAAAATATGAGTGGTGGCGGTGGTGGCAATCAAACAATGGGTGGTGGCAATCAAACAATGGGTGGTGGCAATCAAACAATGGGTGGTGGCAATCAAACAATGGGTGGTGGCAATCAAACAATGGGTGGTGGCAACCAAACAATGGGTGGTGGCAACCAAACAATGGGTGGTGGTCAGGCAATGGGCGGAGACTCTTCTTCCATGCAAGGTAGTAGCTCAGATTTGTCCTATCTTGGAACCAATATCAGTCTTTACAGTGCCGGCCAATACAAGGTCAAAGAAGACCCTTCCATTGGTTCTGCCAATTATACTCGTATCATGGACTTGACCCGATTCATTTCTGAACAAATTAACGCAACTCAGGTGGATGATTCAGTCGTATCTTCATGGCAAGAGAAGATGGATACTGATAGCGCTCTTCGTATGATTGCTATGGAAATTGTAATTTCTAACTCTGACGCTTATTTCACCATGGGAAACAATTACATCATGTATGACGACCTTGATGCTGATCGTATTGTATTCTCTGGCCAAGACTTTGATCTTACTATGGGCACCAGCATCAGTAATGCTACTTTGATGAATTCTGGTAATTACACTGATTATCCCAACTTTTCAAAACGGCCCTTGTCAGTTGCCATGATGAAAGTCCCTCAATTCAAGCAGGATTTAGAAAATTTGATTTACAATATCACTCGAGATCTTGTGAATACAGATATCTTGACTCCTCGCGTGAATTCTCTTATGAATCTTATTAGCGAAGATGTTGCCTGGGATAAAACACTCACTCGTGTTGCTTCAGGTTCTGGTGGTATGGGACAAGGTCAATTTCAAGTAAGCAGCAGCTCTTCCAATTCTCTCTCCATTGATAGCATGACCTTAATGGAAGGTGTTAAAGGCTCATCCAATTCAACCAATAGTATGGCCTTGCTGGAATGGCTTGAGCTTCGCAGTAACAATATCCTCACTTTTTTCAATTCTACTACGTCGTCTTAATTTATTTTAGAACACAACCTTAATTGTTCTTTGTATATTTTATTGAATAAACTCATCAATCTCACCAAACTCAGCAGCTCAATGGATCAAGTGTGTTTTAGTAAGAATGAATAGTTTGGAAACGCATGACTTGTTCAACATTTCATGCAAATCTTTGCCTTTTTCCTGGCATATGAAGGTAGCATAAAGCCTGTTTATGCACAAATAGACGCTCTAAATACTTAGGAAATATGTTTACTAATATTTATGGTACCTTTGGAGTTAATCTGAACTAAGAAAAGCGACTTGTAAGAAATGGTCAAAATAACCATTCGGCCAAAGGGTATTATTGCCCATGAAAATTGCTCATTTGAAAACCTCTGAACTTATTTTTGACACTACAGGACGAAAAATGAAGCCATCAACAAGAATAAATACTTAAAACGAGCGTCAGAGGCTCTAGTTTTTAGTGAATGCGTTTGTCAGACTATTGTATATAAAAGCGGTATGGTAAGTGTGAAAAACCCATAAACATTTTTGCCTATTTACTCAATATTCTAGCAGCAAATTTGTTGTGTCCATTATATCAATAGACTTAAAAAGCAAAGATCTACAGCTTTTGTCACTACACCAAAGCAAGATAACCGCATCTTTAGGCATTTCTCAGCCAAAGCTCCAATTTTGATGTGGCGAGAAGAATCGGAATTGCTTTCCATTTCAATCTTCGCAGCATAGCCATCTGGTATGTTCCATGTTCATTTGCTCCATATTTGTGTTAAAAAAAACCTGTGTTTCTATTTTTCTATGCTCTTTAGCACTCAAAATAACATAAGTCCCTTTAGAGAGATCCATTATTGACAAGTTCTATATGACATCTATAGCAAAAATGCTCAAAGCACAGCTTAAACAAGCCATTCTTTGATGCACCATTACTCGACAAACAGACTACTAAAATGGTTCATTTCCTCATTTAGAACATGTTTTTTCGAGTCAAGGAGTCGAATGATACCATTGATTTGACAGTTTTGTGAAATCTATTTTTTGACCTATGAGGGATCCACGGAGGTCCGTGAAGATGAAAAAAAAACAAAGATTTTTAGGATGACCCCGATGTAGGTCTGATCCAACCAAAATCAGACAAGACCATGCCTAGGTACTTCTAATGAAAAGAAAGCGAGTTTACTAAGATGAAAAAGGCGATTTAACTTGAGCATTGGCTTCAAATCTGCATCCAAAATTCATTGTACACTATAATCATTACAAAAGAAGCCCTTTTCAGCAGACACTAACTAGTAAGCGAACGCTTGTTTCTACATCATTCGATGCGCAAGATATGCGCAAGTAAGATATAATATAATACATGGTACTTCTTAGCCTAAAGAGAGCAGTTTCAAGCATAACTAACGATGAACGTCTTTTAGGAAGACGATTCTGTTGTTCAAACCTCGACGATTTTCTATATGAATTCAAGTCATGGATGTTAGCCTTTAGTGAAACGAAAGAATGATCGTGTTTCAAATATGTTATGTACTTTCAGTTATAATAACATCTTTTAAATTAGTTGCATTGACAATGATATCTAGGGTACAACGCGAATAGATGATGTCCTCCAGCATCCGTTGCAGTTTGCAGTATTTATTTTGGGCCTTAGAAGCTGGCAATTGTAAAATCAATCACTTTTTCGGGCAGAAATAAATACCATGCAAAAGGACACATCATCTCCATGGATGCGTGAAATGCTCTTTATGCCTAGCACCGATTTATTGACAGAAAGTTGAGGTCTGAACTCAGGTGCCTTAATACTTTGAATTGCCTTTTCTTAAGTCATATTTTCCTCAAAAGTTATGTATTGTAGCTTGATTCTTGTTTCACGGGCTTCACCCAAGATACGCAAATATTTTTTTATTCGAATCTGCTAAAAATCTATGCTCAGATATGAGTTGGAAAAACATAACTGTGACCGTTTTAATGACCTAAGTGTGTTCATTATACGAAAAAAAAAAAAGCTTTCTTCTTTTACTTACGCGTGAATACGGCCTCTCCCAAGTTTAGGAGCCAAATATAGTTATGTCTTCGACCTATAGTATCCCTACTTGGATACAAGAAAATCAGGCTCTTCACGACGCTATTTGCCAAGCAAGAGCCTCAAAAACCTCTGCAGAGGCACTCAACCAGTTACTTCAAGTCAATAAAGAAAAGTTTCTGAACTTGCTTGATGACATACCAAAAGACTCTACTCACAGAAGCACACTCAACAACAGTAAGCGTAGACTAGCAAAAATAACATGTTCATTTTTATTTATTTATTTAGACAAGGCATATATCAATCGAACTTCACGTACTGTCAGCAAAGAATTCACCACTAAAGCATTATTTTTATCTGACCAACTCAATATCAATGAATATGTTGCAGCTACTTTATTAATGCGTGGAACAACCGAATCTGGCCGACTAAATAGCAACGCCATTGATGCTGCTGTACTTCTTTATCATGAAGAGCGAGGATATATTTTGGCCTGTTTAGACGCGATATTAAAATCAGCCAAAGACGCGTCCGTAGATGACGAAACGCGATTTGTCTGCAGCCAATTCATTTCAGAACTTTTAAAAGAAACAATCCATGGCCACACCTATATTAACAAATTGATAAGCACACTTGAGAATATTACGCAATCTATACATGCAATTAGAGACACAGGCACTGTTGCTGGTCAAATACCCGCAGCTGGAAGTGGCAAGCTAGGAGAAGACATCTCTGAATTACGCATGGAAAGATTAAGTGATGAACGCATCTTGATTGTTCAGATTATTTACCATACTGCATCACTTTTTGACTTTGATACCAAGGACAAATTGAAAATGCTCGAATTACTTGAAGATGCAGAATTGACAGATCAAGCAACTTCCTATATGATTATTGCCATGATCTCTGTTTTATCACACAATACAATTGAAGAAGAACCAAGTTCAGAAACGTTGGATTTTATCGATCAGTTCCACAGCCGTATCATGACACATGGCTCAAAGGTACCTGTGGTTAAAGCTGTAGTTGTGCTTCAATGGATCTTGTATTTATCCAGCCCTATCAGAGCAAGCAAAGTTATTGGCTCACAATTCAACTTGAGAAGCGAAAAAGAAATACAGGACTTGTTGGATAAAGTCATTATACAAGACGTATTTCGCTTTATGAGCACCTATTTGCTTTATTTTCAACAACCCAATGCCAATATTGATACAGACCGCCAGACAATCAAGCCCAGCACGGACGGAAATACGTCTAAAGCAGTTGACAAGACGGATTATCGAAATATCAATGCAGACATTCGTAGTGATTTCCAGCCTTTTGCTGTTTATGAATTACAGCAATTAGGACTTTCATTTATCAATATATTGTTTGAAAGATTGCAAAAGCTCAAATACAAAGAAGAAGACACCAATACACCTTTGACAGACAGCATCCTTTCTAGCAGCTCAGAAAGTCAATGCCATGATCTTCAGTACTTTTTAGAATTTATGGCCAGTGTCTTTCGTAATCGAGTCAACCAAGGTGCTGTTTTCTGGAATCGTACTCAAGATGGATTACACCACTTTGTTCGTTGGTTGCTTGATATCAAGGTAGTCAATACAGTCTGTGCAGCTTTTGATTTCTTTGGATCCATTACGACAGGCGATGCTTGTGCTTCCAACATGTTCCACTTTTTCAAATTGGGCACAGAAAGTAATTTGGCCTCAAGTACTTTATTTTCTTGGGGAAAACCTCTTGCTTCATTGGAGTTCTATGCTGATCTTTTAAAGAATACATCTGAAGAATCCCATGCTGTTATTCCAGTCGAAGAAGAAAAGCTGCTTCTCAAGTTCTTAGACATCCTTAAACAATGTGTACAATATTCACAAGAAGCACGTCGTTCTTTTTGGACCGATGGATCTTTGCGTTGTCAAGAAATTCTGGTCAAAATCCTCAACTGTCCAACTTCCACAAACCTTCGTGCTGCTTTATTTGATGTCTTGGCTGCATTTTGTTCTCATTGGGGTGGAGGTGTAAGCGGAGAAGGTATGTGTGTGGCTCTTTCAGGATCGAACAGATACACTAAACATACTTGAATAGGTAGAGAAATATCACTCCAAGTATGGAAGATATTAGAAGGCAGTGATATGTTGATGTCTAGAAGCAAGACCATCCAAGACCGCTCTGTCTATCAACCAGCTGGTATTTTACAAGAATTAGAATTCGAGAAAAAGAGCCGTGTGTTTACCGAAACATTGTCTGTGGTTCGATTGATTGCGTCTGCTATTCATACACAAAGTCTGCGTGAAGCCATGATTTCTGGATTCCCTTACAAACCACCCAGTATTCCCTCTGAACTTGGTAAAGGCACCAAAACACCTGGTTCTATTCCTTACATTGCCTTGGTTGTTGACAACATTTTCTTATCACTTCGCGAACAAAAATATGCATTTGCCGAAGCACGTTGGGAATTGACTGAAGCATGTTTATCCGTTCTGGAAAACAGTGCTAAAAGCTTCGATGTCTCTGTCTTTGAAAACGAACAGACCAGAATGTCTTTGGATAATGAACTCAAGGCTCTAGTACCTAATCCTGTTGTTGAATCTACCTTGTTGCAAACACTGGTTCATCCTGGCTTCCAAATCATGATACGCGTACTTGCCGGTGGACGTGTGATTGACGAGATGTTTCAGATCATTGATGAGTGCGCACAGAAAGAAACAAAAGATACATGCGGTACGCCTTACCATAGACAATGCCTTATCCGTGCATTACGCATTTTGGACTGTATCTTATCCAAACAAAACACATTTATGAACATCATTATTCCGTATATCTCTAGTTTCTCTAAGAAGAAGACCTCCTCTGAATTCCAAGTAGCTGGGTACACTTTTACTGGCCTGCCTTCTCTTGTTTCACTTGGTCAATTGTTCTTGTTTAAAAATAACATGTTAGCCCGCATTGCTATGTTGGTTAACTTTGAAGATCAAGAAGAAGTATGTTATTATGCTGTTAGGATTCTCGACAAACTCGCAAATGGTTGCAACGAAGCAGAACCCTCAAAAGACCAAGCACCCACTCACACAGCTTATTCTGCTTTGTATTCTAACTTGAGTTCGAGTATCACTTCTGTCTTGAGCTCAAGTGAATCAGCAGAACGAATTGTATTTGGATTCAGTGAAAGACTGGCACTTAATGTTGCAGAAAATGTCACTTGCGATGACTTTGAATACGATATCAATAACATTCCATTTTGGTGTGCAGTAGATATACTCAGTAATGCTTATGATTACCCTGTAGAATTTAAGACACGTACAAGTTCTTCTGTGCGTCTTGTGATCATGGATTTGTTGCTCAAAAACATTCAGCTCAAGAGCTTTGATTCCTTGGCTGAATTCTTGCTAGGCTATGATCCATCCAAGATGTCTGCTCTTGACAAGATCCAAGATACAGAAGATAATCAACCAAGATTGGCATGCTTTCATGCGATTCTTAATATGCTTCGACAAGGAATCGACTCAGAGGATGCTATGATGGAAGATACTGCTGACCCAACAAAACTCATAATTGATTCTCACCCTATCTTGGCCGAAAAATGCTATGAACTCATCTATCGTTTATGTGCTAAAAAATTGACATCCACATCCACCCTTCGCTACCTGCGCAACCGTGAAAACTTCTTTTACAACCAATTCAACGCCATGTTACCTCGTATTGAAGACAACATGGCAGTAGAATCCAAAACTCCTTTTACTGGTGTCCTTGTGTCTGCAGACGGTACAGAAACCAAGACTGATTTTTTCCGTTTACGTTCCAAACTTCACCAAAGAGCCTGGTTACTTGATTCCATGGTGCTCGAGTTCAAGACAACGATGCATATGGGGCAAAAGAAAGAAGCCACCAAGCTGTTGGAATTGCTCTATGGTCGCAAAAATATAGTGTCTCTTTATGATGATAATGATGATGATACCAGCATGTCAGAACCTCAAGAATCAGGCTTGTTTTCGCTTCAGACTGTTTCTTACCAACAACCTTTGACCAAGATACTTGAACTTATCAGCTCGCTTGATTTTGTATGGGTTGATAGTCTTTTGGAAAATGTCAAACAACCACTTGAAGCCAAGTACTTTACAGAACTCAATCCTCGTCAGTTTGAGATCGAAAACGAACGCGGCTGTTTTGTGTACGATATCCGTTATTTCTACAAGCAATTAAGACACTATCAGCATACTCGGTATCCTGAAAACCCTGAAGTCGAAAGAGAATTGTCTGATATCTTGTCACATGCTGTTGCCAGCAACCATCAGCGCGAAATTGCTCATGCCAAGCTACACTGTCTTAAGGCCTGGAAAGATCTGGTGCATATCAGCATCATTGAATGCTTTGATCTGTTAGGCGATGTGAACCGAGAGACCATTATTCATGAAATCCTCAGTATGTTATTACCCAAGTTTGCACAGACCAAGGGCTATGATGGTAATATGCTTAAGAGCATGAGCGAAATTGTCCTGAACCTGGTGGATAAATTAAGAGTAAGCATGTCTGTTAAGCGCACATCCCATCTGCCTGTCGAGAGATTACGGCTCATCTTTCAAGCTATTGTGGATTGCATTCGTCAAGAAAACACAACCATTTTGATTCGTGGCGACATGTATTCTGCATTGACTAGTTTCTTGATCTATATTATACAGCATGAGAGAGACGCTACCTCAAAGCAACTGGAGCAACATATCTTGGACACCATCTTGGCTGATAATGCCCACTTGATCAATACCCTTCGTAGCGATGCTTTTCATGGTTTGGATATCTGGAAGACAACTGCCTACATTGCGCTGGATGCTTTAAACAGATTAGCACTTCTCGCTGGAAGCCAAGCTGTGCAACTACAGTTGGTCGAACATAACTTTTTACAAGCTACGATCAGTATGATTCGTACAGATGATGCAGCACTCTCTAATTTGCTTGGACAAATCAGTGGTAAGTTTGTGACTGTCTTTATCGTTCCTGTACTGACTAGATCATTAGCACCATTACTCCCTCTTTATATCTTTGAAGCCAAGATGTCTCTTCTCCTTCGCATTGCCAGAGATACAAAAGGTGCTGAACTTTTGTATGATCACCGCATCCTTGAGGTACTAAGTGAATGTCAGTATTTGAAGGTCCAACAAGATTATACCGCAACAGAAGCCATGAATGAAGCAACAGCTGAATTAAACGATAGACGCCAACGATTAGTGATGCCCACACTTTCATTGATAGTGACACTTCTCTGTACATTTCAAGGAAGAAACGATGCTGTCTTATTAAAGGTAAGTCAGTAATGACAATCAATTGATCTAACTTGATTGTTATAGACGGAAAGTTGGGTTAGAAATCAACAGCCAGCTCTTGTAAATATCCTTCAATACGAACGACACCAAGTAACATTGGATAGTTTAAAACAAATCAACATGATAGCTCATATTATGGTTTCTTTAAGTTGTCGTCGAGGCTATACAGATCGATTCGTAAGTGGATAGCGTATATCGACAAAAGTCTAACATGACCTTATAGCAACTCAAAGGATTCAACCAGCTACATAATACATTTATAAAACTTAATATCAGCAAAGAATTAGCTACTCGAGTGGCACCTATGAATGAAGAACAACTTCAATGGAACACGACAATTGCTGCAGGTAAAATGAACATCTTATCGTATCTATGTATCACTAATGTATTTAGGTGGCCAAACCCTGTTAAAAAACAAAGCACTACAATGCATTGATAAGATCCATATGAAACTGGAAGCGTATCGTAGATTAAAGTATACATTCCCTTGAAATAAAGACCTTCTTCTTTCGAATGCAATGATATTCAAAACTTTTTGTTTTAATAAAGTGGTAAAAAGTGACGAGTGATTGAGAGTGTTATTTAAGCAGAAGCAGACTTTTGCATAGAAGAAGTACGACGACGTTCAATCTTTTCTTGCTTGGATTCCTTGACACGTTTAGCAAGCAATTGCTTGTATTCAGCTTCAGCTTCACGAGAAGCTTCGGCTCTTCTACGCTTAAGAGCTTGTCTGTGTCTCTTGCGTTGAAGGGTAAGAGGAGTAACAAGACGTTGGATCTTGGGGGCCTTGGTGTAAGCCTTCTTACCTTCAGCCTTGGGTTGAACTTCACGACGGATAACGTACTTGCGGACATCATCTTCCTTGCTCAAGTTCTATAGAGAGATAAGTCAGATGTTGATTCTATATATATATATATATATATATAACTGTAAACTTACAAAGAACTTTCTGATCTTGGAAGCACGCTTAGGACCCAAACGCTTAGGAACAGTAGCATCAGTCAAACCAGGAATGTCTTGTTCACCTTGCTTGACGACAACGAGAGACAAGACAGAGAGGTCAGAACCAACAATACAACCACGGACAGACTTTCTCTTACGTTCACCGGTACGGCGAGGACGGTAGCAAGAGTGACCCTTGGACATCAAGAGCTTGACACGGTGAGGCAAGAGAACACCTTGCTTCATGGGGAAACCTTGCTTGTCGTTACCACCAGTGATACGGAAAACGTAACCCTTGAATTCGTCACCGAGAGAGTCACCAGAGACTTCTTGGGCCATACGCTTATCATAGAAGCCACGACTATTTCGAGGTGAGTGTCAATGTCTTATGCATCTCTTTACTTACAGACGACGTTCATCTTCGATTTCAATCAATTTTTGACAGCCAGTGGCTGGGTTGGCAATGTTCAACTAATCAGAAAATAAACAAAAAGCGTCAATCATCCATTCAATCCATCGATCCATCTAAAGATGCAAAGATAATGCGTCTATACATACCTTCATACCGCAGATAGAGAGATGGATCTATGGGTTCTGCTTACATGGATTTGATGTATAGGTGCGAGTTTGTAGTAGTAAGTAAGTTTTCCAATCAAGAACCGATATTCCGGTATAAAATTGATCGGACAGACTCCGTCACGGCCCGGTCGAGAAGTCAAGCGGCTTAACAGTGATTAGATTGGCACCATGTATTGAAAGGTTTTTTTTTATTATTATTATTTTTGGCTGGTCTTCTTCCTTTGTATATATTTACTGTGCGTAGTCTTTGTTGATATACACACAAGAAAAAAGAGAAAATAAGAAGAGAAGAGTAAATACAGTCGTTTTATTGACTTGGAGCTTATTTGTTTTGTTTATATAGAAAACTAGAAAACATGACTGAGCAAGAAACACGTCCTGTTGTCGAAGAACAACAACAACAACAAATCAGTGACGAACCCATCAAGACAGTTTTTCATGATTCCAAAAACTACAATGTAAAGCATCCCCTTCAAAACACTTGGACCTTATGGTTTGACAATCCTGGTAAAAAAGCCAACGCTGCTTCTTGGTCTCAAAACTTGAAAGAGATCGTCAACGTTGATACTGTAGAAGACTTTTGGGGGTAAAAAAATAACCAATACTATAATTTCATGCAGGTTACTAAAGTGAGCCTATAGTGTTCATAACAATATTGTCAAAGTCAACCACCTTGAAATCAGTTCAAATTACCATGTATTCAAGAAAGGCATTCGTCCAGAATGGGAAGACCCTGCTAATGCCAATGGTGGTAAATTCAGTATCCAGTTTCCCAGAAATAGAACGGGTGAAGCTATCAATGACTACTGGCTCAATTTGGTAAGGATTTGGCTATAAGAAAGAGGGAAGGGCTGATATTAGGCATGTAGATCCTTGCTATGTTGGGTGAACAATTTGAATATGAAGATGAGATTTGCGGTGCTGTTGTTTCTGTTCGTAAAGTGTTTTACAGAGTTGCTCTTTGGATCAAGAGTTCTGAAAAGAATGAAAAGATTGAAACTATTGGGTAAAGAACAGATTCAAATATTTATATACTAATCAAGATGATATTAGTCGTCAATTAAAAGAATTCCTTCAGCTTCAAAATACTTTGGTTGTAGAATTCACTCCTCACGGTGATTCTGCTGTAAAGTCAAATGAAAATAGATTCACCATTTAAGCTTTCAGACACACCTATCTCTTTGGAAATAAATAAATAAAAAAAGATGCGCGCACATATCGATTTCCCTGTACGACAGTTGTGTATATTTTCATTTTTTTTTTTTTTTTTCGTTTTCCCTCTTCTTTTTTTTTTTCTTCTTCTTCTTTCTTAAGCATACAGATGTATGAGGAACCTCCACCTTTACCTTTTCCTTCTCTAACAAGTTTAAAAGCACCAGCGATTGATATACTCAAATCTCAGCGAAGTCCAAATACACCTGATGTAGAGTTTAAATTTTTTTACCCTGAGCAGTCTGTCCAAGCCGAAAAGCGTAGACAGAAACCCAATAACAAGGCATGCGATATCTGCAAAAAGAAGAAAGTACGCTGTGATATAAATGCACTCCCTCATGAACCCTGCACCAGAGCCAATTGTCAGTGTGAACATCATCAACAGCACCAAGAGGATACCCCTTCCGAAATCGTTGTCACAAACACAAATAGTGGAAGTATACCCTCTACCACAGTGTTTCGTAAACCGGGTTTATTGCACAGTGGTCATTATACAGGTGAAACGTCATTTTGCCGATACCTTAAATCTCAAAATCAGTCCCTTGAAGAAGATCAATTCCCCACATTTTCAAGTATACCTACTGTACCCCATATCACTTTAGCAGATAAGCATTATCTGATTGATGTGTACTATGATAACCTCAGTCCTTTTTACCCAATCATCAATAAGGCAGATATACTCCAGCAATTAGACCTTGTTCAAAAGGGTCATAGTAGCTATCTTTCACCATTGTTTTTCTACGCCTTATTTGCACGTGCTGCTCATGTGGAAACAACTCGCAAGATGACTGCAGACAATACCTCTTTTTATGATCTAGGTGTTGCTTGCTTAGAATATGCTTCAGCACTGGTGCACTGTTATAAGGATAAACCACGGATCAGTACTGTATTAGCATTGGTGATCATGACAAATCATTTAGAACAAGAGAAAAGACATCAAGACCTGACAAGGACTTGGCTATGGGCTGGGGATGCCTTTCGTATGGCACTTGATTTAGGTATTCATCGGGCATTCATATCCGATGAAGCCGATCCATCTGGGCAGTTATGTATACGTACCTTTTGGCTTGCTTATATAGCAGACTGTACTATCAGTATGACTTACGGAAGACCTTCTGCTACAGAAGAGAAAGTATTGTAAGTTACAACTCAATATGCTCTTTGTCTCTAATTTTGGTAGAGATGTTACTTATCCTTCAAAACTGTCCAATGATGATGCGTTTGCAACACAATGGGTAGATGGTTTGAACTCTTTGATTTCCTTAAGCAAGGTTACTGCACGTGTCATCAAGTTCAATTACTGCCCTCCTCCTCCTTTTATTATTCAAGGCCCTGTTAAGGTTTGTGTTCATCACACAATAAGGGTTAACCAATCATGATTAGCGACACAATGCCTTTTTGGTCAGCGTAGATTCATGGCTGATGGATATTATGAGTCCCTTAAAAGAAGAAGAACCAGCATCGCCCAGCCTAGTTCAGGATGAATCAAGCATATCTACACGTATGGCTTTTCAGAAAAAGATGTTTCTCTATGCCAATTTGATCTTGTTGCATCGTCCTTATGTGAATGATGTCTTGACGACTCGCAACACAAGCAACAGACCATCGTACGACATTTGTTCTTACGCAGCCATCATTATCACAGACACAGCCAGTAAATTGAATCCAACCGAACTTGTCTATCACTCAAAATCACCCTTGTTTGCTTATGCACTTGTCATGGCGCTTCGGATTCATATCATGAATGCCACCAATGCTAATCCAGAGAAATACAATGCACACAAAAACTTCAATTTATGTTTAGCGACACTCAGTAGACTTCCTCAGGCTAAAAATACGTGTTCTATGTTACATGAAGCACTAATTGACCTTGAAGAACAGTACACAAATCGGTTCTTGCTGGCTCAGGAACGCGAAGATGATATCAAACTACAACAACAACTGCAACAACAAATGCAATTACACCAGCCTGTCATCACAGCTGCTCAGGTTGTCTTTTCTCCAGGTGCAACTGATAAGCGTAAAGATAGACCCAACAGTGATGCCAGTCAAGGCCTGACATTCAATACACCTTTGGAGCCTGGGACAGGTCGTCTTGTTATTAAACATCACAATCAGCCTACAGATTCTGCAGGTCGGAAGAAGAAGAAAAATAAAATTGTGCATGATACGCCTGCCATGTTTGTCGATAGTCAACAGTGTCGACAGAAGCAGAAACAAAAGCAAAGTCAACAAAAACTTCAAGGTGTATTTTCTACCAATGGTTATCAACACGCCTCTGCACCACCTACGCAATCTGTTCAAGTACAACAACAACAACAACTACCGCCTTCAACTCAATTCAGTCAAGGAAATCATTTCCAACTGAATGATTCATATACTCAGTATACCACACCTAGTAGTAGCAGCACCAGTAGCAGTAGTCATGGCAGTGCTACATTTCCTCAGACTGAGTACACTTCCATGGTACCTCATTATGCTGATACCATGTTTCCTTTGAATGATGCATTCGATCAAGTATTAAATCAAATGAACAGCCAAGAAACATCTATGTCTTTGAACTTTACTGATCTCTTGCCCATGAATGATGGGATGAATGCTTTGTGGAACACAAACTTTTCAAATGAAATGCCCATGTATTGTGTTGCTCCTCGAGAAGATACGTTTGGTGTTTCTATTACCAGAACCTCCAACAAGACTATTCCACCCAATGATACCAATCTTGCATTTAGCTATCCTAGTATTTAGAAATGTGTACATAAACTTTTTATTATTGTTGTTGTTGTTGTGTAGAATGAATAAACTGTTCTCCTGTTTACCTTCCCTCCTTTTTTTTTGTTGTTGTTGCCTCCCTTTTATTATTTCATTGTATTCACCCATTTTCTACTCCTATATTAAAAACCTACACTTGTGTTTGCATAACCATCGTAAAATTACTTATTTTTTCTCTTTTTTTTTTTTTTTTTTTTTTTATTCCATGTCTAGAGTAGCAGCCATTTTCAGAGAGTATAGTAGTATTCTTATTGCCTATATTATCCTACTTATATACAATTGATAGATACAAGATTGTAATGGTGGGAGAAGGAGGTATTTATACTTTTATTCAGCTGCATGTAGATACATATATATTTGCTCATTTTGACATGTATTCATTGTACTCTTCATAAGGTGTTGGAAAATCAGCCATGACTATCCAATTCATTCAATCTCAATTTGTGGATGAATATGATCCTACGATTGAAGGTAAGAACCAAAAAAAAAAAAAAAAAAGAAGCGTGCCTTCCTCCTTATTTTTCTTTATATAATCAGATTCGTATCGTAAACAGTGTGTCATTGACGGTGAATGTGCACTATTAGATATTCTTGATACAGCAGGACAAGAAGAATACAGGTATGAAAGTATGGCGGAATTCAATGATTGACAGTGTATGTTAGTGCTATGCGAGAACAATACATGAGGAATGGAGAAGGGTTTGTCCTTGTGTATGCTATCACTTCCTATCGATCCTTCGAGCAAGTTCAGAAATTACATGAACAAATCATGCGGGTAAAGGATATAGAATCCATTCCTGTCATTTTAATAGGCAACAAATGCGATATGGAACGTGAACGACAAGTGCCTACACATGGTAAGACATCTTTGAAATGAACAAGCCAACTTAATTGGAACAGTGGGTAAAGCATTGGCGAAACAGTATGATTGTGAGTTCTTGGAGACTTCAGCCAAAGACAGAATAAGAATTGACGAGACATTCTATGGCTTGGTACGTGAAATAAGAAGGGTAAATCAAGAGAAGCAAGACAAACATGCTCTCTATGAAGACAGGACAGGTCTCTATTGTTGTGGTGAATGCATTCTTATGTAATTTATTGGAAAATGTCAAGTGTAGTAAATGGTTTATCTCTATTTTGTTCTTTGACTTTGTTGGCTGTTTCTGTTGCAAGTCTTTCTTGAAGATCAGCCTAAGATAATAGTTAGAGTACAGCAATATAATAATCTTAATAAATAATCCTTACCATTTTGTGATCAACAACATTCTTTGCCTTCTTACGCAAATGTCTCTTTAGCGCAGAGTTTCTGCCTCTCATTCTCTTCTTTTCTTTTTCTGGTGCACCAGGCTTGGCTGCTTCTGCTTCTTCTTGTTCCATTTGACGTCTCTTCAAGATATCGGCCTTTGTCAGCTTGTTCACCTTACCGATCTGTGTAGGATCCAATACAATCATATCAGGTTGAAGTTTATCCAACAAAGTATGCACTTCAGTTTCTTGTCTCTGTCTCTTGGTCTGGAAGGGATTGGCTTCCAAGGAATCAAAGTTGGCTTCACCTGCACCAGGCACAATGATACTAGAGATACCCTTTTGATGCCCAATACCCAACACATCTTCATAAGGCACAAATCTCAGGTTTTGAATAGGTGATCCAGCTTCTAAATGTGACATGTAGGGTGATTCTTGTTTCTTTCTGAATGCATCTTTCCATACTTGAACATGTGTATGCATGCCTACACTCAACAAGCCTGTGTCTGATATATCTAATGAAGTGGCAGTCCGAGGTGTATAGTATTCTTGAAGACAGCCATAGTTTCTGATATCCCAAATCTTAAGTTGACCATCTGTACCTGATGTAGCCATATAGTGCCCGCCTTTATCAACTGCAATTGCTTGTACAGGACCACGATGACATTGCATTTTGACAAGTGGTGAGGGCATAGAGGGTGACCAAAGTGTCACTGTACCGTTCTGATGACCCAAATGAATTACTGCATTGTATCTGTTTTGTGTCATGGTGTTGCATGGACCTAGTTTAGTGCGTCTTTCAGCCACAAGTTCACCTGTGGATGTATCTTGGTATTTAAGATAGCCATTGCTGCCAATAGTGGCTAATAAATAGTGATAAGGAAGGAATTGAAGTTGATCGACATAGGTGTGGTTCTTGAGCTGATGAATTTCAAGCCCTGTTTTATCGTAAATATAGACATATTTCTTTTGAGCTACTGCTAACATGGTTTCATTATGAAGCCATCTAGTGATCATGGTAAGTCTTTTTTTTAACAAGATATTTTTTGACTTACTTGACATCGCGCACTGTTTCATTCACATGTGTCTCGAAATGAAGCCCGCCTGTTTGCCAATCAAATGCTGCAATATGACCTTTGTGACCACCAATCAACAAATGACGACCGTTACGGGTATAATCTACAGAATAAGGTCCAAACTCTGGTAAATCAAGAGAGAAGATCTAATAAACATAAGGGGAATCAGATAAAGATTGGATAAACATGTGAAAATTTACCTTGCTAGCTGTGTTGACATCAAAACTGGAAACAAGTTGGTCTTGTCTAAACTTGAATGTTTTTTCAAGACCTTCAGCTTCTAAATAACCAGCTTCTTCTTGCAAAAGCATTTCAGCTCTAGCAGCTGCGCGAGCAGCATCACGACTGTTCTTTTCTTGATGTGTTATTTTGGCTCTTAATTTGATATCTGCAATTTTCTATAACACAAGTCAATAGCTGTTCTATACCCCTCCCCATGCTGTCTTCTCTTACTTTAGTGTCTTTGGAAGGTTTGATACGCATGTATTTCTCTTCATTTTTGACAGGTTCTTCACTTTCTGCCATTTTTTTAGGTTTTGGCACAGTAAAAGTGGGAGTTGACTTCTTTTCGCTTGCGTTTCCCTTTGTTTTCTTGCTTCTGACCATATTGCGTATCTGTATATCTATCTCGAAAGAAAAAGAAAAGAAGAGAGAGAAAAAAAAATGGAAGCTCTATACCGAAGCATGTTGAAAGGAGATAGGGTGCGAAAAGCAGTCCTTGGTAGCAAGCCACTGCCTTTCCTTTTCTTAGTAATGCATAAAAAGGTATTCCATTTGACATTTTTATTATAGACAAACAAAAAAGAGAGACGCATGTCCCTATTTTAAAAATGGGGAAAAAAAGGGGGGAATAGAGGAAAAGATACAAAAAAAAGAGCTTAAAGAAATTGATCTTGTTCATCAATGGGTGTATTGGTGCCACTTGAAGTAGCTCTTGATCTTAATTGATTCTTCTTACTCGTGAGCATGTTCTTTAAAGCTCGATGGGCAAACACAGTTAATCCAATACCAGCCCAATCTTCATCGTGCAAATCCCGAAGATCACCTACTGTCATGATATCTTGATTTTGAAGCTTACGGACCCATTCTAATGCCTTATCTTTGTTACGATTGGTAGCTGCTGCAGTTTCAAGCACAAAAGCTTCAATGCTGGTATCATTCGAATATTCTGCTGAATTCGCAGTGCCCGAAGACTCTTCTGCTTGATTGAAAGTAGGAGACGTGGTAAACATATCTGATTCTTGTTTCAATTCAGCTTCAAAAGACAACTTTGCTTGTTCCAGAGCATGTATGGTATCTTTGTATCTTTCTTCAGCGATCTGAGTCTGTTGCAGGAATGTTTCGCATTTCTTTTCGGCATTAAAGATCTTGTCTCGAGCCATCACTAATTCTCGTTTGGCACGCTCTAATTCTGAACGGATATCGTTTTCTCTTCGCCAGACCATACGATCATCTTCAGCCTTTTCGGGCGTTGAGTTTTGTTGCTTATTCAAGTCTCGTAAGAGTCGGTTAATGTCACCTGTGATCAACTGTTGGTATCGCTCAGGAAGGACTTGCTCCTCAATCATCTCAGCAACCACATCTTCAGCTGTATCAGTATCTGCATTGAATTCGAACTTGACCGATAACTTATCCATGCCTTTGAATACAACCTGGAGTGTCAATTGTTTCATGGCTGTATCACTAGCCAACAATACTACTTCAGGCTCCACTGCTAAAAACGAATGTTCGAGTATTTCTTGTGCAGACATACGTTCATGTTCAGAAGCAAGACAATTGTTGATCAGGGCCAAGACTTCAGGATCTTGTACGCGAGATAAACATTCAGGGCGAATGGTCTGTGTGACTTTCTTGAAGACTTGAGCAGCATTGGTGCATTCGTTGTAAGGGTATTCACCAGTGACCATCTCTAACAGACACATACCAAACGCATAGATATCAACTTTTTCACTGTATCCTTTTTCTTCGTACATTTCAGGTGCCATGAATTCAGGAGTACCAATGACAGTATACTTTTTATCAATTTTCATTTCTGCAGTACCCATATCGCCAATTTTGATTTCGCCATGAGCGCCATTAATAAAGATATTGTCACATTTGATGTCTCGATGGATGATTGTGGGGTTATGGCCATGTAGATAGACAAGACCCTTTAGGATCTGTCGACACCATCGTTTGACGATCTTCATGTTGGGCAAAGGCGACAATTTACGAATGTATTCTCGCAAGGTTCCCGATGTCATGAGTTCAGTAATAAACACGAATTCAGTTTCATTGTACCAGGCTTCATGAAATGTGATGATGTTTGGATGGCGCACTGACTTTAAAATTTCGATTTCATGGCCGAGTGCTTTTACTTCTTGACGCGTTACCTAACAACCAACATCAACACACATATTTATCCAATGAGGCTCATCGTTGTACCTGTAGAACATTCCAAGCCACTTCATATCCTTCTTCTCGATCAATTGCTTTATAGACGACCTTAAAGGCGCCTTTACCGAGAAATGTGTTTAGTTTAGCAAACCTTCCATTGTTGGATACTTCAATCACACGTTCTGCATTTGCTTTTGATCTTTCATCATCGATCTCTGTATTCGGATTCATCCAGACACCACCAAAGGGCTCCATATGAGGTTGTTTTTCGTATTCTGGGAATTGAGCAGCTAATTGACGTACAAGAGACAATGAACTGGTTGTATCTTGAGCTGCATCATTGTTGTTATCAAAAGAAGGACTGTAAACGCCTGAATCAATAGAATCTTCGCTTTTCGAATTGGATATATTATGATTCATATTGAAAACGCTATTTAAAATGAGAGAGAAGGGAGGGAGGAGAGGGAAGGTATTGAGAGTCTAATAATTATATAAAAAAGGAGTTGGCTTTTTTAAAATACAGTTACCAACCCAACATTACGTTAGGATTGATAAGATATCAAGAAAGGCCGTTCTTTTGTACAGACAAAGAAAAATAAGATTCAAATAAACAAAGCAGGGAGTGCTGAGTGGTTTGAGCGAGCTGCTTGAGAGAAGGAAAAGAAAATGAGAAGAACAGGAAAGAAAGAAAAAAAATTGTCAGCCTCTGAAAATTAAGACACAGACGCCCAGTTTTTTTAAAAAAAACAAGTCTTATTTAACAAACAGACCTTCTTTTGTTTAGAGCGCATAGTTTCGGGTAGTATCAAAAGGGACTGCATCGAGACAATATCAATCGTATTATTTGCGCATGATGTAGCTCCTTTGTCTTATAAGCTACGGAACTATTTTGCAGTTTGCCTTTTCAGTGGCATATCAAGTCAATAGAAGATTTTATTACCTATTTTCACCAGAACATGGCATTTTTATGTACACCGATGCATAAGAGAAAAGAAACAAAATCTAGTAATTTGAACCGAAATAGCTGGTCGTATAATTTACCAACATTTTGGCTTTTTTTTTTATAAGCAAAGATCCTTTTGTTTAGCGTGGGTCAAGTGCATTTTGATAAGATATTACATATCGATACATAACTTGGTAATGTATAAATAATGTATGTAGCAAAAAGTCCAAGCAAATACATGCCTCAACAGCAAAAGAAAAAGAAAAAAGAGGCATCAATTCATGCAGATTTCTTTCTTATTCTTATGCATATAAAGATAGCATAAAGCCTGTTTATACACGCATAAATGCTCCAAATACCTACAGACCATGTCTACTAATATACGAGGTATCTTTGGAGTCGACTTGTAAAATTTGACCAAAATGATCACTCAACCTTGAGCCTCTTTTTGATGCTACAAGACGAGAAATAGAGCGATTGACAAGCTTAGATACTCAAAATGTGTGTCAAAAGCTTTAGTTTCTCGCAAGTGTGTTTGCTTAACAGTTGTGCTATGAAAATAATGAGATATGAGCATGCAGAATAAACTTTATCAAAAGGATTTCACTTTACTCACACAATGAAGATAAATTCAGTAGATGTTACATTACTTTTGCTGAAGCTAATAAGCAAAATAACGATTACGAATCGAATAAAACTGGCTTGGAAAGAAGGCTAACAAAACAGATATACAAAACCTGTCTCATCAAGGTCATTACTTTTTACTTTTTTTAAACTACGACAAACAAACTGTAAGCTTTTTTTTTTGGTTTACACCAAACGGAAAAATTATTCGCGCATTTCTGAAAAAAAGATTAGCGCAATTTCAAAAAAATAAATCTCGCAGAGAAAAAAGAAAATTTAGCATAGTATTTGAAAAAAACTTAGCCTATCATTAAAATCAAAAAGCAGACTCGCTATTGGCTCCAAATTCAGTGTCCGGCGATGGTATGACTGAGCTGAAAAAAAGAAAAGCGACAGGATTAATTTGCGCCAAGAGATTAAAATATCGTAAAGGTTTCGGCTCCTTTTTTCTTTTATTTAGTTTAAATATTAGAACAAACATGCAAAGCGTTAGTGAATTTATTAATAATAGTGAAATTATTTCAGATAACGATATGGACACTTCATCTGACGATTATGTGGAAGATGACGAGCAGGAAGAAATGGAAATTGAGCATTTCAGTTTGAGCGAAGAATGGATGGAGAAAATAAGACGAATTGGGAATGATTCTCTATCATATATCGAAAAGAATACCACTGCTATATTAGATGAGTTAAAGTTAAGACTTTGTGAGAAATTTGAGGGTTTGAAAATCTCTATTTCTGCCATCCACAAACATTTAGTACATAAGCATAACATTACGTTAAAGAAACTTGAAAAAATACCAGCAGCAAGAAATTCTGACAGAGTAATAGCATTACGAAAAGCGATTGTTGAACAATATAAGAGTGATGCAGATATGGATTTTTCTAAGAATTGTGTTTTTATCGATGAAGCAGGTTTCAATTTGCATTTACAATTTTAGGTGCAATTTCTTAAGCAGGTATCATAAATATTGGAGTTAAAAAACCAGAATCAGCTTCTAAAAAAAAAAAAAAAAAAAAAAAAAAAAAGTCTAGCAAATTTGAGCGAAACCTGAGCGAAACCTAAGCGAAACCTAAGCGAAACCTGAGCGAAACCTGAGCGAAACCTAAGCGAAACCTGTGACTTTTCAAATTTATGACGTAACACTTTGGGTGATGCCAAAGCAAAATTTCAGTCGGCGACAAAAGCGAATCTATAAAATAGGAAAACGAACTTTGGGGGTGGAGTCGCTGTACTTGTTTCATGATGTTAAAATCTCAGTGAGCATTCAGAGTGCGTCTGTTGAAAGCTGCACTCCTACTGACTATTTTAAAGATTTCTTTCCTCATTCAAACACTTCTGGAAAAATGACATTGAATGCTTAATCCATCCTTCACAATCTTTTTTTGTTACTTTTCCAGCCGATTCACATATACGATCTGTGAGACGATCATCTGTCGTCAATGGTGTTCTTCTAACACCAGCTTTTACTTTTGACCAAAATTCCTCGATTGGATTCAAGAAAGGAGAATATGGTGGCAAATATATGCACCTATGTCCTCGTTCTTCGATCAATGCTTTGATTACTTTTGGCTTATGAATAGGTGCATTATCCATAACAATATACTGCCCCTTTATATTATTTTTATCTAGTGTATCCATTGCATTGTTTAGATAAGCCAAAAAGTGCTCAGTTCTTGTCCCAACTTTGCTATTTATTTTTACTTCCTTACCATCTGCCCTTCTTTTTTTTTTTTTTTAGAAGAAGCTGATTCTGGTTTTTTAACTCCAATATTTATGATACCTGCTTGAGAAATTGCACCTAAAATTGTATAGCAACTATTGATTATGTTGATTGAGATTTATTGAAAATGTTTACAAGACAATTATTTCTAGTATGCTGTGAACTGTGAAGAGGTTTATTAACTTGTTGCATTAAGAGACTTGGTTCAGTAAAGTAACAATAGTAGTTTTGTGGTAATAGTTATGCTTTTGATATCAAATATCAGTTGATATACAGTAGACAGTAGACAGTAAGCAGTAAGCAGTAAGCAGTAAGCAGTAAAGAGAGCAAATTCGTATATAGCGCAAGCAACTTTGTGGTAGAATTCAGAGGATAATCCTTATTGCTAAAGCTTAGTTCTGTTGGCTCTTTCCTCACAACAAACCTATCAGTGTTGACAAAGGGAAGCACAGGTAATGTTTGTGAACCCTTCTACCAATAATCCCTACAGGTCTACTATGTATCCTTCAAGACAATGCATAGTGCGTTTCCCTCTTTCGGTACTTTGCCTATCAGGAGTAGACGTTCGCGGAAGTTGGCCAACAACAGATACCCTTGTTTTACGCGATTCAATAAGCGGCATCAGTCTTCCTTCTACCAGCCAGTTACTCACAGAGATAAAATCAGAGAGAAGGTTCTTGTCAATAAGGACGTTCTTTTTTTTTCTTTTTTGCTTGTGTGTTCTTGTAGAGTACCCAGAAGACAGATAGACAAAAGAGAATCAGATGAATCAAGTATTGAAATGTATGCTAAATAGTCTCAGCCCTTTGATTTGTAAAGAAGAGACACCATAGTATTGCTTGATTTGAAGAGACGTGGAGACAGAGACTAACAATATTAGCTACATAAATTTAATGCTACATAATACCTTTTTTTTTGTTTTGCATTTAAGTCTTGAGAATGAGAAATAAGATGAAAGAAAGACCAAAAAAAAAAGGTTCTTTTCTAGACTCGCTTTTTATCATTTACACTTGCTTTGTTCCCATGCTTTAGAGATGAGATCTTTTTGTTTATATTGGCTTCATTATGATGAAAAGAACTTTCGATGGCATAAACAACTTTGTTGATTTGTGTAACTTTCAAAGATCAATTTGCTCACAAGTATGTAAAAACTATACAAGTCTATATGCTTATTGACAATGTATTATGGCACACAGACAAGATAGAATCTATCATTTATCACTATCTGAAAATATTGTTCTAAAGAGAACATAGCGGATACTTTGTTCTTACTTGTATCACAAAGTAAATCGTTTGTTTACATTATGTTGAAAGTAACGCCTAGGACCAGTCTATGATCTGTTTGCATCAATGAATACGAGTTTTGTTACAAAAGAAAGTTTTGAGTTTATCAAGGTTTTATTTTTAGGGAAAAACTATGGTAATACTTTTCAAGCTCATGCTAAACGTAATAAGAGAGACGAAAAGAGATATTTAATCATTGTTGGCGTTATTTTTATCTTCACATGAAAGAAAAAAGCGGAGAATGATTATAGTTTAAAGTCCTCTGTCCCAGAATGAATTCTGTATCAATTGAGTTTTATTATTATTATTATTATTATTATCAAGCATAAAGAGAGAAGCATTTAGTTCAATCATAGATGATCAGCTCATGTTATAGAAGAGAAAGGAGAGAAAAAGGGATATTTTTACGTCTAAAAAACTGAAAAGTGCAGTGTCAATTGCATTGTTTATGCAAACAAACAGCTTTTGTTGTAGTATAGAATCAGATGCTCTTTCTTTCCTCTCACCATAAACTGATCCTTATCAAAAGAAAAAAAAAGGAGATGAGTGTGAAAAAAGAAAAAGCGGATGGCATATAACTGAAAAGGCCGTTTTTCTACCAATTACAGTGTGCAACGAACTTTGAATGCAAAAAATATAATCCAAGATTCCTGAGTTGCTGCCACTATGCCAAGTAATCTGCTTTTCATTCCCAAAAATATCAATGTAATAGTCATCCAGTAAATCTGTCTATTCAGGAGGCACACACAGTAAAGTACCATCTAAACGGCGATCTTTATATTGATAGTTGAAATCTCCCATAATAAATATTGTGTTATGTGTATTGATAGTCGTGTCCTTGACAATTGGGATATCCAGGAGCTCAGTATAGAGTGCTGACCGATTAGAATGAAGCGCTGAACGACCATAGATATTTAAAATTGCAGCTATAAGTGCCATAGTAGACGACTGTTCCAAATCTCGAATTAAATGAATATCAGTCAATATGTATCGACCATTATCAATTCCTTCCGAGACAGGTGTAATTGTAAAGTGATGAGAGAGTGATATGATGCCGCAATGTCGAGTCCAAATGCTCGACTTGCAGTTAAAATGGGTGTTAAGTAAATCTATAATAGTAGTATCTGAAGCATGAGTTTCTTGTAGCACCAGGATGTCATATCCTAAAGTTCTGAGGTATCTAATGGGTGTGGCGATTTTAACTGTATGATGTTTAATATTCATAATTAATGTTGAGGTTGAGGTGATTGTTGGCCCATTAAATCAGGCTGACGCACATTAGCTTTTACATTAACCTTTTCACTCAATCCATTTTGTTGTGAGGCAGCTGAAGCTGCAGCTTGTCGTCGAGCAGCACTTATATCATCAGTTCCATTGAACTTACCCATCTTTTTGACATTATCATGAGTCTCCAAATCTGTAAATCGAGATGGAGAAGAGATCACAATATCCTCCATTACTATGTCTTTTGAGATAGTCTTTAACGCATCAGAATCATTTACCGGATTAAGGTTGCTTTCATTCATAGTGGTGTCCTCTTCAACACCGTTTTTTACCATTGAGAGCAACCGTTGCATCTCTTTCATTATTCTTGTAGCCTTGAGGAACTAGAGAGCCAGCAGGGGAATTTTCTTGTGTCATTGGTTTCTTAGGAGCAGCCTTGGGTGAGGCAGTAGAATCTTTGTTTGTCCCTTTTCTAGGTTTTGGCTGACTTGAGGATCTCTCCACTGCACAGACCTTGCTGGGAGCGGAGTCAATTGATCCATTACGACTGCAGTTACGCATAACATGGCCAGTCTCATTGCAATGGTAGCAGCGTACCCATTTCTTGTAGTCGGGACAATCAGCTCGACAATGGTCTGAGCTCTGACAGTTACGACAGAAGTCAGACATCTTATCCCATTGTAGGAGTACTTTTCTCTGTTCATTATCCCGTGGATCACACCCGGAACACTCCGATCCATCTGCGTGGGATTCCATACATTCATTTTCAGGTGTAGCCGACAAATTTAGATTCAAGGTAGCATACCCTTCACCATGAAAGATGCCATCAGTTCTCGAGATGCCATGATCTAGAACTTCTCCAAAGCACGAAAGACGAGCAGCCATTTCCTCTTTCAACTGGATGGCTGGGAGGAATGGAAGATTTTCAAGAGTTAAGCGGACGATGGTAGCGTCTGCTGGATAGGAAGGAAAACCTTTCACAAAGGTACCATCCTCCAAGGTAATTCCTTCTTCAATAAGTGTCTTGCGACCAACACTGTTATAAAGCCACATCGTCTCCGAAAAGTCATGTCCCAGATAGTTGCGTGTTTGCTTTCGATAACCAAGAAAATCTTCGTAGTAGCCTGTGTTTTCAGCATCTTCATTAAACTTGGGTAGAGCTTTGTTTAACAAAGATCGATCCTTGATTGAGGTAAGATCAATGAAGACTGAATCTTGTTCCATTCCTTTAATGAATGGACGAATTACTGCAATGGGAGCTGGAGGGCTGGAGCCATTAAGAGCATTTTGAGATGACTCTTCTTCTGTAACAGGATGATTAACCAAAGTAGGGTTAAACGAAACAATAGATTGATTCTTTTTGTTGTTATTGCCTTTCCTCTTTGATTTAACAACATGAGTCCAAAGCAATGGGTTCTCGTTGTTATAGTTAGATTTTGGGTCAGTTTGCTGTTTATGCCGATTTTCTAACATAAAAAAAGGTGAAAAGGACATTTTGTATTTGAAATGCATTTTTTTTTTTTTTTTATTTATCAAAAAAGAAACGTCGAGAATCTGGCCTATTTCAAAGTCCGACAACAATCATTTTGAAGTTTTGTCTAATGAAGGAACAGAGCATCTTTATTAATATCTTCTTCTGTTATTGCCCACTGAACGATGGTATTTCTAAAGATATAATGAGAAATAACACAGCAGCATATCAAAGACTTACCACATGTCCTCTTCCTTTGAATGTCACATTAGGATCATCATCAAACCTTCTCTTTTGTTCCCATTCTGGCTTCTCTGCATTTTTGTCTCTATATTCACGATAACGTCTAGCTTGCTCTTCTTCATGCTTTTTCTCTTTTTCTTTATGATCACTGTCTTGCTCTTCATCACTGTATTTCTTGTCTTTTTTATGCTTTTTATGCTTTTTTGATGATTTTTTGTCATGTTTCTTGTGCTTTCGCTTCTTTTTGTTCTTCTTTTCGTCTTCATGTTCTGAATCTGATCTCTTTCGCTTTGACTCTTCCTCACTTTCACTGTCTGATTCACTCTCTGAACTGACTTCTTTACTCTTTTTCTCTTGTTTGACTAAACACAGTGAGACCCTAAGCACAGAAAGATCATGTACGACTTACGCTGAACGCCTGGTGGTAACTTGAGGACCAATTCACCACAATTAGCAATCATCACATTATGCAATGGTCTGTCATGACTATCCACAGGTTCATTCTCCATGCGTTCCACTACAGGATACCCAGAGACAACGCGACCAAAGACGACATGCTTACCGTCCAAATGAGGCGTAGGTCGCGTTGTGATAAAAAACTGAGAGCTCTGGGTGTTGGGCCCACGATTAGCCATGCTCAGTAAACCATGTGTATCGTGTTTGCGTGAAAAGGATTCGTCTGGAAAGGTGGCACCATAAATAGATTCACCTCCTGTGCCATTACGACGTGTGAAATCACCTCCTTGGCACATGAAGCCCTTGATGATGCGGTGAAAGATAGATCCTCGGTAATGGAGTGGCATGTTGCTTACTCTACCAAGACCTTTTTCACCTGTACATAAATAACGAAAGTTTTCTGCTGTCTTGGGAACTTCGTCCGCAAACAACTCCATAATGATTCGGCCAACTATTCATGAGCGTTATGCATGCTTAATTTAATTGACTTACTTCTGTTGCCATCAATGTCAATATCAAAGTATACGCGAGGATTGATCTTCATCTTGACAAAAAGAAAAAAAAAAAAAAAAGAAAAAAAGATGAAGTGACTGGATAATTTTGTACTTTCTTCTCTTCTCATCACCATGTCTGGATCTTCTTCTGCTGTCAAACAAGAAGAGCAACAAGAGACTGTCTCTATTTATGCTTGGGTGAACGATAACTTGAATGTGCTTGTGAAACTGATGGTGTTTACTGCTGCTTTGTTTGCTTTTCCTATTCTTACTTTTTTCCTTACACTTCATAGCTTATTTGATGGTAAACATTGTCTATAAAAAAAAAATACACACACACACACACGTGATATTGATGGAATGTAGGAAATACAACGTATGCAGGTGGTGCTGCTGCTGCTATGGCTAATGTGATCGTGATTCTCTATATCATCACAGCTATTCTTGAAAGACCCAACGAGTCCAAGCAAAAGAACGAATAATCACGTGATAATAAACACACTTTTATTTCATATCTCTTCTCTTTTGCTGTACATAATCATTCATATAGCCAGTAACAGCCGAGATCAAATCATGGAATTTATCTTGGTGATAAATAGGATGGTTTTCTGGATACCAAGAGGCTCTTTTACTCTTTTCCCATTCAGCAAAATATGTGAGTTGAGTACTAATTTGATTGACTAAAAGTGGCCAATCAATCCATCTCTTGGGTGATAACACACGTATACAGTCATCTATAAAACTTATCATCATAAACAGCACAAATAATGAGCTGATACTGACGACTGTCAAAGTGCCTACTGTCATATAAGAGGCTGTATCTATAAGACTTGATTTCTTTTGTTTCAATGATGACATCGTTCAAGAGAAAAAGAAAGAAAGAAAGAAAGATAAAAGAGGCAAAAGGGGAAGTTGAATCTTATACTTTTCAGGTACGCGAACCTTTGCTCTGATTGGTTGATGGTTTCTGTCATAAATACACTTTTTTTTTTTTTAATTCTTTTTTTTTTTCTCTTTCTTTTTTTTTTTCTCTTTCTTTTTTTTACAAAAAAATAAAATAAGAAAAAATGGAAAAGTTTCGCGAGGTAAGGCGTAATCATTTTTATGAGGCACGCGGTTAATTTTCTTTTTTAATCAGAAAATTGCCAGTATTCGTGCTGAAGCAGACGCTGCCAATGCCAGAGCAGATGAATTTGAACAAAAATACAAAGAACTTGAACAAATTCAAATGAAACAAGAACACGAAATCATTTCCCTTACAAATCAAAATAAGCACCTTGAAGAAGATTTAGAACAAGCCAATGAAAAAATCAAACAACTCAAGGCTCTTGAAGAAGACGAAGATGACTTGAAAAAGGAGAATGATGCTGCTCAAAGAAAAATCACATTATTAGAACAAGAGTTAGAAAACTCTGAAAAAACCATTAGGGAAACGACCAAAAAGTAAGAGTTGTTGTTTGTTATGATCACGTTTTTGATTAACTAATTCCGTCTGATTTTTTTTTTTTATATATATAGTTTCAGAGAAGCAGATGTAAAGGCTGAACATTTTGAACGTAAGGTTCAACAGTTAGAAAGTCTACATGCTGATCAAGAAAAGAAGAATGAAGAACTTAAACAAAAGATTGCTGAATTACAAGCACAATTGGATGAATTCAATGCTTCTTTAGATGACATTTAAGTTTTTGAAGTGACAATAAACTGTGTTTAAAAATATCGTTGTTTCAATCTGTCCACGTTTTCTATCAGTTTTTTTTTTTTTTTTCCTTTTTTTTTTTTCTTCTCTTTCTCTCTTTAGAATATATATAAAAATGTCCAAGTTTGGTACAGATGAAAACCCTATAGATACATCTTATTATGATTTACTTGGTGTCCCTATTGATGCTCAACCAATTCAAATCAAAAAGGCTTATAGGTAAATATACTTGGTCTTGGCAAAAATATATATATATATTTTGTACAGGTGACTAACAGAGAATCTTATAGAAAGCTTGCTATGGTAATTCTATTTCTAGGAAAAAAAAACATTTGTCATTGATTTTGTTTCAATAGGTTTATCACCCTGATAAAAATAAAGAAGCAGATGCAGAAGAAAAGGTAAGAAACCCGACAGAGAAATAAATGATTGAACAATAAGCCATAGTTTAAAGAAATCTCAGAAGCCTATCAAGTATTATCAGACCCTCAATTGCGTGCAGCCTACAACAAGTATGGTAAAGATAAAGAACTTGCTCCTGAAGGAGGATTTGCTGATCCCCGAGAATACTTCCAACAAATGTTTGGTGGTGATGCCTTTAGAAGCATCATTGGTGAATTGGCTGTGGGTGAAATGTTTAGTGATGCACAACAAGAGGAAACCGAAAAAAATGAGGCTGAGGAAGGCAGTTCGACTCATTCGGATAAAAAGAGCATGAACAAGGAACAGATGGAAAAGATGCAAAAACAACAACAAGAACGTGTAGACAAATTAGCAGAGAATTTGAAATTGAAACTCGCCTTGTTTACAGAATCTGTCGGCGATCAACAAGCCATTAATGCTTTCCAAGACCAAATCAAACACGAAGCTGAAAAGTTAAAGAATGAAAGTTATGGCGTTGAATTGCTTCATTCGATTGGTGGCGTCTATTCTCTTAAGGCAAAACATTATTTGGGTATGAAGGGCGGAGGTATGCCAAGTATCTTTGTGGGTTTTAAACAAAAGAAGCATATTGTCAAAGAACTCTGGACAACAGTCAAAGTGGCTATGGATGTGCAACAGGCTGCTGAAATGATCTCAAAGGCTGAAGAAAAGGGTATGGAAGATTCGGATAAACTAAAACTCGAAGAAGAAGTGACTACCAAGACTTATAAAGCTCTATGGCAAACATCGAAATTTGAAGTGGAGGCCACATTGCGTCAAGTGTGTGATAAGGTACTTCAAGATAAAGAAGTGGATAGCAAAGTGCGTACAAAGAGAGCAATAGCATTGAAATGGGTTGGTTACATTTATAAGCATACAGAAGCAGATAAATCTGTATTGGATTTGCAAATCAAAGCATAATTATCTTTTTTTCTTAAAAAAAAAAAATTACAATCTATGTGTATTACTTCATAACATCACTTAATAAATGACTCGACTGTTGCTTAAACAAAGAGGAAATACCCACTGCGGGAGCAGACAAAGGTTCTCTTCCTACATAATCAATCACCTGACCTTTAGGAAGCAATTGAGCTAAACGAGGAGCCATGAACGAATAAGCACCGGCATTTTGATGTTCTTCTTGGCACCAGACAAATTGTTGAGCATCAGAAAACTTGGCAATCTCTTGCTCGAGTTCCTTCTTGGGGAATGGACTTAATTCTTCTATACGAACAAAAGCGATCTTTTCATTCAATTGACGGTTTTCTCTTTCTTTGACAAGATCGTAGTACAACTTGCCAGAGCAAAAGACAACCTTTTCAACCTTGGAAGGATCTTGGATCGAGGGATCTTTCAAAACAGGTTGGAATTTAGTACCAGGTCCCATTTCGTCTAAGCTACTGACAGCAAGCTATAGGATACAAATCAGCCAAGTTGAAATCAACATACATTTACTTACAGGAGACTTGAGCAAACTCTTGGGGGAGAACACAACAAGAGGCTTGCGATAGCTTCGAAGCATCTACACAAAGGACGGAAGGGATTAAATGACATTCGTATTGTTGTTGTTGTTGTTGTTGTTACCTGTCGACGCAACACGTGAAAGTACTGAGCAGGTGTCGTACAGTTGACAATATGCCAATTTGGTGGAACATTATCTGTCTTGCTGACATTAAAAGCATCATTACTCATCTAAAAGGAAATGAGCGTTATTGATCATCAAAGACGCATACAAACATACCTGCAAAAAGCGTTCAATACGACTGGAAGAATGCTCAGGACCAGCTCCATCTTGACCATGAGGCAAGAGCATCACTAGCCCGCTTTGCTTTAACCATTTCTCTTCTCCACTTGACAAGAAGGTATCAATCGTGATCTGTGCACCATTAAAGAAATCACCAAACTGAGCTTCCCACAAGACTAAACGATGAGGTGATTCCATGGACATACCATACTCAAATCCCAACACACCGTATTCAGAAAGTGGACTGTTGGCAACTTCCAAATAGTTCTTTTGGGCTTTGTCCATATGGTTCAAGGGGACAACAGTACGTTCGCTTTCTTGACAGACAAACATGGCATGGCGTTGAGAAAAGGTACCACGACCGACATCTTGACCTGAGATACGTACATCATAGCCTTCTTTAAGTAATGAGCCAAAAGCCAGTGCTTCAGCTGTGGCCCAATCCAATCCTTGACCTGACTTGAGCTTCTTTGTACGTTGATCAATATGGTATTTCTGAAGACGAGAGTGGATTTTGACGCCGTCGGGTGGTGTCACGGATAATTCACCAATCTCTTTCAACAGCACAGTATCACAGCCTGTATCAGGCAGCTCTGTTTGCGTTCCAGAAGTGATGTGTTGCATCTCTTTCCAGTTTCCATCCAGATGGATTTGAGCAGTGTTAGGCACATAGGACTCTGCTTGTTGAAGTTGACTTTCAAGTGCTTGCATATGAGACGATCGAATGGACTGAGCTTCTTGTTCTGAACTCAATACGTTCTCATCCAACAGCTTCTTTTCATACAATTTGGGAACAGAAGTACGGTGACGGATATTGTTGTACATCAAGGGCTGAGTGAACGCAGGCTCATCCAATTCATTATGGCCCCAACGACGGTAACACATCAAATCAAGAATGATGTCCTTTCTAAACTTGTTTCGGTATTCAAACACAACGTCTAAAGCACGGGCAACGTCCTCTGGGAAATCGCCATTGACATGAACCACAGGAACATTGATCATTTTACCAATATCAGAACAATAAGCAGACGAACGAGCATTCTGCGCAGGTGTAGTGTAACCCAGCTGGTTATTGACCACAATATGAACAGAGCCACCCGAAGAATAATGAGGTAAATTCGACATGGCCAGGGATTCCATCACAATGCCTTGACTTGAGAATGCCTACAATCAATCAGTACCATGTTGTCTACAAAGCTATCCCACTTACAGCATCACCATGGATTTGAACACACATGACGCGATCACCCAAGCTACAGCTATCGTCAGACTTGCTCAACAGCCCAGTTTGTTTGGCTCTGGCTTTACCCATGGCCACAGGATTAATGGCTTCCAAATGAGAAGGGTTAGGCAACAGAGACACATGGACTGGTTTTCCATGGTAGTGAAGTGTAGGGTTATTTGTCAGGTGAGAAATCACATCCCCTGAAGCAAATGTGCCTTCAGGTACTTCTGGGTAGCCCTTCATCTTATGGAACAAAGCAGCATAGGGAAACTCGAGTAAATCACAAAGTAAGTTAAGACGACCACGATGAGGCATACCAATCACAATGTCTTGGATACCATTTGTGGCAGAGAGCTCAAAAATACGATCTAAAGCGACCATCATGCTTTCGGCGCCTTCGAGACCATATCGCTTTACGTTAGGGAACTTTTTAGCCAGAAAGTGATCAAAGTCTTCAGACTTGGAAAGGAGTTTGTGAATACGCTTTTTTTGGTCTATTGTCAGTTGTGGTTTTTCCCAGCTTTCGACAGCATGATACCACCATCTTCTTTCACTAGCAGACTATCAAGAGAGGTTAATTTTTTTTTATATATATTATACTAGGCCGTGAGAAATACTTGCAGGCAAATGCATAAATTCATAGGCAATTTTCCCACAGTAGACAGTATGTAAATGGTTCAAAATGGTTTCGAAATCAGCTTCGTTCTTGTTACTCAAGCTTTTCTCTTGTACGGTGTCATTTACATGTAAAATACCTAACCTCACTCGCCTGTTTAATTAACTCATTTCCCAGGACTCATTTCGTATTTACCAGCAAGATTGTAAGGCTGACTATCGCTCTTATCAAGACCATATCTTTCAGGTTTTAAAGCAAGCACTTCTCTATCAGGATAGAGATCAATTCCAATGCTTAAAGCCATGCAATAAACTTACTTTCTTTTCATGATACCAAGTGGATCTAAATGGGCACCTTCATGACCATGCGTGCGATAGGCTTGAACCATACGCAACAAACTACCATATTTCATACGGTTGGATAATTCTTCTGATGTATAATCAGGCAACTTGTATTCCTTTGGTACGCGATATCCAAATACACCATCATCATGGTATTGTCTCTTTAATAAGTTTGTATTCTTTTTAAAAGAACAACTCAAGAATCGATTTCTTGTTGAATTGATTCGAAGCATTCTTAAATAACAAGAAGAAAAAGAAAAGGAGAGACAAAAAAGGGTAATCTTATAAATGCATAAAAGCAGTGCGTATGTTTTTTTTTCCACGGAAACAAAGTTAACTCACGGTCACCTGATTGATAAGCACTATGAATGATAGGATAAACAGGACTTTATTACTTGAAACCAGATGTCTTTGGCTTCTTCTTTTTCTTTGCCACAGACTTTTGTCTCGAGCCAAAAGCACCAGACAAAGGCTGTGTGGATACATTGGTAAAAGCGCGTGCAGGACTCGGTGGCTGATGGGAAGATTGTGTTGTTGGTCTTCTAGGTGAAGAAGGCAATAAATGTTGAGAAGACATAAATAATGGCTCTTCTTCTTCTTCTTCTTGATCTGGATCCATCTTGTGTTTCAATCGAGCCGGAAGTGATCTGTTCACTGTCTTGACAACCACAGGTAAATCAGGCAAATCATCTTCTTCGTCATCATCCAACAAAATTTCAGGTACAACATACTGACTTTTTCTTTTCTTGATAGAAGGAAATGTCTCAGGCACAGGTACACTATTGGTATCGTACTCAGGAAAGACGATGTCCGAGTGCTTTGTGTTGTCTAAAGTCCAACAATTGGCCAAGACTTGAGATGTGATTGTGGATTTAAAGGTAGCATGATGTAAATACTCTAGTCCATGATGATCTTGAGCTGGTAAGGGACGGAGAATGATGTTTGATAGCTGTATCTCTTTATCATGTGCTTTTTTTAGCTTTTGGTGTAATTCTCTATGATGATCATTGTCTTGAATAACACCGGGTATCTTGATGTGTTGAATGCGTTCTATAGGTTCAAATTGTTGCATCTGGTCTAGGAATGATTCGAGTTCAGTCAAAGCATAGTGTTGATGTGTTTCATCAAAAAGGTCTCTATAAGGAACGGGGAATTGAATTTGACGTGCCTTAGATGCTATTTTTGACTTGAGTCGTTCGTCTATTGTGTTTGATTCGACTTCGTTTGCATATTCTTGAAAGAATGCGTGGAAATGCTTGGTGTCTAGCTTCATAATCTCGCCTGTTTCTCTGATATGTTGTCGTTCGGGTAACATGGCTTTTTTTACCTGTTTTAATAGTGCATCAAATTTGGGATGACTATGTGTAATCTGATAGGTGGGTTGTGTAAGCATATTTTCTTGTTTGGATTTACTGGTGCATAGTGCGATGTAGTGTACTTTGATAGAGCCATCTTCAAACAATCGGTATAGGCTGCAAAAACTATCTCCAGTAGTGGGATTGTTTTGGTTGGTTTTGAAAAGAATACCGACTGGTCTCATTCGACTATTGAAATCGTATAATTCTTCATAAGCATGAACAGAGAGTTCCAAATTATGTAATTCTAAAATTTTTGGCACTGGTAATGCACTACACATATAGAGTGAGTATACCAACATAAAAAAAAAAAGAGACATATTTACCTTGTGCTTGAATAAGAAAACTCAAGCATACTCGCGTACTGTGAGTCTCTAGAAAAAGCCATGATACGCCCTTCAAAAAAAGTAAATATTTGATTCAAAGCAATTTGTTACTTACACTTGTCCTGTTTGATTTGATCTGTCAATAAGCAAAAAGCACCACCTCTTAATTGATGTGACCAAGTCAAGATAGGCTTTTTAGGAACAAGCTGATCCATAACAACAATATGTTCTAGCGTTGCAAAGCAATAGAGGTACAAGCTTAAAGGTTTGAATGCGATAATGCAATCGTTAGGTTGCGTAAATATGTTGGTCTTGACTGTCTCATGCTAAAATATAAAGTTTGTTAATTAAATATATAAGGTTGATATGTATACTTTACTGTAAACTCCTTTTCTTGGATACATTCAGGAGATGCAACAAGTATGGTAAAGGGCGACCTACCAAAAGCACACGATCGCCATCGAGAGCAATAGCTTAAATTGTCTGATATGTCATCTACATCTTCGTAAAGAAATTTGTCTTCCAAACCATCAACAATAGCAGTGTATCCATTGTTGGTAATAAACACATATTGATATTCGCGAAAAGGACTCATTTCCACATGAATTGGCATTGAATAATCAATACTCGGTTTGATTTCTGTCTTTTGGGCTAAATGAATTGTATGGATTTGTTTTATAGCCTGTTGACTGTCTAGTGTAAATAAATGAATAGTAGAAGTTGTTCTGATTGCAAAAATTTTGAATTCTAAAGTCGATAAGGATGAAATAGTGATTTGTCGAATAGGATATTGCAGGTCAATTGTGTTGTGAATGGTTATTGAATCCAAAGGGAGATCGACAGTTGTATTTTTTTCAAATTCAAATGGTTTTTTCTCGGATGAAAGAATGACTAATCACAAGTGAATACACAAAACAATTTGCAATAAATAACTTACTCAAGTTGGATAAAGAAGGTCCAGCGCTAAATAGAAACAATTGTGAATTGTTGATATATTTTGTGATGGCCAAACTATTGCCAACAAGTGGATCTATCGACTCGAATTTTCGCTCTATATCTGCATTGGTTGACAGTATATTAAGTAATTCTGATCTCGGTAGTCTTGCTGCTGATAATTCTGGCATGTCTTTAAATATTTTAGTCACCTAGAACGAAATGTAAGACACGCATATACAACCATCATATTTACCAAATGCTTCAAGTCTGCTTTTCTAACAAGCTGTGTTGGTCTAAAATCATTTGTTCTCGGTATGATTTGGTGTTCTGTAAAATACTGGACAGCTAAAAAGAGAATACGATTAGCTTAGATTCTGATTGTAGTATTATTTACTTTGACTACTGCCTTTAAACCGGCACAAAGGAGAGCCTGTTCCCACAATTATTTTGTGAGGATCAGCAGACAGTAGTGGAAGCTCTGATCCTTCGACGAGATCTTCCATAACAGCAAATTTATTAGCAAGAAGAGAGAGAAAAAATACACAGTCCAGCAACCTTGAAACGAACACCGATAAATACCCAAAAAAAGAAACAGCAGTCAATCAGTGAGTATTATCGTGTAACAATTAGACGTGCATAAACCTAAGAACACAAATTATAACTTCAATCAAGAAAGGATGTGGCAAGTTGTCTAAAATAATCCTCAGTATATAATTGATTGAATTTATGAGAAGATGCATCAAAAGGTTTACCAAATAACATTATAAAAAAACCAACAATACCAACAGCCAAAGCTGACAAACAATTAAAAGATATTATTGTCTTTTTCTTGTTCAGACAATAGAAGACACCCTTCATTGTATCTTGGAGTAATGTCGGGCGTTTAATCATTCCTATTCAATTGTTGATTAAAATGCTTTCGCTCTCTTTCTTACTCTTTCTCCTTATTGGATTATAATATAAAGAATCTTATTTTTCACTCTATTTTTTCTCACTCCATTTCTTTTCTCTTCATGAAATTGAAAATTATTTTGCTTTTGCTTGCGGTCATTGTTTATTGCAACAGTTTTATTTCAGCAACACCCGTTGATCGTATGGGTTTCAATATAAAAGCTTCATCTAATACTGGCTGTCTGGATTCGACTACGACTCGATCACCTTTTTGCAAGTAATCCAACACTTTTTCTTTCACAATAAACTTTCTGACAAACTCAGCGTGTTGTTACACTAAACAACTTGTGCATAATTATGAATACAATGCTTCGTTTTAAAGAGATAAACAAATCTTTTGTTTCTAAAGCATTGGCTCTCCTTTTGATTAGATTATTTCCCATACTTTAAATAAAAAAAGCGCTTTATCAACAAATATGGCCAGATTGTTTTTAGTGTTTGCTACCAAACTCATTGTTGTATTGCTTTTATATTTAGAGATAATACTTGAGGTAAGAAAGAATTCTAGTGGTTAGCTTGATACATTACTTTGTGATAAGTTGGCAATGATATGGATTTTTGTCACTGAACAAAACTCTGATCACATTTGTATCGTCTAAAATGCCTTCTATGCAATCAGAATTGTTCAAGTTAACAATTCGTTTCCTTGCCTATATCTACAAAGAGAATCGATATCGTTATTGAAATCAAAAGTGAAAGTCATAAGCGCTATAGAATTCTCTTTCTATCATCCAAATTAAACAATAAGTAGAAAAACCAAACACAAAAAGAAAGTCCAAGTGAATTTGCAATTGGAGAGCAGAAGGAGAAGACATACCGAAAAAAAAAAGGTACTCGGGGCTGCTAAGAAAGGAACCGAGAATTATGTTCTGCAAGTCTCATTTTCCAACAAGCTGTGTATTATCACTCATAGGAAATACTCCTCCAATTCTAAAGACTACTCCAAAAAGAGAAAACTTTTTAATTTTACGTAATTTTCTTTAAATTACAAACGGTCAAATTGGAATCAAAAGCAATTGGTTTTCTTAAACTCCTCTGATTGAAAAAGAAAATTCAAACAAATGCATTATCTATGTAACTCTAAACACACACACGCTTCATTATCTGTTAATACGACAATTTTCTATTCTATAGAAACTCGACGCGTAATTTCTTTGCTATAAAAGGGAGACGACGAAACCCGTATTTCTATATATCTTTAAAGTTTGGCGTGGCAAGGGTGAAATTTGCCCAAGACGAATCAGAAATAAGTAGTTTCAGAATAATTATGAACCAGATCGGTGAATTACTACATAATGGTTCTGCATGAATGCTTGTTTGTTGTGATAGTAAAAATAGCCCTTATTCCATACATAGCATGCCTCCCAATGATATGTTGTTATAGGCGCATGCCTTCTAGAGAAATCTTGTATATTTGTGGTACAAGGAGTAAGAAACGTCATTATTATTCCATTTTAAATAATGTCTGATATTGTTGTCAATTCATCAAAGCTAATTTGATACGAATTGCAATTCGAATGAATAGGATATTGATCTCTATCTCTCTTTCTTTCTTTTGATACTGTATGATCTTGAATAAACAAGTCAATTTTTCTCTTATTTTTTTTCTTTGGAAATAATAATCTGAATATACATGTATTATGACATATAGAATGCAGTAGAATAAGAAGAATGAAATGATAAGAGAATGATGTATATATATATGCCAGTGCTATTCTTAGCAACATTGCTTAACTCAAGGCCACATGAGAAAAGGGCTATATGATTGAGTCAAAGCCAAAACAACTCTTGGTGTAACGTACTCACTTTATGCAATTTATATGGGCTGAAGAACAGAATAAAATAAAATAAAAAATAACCAAGCCATCGTTATCTATCTAAGCCTTGCACGTCTTGTTCTTTATCAATAAGAGGCAACCAAATGTCAAAGCTAGAATAAGAGTTATTATCATGTGAATAATAGCCACAAGTCGAGGGGTTTCTTTTGAGTGAATGATTCTAAAATTAAACCATTTTGTATCACTTTATATTCTTTTTATAAGGTTTAAAGAACTAAAAAGTTTTCTTTCTTTCTCTCTTTACGAAGCAAATATGAAGCTCATATACTCTATTGTTTTATGTCTTATTATAACATGGATGCATATGACTATTGCATTCCCACTTGAACACCAGCATCAACGAGACATCAAGCCATGGAACAGAAGGCCACGTCAATTTAGAATGCAAGTTTTTTCAAGGCCTGACAATCGAGGTGAAATGCAAACCATTCGAGCTTTTAATGGAGGTAAAATTGAACATACACATATAAAAGCATATAACTTACGTTTAGTATCAATATAGCTTCTACACCTTGCTGGAATCTAGCGTCAAAAAGAGTTGGCTCATACGACTTGAATGACCCTATGGTCAAAGTGACATTCTATAGAGTAAGTGGTATTGTATTTTGTATTATAGACTTATGTTTTATGATAGTCCTCTGATTGTAAAGGTGCATCTTTAGCCACATATTATCAGAATCATGCTTCGAGTCGAACCCATGTTATGATCAAAGCAAGATCTGTATCTGTCACAAAAATCAAGCCTGTCTTATTGAATGGCAAACCTAAAAAACTTTAATTTATTCTGATACCATTGTAAAATAGAAAAAATATATGTAAATAATAACTACCTTAATACTGTATGTAATAAAAATATGCCACTTGTTGGCTTTGAAGAATGAACATTTTGACATCAGCCACTTTTTTATTTGTGCATGAAAAAAAAGGGCATCTTGTCAATATCTAAGGAGAAATATACGAGGAGCATTTTGTCAGGAAAACAAGTTTGATTTAGAATTTTTATTGTGGTGGTATATTTACAAAAAGAGAATAAATAAATATGTATATATGCGAATGCTAATAAAGGTAGAATCGTATCTGGTATCATAAAAAACGAGTGTATTACATACAATAAGAAGAAAAAGAAAAAAGTTAAGCATGTCCAACAGCTGCAGTGAGAGAGACAGAATGGTGATGATAAAGAGGGTTGGGATTAACAAAAGTAGATTGTTGAGAATCGGAAATAGCATACAAAAAGGCATCCAATTGAGTAGCTGCAGCTTGTATCGAAAGTGTATGGTCGGCAGATGCAACAGCAGCAGATGTGCGTCTATGATGACGAAGCAAACTATGAGCAGAAGCAGCCAAGGATATGCGAGAAGGATAGTGCTCAGGTAAAGTAGGGTCTCGATCCAAAGCAAGATAGATAGTAGATCCTAGACCCTCAACCGACACAGCATCCAAGTTGCCTCCCCAATGACGAGCCAATGTTTTTGCAGATCGCCAGCCACTCATAGAAGCCCATTCAACCATTTCAGGGTGCCGCAGTGTTTCATCATTCACTTTGTTAGCACTTGTTTGGGACAAGACAGAGCCACAAACAGGAATGCCTAAAATGTCACGAGGGATACTGGGTAATAGATCATGGTCATGAAGAGAAGCAGCAGAATCCAGTCGAAAACCAACACTGGTTGGGCCACCAAAGATACGTAATGACAATGGTCGATGCTTGCCTTTCCATTGACGTTGGAACCAGTTCAGTTTACTGTCAGTTTCTTCATTCTGCATAGCTTGTGCCTTTAATGACAAAAGTGTAGATTCATAGAGGATGCGATGCAGTAAATTAGGAAGAAACACGAATTCTCTTTCGCTTTCTTGAGAGCATCTTTTGTTGATCATCGTATCTCTCTTGATTTCGATTTCAGGTAGAGTAGTATGAGCACCCAATGCATCCAAGAGAGTCTTTTTGGCATCATCAACAGCTTGGTTAGCAATCGTTTCAGGGCAAACTTTTTGAGCATGATTTGTATCCCATGAAAGGTGTTGATCTGCATAAAGAAAATGTGAATATGGTGTTCCTGTTTTTTGCCAAGACTATTTAAGGGGCAAAAAGTTGACTTACCAAGCAAGAGATGAATACCAGTATGAATAATGTTGATATTCTCTAGCAATGAAACTGATGTGGCTAAAGGTTTTGATAAAAGTGCATACTTTAATCGAATCAAGTTGAGTGCTTGACTTTGACGTAACTTGGTCAAGACTTTTGAGAATGCTTTGGGTGATGTTTGTTTTAGAGAGGGGTGTAATAATGTGCATATATCGCGAAGATAACTATGTGCTACATTTCTGATGATAGGCGATTGAAGTGATTCATGTGACAAGGTAGATAGCAATCGTAATATGTGTGTATATCGAACAGGTAGCTCATTACATAGAAAAGAAGGTTCTATGGCTGCAGGTTGTTGACTAAATAGACAAATTAGGTAAGATGTTTAGGGAAATAACTAACTTACCTGTCTAATGGCTTCATTAAATGTGATAACTAAAGAAAAAAGTATGTTTAGAATAACAATGGATTGTGATTGTAAATTACCGAAATACGAGTTTCAGGAGTTGCCCAAAAAGAAGCTAATAATCGACGAGGTAAGACATTAATGACATGAGATTGAAGCATATTGAAGAAAAGAGAAAGAAAGAAGAAAGAAAGCAGCAAGAATCCAAATTTATATATCTTTATGCAATAAACTAAACAACTTTCTATGGTTTCCAAATAGAAAAAGAAAATACCCCTTGCATTGCATTAAATTATAGCCCTTTTAAGAAGAAGGTACTTTTGTAATGAACTCCTCTTGCCTATCCATATACAAAAGAGAAACAAGAAATATTTCCTTATTCATATAGAGATCGACAAAACCGTATTCATAACAATCGTCTCTTTATATGCATGTACGCTATCAATTAAAAACAACAAAAATAAGTTTTAAATATGTAACAAGTATGTACTTGAAAAAAAAAAAAAGAAAAAAAAAAGATCAACGACTCTAAATGTAATGCATGTATAAACCAAACACAAGGGCAGTTCTTTATGAAATCTACCTAATTCTTGTCTTTCTTGGCGTTTTCCAAGAAATCCATTCCATTCAATACAATTTTCTGTTGAGATAACTTGTATTTAGAATAAATATGTTTATTTTTGAATCATAAAAAAAAATGAAATGTAAATAGAATATGCGTATTTTTTAAAAGAAGAAAATTGCATGTTGAGAGAACTATACATAATTTATAAAATGGATACATGACAAGAGAAAGAAAAAAAACAATAGAATAAGTGAGAAGGGGGGCCTTTTTCTTTTTTAAAAAAATAAAAAAGATTACACATACATACATACATATTTACATAGATTATATAAAAAAAAAGTTAAGCTGTAGAAGATGAGAGATTATGATAATAGACATGAGAATGATATTCAAATGGATAGGGAAGTTGTGCGTTTTCATCCAACATGGGTACATGTTGGGCTCTTTGAAGTAAAGCAGCATTGTATTGAGGACACTCTTTATGTGTAATCAATAAGGTTTTGAGGTCCATAATTTCATTACGTAAGGCATTTGCTTCTAATTGAAGTTGCTCATTATCATTTGTCAGAAACTCAACGCGCGCTTGGAGATTAGATAACCATTGTTTCTTTCTTTGTCTACATTTTAATGCAGCTGTGATTGATCTGTGAGAAAACAACGCGGCATGAAAAATAGCTTACCTAATCTGTTTCTTTCCAAAAAGTTCTTTCGTTTCTCTTCATCTTCAGGTAATTTTGTCGATTTCGATCGCTTCTTATTATTGGCCGATTTAGTGTGTTGACATTGTTGTTGTTGTTTATTATGGGCTGAAAATTGTCTTGTGGGTTCAAATACATACTATGGAATAAAATGAGCACCATTTAAGATATAGAATGTTACTTACTTGTTGTTGTTGTTGTTGTTGTTGTTGTTGTTGTTGTTGTTGCCGGCGATTTAAAACATCATCGCTGCTACTATCTTCACTTGTCACTTGTGTGTCTGAAACAGAAGAATATGAATCTAAATTAATTAGATGATACTTTGATCTAAATTCGGTTTTTACCATTGACTGAGCCAGAATCGTATGCATAAGTTGAGATGTCAGAAACCCACTTCTCTATCCCATTTTGGGGGTGACAAGTTATTTTTGCTTGATATGGATCATAAAAAGGTGCTTTTGTTGATACTGTTGAAAAACTTTGTTCGAATGGGTTGGGTTCTTGTTCTAGAAAACATTATAAGACATGTCTTTTTTCTATTGTCTTTTTTTTTTACCTTGACAGTGTTGATTGTTCATAAGAAGTATTTTATATTAGAAAAAGAAAAGAAAAAGAAAAAAATAGATGTACTTTAAAAAAAAAGATTCTTTATATATGTACGATTCGTGATAAGTTTTTTTTTGTTCTTTCAATATTTATTACATCATACAAATTCTCTTTTTTTGCCAACTGACCTGGTTACACACGCACACTTTTTTTTTGAGTCGTTTCTCTGTTTCTTTCTCTTGTGGTCCCTGAATTGCTACATGGTAACATAATAATGACGAAGTTTGTAGAACTCTTACCGAGTTCCTGGTTCAGATTAAAGGAGTATCGATCTTGAATGCAAAAAAATAATGCTTCATGTATCAATAAATGAATTCATGTACAAGTACAGTCAAGGCAACATTCTCTATTGCTTTGTGTCAGTATTTGTATATTGACTAGGGGGATTTGATAAAACTAGTAGGTTTTGTCTCGTATATATAATCTCGATAAAAAAAACAATGTATGACCATCAGGTGGATTCTAGCCCATCATGAAGATTTTCTGTTTACTGTTTTTTTCTACTTTCTTCTTTACCGGTGGGCAAATTAACAACATATGAAACAATGAGGAATCTTGTCTGAGTTCTCACAAGTAAAATCTTCATTAAGTTTTCCCTTGCTTTCCTTTTAAAGTTGGATTTAAAAATAAACATAAGCTGATAATAATGAACGCATGGCCTTTTCTTTCAACTCATCTCAATAACATCGATACTTATGTAAAAAAAAAATGAGGCGTAAAGTAGTACAAGAATCTTTTTTTTTTCTTTTGCTCGTCTAAATATAAAAAATTCAGAAATAGTTTAAAGGTAACTTGTACTATTTTCATGCGATACAATTTAACCTTGTGCCAAAAAAAAAATCATGCATTAAACGTAAAATGTTTACTGTTATCAAAATAACGCCAGATTTCTACAATACAAAAGATTCAAGGGCTTTGTTCCGTTTCATATTCTGTAACATCGAAAATTTAGAATCAAAACGGCGATTGCTTTTGATCTGGTTGATATATAAATTATGCTCGCCCTTTTTCTTCTTTTCTTTCTGTTTCATACATGTCAGATAGTTTGCATGTAATTTATCAAAAGACCAGGCAAATATGTATCTATCTCCTTCAGATACACATATACATTATGCTTATCGCGTCATGTTCGTGCTGCTTTCTATTCTATCTCAGCGATTTTAACAGGAAATTCTATCTGTGTCCAACCTAATTCACGTGCGGATAGGTAGTATTATTTTGCTTTTGCTTTTAGTGCATCTGCTTGAGCAGGGAAGGAGAACATATCTTGTTCTATTTATGGATTCTGATTACTCATATAACTCCAAGATGGATTGAAATGTTCCTTTTTTTTGTGAATGATAAAAGGAGCAACTGCTGGAGGATAACTTAACAGGAAATTAAAAAAAGTGACACAATTGATCTTACTACTGATTATCTGGTTGGCATAAAAATGGTGTTACTAAGTCAATTGCGTCAGTCAAATTTAATGATGACTTATTGGATAAATGTGTCTGAAAACAACCAACATGCAAGATGAGCACTTTTCTTTTACAAAAATAGCATATCATTTTACTTTTCATATTAACAATTTTATTTCTGTAATAAGTTTTTAGTTTTTTTGTTTATTTGTATAGAATCAAACAAAAATACAAAGTATATTAAACATCAAGTATTAAGTTTTTTTTTGATTTGGTTTGTGTGTGTGTTTTTCATAGCAGAGATGGGGGATAGCAGTAATATATACGTGTAGAGAAAGAATCTTTGTTTAATCAATGTACACATAAAAACATCATAAAGTGGTTAGATTTCTCCTTCTTGTTCATCTGCATCATGCTGATATTCCTTTTTCTGTTTCAAGTATTCTTCTTCTTTTGTCTTGATGGCTCTCACAAGGTACTCATCTTGAACAACAGCTAGCGTTGTCGGTTTCTTATTTACATCTAAATTTTCCATTTGACTCGATAATTCCCATTGTTTTTGCTCAGATTCATTATCAGCAGCACTTTCAAAGTCGCCAAATTCATCGTCTTCCTCCTGTTCTCCTTCTTCAGTTACTTTGTATCCAGCTCGACGAAGGGCTGCTCTTCTTTCTAATTCCTCAGCATCAGCCAAATGGTCAAAATCATCACCATCGTCGTATTCATCGTCGTCTTCGTCATTATTATTAGCTGTATGGCTAGAGGTACGACGAAGCGATGTGGGTTGTGAAAACTTGGAGAAGTTACGAGTCCAATCAGGTGTGATATGGTTGTCGTTTTCCTATATAAATTGTCAACAAAGGCTTTCTCTCTCTTTTTTTCTGGTGTACCTCTTCGTCATTGCTATTGTATTCATCCTCTTCTCCATCTTCAGCCATTTCATTTTTTGTATAATTGTTATTATTGTAGTTGTAATCTCGGTTAAAATCATCTCTACCACTGGGAAATGTCAATTTCTTTTTATGACTATGTGTTACATACGTTATCCAATGATCAGCATCTTCTTCATCTTCTTCATCAAATTGACCTTCTTCACCGCGTTGAGCCAAGAATCTCGAATATTGACTAGCAGCCGTTCCTTCTAGAGCATCCTCGTCATCTTCTTCATCACTCTGAGGCACATCCACATCATCATTTGGACGCAATCCGCCTAAAGGTAACTGATCTCTATCTTTTGTCTCTTTTAATTCATTGTTGCAATAAGCATTCCAGCCTTCCATATCAATGTCATCCTTAATTTCCAAGACAATAGTTTCGGGATATCCTTCAAACAGCTTCATGATTTCATCAGAAATAAATGTTAAATGACCCATATAACCTGCACGCATGCCTTTGGGCTTGGCACTAGAGGAGAAAATTAGAACAAAAAAGCAAATTCGTTTTTTTTTTTTTTTTTTTTTTTTTTTACCATGCTTCATCATTTGCTTTTTGAGCAATAATGATCTTATCTGTCAATTGGCCATCTTTAAGAATTGAAATAGCCAAATGACGATTAAGTCCAATATCCATACGTCCATTAAATACTTGATGAAGCATATCATAAATAACATAATGCAAAAAGTTATTCCAGGGAAAAGCAAAAAACAAGTCCTAATCCTTGTTTGAGATTACATTCAACCCCAAATATACAAACTTACAACACAGATAGGCATGGCCTTATTCTCGACAAACTTTGATTTAAGGTAATCACCGACAGATAATCCTGATTCCTTTTCCTCTTTACCTTCTTCCTCTTCTTCGTCATCTGCAGCGACATTGAAATGATTCAAGTTGGACATGTTGGAACAGTGTAATAACTCGGCAAACAATTCGCAAATCTTGAGCCTTTCAAATCCCAAGGGCTCCATCTCACCTAACGTAGTACGAATAGGACCACGAACGGATCGAGGCTTTAACAAGAGATGTGTAAATTCAGACACATGATCACCCATGACTTTGAGCATATCAGCTAAAGAAACACCTGCACGTTGAAATGATTGTTGTTGTTGTTGTTGTTGCTGCTGTTGTTGATATTCATAAAGAGCTGCTACAGCTGGATCGTTTTCAAGGTCACTGTTGTTGTGTCGAATAATATCAATAATAATACTAACCCCATTGATGAGGGTGGATGTAGCATTGGGTGCATCAGGGTCCAACATGTATTTGGCCAACTTTTGCATTGTAAGCTCACTTGAGGAATTAGCATAATCGTTTAGACAAATGCATTTACCTTTTTAGTTCAACAATAAGTTCATTTAATCCAATACTTGGGGATTCAGGTAAGCTTGTTTGTGACATTCGAATGATTTCACATATACATTGTTGAGCAATCGAGTGTTCCTATTTTTTTAAAAAAAGTTAGATACACATAATGTAGCTAATAAAGCTTGCCTCAACATCAAGATAAGGGTCCAGTCTATCAATTAAATTACCAAGTAGCTTATGATCACTTAACCACTATAATTAGAATTAATATTTTGTTTAACCTGCCTAAATAATAATAATAATAATTAATTTTTACCTTGACGACACCTTTTCCTTCGGGCAATTCTTCCATACGCACCAAAGTTAGCAGTAAGTCCATAATAGCAGATGTCTGTAAATGAGACAAAATCTTGTTTAGGTTTTCTGGATTGGATTGGATAAATGTCATCATCTATAGAATATCAGTAAATTTACCGAAGAAATGACAACAACATACTTCGATAGGATATTTAGACAGCAAGACACCAATCGTCTTACAGAAATAAGAGGCTTGTAATGAATCTAGCCCAACCACTTGCTCTTCTCCAGATGTGTCTGTAGTATCATTCGCACGCCTTCTGGGTTGAGCAGGTCGATCTAAATAAGACCAGAATTGAACAAGAAGGTCTTTATGGTCAATCACAATAGCATCAATAATAGGTTGAATTTCACAAGCAATAATTTCACTTGCAAGAAAAGGATATCTAAATAAATAAATAAAAACATAAATATACACATATTGGCAACATTTTTTTCGTTTACTTGAATCGTTTATTTTCTTCCAAGTCTGTAGCAGTAATATAATTCAATAAAGCTTTGATATGTTCAGGTTTACTTAGGCTAAATACGCGCGTTTAGGATCCTATATTTATAGAAATATTTTAAGGGCTTACAACTCTACAAGTTTAGGGTTCATAGACTTTGCTTCTTGAAGTAAGTCTTCTTCCTCTAACACTTCTTCAAAAGTAACGTCTTCTTTATCCAATAAAGTGTCTAAGGTGGAGCTATTAAATCCAAAGCGCCAAAACATATCTCTGAATATAAAATAAATGTAAAAAAAAGGAGTGATAAAAAAAAATAGAGTGACGATTTTGTGTGAAATAAAATTTCAAGCTGATGGCACCCCAAAAAAATAGTCTTGCTAAAAAAAAAACTCAGTTTGTTGGACGATCCCACAATAAGACGCATAATACAAACTATTTTTGCGCGCACTTTTATTATAGGACAGTTGATAAATAAGGCATAACCTTTTTTTTCGAAAACAGAATAAGGAAGAGATTCCTTATCTATTTCTTTTATGACCCTGGCCTAAGAATGAAAGACAAAAAAAGTGAATATGGTTTCGTCTATAACCAAGATTTTCCAAAGTGATTGTCTCGGCTGCAATTGAAAAGGGAAACTCAGAAAAGACGCTTTTTTTTTTACAAGTTACACTACAAAAAGAGAGAGACAAAAAGAAAAGTTATGCTTTTTTTATGTAAGAAAGAAAGTGCTGTATGTTGATCCGTAGCTGTATTGTAAAGAAAAAAACACGCTATTCTCATTTTTTATCTGTGCATTCTCTATTTTAAACTGATTGCTACACAGGATAAAATATCGCATGTTGTTTTTTCTTGATAAAATCAATAAAAGTCTTGACACTTTTTTCTTTCTTCTCTCTTTCTTTATTTTTAAGAATGAACAATGAATATGACTTGATTATTGTAGGTGCGGGCGTGGTAGGTTGCGCTGCAGCCAGAGCTTTTGGTCAAGATGGACGTAAAGTATTACTGCTTGAGCGTGATTTGAGTGAGCCAGATCGTATTGTTGGAGAACTGATGCAACCAGGTGGTATGCGAGCTCTAAAGAAGCTTGGTATGGAAAGTAAGTTTAAATGTCAGATTGATCCTTTTACTGATTTGCATTGCAGATTGTACTGAGGGCATTGAAGGAATCAATTGTTTTGGATACAGTGTGTATCGCAATGGTGAACTTGTTGAATTGCCTTACACATTTGACCACACTCTTGGAAAACAAGCAAGAGGTATTAGCTTTCATCATGGCCGCTTCATTCAAAAGTTACGACAATCTGCTGCCGGCACGGAGAACGTGACAATAATGCAAAGGACGGTATCTGAGCTTATTGTACAAGACAGCGTGAGCGAAAAAGTCATTGGTGTCATTACGACTGAACACGAAAAGTTTTATGCACCTTTGACACTTGTTGCTGATGGCATTTTTTCTAAATTTAGAAAAGAATTCACAGACACCAAAACTCAAGTTACATCGCATTTTGTGGGTTTCTTGATTCATGATCTTGATCTTCCCTTCCCTCAAAAAGGTTTTGTCTGCTTAGGTAATCCCTCTTTTGTTCTCATGTATCAAATCTCGCCTAATGAAACTCGCGTCTTGGTGGATGTGCCTGGAGAATTACCTCAAGTCTCTATTGGTGAACTCAAGAAATACATGCAAAACGTTGTTTGTCCTGAATTACCGTTGTCTATTCAAGCCAAGTTTCTAGAAGCATTGGAAACAGAACGCTTACGGCCTATGCCCAGTGGATTCTTGCCTCCTACTATCAATCAACGTGATGGTACTATCCTCTTAGGTGATGCCCTTAATGTTCGTTCACCATTGACAGGTGGTGGTATGACGGTAGCTCTTGAAGACGTCTTAACATGTCGTGACCTTCTATCGAAAGAAAATGTACCTTCATTTACAGATACTGATTTAGTACTACAAGCAATGAATGCATTTCATTGGAAACGCAAGCGATACTCGGCTGTAATCAATGTGCTTGCCATGGCTCTATACTCTGTTTTTGCTGCTGGACAGTCAAGCAATATGATGGTGCTTCAATATGGTTGCTTTGAGTACTTCAAGTTGGGAGAAGCATATACTCAAGGACCAATGGACCTACTGTCTGGTTTGAACCATTCCCCTCTTGCTTTGATTTATCATTTCTTTAGTGTGGCATTTTATGGCATCTATTTTATGCTCAAGCAAAACGGTGTATCAAAAATGCCTCAAAACATTTGGAGATCATTGGCTGTTTTTTATACTGCATGCATTACTATAATGCCTTTTCTTTGGGGTGAATTAAAAGGCTGAAAAGATATATACCTTCGTTTTCTAAAATATTAGTATAATAAACTATACAAGATAGAACATCAAAGATTTATAGAAAATATATGACTAATTATCAAACTGCCTTGTCATTGAGCTGCTATAAGGTTACATGTCTTAACTTTATGACCATAAAATTTTGACACCAAGGAATCATGTTTTGCGTTCATTAAACACCTATTTCAATTTGAATACCGCAAGAAAGGTAACCAGCAGGAATATATTTGTATTCAAGTAGCACACCAACATCATTGGAACTGTAACTCAGCCGAGATGCACTTGGGTGTGACAAACCTAAAAGAGAAGGAGTCAGTTCTTACTATTTTAAAGAAAAATGACAATCAAAACCGAAAGTATTGTCAACATCTAAGAAATACATAAAAAAAAATAGTTGAGTTTTAGAAAACTCTACAATTAATGCATCATCAATCACAAGACGTTTACTGGAAAATCAAGTTATACTATAAAAAAAAGCCTCGATCTTGTGTCAAGGAAAGCCAAGACAACTTCAAATATTAATGAAATATGGAATTATTTTGCGTGCATACCGAGCAATAAAACGGATTTCAGACCTGAAAGGTTCAATCTCAATTATTATCATGTCTTGGCTTTGTTTCTTTTTTGAGCAGAACGTTCTTTCACAGAGTACTAGTCGTTCTGGCTCTAATAATAAATTGAAAAAAGACAAAAGACAACCTACAGCCTTTTTTATTCAAACTATTGCGTTATATATAGTTGAGCATGACTGATTCATAGAAATAAAAAAAGCTTTGAAGCTTTATCTGATAATGAAAGCTGTGATACAAGAATGTGCGGTTCATCTGTGTAACAGAATGAGTACCAGTTATTGAGATTTTGCAGACATTCTGCACAAATTGTAAATAGAAATGCTGAAGACTGTTTTTGATCAAACTGAATACTTTTTACGTATTAATCTGTTAAATGAAAATAAACCTTTCATATCCTAGTTTCTACCGTTTGAATGTGAATAAAATAATTAGCCTTTCAATAAAGACTTGTCGATCGTGGTCTGAAGCGAATCAAGCTTCAAGACCGGGAGACCAAAATTTATGAAAATTAATACAAGTGTCCTTACCACAATTGTACAAAATGCCAAGCGACAGATCTAAATTACTTATTCTACTTGTATGAGTCATTTATGTCAACTTCATTCAAGTATAAAAGGAAGCATCATATTCAGCTTAATTTTTCTCTATCAAATACCCCTTTCTATCCTTTTAAATCACCATGCTCTTCACCAAGATTGTTGCCGCTCTCGCTATCACTCAAGCAGTCCTTGCTGCTCCTCAATACAGCGGTAAAGATGATGCCCCTTCTAAGACTATCTCTGGTAAGCACCATCCCTCTGGCGTTCCTTCTGGCTTCCCTTCTGGCTTCCCTTCTGGTAAGCACCACCCTTCCGGCGTCCCTACTGGTGTTCCTTCTGGTAAGCACCACCCTTCCGGTATTCCTTCTGGTGTTCCTTCTGGTAAGCACCACCCTTCCGGTATTCCTTCTGGTGTTCCTTCTGGTAAGCACCACCCTTCCGGCGTCCCTACTGGTGTTCCTTCTGGTAAGCACCACCCTTCCGGCGTCCCTACTGGTGTTCCTTCTGGTAAGCACCACCCTTCCGGTATTCCTTCTGGTGTTCCTTCTGGTAAGCACCACCCTTCCGGCGTCCCTACTGGTGTTCCTTCTGGTAAGCACCACCCTTCCGGTATTCCTTCTGGTGTTCCCTCCGGCGTCCCTACTGGTGTCCCCACTGGTAAAGAGCACTAAATTCTCTTAGAAAGCAATTTTTGCAAGTTGTTTAGTCTTTGTTGAACTCGGAATCTATCTTAAATATATTACACAATAAAGGCGCCATGCAACAATGCATACTTTTGTCTATCAAATAATGCTGTTTAAAACCTTTGTAATCCTTTCAAATTTTGAGTAATTTCTTGTTCCTTATTGTGTTTTAGTGAGCGTTTGTAGCAGATCAGTACTACATGTACGAATACTAAAGTAACGCTCAAATAAATGTTCTTTAAAATCGCTCATTGATTTACTTTTATAAAGTCTTTATTGAAGTAGAGATGCATTTTTTAGCATATAGTCCATTTTCTTTTTTGCAGAAAATACGTTTCTTTTTCTCGAAATACTCCAAACCTAGAAAGAGAAATAGGTTTTTTTTATAAGGTCCATCACTCTCATCTTATGTGTGTTACTTTTATTTCGCTTTTGATGTCTAGAAAATCACTTTTTTTTTCCTTATGGTAGCTGCTGGAGTTTGTGCCGATTCAAAAGTAGTTAGAATGTAACTTTCTTTTGTTTTTACGCCTTTTTCAAAAAGAAAAGAAAAACTTGTTTATGTGATACGGTGATGGAATGCAGAAATCTATTGCAACTTTGGATTTAGAATGATCATCCTTGACTTGTGTAGCAAATTGTTATATTTAAGGATGTATAGCTTCTTGAGTTGAGAAAGGATTCATCAATGCTTCAATTTCATGGACTTGTTTAGGCACCAGTGTCAAATTTTCATAACCAGTTTCAGTAATTACTATTGTATCTTCAATGCGAACACCGCCTACATTTTCATACTTGGCTAATACATTCAAATCAAAATATTTTTGATACCCTGGAAATTGTGTCCAGATATTCAGCATAGTACGATTGAAATAAAGACCTGGTTCCACTGTCAAAACCATGTTTTTTTCCAAAGGTCTATACGGCAAAAACTCTATTTCTGTTGTTGGTGGATCATTTACGTCTATATCTTCAGGCCTTTTTTGCTCTCGTCTAGGTAAACGCATTAAATCCAGTTTCGACAATCAAAAGAACTTACCCTCCTACATCATGTACATCCAGTCCGACTGTATGACCTAAACCTATTTGTATCACAAAAGTTCATATGAGTAACGCAATCAATCTAACTTTGTTTTTTGTTTTGTTTACATACTATGATAGTAAAAAGCATTAGGAACACCTAGTTGTATAAGCTCCTCTTGGTCGTCATGAACAATAATACCGATTTTGACGAGCTCATTACATAGGATTTTGACTACCAAGTTCTGAAGATCATTCCAATAGACACCAGGTTTTAATATGGATAAAACAGCCTATAGTTGGATTGTTTTTAGTAAAAATTAAAGTCAGCGACACGTTTCGTACCTCCTGCATCTTCAGTACAATGTTGTAGATAGTTTTTGCTTCATTTGAAAATCTCCCATGAGCAGGAAACGTTCTTGTGATATCACTCCCGTAACAGTGCTTTTCACCACCTGCATCTACTAACACAAGTGTATGAGGACCATTTGGTATAGGCTGACTGTTTTTCGAGTAATGTAAAATAGCTGCTCGAGGACCTGAAGCAACGATGGGCAGATAAGCCTGTTTGTATATTTGATGTTGAGCACACGCCCATCGAAACAGGGCGGATAGATGGGCTTCTGTCATACCCTGTCTAAATTGTCGCATCAATGCAATATGTGCTTGTGAGGATCCATGCATGACTTGGCGTATAATATTGATTTCCCAAGGAAACTTGATGAGCCTTGCCTCGTTAAGGGCAGGTAAGAGTAACTGATGGTCTATTTTACAAGTAGGAAGAACTCGATTAAGGAATGCTATGGTGGACTGATGTTGAATAATATGAACTATAGCTGGATTCAGCATGTTCAATAATTCTGGTAGTTGAGACTCATCTATAACTTCATCAATATCATAGCGCTCTAAAAGTTCTTGAGGATCATAACTTGGTCCTTTCCAAAAGGCGTCGTATTCAGGCACATTTGGTGTAACTAAATATATTTTTTCGCAATGTAAATCAATCACTACTTGGAAGCCAGGTTCATCAACACCTGTGTACGAGTATCAGTAAACACGAAAGTTGGCAACGAATGTACCTGTAAGATAGAAAAAATTACTTTCTTGTCGAAATTCCAACTCAACATCTGTACTGTCTCTTGTGGCTTTATTTTTGCCTTTTAAATATACAAGTTCAAGCGATTCCTGAATCGGCTTTTCGAGATTCAGCAATTTTTTTACTCGAAGACAGTGCTGCTTTGTTGGAATAGCAGGTAGTTTATTGGGATAGAAATGACGGTTAGAAGTGATATTTACTGGATGTGGTGCCATAAGAAAAAAAAAAGTAGAAAGAAAAAAAGGAGAAAACAGGAAAGTCCACTATAAATAAGTACGAATATATACATATATATACTTTCTGTACAAGCACACAGTCTGCTGATGATGAGTTACAATTTCCGTAAGCACAGACGATTCATCTTGTATACGCAAGCAGTTCTATCGGGTTAAAAACTTAATTTGGTTTCTGAAAATGTATGTGTAACGTAAATAGATTCAGTTTTATCAGAGGAAAATAGACTGAAGGAAAGGGGGAGGGGGGTGGAGACCATACATGAAATGTATATGCCAAAAAGACCCTGTATGAAATTATGCAGAATTCAACAGTTAAAAATATAAAATGTAAGAAGAGCAAAAATAAAATAAAAACTCTATTTGAACTACGTCGAACAAAGAAAAATCATTGCATGAATGATCAATCACAGTTTCTTTTTGGAGATACTCTAAGCTAGTTTTAATCAGCCATTTTTTACTTATTTTATTACGTTTTCCTTGTTTACTAAAAGAAACAAGCACAAATGATATCAATACTTGCGATCAAGAGCTCAAGCTAGTCTTACCATAGTTCTATTTCTATCAGTTAACGTATAGTATTAGTCACTCTTTCTCTTTACCAAAAAAAAATTACAATGAATATCATTTTTGCAGACTATTGAATATATCTAAGATCTATGTTGGCAGACTCTAGTGACAATGTAGATATTCTTGCAATAAACTAGGCTAATCATAAAAATAGTCTTAATACCATCGCTCGCTTATTGATCGTGTCACATGTGAATGAGTTTGTGCTTAAGCCATGTTTATTTTGTAGTGCTTTTGGTGTCAATTTGAAGGTAAATCTCCAAGGTTTGATAATGTTCAATAAATCCATTTGATTCAATTTGATAGCAATCAGACCTTTTCATTGTACCTTCAAGATAGTCTCGTGTTGATCCAAACAAGATTTCAAATATTCAAATATAGTCTGAAAATATAAGCAGGTAAATCCATGTTGCCACAAAGTGTTCTAGATGTTACTAGTAAAGAAATAAAGCACCTCAATGACCATGTGTGATACAAAGGATTGATAATCCCGATTATTTTAAATGTAGGACAAAACTAATTTCTATTATTGTTCTTTTTTAGGACGAGTCTAAAAATCACTCAAGTTGGTCTTGTTTGGTAAAAGGGTATATTTTATGAGCAGATAAGTCAAATGTGATGAGTGGTTTCACACTATAAATAAATCAAAGCATTGACCTCATGAACGATTACTTTTTACCGACATTTTTTTGTATAGTCAAACATGCTTCTGTTTCAATTCGAGATTCAAAAAATCATAAAGAGAACTGCGTTAGTATCTATAAAAAAAATAAGTTTAGATTGCACTGCATTCAAATGAATAGTTTGCTGTACCCAAGAACATCCAGGCCATAAGTAAAGGCAACCTTGCACTGCAAAGTACTATGAAATCAAATTCTTGGTGAGGCCATATTTGTCAGAAAATGAGTTGTGATTCGAAGGCATTGGCATTCTTAAAGGAAAAAACATATGTCACCTCTCCCTTTACTTTTGTAGCCTTGAAGAGTCTTTTGTCTGGTTGTACTGATTTGATTATAACGAAAAAAGTAGTTTGTTACAAGTTTTTAAGTAATCTTAGATCCTGTAAGAAAAACAATTTCGCTTGTAGGTTTTTTTTTTCGGCTCTATGGGATAGTGTGTAAAAAAAGAAACAACTTTCTATTAAAACCCAGCAGATCTATTATTATTATTTTTTTTTTCTTGCAGTGGCAACATGTTTATATAGGCAATTTGAGACACGTTTTTACATTTGGCTATAAATCTAGGTCCTACTGTGGAACGAAATCAGAAATATTTGTCATGTCAATGCATAATAGATCAGTGTTGGTATACAACAACGACAACACGTGTAGACAGAAAACAATGAAAACAAGACTGAAATACAAGCAGGGGAACAGTCATTGGTTAAAATCAGGAGAGCTTAGGATGTCTTGTGTGTATAGTAAATGATCTGTAAATAAAACAACATTCTTTTTTTTTTTTGACAGAAAATCACAAACGCTTTTGACTTTAATATGCGTGGTACCACCCAAACATTGCTCATTATTAAAGTGATGTGAATACCTTTTATAGACTCAAGCCAGGAGAAGATTCATATTGAAAAACCGCTAATAAATGATAGTAAAGTAACATACAACAATGAAACAACATCAGATTTACTGTCAAAGAGTAAAAATGCCACTCATCATGCAATTGTCTTTGTAATGGTAGAATTCTCAATACATACTTGCTAAAAGCGGCAAGAAACAAACAAGGGAAAACTCTTCAGATCAAAACAGAAGATATTTATATGCGTTTGTTGACAGGCCACTAATCTAGGAAATAAACCTCATTTTATCGAATTTTAGCTGTGATGCTGTTGCATACTAATGTTACAAGTTTGTGTAACTTCAATACAAGCACTTCTGAACTCCTCTCTTTACTATATGATCTTTCCTCTCCTCTCCTTCCACTATAGAATAGGCCCAACTCCTTAATCGAGGGCAATCTCCTCGTTTTCCAACTTTAGTATCACACTCGTGTGTGCTACAAAATAATGAAAAAGATATATATATATATTTATACTTACATGTATTTGACTTGATTTCTTCATCTCTTTTTTTTTTCTTACTTTCAAATAAAATGTCTGCTGAAGCTATTACTGCTACTACTACTACTACTACTACTACTACTACTACTACCACTCCCGTTGAACCTACTGTTGAATCCAACAACGTCGAAATTCAACAAACAAAAGATGAAGTTACTACCATAACCGAAACTGTAGCCAACGAAGAAAAGGCTGAACAAGCTGCTATTCCCGACACTGCTGTTGAAGCTACTGCTGCCATTACTGAAAATAATACTGCTGCTGAAGTTGCTACTACTACTCCTGAGTCTGAAGCTAAAGAAAAGGAACAAAAAGAAGAAAACAAGACAGAAGAAGTTGCTGCTGAAGAAGTTGCTACTGAAGAAGAAAAGCCTGCTGCTGAAGAAGCTCCTGCTACTCCTGTCAAACTTTCCAAGCGCCGTACTCTCTTCAATCCTTTCGGTAAATCAAAGAAGGATGAAGCCAAGAGAGAAGAATCAAAGAAAGAAAAGGAAGAAGTCAAGAAGGAAGAAACTCCTGCTATTGCTGTTGAAACCAAAGAAGTTGAACCTGTTACCGCTGCTGTTGAAGAAAAGCCTACAAAGAAATCATCTAAGGGCTTCGGTAATTTCTTCAGATCAAAGGTAAGTTTGTGGTACAAGATGTGGTTACAAATCGATTAATTTTTTTGACAGACCACAAGCCCTGTAAAGGTAGAAGAAGTCACTGAAGCTTCTGCTGTTGTTCCTACTGAATTACCTCAAATTGAACAACTTCAACCTATGGAAACCGAAATTGAAGTTCAAGAAGAAGGCGAAAAGAAGGAAGAAAAGGCTCCTTCTGTTAAAGAAGCTGCTGCTGAAGCTACTGAGACTGCTGAAGTCACTGAAACTACCGAAACTACCGAAACTACCGAAACTACCGAAACCGAAATCGTTGAAGTTGCCGAAACTCCTGCTGTTGCTCCCGCTAACAACAAGCGTCAATCTTTTATCAGTAAGTTGTTTGGTAAGAAAAAGCATGAATCTGCTGCTGTTATTCCTGCCACAAAAGAAGTCGAGGAAGAAGAAGTTGCTGAAGCTACAACTACTGAAGAAACTCCTGCCGAGTCCGCTGCTGTTGCCGTTGAAGAACCCAAGAAAGAAGGTAAGAATAAGCGAATTTTGTCATCTGTATATTTACTGACAGTGCTCAATAGAAACTACTGACGAAGCTGTACCTGCCAAGGAAGCTACCAAAGAAAACGCTACTCTTGCTACCGCTCCTCCTACCGCTCGCCCTTCCTCTCCTCTTGGCAAGTTGACAGAATTGTTCTCTTCAAAGAAGGGCAACAAGAAATCTAAGAAGACTACTGCTACTGAAGAAAAGAAGGAGGAAGCTCCTACTGCTAAAGAAGAGGAAAAGGTAGAAGAACCCAGAAAAGAAGTCGAGGAGAAGAAGCAAGAGGTTGAAGTAAAGGAACCTAGTGTGTCTGAAGCTGCTCCCGCTGCTGTTGTTGCATCTGCATAAATTTAACTTTATTTAATGCTCTCCACACACCATTATAGACCAGTGTGTGCCTGCGATCATTATTTGTATAATGCTTCTCACTTACACTTTATTACTACTACTAAATAACCACCTCATATAATTCACTACTTATTTATCTTTTCACAATAATAAAATCAACCATTCCTGCTTCATTTAACAATCTCTAACAGTTTTACCCCTTTGATGACCGCGTTTTTTAATGAAACTTTAATTGTTTACCCCACCTCCTTTTTTTTCCGGCCTTTTTTCTTTCGTTAATACACAAACATGTTGGCTGTAGACGATAGTGATGTCCTTGTTCAAACTTCAGTTCTTGTTGATTCCGAAGCACAAGTGTTTGCAAGAAACGAACTTATTGAAGAAATAAGGACGACTATTATATCTCACCCTTATTTGGATGATATGCTAAATAAAATCAGAGATACCGCAATACCATGGGAGGTTAGTATATTTATACACTTTGGAAGGGCTTCTTATCGCGTTATAGGATTACAAGAATGTAGGATTAATTACAGCAGATGAAGTTGCTATGATTCAACATGTAGAAAATAAAACAACGAAAGAACTTGTACCTATTATGACCGAGGTAAATGTCCTGAAACCCCATTTTTTCATTTTTTAAACCAGCATCACATAGCATGGTTTGTATTACGCTGCCTTGTACCTGGAATTAATGCAAAAGTTGGCAAGAGTGGACGCTCTTCAAAAAGTACTTGTCTTGATCCACGACATGTTAAATGGTAAGCACACAATCAGATGTATAGATGTTAATCAGATTGCTATTAGAACATGAAGAACGAATTGAGTTGTTTCATCAGGCTGGAGAGAAAGTCGTTGATTTTCCATTCGGTCCTTTTCACAAGTAAAAACAAGAAAGAGTAGATTATGAGAGAAATGTATGCTGATCAAACCCTTGTAGAGCATTAAGAATTGGCGATGAGTTTATTGGTATTCAATCAAGTAAAGTCTTGACATTGTTAATATGGTAAGCTATAGCAAAGGAAAAGAGGAACAAACTACTCATTAGATACAGTTCTACTTCTCAGCGCGACATTGATATTTATGAGTTTTTCAGATGGATCACGTTTCAACTTCAAAGTCAACATCAACATGTAGTTGACTTGAACATACAAATTCTAGATGCCCTATTCCATATTCCCGAATACAGAAAAGCCTTCTGGAACACAACGCATGCTATTGACTCTCTTGCCAATATCTTAAAAAAGGCTAAAGAAAAGAATGTTGGCCCTCAAAAGATTTATGAAATCACATTTGCAATCTGGCTCTTGACATTTGACAAAGATATCGCAAAGAATTTGGACAAGTAAGAAGCTAATTTAAATATATGGCTATTGACTAAAGACGCAAACAAAAAGGAAATGTCAAGTTATTCCAACATTAGTTGATTTAGCGAAGTTTGCTGTAAAGGAAAAGGTCATTCGTGTTGTTATTGCCACATTTAAAGTAAGTAATTTTAGACGACAATTTCACATTAACAAGTGCATAGAATTTGATCGAAAAAGCAGTCGCAGAGAACATGTCTGCTATGCTTGTTGCTAAGCTATTACCACTTTGCGACCATCTTGCTACTCGTAAATGGAACGATCAAGAAATTACAGATGATGTTGTTTTTGTTCAAACAAAATTGCAACAAAACTTTCAAAGCTTAACGTAAGTAATATGTAGGTAGCAATTTTTGATTCTTATTTATGTTAATTGTAGTACATTTGAAGTATATGCTTCTGAATTGGAGACTGGTATGTTACAATGGAGTCCTTCGCACTCTTCAGAAAACTTTTGGAAACAGAATGCAACTCGACTTAACGAAAATAGCCAGTTGTTATTGAGGTAAGTATGTAGCATGCATGTATACTTTATTGATTGCTTTGATAGACAATTAACTCGTTTGTTGAGTTCATCAACCGACCCTGTTGTGTTGGCAGTTGCTTGCCATGATATTGGCCAATATGTCAAATACAATTCTATTGATGGAAAAAAGTAAGTCATTGCACTTTTACACAAGCTAAAGAATCTCTTTTTGCGTATAGACACTTGGAAGCACTTGGAGCTAAACAAAGAGTTATGGAGCTGATGACACATCAAGATTCTGATGTTAGATATCAAGCTCTTTGTGCTACTCAGAAGTATTTTGCCATGACGTCTTGATAAGACAAAATGTAAATTATGACCAGTCGATATGGGTCAAGAAATCTCACTTTTTTTTCTGGCAAATAAAGATCACTTTTGTACACAATGTAATGATTTTTGTTTATCTGAATAATCCGTATTTAATAAGAAGAAATAAAAGTAGGTTTGTATTTTTTTTTCTCTGTAAGAAAGATATACCATAATTCCGTATGATATGATAATGCTTTGGTGTCAGCTGAACTTACTGTAGTACTTATTCGTCTTTGAGCCCCTTCACCATTCTTTCCAAACCTAATTTGAGAATATCCCATGGCAAAGCAAATGTTAGGCGAAAGTATCCAGACATATGGGTATGAAATGCATAGCCAGGAACAACATAAACACCCCGATTAATCATATTGCGCCATATTCGTTTTTCGTCGTCAAGTGTTACGTCTTTCTTATTTAGAAACGATCTGGTGTTTATCATGAAAAAGTGACCTGCCTCGCCGGGAATAAATTCAATACCATTCTTTCTCAAAAAACCTGTTGTCTTTTCATATGTAACAGCTAATTCTTTTCGATTAGCTACTATATATCTATCATAAGAGCTTGTGTTAACTATCTTTGTCTTTGACTTAAGATACGCTACTTATCAACCCATGTTTCATCGCTAAAGAAATTGCACAGCATTCTATCTGTGAGACTTGATATGTAACTAAAATGGCTGTGCAGCAAGTATGAGAAAAAGTAAAACAATTGTATCACGACATGGTACTTACGCACTACACATAAGAGATGTCTTCAAAGGCTCATTAAACTGATCAATGATAAAGCCAATACGGAAGCCATTCATAGCAAAATCCTTTGACATGCCATAAATGACATGGACAAGAGAAGGGTCAATCACAGTCTCGTAGTCAATGCTTAAGATTGAAACAAACGGGTCTGGCTTTGAAGCGTCAACAAAATGACTGTATGAAGACAGAGCATAGATTTCGTCAAAAATAACATGGAGCTGATGAGTTGAGGCAAACTTCAAGAAGACATCCAAGTCTTTTCGAGAGTAGCATCTTGTTGAAAGGTTAGTAAATATGTATTGTATCAATTCAAGTACCTTCCAGAAGGGTTAGATGGATTAGTAATTAAGATAGATGTCATTTTCTTGCCAGCATTAATGGCTTCTTGATATATAATTTTCAATTCTTCTTCATCAACACGCATTGTATAAGGATCGTGCACATGAGCTTCTAAAATTCTCACACCAGTATGAACACCCACGTCAAGATCAAAGGCACCATAATAAGGAACTGGAATCATGCAGTAATCGCCTATATCCGAGATGTTCATAATGAGCTGATAGATTGAAGCACCTGCACCAGTTTCAACAAAGATATGGTGCTCTTTTAAAGGATAGTAAGGGACAAAGTGTCGATTCAAGAAGTCAGCAACCAACACCCGCAATTTAACTGAGCCCATAGGAAGTCCATAATTGAAGTCCTTTCGAATAAAGACAAAATGAGTTCATTAATCAATTTCTTGACTTATACCTCCTCTTTAATTTCAACACATTTCTTAAGCTAGAATAACATTGTTCAAACACAAATGCTTCAAGCGTTTCATTTACCTTGTCAGAAATCATGTTTTGCAATAAATCATTATGAGCTACTCCCAAATTAATAAAACCAGGCTCATTTAGTTTATCCTTGGCCTCTGAGAAACAATCAAACATTGGACAGGAGACAGTGAGTGCTTTTTTGGCTCGAATAGAAACCGACATTTTCTTTTTGAAGCTAAAGAAATGGAATGAAATAAAAATAAAAGTATCCTATTTAGGTCTTTTTAAACCTTTCTTGTGTCTTTAATGAATGAACGTAATCACTCCTATCAGAATGATTAGTAATCGTGTGTTCTTGTTTTATTTAGCATTATTGTGTCACTAGTATCCTGGTGCCAAAGCTTGACGTTTACATTTCAGCCGACGTCCACGCAAGGTTATTTTAGACAAGTATAAAGCGGTTACTATGAATTACTGCGATTCTCTTTAATTTCGTTGGATAATGTATAAGCTCAAGTTTGAATTAAAATAGCTATTGAATGCACTGCGTCATCAATTGTCACTACAAGCGATTGATGTAAAAAAGAATAAGCAATCAATGGTTATTGCTTTATATTCCCTTGTCTGAAACAACACTTTTTGCCACAAGAAATTTCTCGTTGGAGTGTTTGAAACCTCTAAACAGATCGGTGCACATAAGCTGCTATTCCATCGTAAGAAGTATGATGCCATCCCGCGGTACTGAACAATTCATCTCCATTGCCACTGAAACCTTTTTTAACTTGAATCGAGGGTAAATCTGTTTCAATAGCTTATTTTTATACAGTTTTTACACTTTAAATTCAGACGATGTTAGTTTCTTCTAGACGAATCAAAATTAATCTTTAGACTTTTAGCTTACCTTTTTTGGACAAAACGAAAAAGGAAATTAGACAAATTACAGTCGTTCCAACGCCAAAGGGCGGTTTTTGATTTCCCAAAGGGCGGCTCTCATTTTTTCAAAAAGTCGCTTTCTTTCGTTTTTACAATTATTCCAGGCAGTACATTTACACGAAAAGGAAAAGCGAAACCAGAAAAGCTATTTTTTGTCCATACCACCTTTTCGATCCAGTTTTTTGACGCTAACCCCTCGACCGCTTTGAAAAAAGGCGATGAGCTGACACCTCGTATCGCTGAAGCATGCAATACGGTGACTACAAAGGACTGTTTGCAGTGGGTAAAGCATGCTGAATCTTATTGGGAGAGATGCATTCAGAAAGAAAAGGGCTTAAAATAACTAATGTCATGTTCTTGTCCTTTTCAAATATAAAATGTCCTTCTAAAACTCACCCTTTATTTTCTAAATAAAAATTACACTTCTGTCAAAACTTCTACTTGACACTTTTCCATGTCCATTTCCATGTCCATTTTTCAATCTCAGGTTTACGTGTCCATTTCCGTGTCCATTTCCATGTCTATTTTTTCAACCGCTAGTTCTCGTTACCTTTTCCTACGTACTAGATACGATAACCATAACAAGGGAACAAGCTATATGCATGCTATACTGTGTAGCTTTCAACGATGAAAATGTCAAGAAATTTGTACCAACTATTGATGCACTGAAGAGTTTGGAGATCTGCTACAAGGAGGATCCCATGGAGCCAATGCTAATTTCTTTAAAAAGTCTTGAAGCTGACACTGTCAAATATCGGAAATATCCTACAGTCCAAAGTTTAGAAGAAAAGTAACAAGGTTTAACTTTTCTAGCCGAAGTCTTAACACTTTTGACATTTAAGTCTTTCACTAGACTGATTTTTATTTTTTGGGAAATAAATAAAATTATTTTGAGCGTTGCAGAGGCCTGTTCCTGCACTCAAATGCCTTCATTGTTTGCTGTTCATTCAGCAGTTTTTGGCGTTCATATATTGTTACTTTGTTGTTGAAGGGCAATGTATCTACGATTATCTTTTGTAAGCTCTCATTGTCACTAATACTAAACGTTAGAATGTTGTTTATACTTCGTTGTTCTATTTTATTTATATTTTACCTAACAAGCTGCTCCAAATCCTCACGATTAGTAGAAAGACCTGCATGATCAAGAACCACCAGACACACCTTATTGTTATTGTTTATGTGACGAAGCATATCTAATAAACAGTTATAATCCTAAATATTTTCTTGAACTAGTTATTTTTACCTTGAGTATTGCCATCCTCGAGTACTTTTTCTTGGTTCTTGTCTCTTGAATGTAATGGGTCACTTGCATTACAGAAGTACGAAACGAACACATAATCAACAAGCGATCTGTTTCTCAGACAGTAACACATCAGCTGCAATAGTCTTATTCGAGTATCTGTCTCTTTGCCCTTTGATTTTCTAGCGTAACCAATCACACTGTAACCCTCCTTTTTTAAACTTTTTATATACTCTTGGTACTCCTCAAAATAACAAACCACATTTTTTAAGGTATCCGCTGTAGTAAAACCCAATAATTAAAATGCTTGCTTTCTACAAATTGAAGTCAAACTTACCTAAATATTCATCCTTCAAGACATACACATTTCTTGTACTTTTTCTCCCGTACTGCGGTATATTCTTTTGGTCGGAGAGTCTGTTAGGCTTACTTTTGCTGACTTTAGCCATTTTCCAAGGCTGCTGACACTTTGTTTGTTAAAAAGACATGAATATTTCCGTATAAAAGACAGTATTTCCTTGATTTCCACTTGTTTGCAGTTATACGCCTCTTCGTTGAATGGGTTGGCAGGCAAAAATACAATATTAGGAAAATTGGCTACTTGTGCTTTAGAGACTATAAGAATATATTAAATGTTACTGGATCATAGAGTGGAAAAGGTATATTCTTTATTATGTACCTAAATTCATTTGATTTTTATTCACTCTTGTGCTATCTTCAATATGTGATTCTTTTTGCTTGACTGAATATCTTCTGTATAGGAAAGGATAGGCATTTATTTTGTAAATGCAGATCACCATTGGCTCCATGGGATCCTCCTTGTAGCAGATCTCCAAACTCTTCAGTGCATCAATAGTTGGTACAAATTTCTTGACATTTTCATCGTTGAAAGCTACACAGTATAGCATGCATATAGCTTGTTCCCTTGTTATGGTTATCGTATCTAGTACGTAGGAAAAGGTAACGAGAACTAGCGGTTGAAAAAATAGACATGGAAATGGACACGGAAATGGACACGTAAACCTGAGATTGAAAAATGGACATGGAAATGGACATGGAAAAGTGTCAAGTAGAAGTTTTGACAGAAGTGTAATTTTTATTTAGAAAATAAAGGGTGAGTTTTAGAAGGACATTTTATATTTGAAAAGGACAAGAACATGACATTAGTTATTTTAAGCCCTTTTCTTTCTGAATGCATCTCTCCCAATAAGATTCAGCATGCTTTACCCACTGCAAACAGTCCTTTGTAGTCACCGTATTGCATGCTTCAGCGATACGAGGTGTCAGCTCATCGCCTTTTTTCAAAGCGGTCGAGGGGTTAGCGTCAAAAAACTGGATCGAAAAGGTGGTATGGACAAAAAATAGCTTTTCTGGTTTCGCTTTTCCTTTTCGTGTAAATGTACTGCCTGGAATAATTGTAAAAACGAAAGAAAGCGACTTTTTGAAAAAATGAGAGCCGCCCTTTGGGAAATCAAAAACCGCCCTTTGGCGTTGGAACGACTGTAATTTGTCTAATTTCCTTTTTCGTTTTGTCCAAAAAAGGTAAGCTAAAAGTCTAAAGATTAATTTTGATTCGTCTAGAAGAAACTAACATCGTCTGAATTTAAAGTGTAAAAACTGTAAAAGCAACCCTGACATAGTATTCTCTAAGGCAAAATTAACAAGAGATTAGCACTCCATCCACTCCAAAAAGCAACCGCTTTTGCATGAATATTCATCATTCAAATAGAAAAAGTAATCATTTTGTGAAAGAAAAAAGGATTATTTATCAAATCATCTTCAATTGATCACTTCATAACAATAAATAGGTTTGTTTATTGCACAAAGAAACCAACAATCTATCAAATGCATTTGAAAATAAATCTGTGTAAAAAAAGAAAGGGTATTGCAGAATAAAGTAGAAAGATTTGGCATAATTTGAGACTAATAGCAATTGTATTTCATAAAGCTATGCATTCCTGTTGTCTATTTTGAGTTTGTAGACTTTGTTCAATCAAAGCTTGTTATGCAGCCATTTGCTATTGTACGAATGCTAGAAGATTACTTTTTACTGTTGCCCTTCTAATTTTTGGGAAACTTCTTGAAGAGTTCAAAGAACTACTCAATTCAATTTGTATATGCTTCATTCTAATTTGAACTTAATTAGTTTTTAAAAATACATCTTATCAAATAAAATGAAAGAAGACCACAGCAGTTTATGCTTAGGATTCTTTATAAAAAAGCCTGCATCCACTCTATTGAGAGTTTTGAATTCATTATTTATTCGAAAAGAGGGAATTCAAAACCATATGTGTTTTCAAAGAAATCATTGAAACGACCATTGGCTTCTAAATCATTGATAGCTTCAAAATCTTCATCATCCAGCTTGTATGAAAGTACATCCAAATTGGTCTTCATACGTTCAACTTGTGCACTCTTTGGAATTACAGTAATGCCTCTTTGTGTAGCCCATGTTAAAGCAATTTGACCAGGATTACGTTGATGCTTTTCTGCCACTTTCTTGATCACAGGATGTTCTAACAACTTGGGCAAGTGTTCCAAATATTTAGGAACGTTATCAAAGACTGAGTTACCAAAAGAAGCATAGGCAATGATATGAAGGTCTTGTTTTTTAGCCCAGTTGATTAATCGTCGTTGTTGCAAGTAAGGGTGATGTTCAATTTCAAGGACAGAGGGACGAATTCGAGCATAAGTAAGCAAATCAACAATAGATTGTACATTAAAGTTGGAAATACCAATATTACGGACACGACCAGAGTCAACCAGCTTTTCAAGTTCATGCCAACAGTCTTTCATAGGAGAGTTTTCCAGTTTTAATTTTTTATCAGCATCCAAGAAACCAATGGGTCCTGATGGGTCAACATAGGCAGTAGCAAAAGGGACTAACAAAGAAAAGAGGCTGAATAAAAAAATACTCAAACATCGTGCTATCATACTTACAGTGAACAAGATAAAGATCAATATAATCCAAGCCATAATTTTCGAATGTAATGTCAAACACACGTTTAACATGTTCTTTACCGTGGAAGTTATTCCAAAGCTTACCCACGACTAAACATGCATAAATATAAAAGAACAAGACAACTTCTTTTTTGTTTTACTTACTAAACAAGTCTTCTCTCTTGACTATACCATCATTGATTGCTCTTCGTACAGCCTTACCCACTTCTGCTTCATTTTTATAATGAAGAGCACCATCAATCAATCGATAACCGGTTTTAATAGCATTATATACAACTTCTTCTGCGTCTTCAGGCTTGATACGAGCAGTACCAAATCCAACAAGAGGAATCTTGTCCCCAGTACGGTTTAACTTGTCGTGTGTGTTAATTACTTGTTGGCTCATTCTTTTTTTGTTTAAGATAAAAAGAGAAAGAGACAATGTCCATTGAATAACTTATACTTTTTTTTGGCATCTCCGCGGTAAGCCGCTTGACCACTTTTGTAGACCTATGCAAATAAGAGCTCAATATGTCATCATTAACTAACTGTTTATTTTACAGATGCAATGCTGCATTATTTCATAATGATTACTTAAAATTTACAAGTCAGAAACGATGACCGAGACCATATCTATTACTTTTGAATCGCAAGTAAATGCTCATTGAGAACTTCTTTAACATCGTTTATTATTAAAAATAGGTCAGAAATTTCATATCAGGATCTATTGTGCTTTTGGGGCTAATTCGGATGTAAAACTACAATTCTGTCAAAATGACCAAAAATTGATTCTTCTCAAAGGGTAATACCTATTCATCGGTAATTAACACTCCGATTTCGACCTTTTTTCGACTTCACACCTCAATGAGTAGAGATACAAGCGTCATTAAACATCCAAGTGATAAGAAAAAAAACAAGAAAATGTAATGGAAGTTTCTGTTTAGAAGTTCACTAGTAAAAAAAAAAATTGCGATTTCTGGCCACAAAATGTAAGAAATAAATCTAGAATTTTCTCAATGTTTTATTAATAGGTTTGCTTCCAATTGTACATCATTCAAAGCACAATGAAGCAATCTACAACTTTTGTTACTACTTCAAGGACAAATAAGATCACTTTTGGCCCTATTTTAGCAATATTTAGTTTTTTAGGGTCGATGAATTCAGATCTAAAATCAAGGAACAATGGCAATAGAGTTTTTATAAATAACAGAAGAAAGTCAGGTAATTCATTCACTATACATGAGTTCTTACGTTTCCAAAGAGACATGGATAATGGTCGAATGCTGGTTTTGTGTGGTCAAAGAACTGTTCTTTGTATTTTGAAATTTTACATGCATAATGCTTGCTTTTTTTTCGAAGATCAAGCATCGATTTTGTATCAAAAGACGATAAAATGGCATAAGTTACTACGAAAAAAATAGACCTTGTTTATGCACTCGCTCAACAAAAACTAGTAAATGAACTTTCTTTTACTACACAATAAATATGCTTGTCTTCCTACCACCTTGCAGTAGCACACATTATAAACTCTTCACTTCCCGAATCGAAGAATACTGAACATGCGAGTGATACAATACAGCCAGTTTCGGACATATTATTCTGTTTTCTTTTCACTAAATTTATGTAAATATAAGAAAAAATGGCACAAGATCTTGTCGATCCCAAAGAGGCCACGATAAAACGACGTAAATCAGACTCCAACTTGATCATCCATCGAAGTCATGAACCTCGTAAACGCAACTTGCCAATAGGGCAGCATTTTAACCGTTCCTTATCGATTGCTATGACAGAAAGACAACTAACACGTATCAGAAAAGACGATGATCCTCAAGAAGATACGTTTTATCGAGCACTCGAAATCAAATTTCACCATTCAGTGGGCAGCATGAGTATAAGTCCTGCAAGCAGAGACGTTGTCTTGGCAGGGTAAGAAGTCTCCTAGTGAGCAAAGAGGTCTAACTCAGAGAGTAGACGACAAGGTTTAGTCGTGATTGATCTTGAAGATCCTTGGTTAATCCCGAGAATCTTGCCTCACATGTCCAAGTGGGAAGTGGCAGATGTCCAATGGAGTCCACATATCGCTCGAGAATCCTGGGTTGCTTCTACTGTAAGTGTGAAATCAAAGCAGTATGATTGGTTAACATCACTGTAGTCAAATCAAAAGCTACTTGTATGGAACTTAAATTACTCAGGTTCAAGAGCCATTGAGTATGTATTTCATGCACATGCAAGAGCCATTTCAGACATCAACTGGTCTCCTCATCAACCGGATATCTTGGCTACTTGTTCAGTAGATACCTATGTTCATTTGTGGGATTTAAGAGAATCTCATATTACATCAAAAGATCAAGATGACGATAGAGAAATGCGATCCAGTTGTTCATTTACACCTTGGAATGGTAATTGCGTGGCAAAGTAGGAACATAGCACTCAATATAAAACATAGCTGCTGCAACACAAGTCAAATTTAACAGGAAAAGTGAGTTCTTGATTGCTTCAGCACATGATAAAGATGTCAAGATTTGGGATATTCGAGTAAAGTACTTTACCTTGTCTGTCTTTTGACTTATATCCCGTTAGAAAGGTGCTGTTCCAATCACAAGTATCACTGCACATTCAAAAAAGATTTATGGTATTGATTGGAGTAGACAAAATGATCATGACATTGTCACTTGTAGTTTAGATAAACTCGTCAAGGTAAAGCCTCCTTATATTATGCACTGTGCTTAACATGATCTAGTTTTGGAATATTCATACACCAGAGAAGGAGGAAGAAGTGATTGTGACTGATACACCTATTTGGCGTGCTAGAAATACACCTTTTGGGAATGGTGTATTGATCATGCCTCAAAGAACAGATTCTAAATTAACACTTTACAGTAGAGCATGTGCAGAAACACCTGTGCATGCATTTGATGGTCATCAAGACACTGTTAAGGAGTTTGTATGGCGTTGGAAAGGAGACATGAATGGATCTGACGGAGGTAATAATACAGACTGTTTGATCGATATCTAACTTGGTTAGACGATAGAGAATTTCAGTTGGTAACTTGGTCCAAAGACCAAAACCTAAGACTCTGGCCTGTCTCTAAAGAAATCATGCAATCCGTGGGCCATGAACCCAGCAAGACAAAGACAAAACTCTCTGCTCCTTCTATTGCGCTTGAGAAAAACAAGACAGGCAGCACACACTCTTTTCAACAAGAACCCATGGAGAAATCTACAACCGACCTACGTCCATTCTCCTCACTCTCTTCAACAGGACCTGTTCGACTTACACCCAACAGTAGTAATTCTACGAGTATGTTGCCTTATCGTCCCAATACCATCAATCATGCTACCACAGGTTACGAGCAAAACAATGCTTACCGAGAACAAAAATACTCTGCTATTAATCCTTTGTTATGGATGCAAAATGTCAAGACAGTAGGACCACCTGGTGGCGAGATTCGGCGTGATGCCACCACAGCAGAAAACAGTTATCAGTCAGTTGCTGATGAAATGTCAACTGTTCTCAACAAGTATTTACCCGTTGGCGTCAAGACAGAGAAAATCAATGCTGCCTCACGTACATGTACCATTTCTTTACACGGTCCATGGTCAGACACAGGCGATGCTTTGTTGCGTATCACCATTCGATTCAGTCCTCAATATCCAGACAATAGTCCACCTGAATTTGATATTCAAAAGAACAGCATGATCTCTATCTATTACCGTGCCCATATGACACAGGACTTGAATGCATTAGCATCAAGCTATACGCAGAACAAAAAATGGTGTCTTGAGCCTTGTATTCGATATCTGTTGGGCGAGAATATGCATGAAGAGTCAGAATATGGACTAGAGAACCAACATGCTTCTTCCTCTGTAGATTCTTCAAATGGTCTCTTGAACGGACAAGGATCTACAGGCAGTCCAAGTCATCATTGGAAAGGTGCGACTGCAGTTGATACAGGGGATTCAGACGATGAATTAGGTCAAGGATGGGGCTACACAGGCGAAGGTTACCGATTTGGTAAACGAGAAAGCATGACAAGTGAGCGTGGCATTATGGTGGATATGTCTGTCAAACAAAGTACAGATGCCAAGGTGCCATTTCCCCGCCTTTGCGGTGGTGTCTTTTCAGGAAGTGGGCAATTGGTCTGCTTCTTCTCGACATTGCGTGTACGCGATAACAGCCGAAAAAATTCAAATGCTACCAAAGAAAAAAAGCAGCAACAGCAACAACAACAACAGCAACAGCAGCAGCAACAGCAGCAAGACGTAGAAGACAACCAATCTACTCAAAATGATCGCAGTAATGGCGAGTATTTCGAGAACACTTACAGCGATTTTTATAGACATCCAAAGACCTATGAACAATTTGAAGAATACAAGGAAATTGCAGCCATGTCACGTCAAGGCAAAAATGCAACAGTGTTAGTGGGAGGTACAAGCGGCGCCTTTGGAGAATATGCTTATGACGATGAACAAGACGACATTGATGATGGTCTAAGTCCAGTTGGCACGATGGGAGCTATGTATTATAAATCGGATGCAAGTATCGTAATATTAATGTATCTTACTCACTCGCTGTTCTATAGAATTTAGCCCTAAATAGTACCATAGGCAGTAGTGATAATCTATTATATCATGGTGCTAAAGCAGACCGTATTACACACAATGTGGTAATTGCAGATTTCTCGGATAAAATGCCTTATAGTCCATGGCTTGCTAAAGAATATATGTAAGTACTTGTGTCTCAAGTATACACTTATTCACATAGACTAGCTTGTCTTCCAAGAATCCTGTTTCCGCTTGTATTCACAATGCTAAAGTATGTCAAAGACATGGTAGACTCGACCTGTACAAAGTCTGGTGTCTTTCTGTTGAAATTCTTCGGGACTGTGTTCCTGCAAAACTACCTGAAGCAGACCGAATCATGACTGATGGCCATCAAATATTAATTGATAGTCTTGATGCTGAAAAAGTCGTAATGGATGAAAACTGGCAACGCGATCAAAAACTAGCAGAAGTCAAACATATCCTGTCTCACCATGGTGGTGTGCCTGACATCAAGAAACTAGAGAACGAGCAAAAGACAAAGCCATTAAAACGAGTCAAATGGGGTATGCATCCTTTAGGACAAAAACTAGTAGACGGTTTGTAAGTGTATATATATATATATATATATGGATTGGTATTTGACACACAGTCATCTAGAGTTCAGCATTTCATAGAAACAGGTGATATTCAAACAGCAGCCATGCTTTCATGTACCTTTCAAGTAAGACCCAACAAGATACCCTCTGCGTTGTTTGGACAGAAAGTAAGCTTGGCTCATCTAAACAGACACTCATACAGATATAGCCTATCTTTGCAGATAAAGTTCCTGAAGCCCTCGAATTAGATTATTTTTCTTTAAAAACAAACGCTCGATCTCGCCATGGTCTCTATCGAGCCAATTCTGGGCCCAATACAGATACAGCAGAAAAGATCAATATAACACCCATTAGTCATTCCTATGGTGCCAAATCCAGTAACAGAATGCTCTCTTATCTGTATGCCTCACCTACAGAACAGCCTGATCTACTAAAGCGTAGTTCTCGGCTCAATCGATCCTGGACTGCTTCTCATCCTAAACTCAAGATACCCAGTAATACAGCACCTGGTATTCGTCATCATGCTGTTGGTAGTTTAGGTTCACATTCCTCAGCTCTCTCGTCACCTGTGATTGTGACACCCAGCACACCGCTGTTTAACAAGGAAGGCAAAGTATTGCATGATACATCTGAACTCAAGATTGAGTTCCATAATTTGGAGCATTTTGATAGTGAAAGATTCTTTGAATACAACCATATTCCTTTAATGGACACAAAGGGTATGGCACAACGGGATGTCTTGAGACTCAATTATGCAGACATGTTGTACCGTTGGAATCTATTGGACCAACGAGCAGAAGTCCTACGGTTCCTAAACCATCAACCCTTTCCTTTGGATAAAGAGATCACTTCATCTCATATTCAAGTCTCTTGTTATGCATGTGGAACTGAACTCTCCAACAGCGATAAATACTGTGTTCAATGCCACAAGATGCGCCAATTGATTCGCTGTTGCTTTTGCCATATCTTGGTCAAAGGCCTCGTCAACTTTTGTGTCCATTGTGGCCATGGTGGACATAGTCACCATATGCAAGACTGGTTTGTGACTCATCGACAGGTGTATTGTATGACAGGTTGTGGATGTAAATGTGCACTAGAATCACTTGATCTATAGTTTATTATAAATGAATGCGTTGGCTAAATGCTTTGATTTGTTTTATCATGTCTTGTACAACAGCATGAGATCTAAAGACTTGCTTAACCAAGGGTATCCATTCTTTGTCAACAATGTTGGACATTCTAGTGACTGGTTGGATCCAATCTTGAGCCAGGGGAATTAAAACAGGTTCGTCAGAATCAGAATGAGCATATTTGTCTTCAGTGCTCGTCATGACCAAATCAATCACGACAGATAAGGTGCGCCAACTAGCAAAGAATGCTGCCATCGCATTGCCTGTATAAGTAGCTTGAGGATGCTTGGGTGCATAAATCGTGTCTAAGAATTCGAGATAGACCAAGGATTCTTCTAATCCTTTTACGGTCAAACCCAATTGAGAAGCAAGACCTTTTCCATACGACTGAGGAAACAGAGTCAGGTGATAAGTAGCTAATAAGGAGTGGATGACAGCATAGAGCCAATGGTGTTTAGGCACACCTTGTTCAAGCAAATCAGTCAAATAAGGTTCCAACATGCGCATTGTGTGCTGTGTCATGCGTCCTCCATAGACACGGGAAACAAAGCCCATCACTGTATTTTCAACCTGCTTTTCACGCTCACCCACAAAACTGGGCTGATTGTGAGACCCACACGCAAAACATGTCCAGGTACCTTGACAATAAGCAGTGCCCTGACAATCAGGACAATCAGCGCCTCTTGCCCAATCCCAATCTAAACAACGCTCACAGGCACACTTGAAAAACTTGAACTTGTCTAATTTTGCTTGTCTATCTGGTGTAGCACCATACACTAACCCACCTACAGTTGAGTCATCTTCAGGTAAATAAGAAAACGAAAGAATGTCTCCTTCAGCTAAGGGTTTTGTGACAGTAAAGACCATGACATTTCGTTGAGGTTCAAAACGTAAAAACATATTGGGAGAACAAGAATGAGCGAATTTAGATCCCCATCTTAACAAGGCAATGGTAGGTGTATTGGGAGGCTCCACAGCATCTTCTCCCCAATAGGTTGTATCTCCAAATTTGGTCTTATATTTTTCACGGCGAGATCGTCTTGAAGCATGTGTGGGTGCTGTTCTAATACGGGGCAATGATACAGTGTGTGCATTTGAGTAAATTTTGAGTACAAAACTACGCAAATCAAATGGATCTACATGAGCATACAATGGCACAGTATCTACAACTTTCTGAGTAACTGTATGGATCAGTTTAATGGTTTTGTGATCCAACCATGCAGGTTCTATGTCTGTGTTTGGAAAGTAGAAGAAATCAAAGTCGTTTTGGCTGTATTCTTTACGTCTTCGAGCATTGTTGTAACTGGGTGGAGGGTGAATAAGTGAATAGGCAATAATGGCTGCAGGAACACCGGGATAAAAGTCTGAATGGACCGTTGTTTCCATGTCATCCTCAGACTCATCAGACTCATCGGATTCATCAGACTTATTGGGTTGTTGTGTATTCAGTTGTGTATCAATACCTTCTTCAGCATAGACCATGTCTTTAAGTATCTTCCATAGTTTCTTGGAGTAGTAGGGTGATTTATTCGATCGACATTTGGGTTCAAGATCATATTGGATCAAGGGCTCTTCTACAAGCACAATATCGCCAGGAACCAATGGTTTCTTGGCAACCAAAGAACGACCTACAATGGGGCAGTCTTTAATTACAACAGAGCTTTGAAACTCTTGCTTATTCACAACAGTTTCTAAACCCAGTTGTTCTATGCTTGTCATTGATAGAAAAAAGAAGAAGAAAAAAACTTTTTTTTTTGTGAAGCGGTTTTCGGAAATTGTTGGGTAAGCTTGGAAATAATAAAAACGGGACAGTTTGAAAAGTGTCAAATAAACTATGTATTTCGTAAGACTATTCAACCTACAAGAAAAGCTTCTTTCTAAAATCATATTTGTAAATATAATCAAATGCATCTATTAGTCTCAAAGACAAGCTGTCTAATACATTAATATTCGCTTTTATATATATATATATATATGTAGCTAATTCGTATTGCATGAAACTGTTTCCCTAGGCCCTGATAATTTTTTATTTTATTTTTTTCGAAAATACGCGAATAATTTACCTTTTGTACTTTTTATCTTCATCATGTTGACACTTGGACTTGGTCAACTATTTTATGTGTTGCTTTGTTTTATTAATGCTATTGCTGTCTTGAGTGAAGAACGATTCTTGGCTAGAAGTAAGTCTGTCTTGATGAACAATAACTCATCAGATGTTAGTCGGTTGGACTGCACAACCTGATGCAGGTTTTGGTAATGAACAAGGACAGTCTATTAAATACAAAATGATCAACTTGATATCTGCTGTGAGAACACTTATGCGAAGTAAGTCTCCGTTTTATTTACGTTAAAATACTCATGATAGAATAGTCCCTTTGATAGCCATCAATATTCTTGTGATTATATATGAACTCTTGCTTGGATAAAATAAACACAGTGATTAAATAACTGATCCAAGACCAATCAAGCACCAAAAAGAATAGCTTTTGATCTTGTCATCATCATAACGAACAGATTTCTTGTCCATATTTTCATCTACAACCATATCATCAATATCTTCAGCATCAATATCACCTGAAGACACGTCCATTCTGTCTTCATCTGATTTATAGTTATAGGTCACAAGCAAAGGGAACTAAAGTGAGACTGTCAGCCACAAAACAGATGATGTGCAATTTTACCTTAAATTCACCTGTTTGTTCAGGTACAACTTCAACTAGAATACTAGTGTAGTTATTACGTTTTTCATAGACACCATCAGCAAAAGTAGCAGCATGATTTGGATTGCTTCTTCGACTGCCCACAGGATACATTTCATCATCATATTCAATAGTTTCATTATAGGCACCTACTGTGAAATGAGGAGACAAGATAGTCACTTTGCCTTTGATGTCTTCTGTTGCCTGAGGAGTAGCTAATGTGATGTTCATTTCTTCATACAAGGGATTTGTGAATTTAAGGACAAGTTGAGTGGCTATGTTGACTTGAAGTGGCCATTGCTTTCTAGGCAATTTGAGGATTGTAATAGTGGGTATGTAATTCCTAATAGTCTTATAAGTCAAGATTCAATCAAACAAAGACTTACATGGCAACTAATTTGATCTTGAATCGAGTTGCTTGTGCTTTTTGTTCAGGCTTAATGAGGATATGACGACAGTTACGACAACGCTTGGATCGTTTGATCGCTAAATGAATACGCTGAGGATGTATTTTTCTATCAGAAGAATGTTAAGCAGGGATTACTGTATTGAAATTAGACTTACTCTAGTTCATAAGGTTGATCATGTAGCTGAGTAAATCTTTGTGGTAAGGTAGAGACTAAAAAAAAATGTCAATATGTGTTGTCGCATTACTTCACTTACTTCCATCGATATGACGAAGAGTTGTCATGTTTTCTAACACTTTGATATCATCGTCCATGATTTGTACACTGGGTTGATAATTATCAATATCATCTACTTTTTCTTGTTGTGCTTGTGAATCATGATGAAACTGGCTTCCCATGTATTTACTAAAGGCAGCAGAGCTCGAAAAGGACAAGAAACTAGTTGGCAAAGAAGGTGGAGAATTGACTCGCAAATGCTTTTCAAAATGTTCCTTGAGGTGATCGAATTCTTTAGCATCAGGCAACGCTTCTTCATTCTTTTGCAACTGCACTATACACATACAATCAACACAAAGCAATAAACACATCTATACTTACATGCTAAACTGGTAGGTTTCTCAAATGTCATGTCTATCTCTTGAGAATTCCAGCGACATACATTACAGGCCAAGAAATAAGGTCCTGGAGCAGGTCCTGTGGCAGACATCTGGGTTGGTTCCTGAGCTGCTACAACTGATAATGTGTTTTGACAGATGGGACACTGAAAGCAATTTCTTGCACATCTAGATGAAGTTTAGATCTATTATGATCAAGTAGACTATAGCCACAAGAATACCTTTACCTATTCTTTTCACTCTTTACACTCGCAGTAGGTACCTATAAGCTCATCAATACGCGATCATTCGTATGGTTCTTGTACCTCGAACAAACAGTTGGGACAATAATAAGAAACAATCTCATCCTGAACACATGAAGGACATCGCATCTGATGACAGTCTTCACAAAAGTAAAGACGCGAAAGTGGGTATAGATAGTTGGATGCTTGGCTCGAGAGTAGATGGCGTCCAGTAACAGAAGCAACATTATCTACAGAAGCAGTGATGTTCTCGGTCGTTTGTGTGGCCTCATTCTGTTTCTTGATAGAACACGCGCAATAGTAGTCTACAAACGGAATAGGTTCCATATTATGAAAAAGAAAGAGAAAAGAGCCAATGTAGCACAAAGAACAGACGCTTAACGGAGATTGACTACTTATGGATCATTAGAGTTTGATAGAATTTTAATATGGCTTAAAAGCTTAGATAAAGGTTCCAGACCTCTCCATTGAGATCAGTTCACGCCATTCTCACCATAAACATACTTGATCAAATTCAGATATCAACCTCCTTAAATAAAAAATTCATAAATGTCAAGTAGAACGGCGCTTATGAGTCTGTGTTGAGCCGTCATTCTTGTAGGGTAAAAAAAAAGGGGGGAGGTTAGATTCGAGTCTTTCTGTGTGTGTTGGGGAGGTAAGTCCTCTTGCCTGAGACTCCTTGAACATTAATTTTCTTCTTGTCTATATATATATAACAACCTTATTGTATACTTTTCTTCTTTTTTCTTTCTCTTTCTTTCTTTTTTCTCTTTTTCTGAATAATGCCAATTGCAACAAGGCCTTCTCCACTCATCACACCTGCAAAATTAGCACCCAACATTGAGCTTGCCACAGTAATTTCATATGAAAAGCGTCAAGATCAAAAAATTTGGTACACTATCAAAGTAGAATCCAAAGAAACCAAGGCTTACCTAATTGGAAGAAGATATGAAGATTTCGCTCACTTTTCTCAAAAATTACATGATCACTTTAGCAAAGTTCGTGCTGGATCACGCTTGCCACCTAAAATCAAAAACCGATTGAATATCTTACCTACGAGTAAACAACAGCATGCTCAACGTGCAGACGAGCTAAACCAATTTCTGTCCATGCTGTTCCAAAAGCAGCTCACTTCGATAACTGGATCTTATTTGGTGCTTGAATTCTTTGGTATACAGAAATCAGATTTAGTAGCCTATGAAAGAAAGTTTGAGGAGATCTGCAAACAAATGACAAATGAACATGTGCCTCCCACGCCACAACCTTCTCAGTCTCAAAGGCCATTTGATTCTAAATGGAAACGACTTCGTTGTACATCTTTTTTAGCTAAATCACCACCTTCGACAACCAATTTGTCTTCTTTATGCAGTCAAGCAGCCAACAAAATCATGCCTTCTTGGCACCGTAATCACAGTACTCCTCAACCTTCTTTCTCAACGCCTGTGGTTCTTGACGTTTCATCTAAATCCATGCCGAATGGTTATCGTCCAGCCAGAGCACCACTCAAGAAGAGCAAATCCAGTCTTTGCATTATCACAGAAAGTCAGGAACAATTACCACCATTGCCTGTCCACCCTCTATCAGAAAAGTCACCTGTGAGCAGCATTGCATCTTCCCATGTAAGCGTGAGCACACATGCAACTACAGTTGATTCGCCTAAGAGCACGATCAAAGTCAAAGTGATTTATGATGTGGACAATATCGTTGTGATCCAAGTGCCTCGATCCATTACCCTCAGCGATTTGCGCTCGCGTATTCAACAAAAATTTTCCGACCCTACTATGGAAGGCTGTGTACATCTCAATGCAGTTGACTTACTCTACAGTGATAGTAGCAGTAGTTGCTGCAGCATAGCATCTAACAAGACAACGGACATGAATGTACCGGTTATTTTGATCCGTAAAGAACAAGACTTGGCTCAAATTATGCAGACAAAATGGAACAGACTGGAAAAAGTTACTCTGCGCTGCATTATGTAAACACATATCACTTTCCCTCACTCTCTTTTTTTTCTTCTCTCCTTAACAAAATGTTCATATTTGTGTAAATAGCACTACAAAATTCCATCCTTTTTTTTCCTTTTTACTGGTTAAATAGTTCTTCATTCCTTTCTTTTTTTTTATAATATAACTTTAAGCCTTTTAAACGAATAGTAAATAATAATAATAATAATAAAAACTTTCTCCTTAAACAAAAGAAGAGAGACAGACATTCCAATGAAAAATATATGTTTATTATTTCTTAACCAGCAAGCAATAACTTAAAGAACCTTTTTCTTCTTAAACGATTTTTTTAAATGCTTTTCTAATGTTTGTTGCTTGAACATAAAGATTTTATATGCATTGCTGCTCTCTGCAGATTTTCGTTGTTGAAATAATGGTAGAAAAGAAGGTGGCAATAATTGTGGCATTGTCATGGGCCTATGAATATCATTTGAATGCGTTTGGTTCTGTTTGAACACAAATGTGTTTCCCTCGTATTTTTTGAAATCGACTGTGATATTCATGCGATTCAGTTGGTCTTCAATGTCTTTTGCATACATCTTCATCTTGAATACATCGTGTGCATAAGCTTGTGTACTCTTCAACAGTATTAGATTTGTCTTGAACTGTTCTTCAATATCATACTTGAATTGTGCGATATTATATTGAAATATGCGTTTGGCTGTATTGTGGATAGCGAAAAACATATGATGGTACGTACTTTGATCGCATCCTCCCTTCTTGAGTTGAATCAATGCCTCCAACAGTTCCAAGTTGGTCAGGAGGCAGTCAGTTAAGATATCATGAGGCGGCGAGAACTGAGGATGCAGAAACTGATAAAGCACAATAAGACGCACTGAATTATAGCAAAGATGGAAATGAAGCTCGGCGATGGTTTTGTGTTTAGGCAATTGCGCATACCACTGAGTTAGCCCCTGAGTAATTTCGTAATAGAGTTTAGAAGGTACTCTTTGTTGCCGGTGTGGAGAATTCGCCATGGTTGTTTGAAAGGCAAAAAGTCTTCCAGACTGGAGTGCTCGAATGTAACGACGCATATAGTGCGCGAGGACAGCAAAGCTGTAGAGTTGGTGCGGGTCCGTCTTTGGTTTCTGAAGAGAGATTCTTTCTACTTGTTGCATATCAAGCCATGGTACAGAGCCAGGCAACAAACAGTCTCTGTTTAGGGTAAGACACATCCAAGCATCAATGTAGTACCAGCGAAACCAGCATCCCAGTATGGCCTCATCCATATTGATTGTTGCTAATGTCTTTGTTGGGTATGTCAATAGAGAAGGTGCGCTTGCTTTCTTCGTGTTGGTAGCGGCTGTTGCCAAATGTTGCAATGAGATGGATGCTAGTCCACCCCAAGTACGTTGTTGTTCATACAATCGAAGGAGATTGGAAGTATAGCTCAAGCAAAAATAAGATTGGATAATAATAGGTTGCATATCATCAACCAGGATATCACCCACATTTTTTCTTGCTTGCTCATAAAGCACAAATGCTAATTGTTTAGAGTATGAAATATCACTTTCTGATTGATGTTCCATATGGCTAACAAGAGTGATAGAAGCAATACAGTACACAATTGCTCGAGGAGCGCGTCGCCAGTCCTTGATCATGTCGACACTGATGGGAGCTACTCTGAAGCCGATACAGCACCAGTGTTTCACTGCTCTGTCAATAAGAATATCGATTATTTGTAAGCTTTCAATATTGAGCTGTATAGAGGGTGGTAAAGTAAATTCAGCGCTGGAAAGGTTTACCAGGTCTCCCTCTGTAGTAGACCAGCATTTTGACTTTCGGTTTTGTGCACGAACTCTCAGGGAAGAAGATGTGGGATGAGTTTCAAGTTCTTCGATATCTTTCAGTGCGGTTTGAAGGTCAGAGAAATTGTTGAGTTGAATCACAATATTGTCTTGCTCTTCTTCTAAAGACATGAAGTTGTCATCCCAAATAGCTGTTGAAAACAACTGTTGTTGTTCTGCATAAATGATAGTATTATAGTTTTGATTTTCTTGATAATAGACTAAATTTTGCTCTTGTTGGTTTCTTTCTACGAATTGGTGTTTCAAATAATCAAATAAAATTTTCTCGGTGGATTGTGGTGAAAATGATGCATTTGTATTTTCTTCAATATGATTTTGCATATTTGTATAAAAAGGAAAATAGAACTTTCTTTTCCAGGAAGAAGTAATAAGAACAAAATGTATACATTTTTATAAGAAAAACTCATGTAAATAAACTATCTAATTTTCAAGGAGTAAAAATTAAGGGGTGAAATAAGCCTATTATGTTTTTTGGATTCGTAAGTTCAGTAAAGAAAAAAGAATAAGCTTTTGTAACAGCTTGCTTTTAAAAATACCTGATTGTACAAAGTTTGTGACATCCAAGTTTACGTCTTTAAAAGGGAATACAGATAGATAAAAAAACACATACACAAAAAGAAAGACAAAGAAAAAAGGCGCAGAGATAAAGGTGATGAAACAAAGAAATGCGCATGTATGTCTTCTATCATCATCGATCAATATGTATTCATAAAGACATATCCGCTTTCTCCTCCTTCTTTTGATTTTTTTTTTAAAAACCAGTACAATGTTTACTTGAGTTTATTTACATCTTGGCTTTATTTTCATTCAGTTTTTTGGCAATAGTTTTTTGATTTGCAGAAGGAACACAATTATCTTCACCTAAAATGTCTGCTAGTCGAAGCACTCTAGTACTCACTTTCAGGGGCAAATAATCTATTAGATCAACCAGCCAATAAGATTGTAGTAAGCCTTACCTGTTGCATTATCTCTTCTATTTTTGCCCTCTCTTCTAAATCGACCAATTCGCTCTACTAGTTCCCATAGATGGCCTCTAGGAATGAGCACACCATTTTGGCGTTCTGGTGTATAATCTGGACTGATGGCTACTTCGGACCATGGTTTGGGACTGTTGTGACGTTTCTTGAGCAAGATATTCTGCTCTTGATAACGCATAAACGCATTACTCAGTGTCTCCTTATTGACAGCTTCTAGATAGCTCAGATCACCTTGATAATAGAGGGTCTTTCCAAGGGATTGCGTTCGGTTAGAAAACAATGCACTATCAACCCAAATGGGTTGTTGGCCTGCTGTCATACTAGGTGGTGCCAACGTGAATAGACTGACAGCAGCAAGCCAGTAAGATTCAATAAATGGCCAAATTAAGAAGCACAGAAAATCTACACCATTAGAGAAAAAGAGAAAAGAATCCAAACCACCTACCATAATTCTCTCTACCACATTGTCTTTCTAAATCAGCTAGGCCTACCCAGCCATCATCGCTTAATTCAATCACATTATTATCCGTAAGCCATTGAACTGTACGTCTGGTATTGTTCTCTACACCTCCTGGCTTATAAATCATGTCTAGTTTTAACAAACTAGAGAGAAAGGAAACTTCATCCAACAAATCTTGATAAGTCATGCGTTGTAAAGGTTTTCCACCACCTTTCTTTACCACAGTATAAAGTGCAGCACATACTATAGCTTCTTCCACAAATAAATGAATGACTTGGTTACGGTAGTAAGATAACTCAAAAGCGGCAATAGGGTAGAATGTAGGTTCAACAATATCTTTACCCTTTCTCTCACCAATTAAGTCCTTATGGATCACAACAGTTCTGTAAAAAAAAAAGGGAGGTTAATTTTAAACCATGACTAATAAATGCAACCTTACTTATCAACAATTTCTCCAGTAGACATGTCATGGAATTCAGAAACTTGCCCACCTTTGCTTTCAATGATCTTCTTGAGCCAGTCAACACGTCGAATAAGTTCACTTCGACCAACACCTCTACCTCTTAATGTTAAAATAACCGTACCAACTAAGGCAGAAGGCATAATAACAGAAATAGCATTCTATAGAGTTGTATGATTTAACAATGTCAAAACATGTTTGATAAACTTACAATATCAGCCAATACTCTAGAGACAACAGACATGAGTTAAACTCTAAAATGACATGAAGCAGCCATATTTACCTATAACCAAGTGACTTGAGTAAGATAGACTTTTGAATAGGATCAGTGGCATCAATAGGACTATCAAACAGTATTTAGCTTTTATCGATAAGTACGTGCATTACCTCCTCATGTTAATCTGATCATCTAACCATTCTTTTAAGGAATAAGGCTTTCCTAAACGAACTATTTTTGGTTTAATAATGTGATTTCCCACATCATTTTTTTTTTTTACCATCAACACGACCCCATTTGAGTTGTAATAACCGAGTGTTTGTCAGTACACCCCTAAATGCAATATGCATTGATACGTATGAAAAAAATCGTATGATTCTTACCACAAACTTTCTTTCTCTTTTGGTGTGCCAAGTAGCTCAGTTGCATAACTTGAAGTTTCAATGATTTTATCATAACCAATTGAGATAGGTACAATGTAACAATCTGAGAAACGTTGGTCAATAAGAGCATCCAAGATTATTTTGACGACGCCTAATTTAGGTTGAAGTAATTTGCCTAGTCTTGAACGTGTTCCCTCCACAAAACATTCAAAGTTCACTAGATAAAATAAATAAAAATAGTGTTTTGTGTATACACTTACTTCCTTCAGACAACAAAGTAGCCATGTATTCTTCTAAAATAGTCTTATAGAGTTCATCATTTCCCCATTCTCTACGAATATAGACTGCGCCAGATGACTTGAGTAATTTGCCCACAACAGGCATATCAAGATTATCTCCTGCAACAATATGTGGGATTTGGATACCTATTCTGTTTAAATCATGCAAGCGTTTTCTTTTCCTGTTTAATTACCTAATCTAAACATCAAGTAAGATGCAACTAGATAGTCAATATGTGATTTATGAGAGGGTAGAAATATCAATGATTGCTTTTTCTCTTGAGCAATCAATGCCACTCGTTTTAACTATACAGAAAAAAATAATTTGAGTATACATTTGTAAGCAATTTTGTTACCTCAACCCATTCACTTTCTCGAATGTGAACCCCTTGATGATAGAGTCGTACAAGAATATTGTTCACAACGAACGCAAAGAATCTAACAACATGAATAAGAATATTACTAAATTTTATGTCTACCTCAAAGTGCGTTTACTGTCTGGTGTAGCCACTGCTTTTTTTACAATGGCAGCAGCAACCACTTCAAGCTCTTTTCGAAGTGCCTTTCTTTGCCTCTCAATTCTTTTGTCATTTTCTTTCCATTTCTTTTGTGCTACCAAAACTTTTGTTTGATGATCTGCAAGCAATTGAATAATTTCTTGCACTAAGAAATCATGGTAAACGATAGTTTATGCATCTAAAGAACTACACACCTTTTTTACTTTCTAGAACCATCTTTCTCATTTTTTGTGAATAACCTGGATAAAGAATCTTTGTTCCAATGTAATCTGTGTATCCACGCCATCCCTAAATAGAAAGATGAATAAAAGGATCAAGTGCTTTCACTTTGAGCTTACAGCGCCTTGATAATATAGGCCCATATTCAGCATGAATGCCACTGGATCTTCTCTTATCCGACGTGGTTCTTTTTCACTAAATACAGTATCAATGGCATGTACAATGATTGTTTATTACATACACAACGTTACGGTGTTCATTATTTAACAGGTCGCGCTTAACGTGAATAGGAAGTGCACGGGGCTTATTGACAGTATTGTAGTCTTCTCCTGACTTTTTATATTCTTCTACAAGATCCTGTAAACGTTTCTCTGTCTTTGTGTTTGCCATGAATAAGAAAAAAAAGAGAAAAAAGAAAGATGACATGAATTTTTTTGTGGAGTTTTTTAGTATGTGTGCAACGAGTAAAAAAAAAAAAAAAGTTGGCTTTCAGGGTAAACTCGGGTAGCATGTGAAAGGAACTCTCCTTGAATGTAACTCTTTATTTTAAGAAAAAAAAAGAGAAGAAACAGATCAAAGAACTATTTAAGCAGAAGCAGCAACAACCTTCTTGGCTTGAGTACCTAAAGAAATCATTGTGAATATCCCTATAATTCATTTTCGTTTATCATATTTACCTTCACGGAAACCGTTCTTGAAACGACGTTGAACGTCCTTCAAGTGAGCCATACGACCAGTACCGGTGGTCTTTCTACGCTTACCCTTTTCAGACCAGTTGACTATAAAGATATAAGTATGTTTAACTAATCAATGAGGAGAAATGCAACTTACAAGATCTGGTCTTGGCTGCAGGGTAACCACATTGAGCACAGGTCTTTTTTTGCTTGTGGAAAGAGCGGTTGCCACAACGTCTGCAAAGAGTGTGGGTCTTGGTGTGACGTTTACCGAATGAACTAGTACCCTTAGTCTATATAATGGCGTTGATTAACATTACTGTCATATAAGAAAATTGTATCATATTGCAATTCCAGCATCGAATATGATGTGCATCTCATTTCATCCATTATCCATCCATCGTTTCTGTTGCAATATGATAATAATCCATACCATCTTTTAAAGAAACCGTTTAGAAAAGGAGGGAAAACAACACTGCAGAGGGTAGACTATCCCTTGTGATCATGGACTCTCATTCACCCCCGCCCACTCTGTTCCTCTCTCTATACTTCTGCCCCTTCCCTCTCTCCTATCTCTCTCTCTCTCTTTCTCTCTCCCCCCCCCCCCACACACACACATTTTCGCCCGTTGCTTGTAACGCCCTGTGTGCAAGAAAGCCTAATTTCTACCGGACTTATTTCCCGGTTCGGAGCGAATCCTTTGCATCGGAAATTCAATGCAGTCGTATTCTGCATACTCAGTTCAGAGTCACCAGCTCAATGAATCAAGCGTTTGGTACTAAATTACTCATTCATGTAATAGAGACGTTAGAAAAACAAATGCTTCAAGTAAGTCAAGCGGCTTCTCCGTAATTGAGACATCTTTTTCAATTTATGTACAGATTAATTTCGTATAACGAAGAAATTGAGAAAAAAGAGCGCAATCTTAAGGAAGTGTTTTGGATGAACGAATTTAAACAAAAGTAGGGGTCATCCATATCCCCTTTAGTAGAAGTTGCCTCGCTTTCCAAGACAAAATTACGTATCAATTGGCTTTCAACTTTAGGGCTACTACTTTCGTATTGCTTGAAAGCATTCAAGAGGCCATATCGAACGAGTTGTCTTGATTACAAGCATTGACAAAGGAGTTTTTGATATAAAGAATGGCAGATCTGGCAAGAAGCTCGATAGAAACATCAATATAGCAAGAATTATACTTATTTGGGTTCAAGAAAAAAATATAAAGGTTTGCTGCATCTGTAACATCAGACAAACTATTCTCTTCTTCCAAGTCCGAACAGGAAGATGTTTCTTCCGTTTGTTGGGTTCAGATATGCCCACAAAGCAAGACATCATATTTTGTTGCAAATTTTTCTTTGATTTCCTTTAAAGCAACATCGTTTTCTTTTGGATTGACTGTAATCGATTGAAGAGGCGACAATTAAACTACCATTTCCACTTGCTTGACACTGATTTCTGATCCTGTAATAAGCGCCACCATAGATACAGACGTAATATTAATGCAGCTCGTGTTTCGATTGACACTAAACATATATTTGCTATAGTGGCTTGTCGATGGTTTAAACATTACAGCCAAACTAGTTGATTTGAAAAGCAAGGAAGTAAATTATGTGCGATTCAAAAGCTGTAAGTATCCCAAAGCATAATAGATTAACTGTAAATGGTGTAGAATAAAAGCTTAGATTGTTTATTTAACAAAAAAAGAGAGAAAGGCCTAACATTTGATGTAGCCGCTATTTGCATCAATCATAAGTTAGTATTGGTTAGTCACATTGTGTATAGTAGTATGAATGTAATGAGAAGATAATGTAACGCAAAGAAAAACAAACAAACAATCCACTTCTCAATGATAATATTCTTTGTTATTCCTCAGAACAAGAGTTGGTTAACCTTGAACTTTGCTAAATGGCTTTACACAACCATACCAGTAGCACTACGCCTATTGATACGGACACATCAGTGTTTCCTAGTCTGTTATGATACATGGCTCGGGGAGAGTTATTCAACTAACTCTTCGTATCTGTGTAAGTATTTCAAATGTAATGATTAATGTCTGTTACTAATTTGTTCTCTGCTCTTTCCTATAACCTAATGTAAGTAACAATATAAATATTACTTATATATCTCATACTCTGCTTAATATTTTATTTTCTCACAACGAGTTTCTTTTTTCCAATGAAGTGTACACATAAATACATATGCATGTATATATCTGTTACTAAATTAACGTTTGGTTTGTAGATCAAAGAGGAATTTTATGAGAATGGTCTAAATTGGAATGACAACTTGACAAAGTTTCCGAGAAGCAAGACCTTGTCCTACATGAATGAAGCAAGCAAGCTTTAAGATGATGTATTGGTAATACATGCTAGCATCTTAAATGAAGCGTAAGCCATATTTGTTAGTATTTGAGTTCTGATAAGATGCTGACTCTTATTGCTAGCGTTGCTTCTCATAAGCGAGGGTGCCATGAAGAAATAGTAGAAGCAGTATTTATCCTTTTCTTTTTTCTCTTGTTGCAATACATACCTTCAAGATGCTAAATGCTGACATGTTTAGGCTTGATATGTAAGTTCTTCTTAGCATATAACTTGTTGTAATAATACCTGATTTCATTTATTCTTTAGGCAAGACGAGCATATGAGTGGCTGTACGTTGAAGCCGGACTTTTTGATTTCTGTTCTTTCTCGTTCTGAAGAGCAGCTTGATGTCTATTCTATGGAGACAAAAACACCAAAAGCAAACAAAGGAGACATGTATTTTGTGAAGCTTGCCAATACAATGAAAACCATGGTAGATGAACTTGTGTCGCGTGGCTGACCCCTTGCCGATGCTGTGTCTTTTCGTACACTTTTGCATAGCAATTCAATGCTCACATACCAAATGAACCTGGCAGACGATGGTATTCATCTCATGAAAGAGACAAGTTTTGTCCCGCTGCCTTATTCGTTTGAGCGCTTGGAGGTTCTTCTACCGATGATAAGCCCTATTGTTTATGTCAACGAAAGCATGATTCGAATCCATAGGAAAGCATTGCTGCTAATGCAGAAGCTGTTGTGGGGCTTCAAACTGAGAAGAATTAGCATCCATTTCAACGTCCCTCAAACTGGAAAGTAAGAGAAGTCAATTGACTTGTCCTCCTTCTTTTTCTGCTGCTTCTCTTGGTCTTAATTTCTTTAATATAAACAAATTATTTCTATTGCCCATATCCAAACTATCATATGCTTCATTTTTGAAACGATACATTACTTGATTTCTTGCACAAAATGTCATTATACAGATCTTTCATGAACTGAATTTTAGTCGAGTTGACTTAATTTTTGTGGCAGTGAACTACTCGATACGTATTCGATTAAAATAAATAACCTAGGTGAGCAGTTAGGTAAAAGCATCACAAGAATAGCTTAAGAGGTAATTAAAGTCATTCTTGAGGCATTTTTCACTATTCTTTTCACCTCTTTTAAGTCTTTGTTCATGCTTTTGCTATTTTTACGCTTATGTTCAATATTTTTCTTTTTTCTTTATGAAAAAATAGCAAGAAACAATACGACACAATAAGAAATAGCGAAAAAGTAATGCATCTTACACTTCGTCTTCAAATATTTTAAAAAAAAATACCGATTGTCTAATCAACTATTAATTGCTTGTTGTGCTTGGATCACTTATTCATTCGTTTCGTTTTGCTTTAGTTGCTAAATACAGCAATATCTTTTTTATGTGATGCGACGAGTTTCATTCAAACTCTTTACAAATACAGAAAAATACGTCGCACAGACTCGACATTCATTTTTTTGGGATGTGAAATCTGCAGAGTATTACCATGGCTTTCCTTGACCACAATTTTCCCGAAAGTTTAAGGAATGAGAAAAATCCTATTAGGCGTCGTTTTGTCATCCTGTAAGCTCCTTAAAAGTTTATTGTATTAATGACTATGGAGCGATTCAAGTATATTTTAATTGTTAGAAGCTATGCATGTAAAGATTAGACAAGTAATACTGGTTTTTAGCCAGAAGATATTGAACGATGCATTCAAAAAAAAAAGAAGGAGTGGTATCTACATTTAGCTTAAAGAAAATTAGTTTAAATAGATAATCTAAACGTATAATCAAAACGTGAAAGAAGAAAACAGAACATACAAGGTTTGAAGATGCACCTTCAATGCAAGAAATGAAATATGTCTAGAGTTTATTTATTTCTTTGGATACTCATTCATTAAATTTATAGAATACAATTCTGGTCATTATAGAACTAAAGTATTTTGCTGTTCCGTATGTTTTTTTTATACAAATTCAGAAAAAAAAGTAAACAAAAGCGCATACAGTCAGAATCATTCTTTTCTTTGTATTTGATTGAATGTGCTTAACAAAAGTAAATAAGAATAGTTTCCAATCGCATGCAGCAATAAGCTTACGTTTCTAATTTGTCACTGTAACATATTGTGGTGATGCTGTTGTCAGTTTTTTATCATTATTGAAAAAAGATGCTTCCAGTTAATACACATCCAAGAGCATAAAAGATCTAAATACAGTTCTATTATTACTTGTGTTTTTGAGGCTTTTTCTTTCTTTCGAATGCAAGCCTCAAGGGAGTGGTCCTCAAAAAAATAACAAGTTCACTAGTACATTATATCTGAGATATATGAGGCCAAGTAGTTTGTCAAATTCGATTGTTTGATTTTGCCCAAACAATTATATGTCCCTAAGGAGAAGCTTTGGTATCTTTCCTCTTAACAAATAAACAGCAGAAAAAAAGTAAACTACAGATCACTTATTAAGAAATTGCTATTTGAGTAAGCGTTTTAATTTAAGCTTTGCCTGTAAAGTATGGCATTAAATGACATTAAATAAAAGGTAGCAAGAGAGTGGTACTTTTTGTTTGTTTACCGAGGGCAAACTAACGTTAGCTTACCCATTAAAAAAGGAAAAAGAGGAAACAAACTTTGTTTGCCGCTCCATATTCCTTACAGAAAATAGTTGCTTTAATTTCCTTGCGCATTCTTTCAAGTAAAAATGAAAAATTATCATTTCAAAACTTTTTCTGGACCTATTAGATATCTGATCAAAGTCCTTTCTCTTTTATTGGAAATCCATTTTGATAACTGTGGCTTTTTTCTTTGGTTTGAAGCATATGTAAATGCATCGCCTCGAGACTATTTGTTTCTACATAGTTTAAATAAATACAAATAACCATTGAGCGGATATGATTAAACTCTATTTCGTAGTGTGACAAGACTAAGATGTTTATCACGAGAAGAAACAGAGAAAAATAATAACCTTCACTCAAAAAAAAAAAAAAAAAAAAAAAAAAACTTCGGTATACAAGAAACCACAGCTTTGATTTGTTTTACTTTGAGTACTAACAAATAAAGAAAATACATTGCTTTTTTTTTATCTAATGGTGGCGAAGTTGGCGTTTTTTATAATCAAAAGAGCACAAGGATTATATATAGATATATTCATAAAACAAACAAGAACCCAAGAAAATAAGCGGCAACGTATATTTGTATCCCATGCAAATCTAAAATGCCAGTGTGGTTTACTTTGAATATTGATTTATTTTAAAACATAAGGCATAAATGTATAAACATATGAGATAGTGGAAAAGCAGTGATATAGCTAGCATAGCGAGATAAAGGGGAAGGCCAATAACAATAAAATAAAAGGCTTGCGAGTTTTTTGTTTTATTCAAAGTCATTTGTATTTACGATGTTGTCCACGCTTTTGACGACTAAAGTGCGAGTCTATCACATGTCAGTTTCCTATCATTTATTCGTCAAGCTTACCTTCAATTGGATTTAGCATATGCGATTGTTTGCCAAAGCTCATCATGGATGAACGCATCTTACTCTCTTCCGAGTCTACGGGTAATAAGTATCCAGGATGTTACAAATATGCACTTACTTGGATTGTAATGTTGATGTGAAGTACCAGACGAAATAGAAGAAGCAGAAGACGATTTCCTATCAATAAGGGGAGTTGCCAATTGCTGCTCAGTGTCACTGCTACTACTACTCGTGCCATTGTGGACTTGCAAGGTATTGTTATTAGGATTATCGGGTTCTTCAGTTTTTTTATGATGACCAGCAGCAAAATCTAGAAATTAAAAAATACAGTTGTTATCGTAATCGCGTTACTAATATGCTACTTCACTAATTGTTATTACTATTAAAAGTTCGTTTTTTTACTACTACCATCATTATTATTGGTGTTAGAATAAACATGATGTTCTACATGAAACTGTTGTTGTTGTTGTTGTTGTTGTTGTTGTATTGATTCAAAAGACGGCAACTTTCTATAGTCATTATTCTGTTGTTGAGATACATAAGGCAGTGTAGACGAGGTGTTGGCTTGAGAAGTTGTTTTTGGTGATATAGATTCTGTTTTAGAAGTGGAAGCTGAGGAATTAGATGCAACAGGTGACCAATTGCCATTGTTATTGTTGTGTCTAAACGCTCCACTGTTGGTATTATTGCTATTGAACTGATTATTGTAATTATGGCTAATGTTGTTCATATTCTGACTCTCTTTTAGTTTAGAGACTTGTATTCGCAAGTTTTCCGCTACAATGTCTAAGCGTGAGTGAATCAAATGATAGTACACTTTGATGAGTTACCATCAAGAAGTTCTTGTTTATTATTACTGATACTGTTGTTGTTACTGCTTCCGCATCCACAATCTAAGTGCGTGTGTTAGATTTGTCAAGGTTTTTAATTTTGCTTACTATTTGCTTTTGCTGAGGAAGAGACAACATCTACCAGGTCTTGCATTGCCTATTTTAGAAAAATGCTTAATTTTTTCTTTGTTTTACTTGTTATTCTACCTACATTTTGCTGTTTAGAGACAACCATCCTCAGATGGACCACCTCGTTGAAAAGTTGTTCACAAGATTTGGTAACACCAAGCAAATGATCTTCGATTCTTAAGATATGTTTGATGACCGGATCACTCAGGTCTTGCGCCAAATCAGTTTCTTTTTTAAATGCAGGCTTTTCATTTGTACTATGCTGATGTTGCTGTTGTTGTTGCTGTGGATGCACTTCCTGTAGCTGTTTTTGCTCTTGTTTTGGCTGTGACTGGGTGTGTTGTCTTTGTTGTGACTGAGCCTGGGTCTGGGCCTGCTGTTGACCATGCTTTTGAGTCTGTTGAAATTGCTCTTGTTGTCTTTGCTGTTGAAGTTGCTGCAGATGCAGCTGACTTGTCTTTGCGCTTTTTCGCTTGATATGTTGCAGGTCATTCACAGCGCCTCTCCGGAAGTTTGGATGCTTGAATTCCCAAGTTTGATTCTCGTTTGTGAGATTAGAGTGAATCAAGTCATTCACTTTATGGAAGCCATACACTATAAAATTAGTTTTAGCATTCTCTCTCTTTTTTTTATTGAAGCAAAATGCAGGTATGCTCAATTGACATTTACTATTTAATTGCCTTACAAAACTCTGCCAGTTATTATGCTTAAAATATTGCGGCAGAACGGTCTTGGAGAATGCTGTTGGATTGGATACACTAAAAAGATCGCCATGACTTGACCAAGATATAAGATCTGAAGTTTCTGGATCTTCAAGCATTCTAAAAATGGTTAGTTTTTTTATCGTGAAAATGTATATTTTTTTTTTTTTACTTGTAGAGTTTGTTAACAAACGCTGCTTGAGTCTTTATATTGTTTGGATGAATAATACCAGAAGATGGTTGGACAACAATCATTTCGCTAGTAGAACTACTAGCGGTTGACTGTTCAACATCACCGCTATTACTACTACTACTACTACTACTGCTGCTGCTGCTGCTGCTGCTACTGCTACTGTTGGTAGCATTGTTCAATTTGAGTCTATAAACACGTTAATAAATTATGGAATATGCAAAAATAAAAAATAAAAAATAAAAAAATAACCTTTTAAATCGCTGATCACTGTCGCCACTGTTCATTGATTGAGATCGACTGTTACTTTTTGCCATTTTGTTTGATATGTATAATTGTTGTTATTATGTTTTTCAGATTCTATTTTTCATACGTAATACGAGTTTTCTTTAAATCCATATTGTTTTAAAAAAGGAAAAATTATGATTTTGAAAGAATAGTTACCCTCTTTTTTTTTCTCTTTCTTATTCTCCAAGAGAATAAATAAAATAAGGTTTGTAGTTCCTTTAAGTTAGTAAAAGAATACGCTACAAATAAAGACAAGTAGGAGAAATTCGACTTTTATAAAAAGGAATAGAAAAAAAAATTTTAAATGGGGAAAAGAAAGAAGAAAAAGAAAAAGAAAAGAATCTTGCGTTAAAGCGCGCCTGTGCTAATTGAGTCAATCATTGTGTGCGTGTCTACTATGTTTAAAGATTAAAGTTATGACATCACCCCATTTCCCAATGCGTCGGGTCGAAATGATTATTATGGAATAGTATTTTTCAATGAAAAGGAGAATAGTTTGTGAAAAGAAAAACTTGATTTTCGATGCCATTTATTAGAAAAGGAAAAACAGAGAAAAAACATGCATAGAACACTTGTATCACTGCAGAAGGAACATTCTGCTCATCTTTTTTTCTTTTATTTTCTAGAGAGAAAAAGCTTATAAGAATATCGAATATATAAACATGTCCAAAAGATCGAAACTGATCAAAGATATTTATTTAAAACTCCAAAAATATACGCGAAAATAAAAACCGATGTTTTTTTATGGAAAAAACCGATTTTTATTTAAACAGCAGAGAAACAGCTTTAAACAACATGAAAATAATGCATCTTTTTTTTTCTTTCTCGAGCATAGCATTTCTCTCTATCCCTTGCTTTACGGTTAAGAAAAACATAGTTATATTGCTCATGCTAAAATAATCGTCTTTTCTAAATGCGACATCAGAACGCCGAATTTTTTTTTGTCGATAGACTTTTCCAGACCAAGGAAAAACCTTCTTTGTTACTTGTGTACCACATTGATAATAAGCATGACTAAATTATAAACGTCATGAGCTTATTTTTCGCCCTTATATTGTACACTAAAAGACAAAAAGGTTAACAAGCTGAATTTAAGCAGCTATTGGTAGTAGACTAAAACCTAAGGTGACACAATACCATAGAGTATATTACTCCATGATCTATTTTAAAAGTACAATAGACAATGATCAAATGCTATCTAGCGCCTAGTTGAATAAGGATAGTTTTTTTTTTTTTTTTTGGTTTCAAATCTCGATCAAAATGCTCGAATCCTAAGAAAAAAGTCAGCATGTGGGTAACTCAAAAAAAGAGATCGAGATTATAGTCTTGTAATATTACCACTCTGCTTATAGATATATAAAGAAAACGAAATATCATTTATCTTTCCTTTAAAAGCAATTAATGACATTCTTGGATAGTGTACAAATATGATCTCTAGAAAAAAAATGACGATGTACTATAAGACATACAAATTTTACAAGGATATACATTTAGAAAAAAAATTTTTTTGATTGACATTTTTAGAACCAGGGAGTGGGTAGTATCGCCTATTTTAGGCAAGTTATGCACATTTACAAAAAAATATGTCTATCTTATTAAAACGAATAGAATTCTCCTGTCTTCTTTTTATTCTTTTTTTGTATTCCATTTTGTTCTTTTTTAATATTAGCTACTGAATAGAATCCAGAAATAAAATAGACGGAAGAGCACTTAAATAGCAATAATAACACAGAAAAAAATTATTATATTTCAGTAGGATCGGCTCTTGCTTTCTGTTAGTGCTGAGTGTCAAATTTTGTTGTACAAGTATTGATTGGTTACATGATGACTTTTTAAAATAAAAAAGGAGACTATCTGTAAATCCTTCCGAATTAAACTACCTGAAATTATCTCCACAACACTGCTGATCCCTTGTCTTTGAACTCTTAGATATGATACACTGTTTAAAATGTTATTGGGATATTTCTGTAATAAAAATGGAACAAAAACAAGTTAAAAATTGGAAAACATTTCGAAAAAAAATTAGAAGCAAAAAAAAAAATCAGCTGGTACAAACAATGTTCTCCCAAATGTACCAAATGATAGTCTTTGTTGAACTATAAGAGAGTCCGATTATAATAAAGAATTTCAGATTTTGATTTCGACAATTTCCTCTTCCAGAAAAACTATTTCTTCAAACAGACATGACTGATGATTACTGTTATGTTCCCAAATACTTTACTCAATCTCTGCATGTAACTTTTGAAATTCTATAACGCACTTGAATGTATTTTTTTATTTCTTTTTTCCTGCCCTGCTTTTTTCTTTTATTTCTTTCGACAATCAAGAAAGAATGTTTTCTTATAGAGTAACGTAACACTAAAACCAAAAAAGGCATATTGTGCATTGAAGTATTTGTTTCATAAACTAACAACACTATAAATGATAAATAACAGCTGCTTCCTCAAGTGCGTATGAAAAACTCTCAACAAAATTCTGACGATGACTCTCGACCTTTTCCTTTTCCTACTAAACCGAGGATAAGTATGCTATGCTTTGTTAATCAGATCCAAACATGAAGGAATAAAGGCCTAATACATACACTGAAGAAAAATGGCTTTTTATTGTATTTGATAGATAAATTCAGGGCATCATCGTACTGTCTAAGTTGTGAATACATCAATTCAAGGCCATATGGTCGGGCCAAGCAGCCCACTGCAACATGTTAAGGGCTCTTACGGTAGATGATGATTAAGATAATAATGTAGACGGAGTGACCAATGTTGGATTTTTAATTGTCAAAATCATCATTATTTTGAAGAAGAAGTTCAAAAGAAGTCTACAAAAAATGACTCAAAAGACTGTGAGATTGTGATTTAGCAGCTGTTCTGAATTTCCATAAGATCTTGGATACTTTCAGACAAACAGGTCAACGTCCCAAATTGTTTAGTCCAAGAAGGGACAAATAATGATGTGTATACACCTTTTGCCAAAACGATGTCGCAAGAAAAAAAAAATTAAAGGGTTGCACTTTTAAAAAAATCAGCGTCGTATGTTTTTAGAAAAGAGTCGCACAATTCAGAAAAACAGTGTTGTGCTTTTCAAAAAAAAAAAAATATGTCGCATATATAGTTTTGTCACCATGGTCATCACCGTGGTCATCACTGTGGTCATCACTGTGGGTTTTTTTGTTAACCAATCAAAGTCTCAGTGACTTCAAGTGAATATCTTTCAATTTGCTTATTTTCTTCAAAGATTCAATATGTGGTTAGACTAGTTGACTATCGAAAAAAGTTATTTTTATTCACAGTTATAAAAACATCAAGCTTTATCATATCGTGAGTAAAGATGAACTGCAGATTATGCTGTCATGAAACAAAAGGAGTGCATCAATTCAAGAGGTTATTCATAAAGTAATTTGTTGAGTAATGTTATATTTTCATAAGGATCTTTGGATCGGTCGTGTTCTGCAATCGAACCTCTTTATCGCGTTTTGGTCTTAAAGCAACACCTCTGTTTCATAAATTTCTACTTCAGATGTGATAGGGAGTCTATCAATTATTATTTTCGTAATATTTCTTTGCTTGCTAACATAATAGATCAATCAGGTGTCAATTTATCTAATATTTATTTGCTATTTACCTGAGAAACTCTTTAATGTTTTCGCCGTCATCAAGGAATCCGCAAACTACAGGTGAAGGAATTTTTATCAGCACCAAGTGGCCCAACATCAGCTTCAACAAGTTTGCCAGCTTTGCTTCATCGTCTATTAGTTGAGAAAATTTAGCGCCTGGCTTTTTTACTTCTGCAGCTAGGACATCAAACTTCTTGTCCTCAAACACGACCTTCAATAAGTAATCAGCCACACGTTGACGAAAAACTTAGCCTGAACAGATAATATTATTCATAAAGTACTAATAATATTGGCCCATACTGCCAAGATTGGGAGGTAAAAGACTAATTAAGAGAAACGACCCATACAAAGATCAATCTCGTCCATTTAGGCCAAGTTGAATTTTTTGACCTTGCTGTTTCCGCCAATCTTGGGAGCAAAGCAGACAACTGTAGTCACTTACCAAAATAAAGTATATTTTTTAAGGCTTCTTATGCACCAACCGTTTTTTTTTCTTGGCGACTACCATCTATCAGACATGTTCGCAGAGTACCGGATAGAGAAGGGATGGCTGGAGAACGCTCCATCCACATCAAAAGTAACTACTTTTGTATGATTATGCAGTTTCTTAAAGAGAAAGTATTTGTAGTCATTTTATGAAAAAGAAGAGAGAAAAGAAAGAAAAAAAGGTTATTTATAAAAGATGTTTTATTAATTGATTACATCTCACACAATAAACAGGTTCTTTATTATTTAACACATAAAGAAACCAGTCATTTATCTAGCACATCTAAAGATAAGTGATTTACTTGTGTTGAGAAAGAAAATTATAGGACAAAATAAAAAGAATAGAGAAATTATAAAGCTAGTAGCAGCTATATTCTCGAAATACTTTTCTTTGGAGTGGACAGAGTGTTCGCCATTAATACATTTATTCATTTTGTATTTCTTTAGGACTACCCTTTTTTAGCCACAGTTATATGAACCATCCCCTCTCTATTCGGTACTCTACGAACATGTTTGATAGGGAGTGGTGCACAAGAAACCTGATTGTTTGTGTAACCATTGATCATCTCTTTATTCCGTACAAGTCATTACTAGTTGTCAGGATGAGTTCTCTTTTTTTTTTTTGCCAAAAAGGCCAAAAGCGAAAAATCTTCTGCTTCCGAAATAAATTCTATCAAATCTATTACAATTGAGAAAGCGAACTATTTTGTGAATGATATCCTATTACCTTTTTCAAAGATAGAAGACATTTTGGAAGAAAGACAGATGTCGTTATGTATTTTTTTAATGATATTATTTTATACAGTTGGATCTAGATACAGTTCAATTTTATCTCTAGTCATTTCCAGTATAATAATTTGCCCAAATATTTCAAAGTGACATATTTTTCAAAAAAGTTTCTTTACAATCTTTGCTGTTCATTAAGAATTTTCCAACCACGAAAGAGTATTATACTGCTAAAAAACCCAAAAAAGTGCACTTACAAAATGCCAAAATAGCTCTTTTACATGCTAGGTTTGAGTACAGTTTAAAGATGAGCTTTATCCAACAATTGCGACAAGTAGTCTATTAGATCAATACAATCCAAGATGTGCTATCAAATGCAATGTCTTGACAGAAGAAAGCTTTCCTCCGTTTTTTTTTGTTGCTGATCCAACCAATTTCAATCCTTCAAATTTAGACGAGCTTGGTGAAATTAAAGAGAAGGATTGCCAGCCATACTTTCCACCAATAACCACCTTTAATGCGACTTGCCAGCTAAATATACAATGCATGCAAGAATTTATTCTTAGTTCCCTAAAGATGGTCATTTTTTTGTGGTTGGCAAAAGCATCAAGCGCGACAACACCGAAGATGTTTTCAAAATAGATAACCTACATACACACTGCAAAGGACTTACAGAAGCAAATTCTAATGACCAGCTCTTTAAAGTCTCAAACACTATTGTAGTTTGTTATAAAAAAAAATTAATAAAGATATTGTTTTCTCAAATTGTATATTGAGCATTCTTTATTTTGACACTATATGCTAAAACAATAAAGACAGTAAAATCCAACAAGCGAGATTATAAGATGTAACAAGTTGGTGCGAAAAAGACTGTATTAATATAATGTGAAATGTTATCAAAAGACGATTTGTAGAATCAAGACACCAACCGTTAATGCCGCTTTACAAAAGCTTCTCCAAGAAATACATCCCTTTAAGGAAATCTTTGTGACTTGCAAAAAACTCAGCTCAAAGAAAATGCCAGAAGCATTGTAAAGAAAAAATTAGAAGAGCGTTTAATGAGCGCAATAACATCACCTCTCTTCTTCTTTTTTTTCTTGTTCTTGTATATTAATAGTATGTCAGCTCCTGATTATTACCAAATTCTCGGTGTTTCTGAAGGTGCTTCTGAAGTAGACATCAAAAAAGCATACCGCAAGCAAGGTAAATTGTGTTGCATAACTTCAAACTTTATTTTATTAATGTTTTATCTATAGCTCTTAAATATCACCCTGATCGTAACAAGGAAGCTTCAGCCAAGTTACACTTTCAACAGATTAGTGAAGCATTTGAAGTTTTGAATGATAAGAAAAAAAGACGTGAATATGATTTGGAAAGATCTAGCTCTAAAGGCAACAATGAATTTCCATATTTTGCAGAAGATTTATTTGCTCAATTTTTCTCAAACACTCGACCTTATTCGCCTTCTTCTTCTGCAAGTGATGAAGATGACTTTTTGTTCAATGATATGTATGGATCAAGAGATTCTTTCCATCAGTCCCCACCATCGTCTCCATTATCTTCAAGCTATAAGCCCAAATCAATCAAGCGGCCTTTACATGTATCTTTGGACGATCTCTATACCGGCACGACCAAGCGGCTCAAGGTAACACGTACATTAGCCAATCAGACAACCGACAAGATATTGACAGTCAATGTCAAGCCTGGTTCCAAACAAGGCTCAAAGATTTGTTTTCCTGGTGAAGGCGATACTTTACCTTCTGGTGCTCAACAAGATATTGAATTTGAAATTCAAGAAAAGCCTCATGATGTCTATACGCGTCAAGGAGACAATTTATACATGACTCTAAGGATCACTCTGCTTGAGGCGCTTACTGGATTTAAAAAGACCATTAAAAAGCTGGACGGTACAACAACACTAATCACTTCAAGCGAAAACCGTATCATTCAGACAGGTCATGAAGATATTCTTATTGGTGAAGGCATGCCAAAAGAACAATCAGGAGAAAGAGGAGATTTAATTGTTCGTTATCAAGTCGAATATCCTGAATCGTTGACCATAAAACAACGCCAGGTACTTAAAAAAGTGCTTGTATGAAGCAAATGCATATAATTCAAGATACCCTTTTCTCCTCTCTCTCTCTCTCTCTCTCTCTCTCTCTTTTTTTTTCTTTCTCTTGTATATATCAGCGATGACCCTTGATCCGTCACACAATCATCCCTTCAGTTAAGGCTTGTTTTTTCTCCTTTCTTTTTCTTCTTTTTTTTTTTTCTTCCTCAATAAAAATGAACCGTTTTTCAAAAAGAAATTTAACTGAGGAAACGCAAGAAGAAGTACCATTGATTATTGACCAAGCAATCGCCATAAATAAGTTACCATTTTGGTCTTTATTTGCTGCCTGTATTTCGTGCTTGGGTGGATTTCTATTTGGTAACTTGTTGATCTCATTTATTGATTGTTAACATAATCAAAAAGGATATGATTTGGGTGTTGTAGGTATACTTATTGCACCTTCCTTTCAATCGCATTTTGGTATCGACCCAAACGACAAACTAAAAGAGGCTGATATAAATGGTACTATTGTATCTGTATTACAGATTGGCTGTTTATTTGGTGCCTTATTGGCAACAAGCACAGCAGGTAAGATAAGCATAGAATGACTATTATATTCACATGCCTGCCAGATGCTATTGGCCGCAAATTCACAATTGCTTGTGCGAGCTTTGTCTCTGTTGTCGGTGGTGTGTTCCAAATCATAGGATATGATCTTGGGATGATGTATGCAGGAAGAATTATTTCTGGACTAGGTATGCAGATTTATTTATTTTGTTTATAGCCTAAAATTATGTTAGGCGTTGGTGCATTAAGTGCTCTTGTTCCTGTAGGTTTTTTTTTGTCAGATAAAAATGTTAAAATGGCTTATTTAGATCTACGTTTCTGAAATAGCACATCAAAACCATCGAGGATTACTAGGTGGGTTATGGATGTTTTTTATAGCTACAGGACTAGCTTCATCTTACTGGGCAAATTATATTGTGAGATTATTAATTGAAGACGATGACGATTTGCTTTGGAGAATACCATTGATTATACAGATCATTCCTGCTATTGTTTTGTTTTTGGGTATGATTTTTTTATTTGAGACACCTCGTTGGCTATGTACACATCATCAAGCAGACAAAGCTTATCAAGTACTCTGCAAATTACGTGGTACAACCAACGTAAAAGAAGAAATGGATCAGATTCGATTGTCAGTAGAGACAGAGGCAAAGCAAACAGCATCTACTACCTGGAAGCATGTGTTCTCTATTCATAATCGAAAGAGATTGCTGCTTGGATGCTCATTACAGGCATTGCAACAAATGACAGGTACAAATGTCATTAATTATTTCAGCCCTATTGTGTTTCGATCAATTGGCTTGTCCTCAAGTGAAGCTGAATTGTTTGCCACTGGTATGTATGGCATTGTGAAGATGATTGTTGTCTTGATTGGATTCTCTTTTTTGATTGATCGTTTTGGAAGAAGACCTTTATTGATTGGAGGAGGTATAGCTTTGGCTATATGTCTTTGCTCTGTGTCTGTATGCGTAACTTTGACACCGGTGGAAAAAAGTGAGTCTTTATCAACAACAGCTATTCTTGTAAGCTTCCTATTTTAAGTTGGTTTTCTTTATCTCATTATGTTTATTAGGGAATTCTGTTTATGTATAGTAAGTGACATGTGTAAATATATGTGCTGAAAAAGAAAAGAAAGACCATAATAACCATAATACAGGCTATGCTGTCTTTTTTGCATTATCTTGGGGCCCATGCCCATGGCTATACTGTTCAGAAATATATCCTATGAGGTAATTGTATAAGAAAATGGAATAAGCAATAACATCGTATGTATACAGTACAAGAACTAAAAGCACGTCCATAACCACTGCTGTGAATTGGATACTCAATGCTTTGATTGGAAAAATCAGTCCAATTATGCTTGCGACAAGTACATTTGGCACTTATGTATTTTTTTCAGGCTGTTGTCTTGTTGGAAGCTTGTTTTGCTTTTTTCTTGTCCCTGAAACAAAAGTAAAATTGGTTGATTGTATTCTTTTACTGAACCTTTTGATTAGGGAAAAACTCTGGAAGAAATTGATCAATTGTTTTCATTATAAAAGTGAAGGCAGAAGACAAGCATTCTATAGATATTCAATCGATTCTGATCTAGGAACCTACTACGCATGAATTCAATTGACTTTTTTTTGTTTATCTTTTCCATATAGTCTCCAAGCAAACGTTATTGAATAAATAAATTGATCTCTTCAACTCCAAAGATACTGTTCCTCGCACAAGCTTTTTGCATTCAATAATACAAACCACACACACACGCCCGCTTTATTCTTTTCTCTAACTTTCTGCAAACAATAGTGTGGTTTGGTGTTTATATTTGGCTTAGTGTGCAAAAAGATTGATTTTATTGTATACACAGTCAAAAAGTGCATAAAACACTAGTTGTACTTTCTAAATTATCACATTGTTTAAAAGTAATACAAATTAATATCGCTGTTTACACCGTGCAATTCAACTTTGTTTTTAGTTTCTTCATTGTTTCCAAAATATCCCTTTGTAGTAAACCATCCTTTAGACTTTTGATGAATTTTTTCGGGCAGAGAAGCATCAATATATCGCTTTCCTTTTACAGAGGTCAATTCATATTGGCTTTCAAAAGATTCAGGCTACATAGATATACTTAAAAAGGGGTCCGATATAATAGGTACAGTAACTTACTACTAGAATCTGACTAAGCCCTTTTACAACGTTGCTTTTGATCTTAATAGCTTCCTTGTCGCCCTGATCAATGGTATTGATTGTGACTACTATGTCCCCTTTAGCAGTACCCATATCAATGTCGTCTGTCAAAACTTCAATATTTCCTTTGATATCGCCATTGACACTGCTTAGCACTGATTTTCCTACACTTATGGTCTAACATGCTTTAAATATTTCTTTTTCCTGAGGTTCTCAATACTTACTGCTTCAAAACCAATATCTCCTTTGACCGTTTTTATATCGACTCCTTCTTTACAAATCATATCGTTCATGAAAATAACGTCGCTAAAAATTGTACCAATGTCCAATCGTTTTAGCGAATCAATACCAGGAATATTGATTGAGACATCCAGTTTAATACAGCCTTCAGCAAGGACAGATTGATCCCCCTATCATAGTAAGATTACTATTTTTTTTTTAGATTTTTAGATTTTACCTTGATTAATAAAGACAACACGCCATCTTCGGGATACTCATTTTTTTCAATCGAGAAACTGTCTTGTAGTTCTTCATTGCTAAACTTGAGATCAAAATCAACCGTAGGATATAAAAGCCTCGGATTCCATATGAGTCGAGTCTTTCCTCTCTAGAGTCAAACTAAGTATTTTTCTTGTTGGCGCAATCTGTTTAACTTACCACAAAATGATGCTGATTTTTGCGAATGGTACTATTGGTTCTTTGTTGAATTGATAATCGAGGAAAAATAGCTTGATCAAACTCAAAGTAAGACTCGCCCTTGTATGGAATAAGTGGTTCTTCGGTACAGTTATAGTCAGAGGCAACATGTATATCGCTTGCATCAAATCCATTCGATCTCATTGACTTGTCTTTGAAAGTATCGTAAAAGCATTGGGTGTTTAATAATGCTCCTAAAGTAGAGAGAGAGAAAAGCACAATACCATAGAAAATAGCTTTGGCTACCCGTTTCTTCCAAAGATTTTTATATAGAACAGAGTCTGTAGAGTCAATAAATGTGTAAGAAAATTGCTTTTCTATTGGAGTGCTCATGATAATCTTGAGTAGAGAGAGAGAGAAAGGGAAAGCTTCCTCAAGGCCCTTTTATAAGCGTTTATCTTGTGTGACTTGAGAGTCTGGGTACTTGGCATAATTCTACCAAAGCCAAGCATTCTAATGTCTGTCCTTTTTTATATAGAAAAAGAATAACTAGAATCGATTCTGTGGCAGGATTCTTTGGATCATGCCTTGCACAAAATAACGATGGTTTACATCATAGTTTGATATTCCAATAGAGAGCGAAGCAACCTGAACCAAGTGTTACGCATTTTTGGCTAAAACTAAACCTACATTGTGCCCAGATTTAAACACACACACACACACACACACACACACACACACATTTATGCAGGTACTGTCTCTTTTAAAAACAAGAACATACGCTTATTTCATACAAGCGAAAAAAAGCAAGTCTTGTATTGGAAGTTAACTAATATTAAAGTAGTTATGGAACAACGAGTATGTGTGAAATCAGAGATATACTGTAAAAATGAGCCTCCTAGACAGTTCAAATTATCCGATGCGTAATAGACAAAATGAGAGTGAGAGCTTGGTATAGCCCAAAAGTCTGTATCACTATATTCGGCGGTAAAAGGTAGACAGAGAATTTTTATGCAAACAACGCACTTAGGTACGAGGACTTTTAAATTTGAATTAAGTTTTCAAACTTGTAGCATAATTTCTCTCCAGAAAAGAAAAGGGTCCCTATTAACGATGTGTAGAATGTCTTGAGTGCTTTGTTGCTGTGTTGCTGTTTTTTTTTCTTGATAAGGCTTTGGGTAAAAACTCATAGGGGTAATAATAAGAGAATGAGATCTGACAATCAGATTTTCTGGCAAATACATCGAGATGAGATAATAAAGCCTTTCTTGACCAGTTATTTTGTATCATTGAAAGACACTTGGCTAAAGAGAGAAACATTGGTTTGAGCAACTTTTTTTAGGCAATGCATATATCAATCTTTCACTTGGTTCTATACAATTGCCTTTGTGCAATGGTCGATATTCAATAACAATATACATTTCAAATGAAACACAACATAGTATTATAAATTCCAAATAGCATCTTCTTTCTCAAAATACAATTTGGCAAAGCATACTGAAATGATGAGTAGCCTATTGATTATTATCTGAATAGACGGAGTTCAAACAAACAGACAGCAAAAAATCGTGATCAACAGTGATTTGCTAGAAAATAAATACCTTTTTCTTCTTTATACAACTGTATATCAACCCAGAAAAAAAAAAGAGCATAAACTGTATAGATAGATGCTTTATCTATATTTTCTGAAATTCATTCTTTGTTTACTTATACCAGCAATTTTTGCAACAAAATCAATACATTCTAAACAATGCTTACGGTATCCAGCTTATGATTTAGTGTTCTCAGAAACTTGTCCAGCTTACAACCAAGACAAAGTTGACTTTTCTGCTGCACTTTTTCCCGATCCTTCTGTTATTTCAGACCTTGGCAAGCCTAGTTATGAAGAACAGATCGAGGAACCGATGAGTACAACAGAGGGATCGCAGCAAGTTGCTGTACCTTCTACTTCACTACTCGACAAAACAACCATAGAGCAAGACAGTCAAATCAACAACATTACAGATCATCCTCAAGATAAGAGAAAACCACTTGTCTCTTTTGAAGAATGGCAAAAGAAAGTACTTCAGTTAGAAAACGATAAGGATCGTCGAGTCAAGCGCAAGTCCGGGTCGATTAAAAGTGGCGGGAATAAACGACAGCAAGTTGTGGATAGCATTGATGGTGGATTTTCTGATGATTTTGGTTCTATGCTTGAAGATTTGATCGGCGGTGTAGTGTCTAAAGAGAAAAAGCCCAATGTTTATGCAGAAGGCGAGTATATTTCACCCAGCGAATCTGGCTCCAATGGCAAAGACAAGAAGAAACAACCATTTGCAGATGCTCGGATCAAATCACTTAAAGAGCGATTCAATTACGCTTCAACAGACTGTGCAGCCACTGTTCGAAAAGCGAACAAACAAGCAAAAGGGGCTCATTCAATCTTGTATGAATCCAAAGATCAATATATGCTCAACAAGTGTTCTGCTGATAAATTTGTTATTATCAACCTGTGCGAACAGATTGTGGTCGATACTATAGTCATGGCGAACTTTGAGTTCTTTTCGAGTACATTCAAGGATTTTCGAGTGTATGCCTCGTCTAAATATCCTACAAACGAATGGCGTCTATTGGGTCAGTGGCAAGCTAGAAACACAAGAGACCTTCAAGTGTTTAAAGTGCCTGATAGTGGGTTTGTGGAATATGTCAAAATTGAGTTCTTGACACACTATGGCCATGAATATTACTGTCCTCTTAGTTTGGTTAGAGTACATGGTATGTCTATGATGGAATATTATACCACTGTCGAAAGTCAAGATGAAGGACCTGTGTTACTTGAAGAAGAGCATTTATGGCCAGCAGAAGTGCGTGAACAGATCATACAGCCTCAATTCGATATCACAAACACTTCAGAATCTTTTCCAGTCAAGAACGAAGTAGATGAGGATGAAGTCAAAATCATCATACCACCTATTAGTTTAGGAGAAGCAGAACTGCCTGCTTTAGATGTGGACAAAGTAGAACATGCAACAGAGACACCTGTGGATACAACGGCAATAGAGGATATAAGCATACCTATGGATACAGATATTCCTTTGAAATCGACTATTTTATCATCGTTTTCAACATCTCATTTTAATATACAGGCCGAGCCTACCCATTCACATGTATCTTTGCAAACAGATAAACTAGATAAAAACCAGAGCGAGCCTGACACTATATCTACTGTGTCTTCCTCTTTAGCAAACCATACAGTGGATTCATCCCCTACATTGCTCTTAATTCACGGCACAAACAACACAAGTACTTTTGGAAACAGTAATGCAACCACTATTACTACCAGCATGACTTCTTCTGGTTCTGCCACAACACCCAAAGTGGTTATACCTAACACACATACAAAAGAGAGCGGAAGTACACAAGAATCTATCTATAAAACAATCATGAAGCGACTCAATGTACTTGAAGTCAACATGACATTATCACAGCGATTCTTGGATGATCAAAACAAGATATTGAATGATGTATTTCTAGACATGGAGAAAAGACATCAAGAACAACTCATTTTACTCATTGGCCATTTAAATGAAACTGCAAGCTATAAAATTGATAGTATGGTAAGAAGTCATGGTTGTTGGTTTTTTTTTATCTGTCTAAATACATCTAGAAACGTCGCTATGAACAATGGTATGAAGACTTAAAAGAGCAGACAGAGAGTGACATGCAGGAAATGACAACAAAAATCAGCATGTTGGCAGATCAAGTAAGGAAACAAAATAATTGAATAGACATTGTCTCATAATCAACTAGTTGTCATTTGAAAGAAGGATCTCTGTATCTCAACTTATTATTATGATCATCTTGTTTGTGTTTATGGCACTATCAAGAGGCACGTTTAGTACTCTATCTCCTGTTGTAGCTGCCCAACAAGAGCAAAGAAAACGAAGGCAATCAATTGATCCATCTTTGGGTTTACCGCCAAAAGATGCATTTGATGCCTTGTTGAGAGAACTTGAACCTATCAAGAAACCTACTAGTTCACAAAATGAGCCCCCTTCTATACAAAAACAAGACATATTGTTGCCTAAAAAACCCAAAAACCTACGAAGACATAGTGATAGTCCTTACCATACCATGAAGGAAAGCGATTTGAATATCTTTTCTTCAAATACAGTCCCAGTATTGAACAAACAACAATTTACCATGGATGATTCAGAAGAACTTCAATGTAAACTAAGTCAGATCTTTATACAGCAACAAGAACAAACTGTACCACACGCAAATACAATATCACAGCCACCAAGCATTGAAGGTTCTTGCTTGATAAAAAATCGTAAACGATCTAGCACAAGTCCACCCTCATAATAAAATTTTCTTTTTTTTTCTAAAATACATTATGAGCTCACTGTTAGGACTTGTCAATTATTCTGATGATGAAGGATCTTCTGAAGATGAAAACAACAGTAGGAAGTTGACATACACCATCTATTTCTGACCTTCTATATATAGTTCCTCAACCTATAAAGAAACAAGAATCTAAAGAAAAACCAAAACAAGCACCTCCTCTACAACCACCAAAACCCTCTCTATTAGCAACACCTCCACCTATCATTGAATACAACAGACGCCTAAACGCAGCCTTAACACCTAAACCTATTGAAGGTGTCGACCATTGGGGCATTCCAAGTGAATCAGACTTGGTATGCGATTCAAACAGAGAAGAAAAAATAGCACACTTTTTGTCACTTCGCGCCTCAGGTCATCGTCTAAATGATCATTTGCAGCATAACAAGGCATTTCGCAACCCACGTATCTATGCCAAACTAGTTGAGTTTACAGAAGTCGATGAATTTGGCAGCAATTTTGATAAACAGGAGTTTGACCCCTATGGATTTCCTAAAGAAATGTACATTGATGGCATTTTAGAAACACAAAAGAAGATAGCCGAGGAAAAGGCTGCTCAACAACAAAATAGAACATCTGTCAATTTTGTGTCGTCTCAACAACCAGCATTAACGCAGCAACAGTCCACAACAATGGCACAAGCCATGGCTGCTGCAGCCAAAGTAGCTAGTCGGATTGCTAAACCACCTTCAATGGAAACAACAGGGGATAAACGAAGTAATAAGTGGGAAGATGACTATAGATCAAGTAAACGATAATTCATCTTTGTGTTAACCTGTCAAACTGAGTCATACTTGATTTGACTGGTTGCATTAAAATAAAACTCCATCTTTTATCTCTTATTTTTTTTTTTTTGTCTCTCTTTCTCCTATGTCATACTCTTTGGGCTTTCTTCTGCCGTTCTCTTATAGAACTATTCGCAATAATAAAAAGAACTTACTGCCAGTGTATACTCGTTTTTATCAAACTGGAGTGTTACGTAAAACAAACATACTTCCTGACAAAGTCTGTCTTCAACTGTCAAAAGACCAGTATGGTATGTTACTATGGTGTTTTTTTTATTTGACCTTTGTTGCTCATTGCAGTTTGTTTCTTTTTAGACAAAAGCGAGAAGCACACTGAGCTTGTCAAGGCACGTCGAGAAAGTGATATATTACAAGTACCCGGAAGCACTTATGGGTAAAAAAAAAAGAAAAAAGAAAAGGGATACTATCTCGTATACTGACAAACCAAGTATAGTGGATTATACAACTTGACATGGGGTCTTCCACCGAGAAATGTATTGATCATTAAAAAACCTAATGACCTAAAGACAGAAAAGGCACTTGTCAAAGTTGCAAAGTAAGTTTATGATTTTAAATAGGCTATTTGACAGATTAGATAGTTGGCTTCATCAGACAAAGCCTGAATTAAACATCATTGTTGAACCAGACGTAGCAGAGAAATTCCAAGCAGAACTTCCTTTTGTGCATGTGATTGAGAAGAGCAAAACTCAAGAATATACACGCACTGTGGATTTTGCAATCACATTAGGCGGTGATGGCACCATGTTACATTTGGCTTCCTTGTTTCCTAAGGCTGCTCCGCCTGTAGTGAGTTTTTCGCTCGGCACACTATGCTTTTTGATGTCATACAGTAATGAAGACAGTTGATATAGACTTGTAATGACCTGTTCTTGTAGACTTTGACAGATATCAGCATGTATTAAACGACATGATTGCTGGTAACGTTGGTTTAATGATGCGCATGCGTCTCTTTTGTTCACTTCATCAACAAAATGGGAAGCGTATTGAAATTGATGGGACAGAAGTAGATGATCGACAAGCCATGAATGAAGTGTCACTTCATCGAGGCAGATCTCCTCATCTCACGGCCGTAAACTGCTTAGTGGATGGACACCATTTGACTGAATGTGTGGCAGATGGTTTGATTGTTGCTACACCGACAGGATCTACGGCTTATTCTTTGTCTGCTGGTGGACCTATTGTTCATCCTAGTGTACAGAGTTTACTTTTGACTCCAATTTGTCCTCGATCTCTGTCATTTAGAACTGTATTATTGCCACCAAGCTCAACCATAGAATTAAAAGTGAGTACACTATACACTGTGTTCGTATGCTGATTTGACAGATTGGAGAAAAAAGTCAAAGTGAAGTTGAAGTGTCGATTGATGGTCAAGAAATCTTTATGCTGCATAAAGGGGAATATGTCAAAGTAAGTGTCATTGAATAAAATCAAAAACTAATATTTAGGTTCGTATGTCCAAATACCCCATTCCATGCGTAACGCATATCAATGACGATGCAAGATGGGAGAACGACATCAATGATTTATTGAAATGGAATCAAACCTTTGGATCAAATCAATAAAATAAAAGCTAATGATACAAAAAGTTTATTTAGAATTAAATTACAAATGCTGATGATAAAATTAAAGTTTACAAAAAGGAATCTATTATTGAGAAATGACTGGGGATGTACTGTCCATATGCTTATGGCGTTGACGGTGTTGAATGGTGTGTGGTTTGTTGCAGGCATTGATCTTTGTTTCTTTAAAGATCTTACTATGAATACGCTTACCATAAGGCGTAGAGCGAATGGTAGGTAATAAAGGACGAATACATTCTACCAACTAATAAAAGTTAACATCAAGACTTATTGAGAAGCACACACATATACCTCAATCCGTTGATCATCATCAGCAAAATCCAAGGATGTCTGAATGACATAATTAGCAAAAGAATCATTCAAGAGCTGTTCCATAGTATCTGGATTGATCAGTTCAGCAATCAACAAACGACGAGTAGAAGGTTCAGCAGTACGAATACACTAATCTTTAGATGAGACCTAAAAGAATGTATCATGCTTTTACTTACATTCTCAATCACATTAGAGCTAAACTTCTGTACAGATAAAGTACAGACATGGCCTACAAAACGACGAGTCACACTTTCAGAGTACCGAGGAATACCCAATTCAAGAACATATTGCACAACATAATTACCAAAAGGATTTTGAACCAGTGGAAGAGCATGACGAGAGATCTCTTTGACCAGTTGATTCTATATAAACATATTAGCACAAACATAGACTTGGACTACAAGTCTCACCTTTTGCGAAACAGTAGCATGATCAAAGCATCTCTGTAGAACACAACAACCATGTTTATGAGAGGCAACTTCAATACAATCTTGACAGACAGCATCATAAATAAACTGGTTATTTTCAGAAGATAGGCGATGAAGGCACTTTTGAATGACATGGTTACCATTCAAGTCCTTGATCAATGTCACTACATTTGAGTCTAAAGCGCGTGTCACTGCTTTGATCTGTACAATTCAATCAATCAGTCAGTCAGTTATACCCATTCAACTGACCTGCTTAGATGTAGAAAGACATTCAATCAACTTTTGAACAGCTCTTGTGCCATGCATGTTGAGTGCAATTTTAACCAGATCAGGTGCTACTGTTTCCACAATAATTGTTCTTTGTTCATGACTGCATCTTTCAAGTATTTTTTGACACAGATAGTTGCCAAAAGGGTCTTTTGAAGCCTATTAGATTGACATGTATGTATATAGACTTACCTGTCATAAGTTCTGTGAGATGATGATGAATTTCTTTAAAGATCATGTCCAGATGTTTGGCTCCCTGTTCTTTATCTTCAATCTGCTTTTGTAGAAATCGGCAGCCATTTTGGTCTTTGCATAAATTGTATAATTTGCCTACAAAATCATCTATGTTTGCATTTGAAAAGTGATCTTGTGGTTGATGTTGTCTTTTATGATGATGATGCAATGACTTGTTCGATTGAGGAAGTAGAATCTGAGAAGAAATGGGATTTGACATGTACTGTTGGTATAAAGAAGGCTGTTGAGGATAGTGCATGGTAGGATACGAATGAATAAATGGGCATGTATCAAGCCTAGAACAGAAACCCACTTGTTGAAATTGAGCGCATGGGGTTTCAGACTGATCTATCATAGGATCAAAGCGAGATTGTGGTCTGTTATTTGGAGGCCATAAATAAGGAAAGCACTTTTCAATGGCAGGATACTCTGTTGTTTGGTGTAAAGAGGTCATAACAGGAGGCGAAGGTTGAGTAGAAATCCATGTTGTTGTTGTTGTTGTCTGGTTATCATGAAGAAAAGAAGGTTCTTTACTGATGATGGTGGGCTTGTTGTCCAAATTAGTCATTGTAAACTAAACACATGAGACAAGAGTATCTATTGTTATGTACCTTACTAGTTCAGGGTAATCATCACTGACAGTCGATGCTGCTGAATTGACTACATTGGAATTTCTGGGAGTAACAACCGATGCAAAACTATGCATAGGCGATTCTTTTGAATGCGATAAAAGTGGGTTGAATAATGGGACTAGACAATATTAACAAAATAGATGAATCAGCCTATGCTTACTTTCTGGTTCACTAAATGTGCTAAAGGTTTCTTGAGATGTCATGGCAAAAGGTAGTTTCCTACTAAAACTGTTATAAAAAGAGAAGGAAAAAGAGAGTCTTATGCTAACCTTGATTCAGTATCATTTAAAGATAATTTAGCATTCAGTAAAAGATCTAAGGCATGATCATCACTTGAATTTCTCCTTGAAGCTGGTACAGAGTGTGAAGAAGCCTGCATCATTTTTGCATAAGAAAGAGAAGGCGACTCGGCTGGTTTGATTTGATTGAAATTGAATAAATCAACTGGGTTATCAAATATAGAACGTTTTATTATTTCGTGTTCGTTTTCCATTATTCTAATACATTAGACCTATGTCAGAAAACCTCTTCTCTTTACCTTAGTTTAAAATACACGTATAATACAAAGAAATAAAAATACAAATATAAAGAAAAAGAAGAGAGGAAAAAGAGCACTTGCTCAATGCAATGTGAAAAAAAAAAGATAAGTCACAGAGAATAATGACCAATGAGAATATGGCACTGTTGATATACCTTCAACTGTCTGGCAACGAGTTGTTTGTCCTAAGTAAAGAAAAGCTCCTTTTTTTTTGATTGAGCATGGAGGCTATATACAGCATACATAGTAGATACTATATATGTATATATACAAATGCTGTTCAACCTGGCCATGTATTTCATTGAATAAGCTTCTTCCCATAAACAGTTGGAATTGCCTTAATTGGAATCTTTCGAGTTCACAAATTTCTTCCTGACATGCAATTCTTCTTTTCTTTCTTTTTTACACAACTATGGCAAAAAGCAAGAAGAACGCTGCTCAACAAAAAGAATCCACACCACCACCATCATCATCACCACCTCAACCCAAGGTTGTGCTAAGAACATATAGAGAAACAGACCATGAACAAGTAGAATTTCTTTTTAGAAGCACTCAAGTACCTTTGGTGTACGAAAGTATTCGAAGCAAAATTTGGGCTCCACTCACTTGGGTTATTTGGTTTGCTGTCTATTCAGCTATTCTCTATTGCATTCCTTTCATTACTTCTCGGTGTATTCGTCAAGACATACCATTATGGGCTATGACGAGCATTAAAGTATTTGCTACCTTTTGGTGGGGCGTTATTGCCTTTATCATCTTGTTTGTCACTTCAGATCGTGTAGAGATGCAAAACCGTGTGGATGAGGCTATGGCCAATGACTTGCGTGATCCCGATCTTTATTATTTGAACTATGTTGTTCAAGAAGACAAGAAGGTGCGCAAGCCTGAAAACGAGCTTGTGCCTTCTCATTTCTGGGTATTGACAGTGGACGATCAAATATGCGGTATGATTGGTGTGTCTTGTAATGCGCAGGATATCGTGGATCAACGTGAGACGCTGCCTGTGCCTTGGAAGCAATTTACTGTAGCCATACTTGAACTCTTGCGACTACCTGTGCCTGCATTTCTGGAAAGGGGTCGACCCAACACAAGTGACTATAATCAAAAGGACAAGAAACGTATCTTTGCTCATCAGCAACTGCCCAAGACAGCCACTCTTATGCGCTGGGCTGTACGCTCAGATCTTCAGACGTGTGGATTCTCAACCTTATTGATCAATCGTGCTATTGACTGGTGCAAAGAACATGATATCAATCGAGTCTATGCTATGGTAAATGAATGCAACATGGCTGCAGAACAAATCTTGACCAGACGTCATGGGTTTGTAGTGATGAAGAAGTTTAGAGGAGGTCTGTTTGGTCAATTCCAAAAGTTGCTTGGATGTCGTGTGAATGAATGGGTAGAAAAGCATGGTGAACAAACAAGAAAAGCTTTTAAGAAGTCTTAATTGTATCTTTAATAAAAAGAATTTTGTTTAAAACAAGGGACGGAAGAAATTGAAAGCAACATAGAGCATGAGAAAGAACCAAAAGAGGTGTATCAATCGTTCAAACCAAGCATAACAAAGACTGGCATGACCTTGTTGCTGGCAAGAAGCTGCCGGTTCTACACTGTCAATAATCGAAAACTCATCATCAAGAAATTCTGCATGGATTTGTTCTTTTGTTATTTTGAGCCTTGTTTTGACTTTATGGTTGTAGGGCATAGTATCATGTCTATCTAAATACTGCTTTTCACCATGGTCTGCCTGAGAAGATAAATAATCGTCTTGTTGAAGCTGCATTCAAAAGCGAACAAAGAAAATGAAAGAAAAGAAAAAAGGACTGCATTAAAAAAAGAGGGAGTGAGGTTTTATTTACTGTGATATATATATATACGTATATATACCAGTCTATGCAATCTATTCTCTTTGAATGACAATGGAAGAAGCAGCACCACCACCGTTACAAACAGCAGCAGCACCGTATTCACCCGATTTTAAGAGATGAGTCAATGTGACAATGATACGAGAACCAGAAGAACTGTATAAATGGTGAATAGCCTATTCTTTGCAGAAATGTCACTTACCCAATAGGATGGCCAAGAGCAACAGCACCACCAGAGACATTGACCTTACTAGGATCAAGTTTCATAAGCTAGAGACAAATGAATTGGACGCTTTTTGAATGGCTAAAGTAACTTACTTGTTCATTCACTCGAGCAACAACACTAAAGGCTTCATTCAACTCAAACTTGCTTATATCGTCTACAGTTAAACCAGCCTTCTTAAGGGCAACGGGAAGAGCCTTAGATGGAGCAATAGTAAAGTCAATGGGGGCAGTAGCAGCATCAGCATAAGAAATGATACGAGCCAAGGGCTTGACACCTAATTCATCAGCTTTTGCACGGGACATCAGCACCAAGGCAGAAGCACCATCATTCAGGGTACTGGCATTAGCAGCTGTCACTGAGCCGTCCTTCTTGAAGACAGGACGCAAACTCTTAACCTTATCAAACTTGACATTCTTGTATTCTTCATCTTCCTTAAAGATAATCTCACCCTTTTTAGATTTAAGAGTGACAGGTACAATTTCGTTATCAAAGACACCTTTCTCCCATGCTTCAGCAGCACGCTTATATGATTCAATAGCATGTTCATCTTGTTGTTCTCTAGAAATGCTATAGTTTGTAGCAGTGTTTTCAGCGCAACCACCCTTTTAAAATCCATGTGAATATAGATTCATTTTACACAGTAAAACATACCATATGGATATTGTTGTAAGCATCCCAAAGACCATCTTTGATAATGGCATCATTCATTTGTTGGTGACCATAAGCTACGTTACGAGGAGCATAGTATCTAATCAGAATGGATGAGTTTATGAGAAACAAGACTGTAAATACTTTACGGTGCATTGGACATGCTTTCCATACCACCGGCAACCATAATTTGACGATCACCGGTCTTGATGTTTTGAGCAGCCAATATAACAGCCTTCATGCCAGAAGCACATACTTTGTTAATTGTGGTGGCTTCTGTAGTTTCAGGGCAACCAGCATTCAAGATGGCTTGACGTGCAGGTGATTGACCCAAGTTGGCTTGAAGAACATTACCAATAAAAGCTTCCTCTACATCCTCTGGCTTGATACCTGGATTGACATGAGCATTTTCTTTTTTCTAATTATTCATCTATTCTGTTTTACCTGCTCTTTCAATAGCAGCACGAGCAGCAATGCCGCCGAGTTGAGTAGCACTGAGTGATTTTAAGGCACCATTGAAGCAGCCAACAGGAGTTCTGACAGCACTTGCAATGATGACATCCTAAATTGATCATATAAGCCTAATTTTCATTTTATGTATTTCGTGGCTTTACATTAGGACTTTTCGCAGCAGAAGCAAAGGTACGAGTGATGATCTAAAGGACACTTTTATGTAAGTGAAAATATATATATATATATAAAGTACACGACTTACGGTGCGAGTAGGAGCAACAAAACGCTGAGTAGAGTTGAACATAGTGAAAGAGAAAAAGAAAAAGAGAAACGAAAAAAAAAAAGAGAGATAGAGAGAGAGTAAATAAATAGTCTTTGTAAGTTAAATTGTAAGAGGTTGTTGATTTCCCACGATGAAGTTAATGTGAAAATTATCGGGAATAACAGCAACTTGCGTTTAAATTTTTAGTCGGCCCTAGAACTGTTTTTTTGACAGGTGTGATATTTTATGATAAGAATACTTTACGTTCATAACAAGCTTGAGTAAAACGAAATAATACGTTTTCCTGCACCACATAGAATGCTCTTTCTTGAGAAAGTATTGAACAGTCAGACAACATTGAATGCAGCTTGTATTACATAGTTCTACAAGACGTCAGAGAACACTACATTCGATAGGCACAAGCAACTAACAGATTCAATACATTTGCAGCTCTCTCAAAAACTTCGTTGGAAAGCGAGCGTCATGACTTGGCAAGGGCCATGAGTTTTTTTTGTCTAAGCTAGCTATTAGACTATAGAGCATTGCAGGTATCCTAAAGTAAGCATAAATGTGCTTTTTTTATAGAAAAAAATCATAGCTTATGGCCTCGACTCTATCTACTTGTGTCTGATAAATACAGTTCAATGAAAAAGAAACTTTATAACAATTGATTGAGAGCTTCCTGTTAGCGCCTTCAGTGGGTTGCTAATCCGTTATCGATGCTTTTATGCACATTTTCGTATTAGAAAAAAAAAAAGAGCTTAAATTAAAATGCCAACATATAGCATTAAAAAGAGATCATTGTCTTATATGTAGAAAACCAATTAAGCTCAGTCGTATTTACAGCAGAAAGTATTGTTGTCGCTTTAAGGGTTTTAGTTCAAATGTATTTGATAAATTACGGGCTTCTTTGCATGATGAACAAATCTGATCATAGCTTCAAATGTGATTGATAAAATACTTTGAGATCTTCTACGTATTGCTTCTTTGCTTGCTTTAAACCAATCGATCACTTCTAACAAAGGCTAATAGTAGACTCGTCAGCTACAAAAGGCTTCTTTATATTAATCGCAAATTCTGATCACTTCTTCATATTCTTTCTATAGCTGTTTCTTGATTCACTTGATATGCTCTGACCATTTTAAGTCATATTCTGTATCACTTTTATTCTTAAAACTAGATGCTTTTTAACCAATGAACTAGTTTTGATTTTGCATTGTTACAGGACAAAGGTAGAGGTCGCAGTAACTTGTGGAGATATAGACCAATAAATATAACAGAGCAATAGGCTGCAAGTTATATGTAATGAGCATCAGGTTTTAAGTCGTCCGACTATGTTATTTGTATAAGCAAAAGAAGATACAAGAGTATAGTCTAATACAACATATAATGATCAAATGTAATGCAAGACTAAGGGACCCAATTAGACAAATAATATGATAATAGTCTAGTTTAAAATATAAGACAATACAAGTAAGGTACGGTTGTAAGTCTAAGATAGATGATGGATTTGGATCTCTTTATTTAAGTTGAATCGTTCTAGTACTTATATCTATTCTAAATTAGCCACATTGAATTTGCAAGAATGCAATTATGACAGCCCAGGTATAATAAATCTATGAGTCATTGTAAAAGTGGCCCGATATATTAAGCTTTTGCTGACTAAAAGTAAAATGAACAATATGTACTAAAGTCCAATGTAATTTAAAGTAAAAGAATATGTGTTCTGTGACACAAATAGCTGTCAGAATTTAAAGTTGAATAATAAGGAGCTCAAATACGTATAGAAAAATAGAGTATGAAATAGCCATTTCGTAACAGCATTTGATTTGTTTTCATAATACTGATCATTTTTGCTGATTTTGTTCTTTTTTTCTGTGTGCAACTAAAGAAATAGGTTCGGATCAAACGTTTTAATATCGATTTGAATTGCTCGCAAGACTTGCATATGACAAATATATTAGACAAAAGCCATAATAAGTACAGGTACAAACTCAGAAAGAGAGATACTAGCAGCAATGAGTCGCTTGATGAATAGTGGAAGGAGCAAACTTAATAGTATGGGCCGCACAAGCTATCTCGACTTTTCAACGGCTCGAAAGCCTTATTAGTCACGTGATCTAATTTTTCTATCTATAAAGTATATAACGTAATTTACTTAATACTGAAATATCGGTCTCTTTGAAGTTGCAAGTAGAGATGTAAGTGAGGAGTTTAGTAAGATGAAAAGCAGAAGTAAGCGCAAAGGATTTGTTCCGACAATTCCGAGTCGAGATCCGCACAATGAAGTCCGGGTCGCAGAGAAATAGCGACTATTGAATATCATTCAGTACTCTGGTTTTAATAGTTTCATGCATGGTAATGAATAAAGATGTGATATAATCACTAATAAAATGGTTAAATCAATAAGTCGATTAGAACCAAAACGGCCAAAAAGAAGTTCTTGTGATGTTTTGATAATAGAGAGTTATATGATAAGATAATGTAGAGACAAAGGTAGATACTTTGAGACTGTTTTATACAATTTTATTGTTCTTCTTTTTGACCATAAATTATTCTAGCATATTTATACATGAAGAGATGTTGGAGTAAGTAGTAGTAGATGTTGTGAGATGAAGAGAGAGTAGATATTAAATAAGAGAAAAGGTAAGAACACAGAGAAAGTCCGTTTGAACTTGTATAGGTTTTTATTTCTCCAAGAAATGTTCTCTTTCAATTGCTATAAAATATCGGGGTATTTATACTTTTTCTTCTCAGTCAAAATATTGTTTTGGGTTAGCTTCTTGACTACGGATTGATTTGTTAGATCAGGAGCAATTAAGAGAAATGCCTTTAGAGGAAGTTGTCAGCTCAGCCAATAGTATATGATGTGACTTGAACTTGAATAAACTATTACATGTTTGTCAAATGCCAATGCTAATGCATTTGTCAGCTCTAACTGCCACTTTATGAGGGCCATTAATAATAACAGAGTCACTAGGTTCATAATCTCTGACTATGAGGATGATGTAGTACTTCTAGTAGAATGAGTGAATGTCAGTGACTATAGATCCATTGCAATTGCCATAGATGTGATCTGGTCTTTTGCCATGATCATCATTTATTGATCTATGCATATGAATTCATATATGTTCACAACAGTCTTGAGCAGTAATCTCTTCATGTTGTTGAATAGCATAGTTGGGATTGAATGATACAATACCGCAATGTTCAGTCCATATACTGGATTTCGCCTGAAGCATTGTATCGAGTATAGATTTAGATTCTAAGGAATTGGCATGGGTCTCTTGGAAGCAAAATATGTCAGATTGAGTAGAGCGTATAAATCGAAAGAATAAGGAACGTTTTGTTGAATCATGTGCTTTGATGAGGCCACGACAGTTAAGTGTGGCTATCTGTAGCTGCTTTTGAGTCATATTTTTTTTAAATTAGTGTTGGGTGTAAGTTTCATCTCCTGGAGAATTACTAGGTGTATTGCCTAAACCCATTTTGTCCTTTTGTACCGGCTGATTGCTTCGCTTAGTCTTAAGAATTTGATCGGGTCTCATTAGGGAATTGCCGATCACTACAGCTATAGCTTCCTCAATTTCACTTTCTTCATCACTCCCATCAACGTCAATTTCCATATCATCATCATCCTCATCCCTAGTTTGTGCAATTTCTTGCTTTTTCAAAATGGGTAATACCGTTTGCGTCTGCTTGCCATTGGCCGAGACAACTGCATTCTCTTTCGCTTTGTCTTTTTTTAAAAAAGGCAGTTGTTCTTGCAGCAGGTGCGTCGCTTAACTGCTGAGGAGTAGGAACAGTTGTTGAAGTAGCCGCTTTAGTGGCGCTTATCTCAACGCATTTGTTGGGTGGAAGCCCATTGCCATGACTTCTACGAGGACAATCCCTGCTTATATGGCAACGTTTGTTGCAATTGAAACATTGGCGGCTGTTGGTCAATTCAACGCAATCAGCTCGGCAATGGTCATACTTTTGACAGAAACGACAGAAGGGGGGCATTTCGTCCGAAGTAAGAAGAATATCTCTCTCTTTATCAACCCAGTCAATAACTCTGCTAAGAGTTTGAGGGTCGGTAGGATGGGGCTTGTTCAGGTTAAGGACTACATAGCCTTGTCCGAAAAAGACACTACCATCCATGTGAAGCCCAGCATCCAAGACTTCACCGAAATGGGAAAAACGTTCTACCATTTGTTCACGCAAACGTAGGGGATGAATCAAAGGAAGGCGCTCAACCTTTACTCTGACAATCTTTGCGTCTGTTGGAAGACTGCGATAACCTTTAATTACTGCTTTATCACCAAGAGCTAATCCTTCGTTCAACAATGCCTGACATATGGGGGACTCAAGATCCCAGCAAGTTTCGATGAATCTGCGTTGCAAGTACTTTCGCTCTACAAGCAGGGTGCCGAAAAAATGATAGGTGTTTGCATCATTTTGAGATCCCAAAAACTGTTTCAGGCGGTTAACATCTCGGATGTTGGTGATGTCGATCAAGATACTATCTTGTTCCAGCCCAACAATAAAAGGTGTGATAGTGCTGATAAAAGTAACATCTAAGGCTGATGCCCATCGAGAGTTAGATGAGGAGGTTGTGTAGTTAGTGGCTGATGGAGTGTTCGTGTTAGGCGAAGGGCTACGCCAGGACACAATGTTTCGAGCAGCAACTTGTGACCAGATCTTTGTAGTGTTTTTAGGTTGACAACGCCCCGTGTTCGAGGGGGTCATGGTATTGGTCTGTTTTTTATGTGAAAGAATCATGAGTTCGTCCCATTTGACCAAGTATTAGCAAGGAAACGGGTAAGTTAATAAAAAAAATTCCTGCGGTGCGAAAAAGCATTTTTCTGACCCAAAGTCACTCCAAGATTTTACCATTATTATACTCCCTGGCAAGTAAAAAAAATTATCTTCATTCTTTTACATTATACTTTTCACTATACTTCTAGTAACTTTTTTATAATTAGCAACTAAAGTCATCTGGTAATTTCCATCACCTTCGACACTTTCAAATATAGTAAACTAATCTATTTTTTCCCTTCTTCTTGCACTATCTTTTTAAAAAATGGTTGAAAGATGGTTTGGGCAGCATGAGAGATGCTTGGGATTAGTACGTTTTGTCTTTTATTTAAAAGCCGTAGCCGAACGCCTTTGAGACTGTCCCTATGATGGAAAACTTTCAACAGTTGGAAATCTTGGAAACAGGTTCTCTCATGTGTCTGGAATGCTTGGGATTAGTACGTTTTGTCTTTTATTTAAAAGCCGTAGCCGAACGCCCTTGAGACTGTCCCTATGATGGAAAACTTTCAACAGTTGGAAATCTTGGAAACAGGTTTCCAGATAGCTCATGCCACATACTCTCCGTGTGTGAAGCACTTAAAAAATCTAGAAGTATATCGGAAGAATTAGCATCCTTTGTCAATTTGAAAAACATTCGTACCTTACTGATGGTAACTGAAGCGTTTTGGCATTTGTGTCAACCTGTAAATGATGAAGAATTGTGGAAAACGAAGCGTCGTCTGACTTACCCTGCCATCTACTCTTTGATTGATGCCACCAAGGATCGACATCGCTTTTGTGCCCTGCAATTTGAATGATAAACGACAGTGCCACTTTTTTCTTTAATAAAGTAAATATACCAATTGTTGTAGTGCCAATCGCAAAGAAATATTGTAGTGGCGTTCAAAAGGCATCTGACAAAAGGGAAAAAAAAAAAGAGGGAGTATGTACGAGGTGTTGTGAACATATAGAATCTATATGCATATGATGATCTGACATTAAATAAGTCTTCAATTATATACTAAAATATATCATAATCAATTTACACCAGAAATAGACATAAAAGAACCTCTTGTACTGAATAAGACAATGTATCTTTTAATAGATCAAGACTTATAACCGAAATCCATAATTTACATTATTTAATTAATTTAAAGTAGTCTATGATAATAGAGACTCAGTCATTTGCATGAACTCTACTACTACTTACTCCGACATCTCTTCATATATAAATACCTAAAGAATGAAGAGCTAGAAAATGGATAGATATATATTTTTTGGGATAATAAACCTATACAAGTTTTAATCGACTTCTTTGTTTTTTATCTTCTCTCTTACATCACAACACACGTAGCCAGCGGTTATGCATGGACTCACGCAGTTCAAAAGCCACTTGCAATTCATCAGTCCAGAACCAGGTATTGCCAGGAGAGCGAGGCTTGCGCTGACCGACTGATTCGGAAAGAGAGGAATGTATTGCATTGGTAAGTGAATCACTGATAGCATCAAGGTCTGGACAAGAGGTGGCAGTCAGTGCACTCATCAGTGTCTCTTTTAGTGGAGCAACCTTCTCAGCAAACAAAGTCGAATATGTACAGTCTGGCTCATCTAGTCTGGATAGATTCCAAAGAAGACGAGGATGACTAGTACGAGATGGAGGAGGACAAGGAGCGGAAAAAGAAAGCGAGACAGGATGATGATCAGAGTTGATACTGATATCATTGTGGACGGTCAGAAATGGATCACGAAGATCAGCAGCACTTATAAACAAATCAATAATACTGCCTGATACATATGAAATATAAGAGACAGTATTATCATTGGCGGAGAGAGGGGAGCCATCGTCCGTATCAGCATCACTATCAGCATCAACAACAATGTCATTACTATCAATAGTAACAGCATCATCATCAACACCAACAACGCCAGGAACACCAGCAACACCAGCAACACCAGCAACACCAGCAACACCAGCAACACCAGGAACACCAGCAACACCAGCAACACCAGAACCACCAGAACCACCAGCAGAAAAGATTTGTTGTCGTCTTTGTTTTGTATGTGTAGGTACACCAAAAGCAAAGACAGAATTCCAGCAATGAAGGCCAGAATCGACCATCCATTCATAGAGCATAGTGCCACGAACTGTTGACTTTGTATCGCCAAGTAGTCGGGCATGACGAGCGTTGAGATCACCGCAGTAAATTGTATTTGTTTGACCAGGCAAACGGTGTACAGGTAGATCACGCAAGATAGAGAGGGCATAAGAGTCGGAAAGAGAGGCAGAAGGAGGAAGGTATAGACAATGAATGAGAGTAGAAGCGACTTGACATGAAAGAACATAGGGAGAGGAGGATGGCAAATGAGTTACAGGGTAAGGAAAGTCAGGATTAACAAGGAGAGTAATACCCATTTGACCACGACGCATATTAGGAACTGGCAAGCCATAAGTATGATATTGCTGCCATGAAGTAGGGAGACGTAAAGGAGAGAGAAGCCATGTTTCGGTAATAAAAATCAAGGAAGAAGAAGGAAAGGACTGGGTAACTGTATTGATGGTGAAACGATCTAGACAGTTTGCATTCCAGATCGTAATGGTAATTTCGTTAGTACTCATTACTGAGCACTAACTGATTCACCACCATCAGTAGGAGTAGAAACATGGGGAGTTTGAGCTTGAGATTCAGCTTCGCTCATCTCAAGATCTTCTTTTTCCTTTTCACCAGCAACACCAGAACCACCAGCAACACCAGAACCACCAGGAGCACCAGAACCACCAGCAACACCAGAACCACCAGCAACACCAGAACCACCAGCAACACCAGAGGAAGAGACCACAGAGAAAGAACCAGTTTTTCTAAACTCGCGCAGCTGCTCGCCACTGAGCCAGTTACGTGCACAAAAGTCAGCAGCTACTGCATTACATGCAGGCGAGCGAATATACTTCAAAGCACGCAAAAGACGGCCTTGATGAACTTGTTGGGCTTTTTGACCAGCCTCAACAGCAGACAACGTAGCAACACGGGGGTCATTCAGGTGTTTTGCGTCAAGTGGGTCAAAGTCATCAATAGGCTTGACACCAGCTTTAGCAAAAACAGAGCAAAGTTCAGAAACGTAGTCGTTGTGTACCAAAAGTGCAACGACGCGAGCAGCAGGAAAGTGGACATCAAGTACACGCCAGTTATTAACTTTGAGAATAGCTAATTTGGCGCGTAGGTTTCTAAGGCTATCCTTATGACGACTAGGCAAGTACACATACTGATACCCTTGAGTATAATTCTCAGGCAGAGCAGTGAATTGTCTAGAGGCAGCAGCCACTTGACGGGGGAGAGGGGCTTTTGTACGTTTTGCCTTGGCTTTTTTAGCCACCGTAGCAAAAGAGGGGGTGTGATGTTTTGATAATAGAGTTATATAATAAGATGATATAGAGACAAAGGTAGATACTTTGAGACTGTTCTATACAATTTTATTTGTTGTTCTTTTTGATTATAAATTATTCTAGCATATTTATACATGAAGAGATGTCGGAGTAAGTAGTAGTAGAGTTCATGCAAATGACTGAGTCTCTATTATCATAGACTACTTTAAATTAATTAAATAATATAAATTATGGATTTCGGTTATAAGTCTTGGTCTATTAAAAGATCCATTGTCTTATTCAGTACAAGAGGTTCTTTTATGTCTATTTCTGATGTAAATTGATTATGATGTATTTTAGTATGTAAATGAAGACTTATTTAATGTCAGATCATCACATTATCCCCACCCAGGTATTGACTAATACCGACAAGCTTATTTAAGATCTTCTATTCTTTTTGTTTTGATCTGTATTGTTTCTTGTCGATCTTTTTCTCTTTCCTGAATGTTGATCTAATTGTGTTTCTTGATCTTTTATGTTCTTCAATAACTTTTTATTGGCTTTATTGATAGCCTTGACACTTTCAGGAATTACACCTATTCTTCTCCAATATTCTGTTATGAATTTAGGATCAGTGAATGAAGATTCAGGTTCCCATGTGTCTTGAGATTCATCATAATTTAACCATCTACATCTATAGAGATACTTATTGTTTACATCCTTTTTATGTCCTATTATTGCTTCCACTTCATAATATTGTTTATCTTCAGGTACCATCTTATCTGATACAACTTTTAGTAAAGAAGGTGGGTAATTTCTAGGCTCAATGAATCCTTGTTCATTCTTTAATACATAAGAGCCACCAGAGGTTTTATTGACTATTTTATAGAATCCTTTATAGTGAGGATCAAGCTTATTCTGCTTGTCTGTAACTAAAATCATTACAGTTGCATTTATAGGAATATCAAGTATTCTATGCTTGTTGTCAAACCTTAATTTCTGTTTATCTGCTACGCTCTTTGCTTGTTCATAGACAGCAGGGAAGACTATTTCAGTCATGTATTTTATTTTTTGTTGCAAATCCTTATTTATTTTCTCCGTTGTTTTTATATCCTTTTCTTGACTGAAGTCTTCAAAGTCATTAGGATTTCTACCAAACATTAAAGAGAATGGAGTGCTTTTCGTTCTGAGATTATATTTACTGTTTAGATATAATTGGGTTGGTCCTACCATGTAGTCCCACTCAGCCACATTTCCATTTATTTGTTTCTTTATGGTTTTTACAGCTGATTGAACCGCTCTTTCACTTGCACCATTTGCTCTTGGATGATATTGTGAAATTAACGCGTGTTCGAAACCGATATGTTTCTTTATAGTGTTCATTAGAAACCCAATAAACTCTTTTCCATGGTCGCTTTGGATTTTCCTCATAGGTCCAAAGGTGCAGATAACGTTCAGTATCTCTTTAGCAACAGTTGCAGCTGATTTATCAGGTATAGCTCTCAATACATAAAATTTACTAGCTATATCTATCATGACTAACAAGTATTCGTTGCCCTGAGCTGAGGTAGTAAATGGACCAGCTAAGTCAATACCCCAACTGTCACCAGGCAGAGTAGCTAACACAGGTCTTAATGGATTAGACCCTTTTCTGCTGATATTATGACGCTGACATTGTATACACGCCTTAACTAATTCATCTGCATCATTCTTTAGATTCGACCAATAGATGCCTTTACGCTTTAATGCATTAATTAGAGCCTCGGTAGAAAAGTGCCCTTTACTATGCTCAAAAGCAAGCACTTTATCACGCTCCTCATATGGAGGTGTAAAATATTCACCACTTTCAAGTGTGGGTAATGGTTCGTTAGTGGCAGCACTACTTCTCATGATTGATTTTCCCCCTCCCAGTTCATTTGACATTGTTGAATCGTCCTCATAAAGTCTGGATAAAGTGTCAGGTAAGACATTTGAAATACCAGGCAAATGAACGATCTTGAAGTCATACTGGAGAATGGTGTCCATCCATGAGATCATCATCAAGTTTGCAATACGTTGAGTATGTAAGTAAGTAAGTGCCTTATGATCCGTATATAGCGTAAATGTAGAACCATAGATATACTTGTGAAAACGCTTCAGTGAGAATACAAGTGCAAGTAGTTCACGTTTTGTAGCAGAGTATTTGCGTTCACTTTTAGATAGACTTTTAGCAATAAAAGAAATGTACTTTTTTTCTCCATCAGTCTCTTGATACAATACTGCGCCAATACCAGTGTTCGATGCATCACAGCTTATGGAGAATGGAACATTCATGTCTGGATAGGCTAACACAATATCGCTTAACAGTGTTGTGAGATGAAGAGAGAGTAGATATTCAATAAGAGAAAAGGTAAGAACACAGAGAAAGTCCGTTAGAACTTGTATAGGTTTTTATTTCTCCAAGAAAAATGTTGTCCTTCA